ACACCAAGTATTTTTGCCTGGTTGGAATGTGTCCTTGAACTCCAATCGTTTTTATTTTATTTTATTTTACACAATTTGTATACTACTTAATCGTCAGTACTTCTACTTGCTTTACATAAGATGCAATAATTATGCCATGCAATAATTATGCCTCTTAGCTGCCTGGATGGAGGATAGAGACAGGTATGTGAGTGAAAGTAGCCTACTGCACAAAGATAAAATTCACACCCATTACTCCTCCTACTTCTGCATCTGACCTCACCATTGGCCCAAAGCCAATCCCCAGAAGGTTGCCAAGAAGGGTATGTAGCCCTCAGGTCCTAAAAGAGTTCTGCAACCCTGCGCTACAACCTGGTTCCATTGCAAAGTGAGTATAACTCTATTCTGAGTTCTGGGGCTGGGAGTGGAATAGCTTACACCACTGCAAAACCAACAATAATTGTTGCTTCCACATCAGGGGAAGGTTCTGTAAACCACAGCTATCCAACAGCACTGGAACAAATTTAGAACAGTTTCTGACCTCTTCGAATGGTTCCAAGTTCTCACTGCTCAGAGAGACTGCTTCTGTTCAGAAGGTGCTGTGCAAAAGACTTGCTGCCTGCTGTCCAGTGCCACCTCTTCAATTTTCTCTTTCCCAGCATCCCTAATTGGCTGGTTGGAGCTTTACTGTGAAAGACTTCAAGCAAGGATTTATAAGAACCTGCAAGAAACCCATTCCACCTGGCCTGCTGCCCTTACTAAGCCTCTGAGAGAGCCAATAGCTTTTTCTCTCTCTCCTCGAAGACATGGTTAATGGTTTTGTTCTGCAAAGAAATGTGACATTGTTTTATATCAATTCTGAGAATGTCCAACTAAAACAAAAATATTGTTAAAAGTAAAACAAATGTCTTGTATATTCCAAGATCTCTACTGCCTATTTCATGCCCTCATCCTATGGCATAGGAGAGGCAAGCAAAAGATGGATGGGAATCAAAAGGGAAGAGGAACACAGGTGGAGGATTAGGCAATAAAAGCGAAGGTGATAAAAGACACAAAAAGATGAAATGAAAAATTCAGCAAAGCCTGAACACCATTGAGTCTCCACCAAGCCAAATTTAGCCCTCCAACTCCATATGGGTGAGATAAACATTCTGTTTTAGCCAGTGGAGTACAGTCCATTGGGGTGAATGGGGCAACCACCAACAGTCCCCTGCCTGCCTGCCTTCGCACTTACAACCGGCACAGGGGGGTGTCCCTGCGTGTCAGCTTTTTGTTAATCGACTATGCAAGGCAGGGCTTACCTGCCCTCCCCCCTTCCCATATTTAATTCAAGTTGGCACCCTTGATCTGCTGCCGGATCCGTCATAACTGGAGGTGGCATGGGCTGAATCCAAGACTCTTTGCATCCGAAGCAGTTGAAATGTGGCCCCTCTCCCAGAAACCTGTACCTCTGTCTCACCCAGTGTGTGTCATGCACACACGCAAAATATTTGCCCACCTCCCCATCAACTCAAACACAAAAGCTTCTCTCTGTATGCAAGTCTTTCTCTCCCCCTCTCTCCTGTTAAGATCCCAAATTGACCATTCTATTAGTCAACCTTTGATGACTGGCTCTTGAGTGTGTGGACCACCGTCTGACTCCACAGAGAAATGTTATATTTGACGTTGTCGCCTGGATCAGTTGGTGCCTCATCCATACATAAAACAACATGCCCATTCATCACTTGATGCTGCAGTCATCAGATGATGGGCCAGGCGCATGGAGAGAGGACCACTATCAGAGGGCACCCCAGAGAGAAATGATGTGTTGTATTAATGTCTGATGGCTGGGCAGCCAGGTGGGTTGAGAGGCATTTGAAAGGGAAGGGCCTGTGTGTGTGTGTGTGTGTGTGTGTGTGTGTGTGTGTGTCCAGTCCTGGGGCCTGGATCAGAGGGTCGCTGGCTGCTGGGCTCTGCGCCTTTAAATCTGGTGGAGAGCTTGCGTGGCGGGAGGGGGAGAGGAGCTGACGCAGCTGCATTCTGCCTTTCGCTGCCAAAATAGGGAAAAGGGCTGAAAATCTTGAAAAGGAAAATAAGCACCACAAGGCAACCGAAGCTCTGGCGTCACTGCCTCTGCTCTTTCCCTCTCCCTCTCCACCGCGCCCCCCCTTGCAGCCTGCCTCGCGTTGCCACAGCAACAGCACACAACCAGCATCCAGGGCTGGAAAGCTTTTGAGTGGCAGCTCAGGGATGGGAGGAGGGTTCCCAAGTTTGAATAGCATCCTGTCCTGCTCACTTTGCAATGGAGCTGAGAGAGGCGAGTGGAAAGGCTCCGCTGGAAGCCTGCTGTTTGAACCCGTCGCCAGCCCCCAAACTCCATAAGATCAAAGAAGATAGACATTTGAGATTCCTTTTTCGGAATCTCAACTATTGCCAATCTGACTCTTCCAGCTGCAATGGCTCTGTTCTGCCCCCCACTGTGGGAGCCAGTATGCCACTGAGTATCAGTTACTTAAGTGTCCCAGGAAGAGAGAGGCTCTGCTACTGTTTTCCATTATTTTAATTCCTGGTGGGTTTGTTTGTTTTCATTCTGCTGTTCATAAAATGCTTATCCTTCATTATTGGTGGTCCCCACTTCTATTTTGCAAGCCACTCTGGATGCTTATTGGTAGAAGAACAGGATATAGTTTAAAACAAGTGTAGAATAACAGAGCTAGAAGGGACCCGCAAATGTCATCTAGTCCAACCCCCTGCAATGCAGAAATTGTAACAACAAAATTCCCGACAGATGGCTATCCAACCTCTGCTTAAAAACCTTCAACGAAGGTGAGTCCACCACCTTCCAAGAAAGTCAATTCCACTGCCAAACAGCTCATAGAGTGAGAAACCTCTTTCAAGAACTGCCATGATCTTCCCACCCTCTTTTTCCCCCCTTCAGCACCTCTGAAGTATTACTGGTTGTCATTTTGACTGCACTGGCATGTGTCAAAACCACGGCAAACAGCTAAATTGTGAAATTCCCTTCCACAGGCTGTATCATTGGCCACTAACTTGGAGAATGTAAAAGATTAGACAAATTCTTGGAGCCTAAGGCTACAGGAATCTCAACTAAAGCCTCCATGACAGATGGCCATCCAACCTTTGCTTAAAAACCTCCAATGAAGGAGAGTCTACCACCTCCCGAGGAAGTCCATTCCAGTGTCAAACAGCTCCTACTGTCAGAAAGTTCTCCCTTTCTGGAATCTCCTTTCTTGTGCCTTTTTAATGGCAGGACAGGCAACAGGTGAAACTGGTCGCCACTATAGTACCTACCAAACTTCTGCCTATCTCACAGTTGCTGAAGGTATAAAAGTTTAGCCAGGAGTGAGGGGGTGGGGAAATGGAGAGCCCAACTTTAGCTTATGAAGGATGTACCTTCTTAGAATAAAGGGGTAGTGGTGTGACTAGTACTCTAGATGGTTGGTTTCCGTGACTGGAATGGGGCCAAGTGCACAAGAAACCGAAAAGCCTTTGAAGATGGGGTGTGTGATTCTGAGAGTCAGTGGTCAACTTGTATATCCCCCATGTGGCTGAGCTTGGTGGTATATTGCCATCATCTGTTGGGGAAATCATTTGTAGTGCATTGGCTAACATGCAGGGGGAGTTGAAAGAGGAGATCTCTGCAAGACGGCAGGCTTTTTGTTCAAAGCATCTTCCATTTCAGGGGTTGGGGTCCTGCGAATGGCACCCTCTCCCCATTTCCCCAAGAAAGCTCCCAATTTGATCCGCTGCCCCAAGCAATGATGCCTACACCTCTTTCCTGCCTCCCTCCTTCCCCTGATGCAATCCTCTGCCACCCAAGCAGCCCTAGTAGCACAAAGGTGGTGCCCTGAGCAGTATCACTCGTTGCTATGGAAATTCTGGGTACCAGTGAGGGAGATGCAGCCCATCATTCCTGGATGCAAAACAACAGGAATGTGTGTGGCTGTTGCAGGATGGCACCCTATTGGGGGAGGCTGGGGCAGAAGCCTATAAAAAATGCACTGTTCATTATTATTATTTTTAATAGGAGAGGTGCTGAGATTTGTGGTAGTTTCCACAAAGCACCACAGAGGCCTGAATGAAGTGAGAGGGATGCTGGCATGGGTGAATTGAAAGGGCTCAAAAAAGATGAGCTACGGCTCAGCCCTGACACCTGCTGGATACTCTATATAGCAATTTCATTATAAGTGTTAGAATAATCCCTTTAAAACCATAGGGAGCAGCCATGGGGAGAGGGTAACTTTTGTTTGGGAAGAAGCCTCAAATTAAAGTTTCCAAGCACAATTCAAAATGTTGGTGCTGACCTTTAAAGCCCTAAATGGCCCAGTATACATGAAGGAGCGTCTTCATCCCTATTGTTCAGCTGGGGGGTGATGGTTCAGCTCCGAGGGCCTTCTGGCGGTTCCCTCACTGCGAAAAGTGAGGTTATAAGGAACCAGGAAGAGGGATTTCTCGGTAGTGGCGCCCACCCTGTGGAACGCCCTCCCATCAGATGTCAAGGAAATAAACAACTATATGACTTTTAGAAGACACCTGAAGGCAGCCCTGTTCAGGGAAGTTTTTTAAATGTTTGATGTATTACTCCTTCTTTGAATGACAAGTTGTATGTGTCCACGTAACCATCTCAACCTGTGGAACTGGCGTGTCTGAAAGTGCCATGTAATGTTCGTTCCCCATCTGCAAGGAATCAGCTCCTCACTATGACAGCACCTGCTCTCTGGAACTCCCTGCCAACTGATATTAGGAAGGCACCTTTGCTATATTGTTTTCAACACCTGCTAAAAACTCTTTTGTGTAGGCAAGCCCACTGAGATTTTTAACTTTAGCATGCAATTTTATTTTATTATGTATATTTGTTTTAGACTTTGGCTCCAATTCGTTTCTTGATAAATTTTAGGTCAACTTGTTTTGTTCCATCTTCCAAGTTTATTTGTGTTTTTCAAATGAACCTAGATTCGTTATTTTTAATGAGCGTGTATTTACTCAGAGTTTTTGGTGATTAAGCAGGAAATAGGTCTTGTTTAATAACTTTTTAAAAGATTAAGGGAGAGGAAAGATAAACAGCACAGACATTCGAAGACACAGAGGAAAATTGTGAGATTATTTTTTTAAAAAGAAATCATTTACTGAAAAGGGACTGACAATAATTACAATGGGAGTTCCAGTGTCAGACCAGCCCTGACCAGAAGCCATGGCCCTCTCGCCTTCCTCCCTGTCTTCTTCAGCAAGGCATCACCAAACCAGTCACTGAGCAGACTTAGCTCCCAGTGCACAGCAGACGGGACAGGTAAGAAGCCGGCACCATTCGCACTCCAAGCACTCTGGGGATCTGAATCTCAGTGTGCCCAAATGGAGGGAGCTGGTGCTCATTTCTTCTTTGCAGCTGCCAGTTCAGCTTCCTTTGCTTCGGCCTGAGCTGCCAATAACTCTTCGCGCTCCTTCAGGAAAGCAGCATATTCCTCTGCATGGAGTCTGGAGGAGGGGGAAGAGGAAAGAGAATTGCACCTCCTTGCTTCACGTCAAGCCTATCTGCCCCGTTTCCAGTTCTGCCCCACACCTTTCTCTGCTGCTTCACAGGGTTTGCTGCTCAGGTGGGGCTCACCAGGTGGGGCAGGGCTGCTCGACCAGATTTCTGGGAGGAAGGTCACTGTTGCTTAGAGGGAGGGAGAAGGGTGAAGCAGCAGGGAGGGCAGTGCTATGTCCACCTCTCTGCTGCCTCGCCCCTCCTGGGCAAGCAACAGTGACCCAACTGCCAGGAAACTCCTTTCCACCTGGCAAGTTACTTTGGCTGCCCGTTGTATCCTGGTTCCCACCAACAGCCTCTCCTTACGATGGCATCAAGGGTCACCTCGTCAGGTTACCAAATTTCAGTTATTGTTCCCCCTCCCAATACTCTCTCTTCCCACCACCACCTAAACCCCCCCCCCCAAAAAAAAAAACCAGGCCAGGAAGCAGAGGCTACATTAACACATGACCGTGATCCATACTTTCTGAATAAGCACCAGCCCATCTGAAGCCACCATTTGTTGTTGGCTTGCTATTTGTTTAGAAGATTGGTAAACCAATCGATCAGATTGCTCTCCCACTGTAGCTCAAAAGGGGCCGAAATCCACAAATGAATTGAAAAATAAATAGGCACAAAACCATCATCACCAAAACATAGATGAAATCAATAAAACCTTTTGAAACAAATAGAGGTAGCTAAGCAAAATGCCTGGGTGGGCTTGCTGGAAGACGTTTGCAGCAGCCGTCCTACCTCACAGGGTTGTTGTGGGGATAAAACTGGGAGGACAAGGGCCATGTCCTTGGAGAAAAGGTGAATTATCAATAGAGCAACGACAAAACAATATAGTGAGAGCAACCGCTTAATGTCAATAGGTACAGAATTCCACAGCAAGTGTGCTGCCACACTAAAGGGTCAAATCCCTGCAAATGTGGACTGGGATGGTGTGGCTTTAGTCAAACTGCAAGTTCTGCAGATCAAAGTGATCCAACTGGGGTGGTGGGGAGATCCCTTAAGTAAACTGGTCCCAAACTGTTAAGGAAGCAAGAAACTATGACCCTTCATTTGGGCAGAACAGGAAGCTGAGTCTTCCCATTTTCCTACTCCTGCCTGCCCCAAGGGTGGGGCAAACTGGGAAGATAACATGGACCAGCCCCCTGCTCATTCAATAAACTGAGAAGCCTGGTTTATCGTTGTATGCAAACTGCAACCAGAGTCTGCTTCTCCGCTGCCTCGTGGATTCTTCCCAAGGTTTGTGCTCTTCAGCTACTGATTCCCATGGGCACCAGTCACTTACTCTTTCACCACCTTGATGCCCAGCGACCGGGCAGTCCCCATGAGTGACAGGACGACCTTCTCGAGCGGCGTGTCGCGGAGCACGAAGTTTGGGTCCTGAGACTTCACCAGGGCGATTTCGTACAAGTGCTTCAAGGTCACCATTCCTGCCACCTCATGCCCTGCAGCACAGCAAAGAGAGGGTCTTAAAGCCAGGAAGAGCCAATTGGAGGTTTGCTACCAAAGCCCAAGAGGGGGAAATCCCAGCACACCTCAAAACTCCCAACATTTTTAGCCATGTGTGTTATCATGCACATGAGAGAGGGGAAAAAAATTCATTTGAACTCAAAATATTCAAACTCCAAGGCTTATGCTTCCCCCAACACAATTTTGAACCTGTTCTAATGTGGGGCATGTACTTAGTGGTAACTCCAGAGTCTGTGCTAGACTGTCACAGCAAAAACAACAAATGGAAAAAACATCCTGCAGAGCATTAGAAGACTCCCAAAACCGTTCGAAAACCAAGGCATGGCTTCCAATTGGCTGCAGGAGTGTCCGAAAAACACCCGCAGACTGGAACACTCACTTCTGGGTTTGCGGCGTTAAGAGAGCCGATTTGTTTGGCAACTAAGCCATTTGGGAAGCAAGGTTCCACTGTACTTAAGTGATTTGAGCCTTGACAAACAGGTGGGAAAACCAACCCCAACCCAGAAGCCACTGGTGACAACATTGCCAGGACGTGGGCTGCTGGTCCCATGCCCCCCCCCCCCCAGCTCTGGTGCTCAGATGGCTCCTTTCTGCCGTTCTCTCCCAGTGCTTTGCCTCTGGACCTTCACTCGACCCAGCAGCTTCCCTCCCTGGTTGTGTCTCTCACCAGGATTTGTTGCTCCCTTTTCTATGCCAGCCGCCGACAGCAGAAAATACGTGGCTGTTGGCTTGTTTATCTGAAGCTCGTACGATCGGTCAGGCTGCAAAAAGGAGTACAGGGAAAAGCTAAGAGAGTTAAGTCAGCCATGCCTCAGAGATCTCTGGCAAAGGCGCAAACACAAAAATGAGGTGCAAACCAGGCGTGGGGCCCTCCAGATGTTCTGGACTACCACATCCATTATTATTAGTAACTCAGTGGTACAGCACATGTCTCAGGAGAGATACCACCAGTCACTGTATACAACATGGGCCAAGGATCTGACTCTGTGTAAGACGTCAAAAGTGGTTGGCACACGACCTGGGATCCTCCAGAGCAAGCTGCACACAGAAGTATTTGAACTCTAGGGCCCAGGCACTCAAGGTTCAAGACAGACATCTGCCTGCAAGATGTTTCCAGCCCTGCCTCTAAATAAATAGGTAAATTATGTTCTTCTCACCCGTACAATGATGCGTGTGGGCAGAGGGATCCCTTCCTTGATGTCCTTTGTGCGTTCATTGAAATCCTTGCAGAATTGCCCAATGGAGATGCCTCTCTGGAGGGGGATAAGAGACAGGAATCACACAAAGTGAGATTTAGAAGGAAATTCAGAGGGCAGCTAGTCCAACACTTTGCAGGATCAGAAAGAATTCAGGATGCAACCACAGCATTCCTGGGAGAAGGCGATCCGCTCTCAGCTGAATTGCCTCCTGGAAAGTAAGTGCCCACCACATCCCCAGGTGGCCTGTTCCACTACTGAACAGCATGTATCACAAGCAGCTGAAATCTGCTCCCTGGCATTCCTGCCCCTCCATTGCTTCTAATCCTGCTGTCTGGGCCAGAATCAAGTCTGTCCCATCTTGTGAGTGACAGCCCTTCAGCTATTTGAAGCCTGCTATTGTGTCTCTACCCAATCTTCCTTTTTCTGGGTGCTAGAAGGATTTCAGGACTCAGCTCCCAAGCCTTTCCCCAGAAGGGGCAAACTCTCCTATAGCTGCCCTGTCTAAGCTTGGCGGGGGAGGTAACAGTGGGGGTGATGATGGTGGAGGAATCCCTTGTTCAGCCCAAGGGAAAGCTTCCAGGGACCATGTGGCCAATAGTGGGCAGGCTCAGAGGAAAAAGAGAGTGGAGGGGGAGGGAATGCAAATTTCACCTATCTACAGTAGGCTAGTTTCTGCTCCAGCGCTGCTCCAGAAAAGAGGTGCAGCACAGCAGTCTATTTCTAAAGAGTGGTGCTGAGTCTCAAGCTGCTTGGATGTTAATTAACCCTTCTGGTTTGGAACCAGCTGCCTCCTTTAATCATGGATGGACAGAGTCATTTCTTACACATCTATCCCACTCAAGGTGGCAAAGTGCGGCTGAGTGAATCACCTGCCCCTGGGACCAAAGAGGCACTCAGCATATGCTCAGAGGAACTCCCCGCCCCTCGACGGTTACTTCAATTGTGCCAGACTTGAATGAAGGCTCAAATGAAAACCACTTGGAAACAGTCCCACAGCCATGGCCCTTTGAATGGGCAAGAAAAACTGAACGACGGCGAAGGCGAAACGAGGGAGCTTTGTGTGTACGTGTGTGTTTAAATCCTCCGTCCAAGAGCAGGCTGGGGGTGGGGAGACGCACACACAGGGATCCTCCTCCTCCTCCTCCTTGAGGGAGAACAGACCGCCTCACCCTGTCTCTGCCTTGCTCTGAGCACATCGGGAGAGGTAGGTAGAAGCACACGCTGCCGGATCCCTGCAGGTATTGGAAGAAGGGAGGAGGGGAGGATGCGCCAGAGATCCCCCGCCCGCGAGCAGTGGGGAGGGGGCCGAACCAGGATATCCTGTGTGCGTTTCCTTTGGCACAAGGAGCAACTGTAGAGCTGAGGAGGGGGAGGGGAGGGGGAGGATGTGAATGGCAAGGACTCAACAGCCCACCCTCCCTCCCAGCGGCAAAAACAGGATGGCTGAACAGGGACAGAGTCAAGCAGACACACACACACACACACAGCTGCCATGCACTTGTCCAGCAAATACGTAGGTCCCTCCCCTCAACACCCCCAATCTAGAGGACGGAGATCCCTCCGGCATAATGCACAAACAGACACACAGAAACAGACACACATGCACACTTTCTACAAGGCTCCCCCGTCTAATAAAAACCAAATAAATCCAAGAATCAGGATACCTCCCTGTTACCTCTGTACACAAAGTGGTTCCCAACTCCTTGGGTGGGGGAATTTCACTCACAACTGGGGAAGACCCCATTCCCTCCCAGTCCTGTCTGGTATGCACATGAGGATATCTGAGCAGGAGAAAGAGTGCCTCTGAGGATGTACAGAGCAGCTCTCTCTCTCTCCTCACTGGGCAAATGGTGCCTCCAGGCCTTGGCCTCTGCACTCCTGCTTGTTCTGAAGCCTCTTCCTACAGCCTTCATGCTCCTGAAAACCTTGGTCTGAGCAAGTTGAGCAGGCAGAGGGGGTCCCAAATCCCAGTGCCTTGTCCTTTCAAGAAGGCTGAGGATTTGTATGGTAATTCAGGGGTGGGAGGGAGGAATGTCTCAGTTTTGTGGGGATTACTGGGGGTTGGGGGGAATGGACAGGGAACTGTGTCTGAACTGACCCAGAATAAGATCTTGGGGTTGTAGTGGATAAGTTTGTCTGACTGCAGAGAGGGTTAGTTTTGTGCATCTACTTCTGTTGCTCCACTTCTGCGCTGGTCCAGAGTTAGCATAAAACTGTCCATACTGAGTCATTGCTGTGCTGTGATGATCTATGTGGTGGCTGTAACCCTGTGGGAAAGATTTGTGGGCCAGGTGTTGGGGGCAGGGTGCTCAAGCTGTCTGGATGCTATGCACTCTGACCTGGAAATGCTCCCCCACTCTCTAAACACATACTCTGCACATGGATAGGGGCAGCCTCTCCTTAAATGCAACTTCAGCCAGCTTGACTGCTGGCTCAAATTTAAGCCCTTTGGATGTGCTCAGCACAAAATCTCCATGCGGGCATCCAAGTGACAATAAAGTTAAGGAAGGGTTCATTATCAATATTAATTCATAAATAATACTTCATGCCAGTACAAAAGAGGCAAGTCCCACGGCTGTGATTACTGTATTAGGGAAAGGGCTGGAAGTAAGACTGATTGCACTGCAATGCCTTTACAGAAATCCATGGTGCAGCCACACGGGGAACAAAAAGGGATAATGCAGAGCTGGGAAAGGTGCAGAAAACAAGGGCAACAAAAATTATCAGGGAGCTGGACAGCAACTGCACTAGGAGGAGATGTTACAACATTTGAGGCTTTTTAGTTTGAAAAAAGAGATGGTTAAGAGAAAGGTGAGCTGAGGTTTTTAAAAACTGTGACTCATGTGCAGTAGAAAGTTGGTGGAGCGGAATTTGCCTGTTTCATACTAAAACCTGGGATGATCCAGTAAAATTGATTAGCAGTAGATTCAGGACTAAAGAAAAACACACCTTTACCCAAATGCAGAATTAACAGGTTGTACCTAATGCTAGTCAAAGAGACTGTGTCAGCCTGTTGCAGCAAAACCAACAAGTATTGTGGCACCTTAAGAGACCCAACAAATTTATTACAGCAAAGGTTTTCACAAACTACAGTCCATGAAAGTTAGTGCAATCATAAATTTGTTAGTGTTTAACGTGCCACAATACTCTATTGTTGTTTCTGAATTCGTACCAGCCGCTTGCCACAGAAAGACTATCCAAGCCACTTGCAAAAACTTGAAGAGCATAACATACATTAACCATAAAATAAAAAAGAACAATGCATTACAGTGCAATTACAACAATCTATAAAACAGACCCATAAAACAGCAGCAAAACGCATACCATAAATAGACAGCAAAATCTTCAAAACCCATCAAATGTCTAGGAGAAAAGGTTAAGTTTTTACCTGATGGCGTAAGGATGTTAATGATTGCAGGGAGACCTCCAGAGGAGCAGGGGGAGGCATATTCGAAAAGGCCCCCTCTCAAGTGACACGAGCTCAGACTCTATTAATGTTGGCAGCACATATTATATAGCTTTTTAAAGAATACCCAAAGGGCGTTACACACATTGCCTGTATGCATTTAATCCTTGCAACAACCCTGAAAAGTAGGCCTGCATTCTTATCCTCATATTGCAGACTGGTGGTGGTGGGGAGACTGAGAGGGGCTTCGCTAAGGCCGCCTAGGAAGTTCATGGTCCAGACGTCTTTTGAAGGAGGGGCTTCCTGGTTCAAAGCCCAAATGTCTCAGGTCTGGTTTGGGATGAAGTGAAAGAAGAGGTGGACTTTCAGGAGAACTGACCAGGGAAAAGGTGATTGGAGGTTTTAAACCAATGGGTCTTTGCAGGTCCCCCCCCCCAACCCGGCTTCAAAGTCCACAGTCATGGCGTTTCCAGTGATCAGATGGGATCAGCAATCTGGCGTTTTAAGACAAAGGCGGTTGCTTCAGCCTTCCGATAACGGATACTGACAGGGCATGAAGAAGGCGCCCCCAACTAGGCAGTTCAAGTGCGCAGAAGCAAGAGTGACCTTTTCTACAGGCTGGCACGAGTCACAAAGTAAGTGGAGCAAGGCAATTTTATTTATACGCTCCCTACCCCCATTGCTGTTCTTTGCAGCTCATGTGAATAGGCTTCAGCAACCACCCACAGCCCCAGTCTGACCGCGACACTGAAGCCAGAAGGCCCCTGCAAGCCCTGATGACGCTGGTTTTACCTACACATCCCTAGAAGATTTGCCTCTTCTCATGTATGCCTCCTCTATAGCCTTTTCAGTGGTTGCAAATACCTTTTTTTTATTCACCTAGAGGCTTTTTAATAGTGTTTTCAGTTTGAGCTTTTTTACGCTATCTCTATTGTTAACAAAACTGCTGTTCATTTTTAACTGTGTTATTTTCCTTTTTCCTTTTTTTTTTGAGCATTGTTTTGCTTATATGCCACCAAGGAAATATTTACTGATGGGCAAATTAAAAATAAAATAGAAATTTAATTAATTAATTAAAAATAGGCCACAACCAAGTCGTCCCCCCCATTTATTTGATTAAATGCATAATTTTGGAAGCGTTGAAACTCAGTTTGCTTTGCATGCAAAAGGTCCCAGGATTGATCCCCAGCTTCTCCAGGCAGGGCTGGGAGAGAATCCTGTCTGAAATGCTGGAATGCCACTGCCAGTCAGTGCACGCAGTACCAGCTAGATGGGATCGCAGGGTCTGACTCATTACAAGACAGTTTCCAATGTTCCAGAGCTCTCTCTTTCTCACTCCTTTCAGATGGGAAAGTAAGATCCTCAGAAAATGCCCCCCCAACCTTCCTTCTTAATTTCCTTCATTGTATGCTCTCCTCTTTCTCGCCCCCCCAAAAGGCACCATGGAGCAGCAGGCCCCCAACATCCCACACACCTGCGTGGCAGCTGTGGTCATCGTCTGCACCATGGGGGCGATGGATGTCTACCTGGTGGAGCAGAGCACAGGGGCCCGGCGCCTGGGAGTCGGCGCCCTTGCCCTGGCTGGGGACCTCTTCTTTTTGCTTGTGCTGCGCTACGCGACCATGTGGGTAGGCAGCGAGGTGAGGCCGGCCCAGCGAGGCTACGCCATGGTGCTGTGGTTTCTCTTTGCCTTCGCGCTGGAGATCAAGCTCTACTTCGTCTACCAGCACTACGCAACCGAGGGGCGGGCGCCTGACCCGCTGGCCCGGCGCACCCTGACCCTCCTGCTCTCCATCTGCATCCCTGCCCTTTACACGGTCCTTGGAGCCACTGAGCTGGTGGCCCAGGCCTCCGCCAGCTTCCGGAAGAAAGACGAACTGCGCGGGCGCCTCTTTTGGGTGGTGTTGGACCTGCTGGATGTGCTGGAGATTCAGGCCAGCCTGTGGGAGCCGCAGCGGCGGGTGCTCCCCCTGTGGGCTGAGGGCCTGACCTTCTTCTACTGCTATGGCCTCCTGCTGATTCTCCCTTGCGTCTCGCTAAATGAGCTGGGGGTGCAGGGCCCTCGCCCTGGCGCTCTCTACCCGCTCCTGAGTCTGGCCAGCGTCAACGTGGCCACCATCTTCATCCGCGGGGGGCTGTTGCTCCTCTGCCATGACCAGCGCATCTCCTCCATCTTCATGGGGAAGAACTTCTTGGCCATTGCGCTAAAGTGCTGCGCTGCCCTCCAGCACCACAGAAGCACTCGGGGCAGAAGGGAAACAGGCCACAGCCACATCCGAGGCAGCCGGGGCCTTGGACATACTCAGCCAATGGATGAGCAGCTTCGTAGAAACACAGATGAAACACACCATGGGCACCTGACACCTGACAGGGTTTGCAAGTGTGCTCAGGCCACGGCTGGCATGCCCTACGGACACAGCCCAGGTGAACCACCGCAAGCGATGGCTGAAGTCTCCTACAGACAGCCGCAGGCTACAGAAGAACCGTTCCACTGCTGCGTCCAAACCACCAGCCACCAGCTCCACAGACATTGCCACCTTAAAAGCCAAGGGTCAGAGCACTGCAGGCACACTACTCAACTTTCCCCAAGAGCGCCACCAGCCGCCACTGGTCCCTCCACTTCCAGAGGACTCAGAACAGGTCAGCACATACAGCTCAAGTCTGTCTGGGGCGGACTGTGAGATACCTTTTCTGTGATGCTGTCTGGCAAACAGCCTCACTTTTCTCTTGGGTGCCCTCACTGGGAACAGAGGGCCAAAAGGGCACTGGGTGTATCAGCAAGAGTGTAACAACAGAACCTTCATAGGGGGAGGCTGCCTCTACACTGGTCATTTGCTGTGAGAAAGCCACACTTCATTGACACACTTTTTGCAGGGCATCTACACAACCAAAACACCCTCATCTCATGTTTTCCCTATTCAACTTCCTCCCCTCCACCCCAGCTCAGAAAATCCCATTTAAACATAAAAATGGATGCTACACACTATTTTTTCAGGTGTAGATAACCCAGCTGTTGCAGCCTAGACAGGTCAATAATGCCCTGTACAGATTGTGGTCGAGAAATGTCCTTCTCTATGGTCTGCCTCTCCTGTCTAAGAATCACTGCCGTTACTTTAGCTCCTCCCTCTCCAAATATTATTGCCTTTGTATCAGTCCCCACTCCCCTACTTTGCAGTAGGAGAGTGCAGCTAATGGTGGGGTGGGAATACTTATCTCCCCCCAACCCAATACACACACCATGGCCCCAATAAAAATGGCCTCCTCCGTAATATATGGGACTGGGATACAAGGACTGCTCGCTTGGACTACAGTATTTTGTTTGGATTCCAGAAGTCTGGAATTAGATACTGTTCAGGTTCTGGGTTAAAGCAGAATGGCAATGATCAGCTGCTGCTAAATCATCCACATCTGGACGCACCTTCAGTCACCTGAGCATAATGGGCACAGAAGAACTAGGCTCTGCTCTTATGTCTTGGGTTCTTAATTTTGTTACAGTAATTGATCTGTACCCCATAAGCTCAGAAACAGCAGAGTTAAGTTTTGTCACATGTGTCCTTAGAAATCAAATCTCACAATCTGTGCTTCTTCGTACTACAAAGGGAGACACAATCCTGCCGCCGAGGGAGTGGGAAAGTTTTTTCGCTCTTGCAGCCAGCTTCATTTCTATCTTCTATTCTCAAAATTGCCAAAACAGTTTCTTAAAGGAAATCACCACTTCCATGTCCCTTATCCTAAGAAAAGCAGCTTAGCAAAATGACTAACCAAACTACGTGGCTGTGATTCACTCTATTTTGCTTACGATCGGATAAGGATTGTATCTGAGTTGGGGGTTCAGCTCCAGAACGTGAAGCAATAAAGAAGAGAGTGCCTCTAAGCATGTCGAGAGTGTTCTTCCCCCCTGCCCACTCTTACCAGTGAACAAGGGCAATCAACTTCTACACACATCTGGGGTTTAACAGCAGGGCCTCCAGAACACATTGCCCAGTGTTTCAAGACTTAGCTGCTAATTTTGTGCGTGTATACATATACACCTCACTGCCATGGTACAGATGGGGGGGGGAGATGGGGGGGGGGGAGAAGGTTCAGAATAATCCCAACAAGTTCATGCAATCGAAGGACTAGGGAGTGGGTTTCCAAGCCAAACAGTATAACTGCTCAGTTGATCCAAGCCTTAGCACTCAATTGCCACCTTCCAGCCAGTTAGCTACACCTTCATTATTTTCATTATGATCAATACCAGGGATTTTAATCAAAGGCAGAGAAGAAAACAGCAAAACTGATTGTTTTCTAAAAGGAGCCAATTTATGTCCCAAACTGTGGCCCGCTCCCAAAGAAACTCTCTCAGTTATCTAGCCTCACACTTCAATTCTGCTAGACCTCCATTCCTCCTAACCCTCTCCCATGCATACCTGCCCAAGGATAGGTCCTAAGGGTGGTCCAGGAACAGCCTGCCCAGCTCGGATGATCGACCGGATCAAATTTCCAGGGTCCACCTTTTGTACTGCTTTAGAAGCAGCACGGGATATCTTCGACATCGTAATTCAAGTTCTGGCTAGATCTGAATTAGAAAAAGTCAAATTTAATATTATTAAAAAGAGTTCTACACAATGTCATCTGTGGACAGATTACAAAAAACCACATATAAAATCAAAAGCACATCAATTTCACAACTAAGGAGAAGTAACAATGGCTTAAAACTATATACAACTCAGGAAAAGATAATCTTCCCCAACCTGGTGCCCTCCAAATGTTTTGGACTACAACTTCCATTAGCCCCAGTCAGAATGACCCAAGGTCAGGAATGATGGGAATTGTTGTTATTATTTATTGTTATTATTTATTAAATTTGTATACCGTCCTATACCCACAGGAATCTGGAAGCCTCCAAGCTGGGGAAAGACGAAATAATCAACGTATCTAAAATCTAAAATAATCAAAGTATCTAAAAACCAGAATCAATGCTCTAAAGCCATGGTTCCCAACGTGGGACACACGGACCACGGGGGGGGATTTGATTTTTAAGGGGGGCAAATCGAGAATGAGTTATTAACAGTGAATGGCCTTTTAAGCTTCCTACACGTGAACAGGAGTTCACTTTTTGAATAACAAGAATTATATGCCACAGTGGGGAGGGCATCAGGATTTTAGAGATGCTTAGCTGGGGCATGGCCAAAAAAAGGTTGGGAACCACTGCTCTAAAGCATCAGTAATCTTTAACCCAAACTGGAAGAAATGCAATGACAAGTTGGGGTAGCTGGTGCCCCTTGTGATTGATAGGGCAGAAAGCAGGCCGACAGGAGGTGGAGCCAGAGCCTATTGGAGCCTATTGTTACATTGGAAATCCAACCACAGGCATTGATCAAAATTCCCCAGGCGCCAGGCGCATTTTGCTACTGGTGCAGGTCCAATTACAACTCCGTGGAGATTTCTGGGCACCAGATTGGCAACCACAGTTTGTAAACCTCTGCCTTAATCCATAGTTAATTTCTATTTCTATTTCCACTGTGTGTGTTTCTCCTTCTTGCATACTGGGACAAGTGAACTGTTGCAAGAGCAAGCTACAGTACAGCAATTTAATCGAGATCATAGAATCATAGTATTAGAAGGGACCCCAGGAGTCATCTAGTCCAACACCCTGGCGAACAGACATTCTGTTGTGGCAACCGTAACCTAGGTTTAAGGTGCCATTTGGCACCTAGCTTATACACCTGAATTTCTAACACTGACCACGAGTGTCCCCCCCACTTATGTGCAGCTGGCTAGCCTGTGATATTCTAACCTGAAAATCGCAGGAGATAGCTCATGAGTTCTCATGGCTTACGAGGAGACCCTTCCTGGAGCCCAAAGAGGACATCAGGAGAGACCAGCGCTGCAGCTGGGCTTTGAGAATCTGCTAGATATATTTTCTGAAAATATAGCTGAAGGAATAGGGTGCTTTTTAGGAGGAACTATGGGACCTGGGGGCCCTGGCTCAGTTTCAGGAAGGGAAAGGCTGAAGGTCAGGGGTGAGAAATCATTCAACTGATACCACATTTAGAAAAGTAACCTCTTTGCATTTAGGTGCTATTAAGCCAGAGCAACAACCAGCTTCTGCTTCACAAACATGGGCTAAAATGCAGCTGGGGATGCACTCCTTCTATATAGTATTTAACCATCAATTCTTATTCCCAGGGAACTCTGACAATTGTAGCCCTACGAGGGGAACAGAGGCCTTCCAACAACTCTCAGCACCCTTACAAGACTCCAGTTCCAATGACTCTTAAAGGGCTGTCACAGTGCTTTAAAAGTCTGGTGTGGCCTTTGTATGAGACAGCTTCACCTGCATGTCTATTTAAACCCCTAAATTTGCTCTTAGGGGGAAGCGCCATAGCTCAGTGGCAAAGCACAGTCTCTGCGTGCAGAAGCTCCAATCCCTGCATAGCCGCTGCCAGTCAGTGCAGACAACGCTAGACTGCATGGGCGAACGGTCTAAGGCAACTTCCAGGTTCACTCTCCCCGTTGGTCACCCCAAGTTCAACCTCCCCGCATCTTTTTAGCCACTGACCCCTCTTACCTTCCACTCACTCAAAGCGTCTCCTCCGCGGCCCTGGGCGCAGCCATCTTGGGTCACGGAGGTCAAAGGTGCGCTGAATTCTGGGAACGCTTCTCCTTCCCCCCCTTCCCTCGCCACCAAGCTGCCCAAAATGGCGTCCGTCCCCATAGCAACCGCAGTCCTCAGCACAGAGCTAAGAAATTAGAGAGGCGCACAACTCGACTTGCAAGTGTCAGAGTAGAAAATAGTTACTCGTGGAAATCAGTTGAGATTTTAACGCATCTGCGATTAGGCATGGCAGGAAATGCGTCCCCCTTGTCCCGCCAAAAAAGGAGCAGAAGATGTGATTTTACTCAGAAGTAAGCTCCACTAAATATAGTTAGTTAGTTAGTTAGTTAGTTAGTTAAGAAGAGAGATATAAATCTCAGTTCAGCTGCATGCAAGTCAATAACAGAACATGCAACTTCTACATGCAATTGAGTACTGTACTGTGTTTACCCTGGAGAAGTTCCAAGAGCGGAATATATGGATTGTTGTTGGGGTTTTTTTGCAATCTTCTCAAGGGGTTTTCATATGAGGGATTTATTTTGGCTGGCAATCCAACCAATGAGCCTCGGCTCTTCTTCTGATCTGCTGTGGACCACACTGCAGGGCTTTCCTAAACTACTGTCTCTCCTCACTGCCTCCCCAAAACCCTGTAAGAGGAGTGGGGTGACAGTGGAGTTGCTGTACGCTGCTGTCTCAGCCCACCAATTATTATTATTATTTCTTATGTATTAGTTTTCTCAGCCACCCTTCACAACTTTAAAAATACAGCATAAAAAAGCAGCTAAACCACACTGCAATCAACAGAACAAGGCAGGTCCTAAAATATCAGGTGTCAAAGGCCAGGGTAAAGTCTTCAGCACATGACACCCCCCAAAAAAATTGTGCTTGGCAGGAGAGAATTCCACAACTACAATGTGGAGAATGGGTCTAACAGCACCAGATGACAACATAAGGTTATTGGAAACGACCCTCTCAGCCTCAGCCTGACCCACAACCTCCGCTAGAAGTATAATGCACCTGTCAACCTCAGCCTTCCATCCTGAAACAAAGGGACAGCATATTGAATTTGCATTGGTAAGGCTATTATTAAAATGATGAAAAGGTTTTTTCTAAGTTATCATTTTTTATTTTTTCTTTACACAAAATAAGGCCAGAGTTAGAAAAAGCATGAAATGCATTCTTTGCGGCTGCCATTTGTTTGAGGGTGGACATGCTAAGTCACAAAGCTACATCAAAATCTTGAATTTCTCCATTGATTTCTATAGGAAACTCCCACTTCCACAAAGGAGGGCAATGGCTTCTAGGTTCAAACTATGGGATATACAACAAAATGTTGCAGCACGGGCCACTCCTATTCAGGGTTCTAGCCAGCCATGCCCTTTTCCATTCCATTTCCGCCAACTCTCTTCAGGGGTCTCTTTTTATTCTCTTTCTACAGCCAGCCAGCCTTCCACGGCCACTGACTATGCTCAGTCCTCGTTGGGTTGTTTGGGGGATTTTTGTCCCCTTAAAGGTTTTTTTCTAATGTTTTTGTACTCTTGTAAATCCTGCAGCTTCCCCAAGCCCCCTCTTGTGCACAGAAAGTGCTCTTTTGCCTACATAACCATTAGTTTTGCCTACATAACAGGTGGCACGGGGACCATATTTTCATTCTGAGGGCCACACTCTTTTCTGAGTAACCCTCTGGGGGCCGCATTCCTATGGTGGAAGGCAAAAGTTGGCAGAACAGTGAATAGAAATTTTTCTTTTGTACCAGAAGGCTAGTTTTTACCCCTACTCACACACCCCTCTCTATCCCTGATCCAGAAAAAGTAAGAGGACACATTTCAGCCCAACAAAAGTACTTGGGTGTGCAAAGCAGAACCGGTGCCGGGTTTGGTGTGTGGAGTTCTGAGAGGCTTGAGGGAGAGGCTAAATGGGTCACATTCAGCCCACGGGGCTTGAGATTCCTGCTTCTGAGTTATGCTGGAATTATTTGTGGAGCACAGCGATAATGGAGAAAACCACTTGCCAAATCAGCATAATAAAAGGTCACCAGACTTTTTGTGCCATTTGGGAATTAGCTTTATTACTTACATAGTCACGACTAATTTTCAGAGATATCCATCCACAGTTTACATGCAGATTTGGAGGAAAGACTGAAACATCTGAATTCACCTTCTTTGCTTCTGACTTTGTTTATTATATGTAGTGACGGGAATATTGTTTGCCTCTTGAGAGGTACAGAGACATACAACTTTTTACAGATGTTTCCAGGGTCCTCTAATGGAGAAAACTTAAGCATTGTACCTAGAACAAAAGGTTTTGATACTGACCAGTTATATATATATTTGCATTGTTTTTTGTCAATAATTATTAAATAAAAGCGAAAATGACGCAGGTGTTGAGAGGCCTTTTGTGCTCAGGTCTTGCTTCTTGTGGGTTTCTGGGCATTTGGAGGCCACTGTGAAAACAGGAGGCTGGACTAGATGAGCCCTTTTTTTAGTTTTTTATTTATACTTTTCAAATATATACATTTCATTAATTTTCCAATCCATTTAACATTTCAAATTTTGACTTCCTTCCCCCTCTTTCTGCGGTTCCTTAAATTAATTTTTTTCATACCTTCTGCATATCAAAATTCATTTAATTTACTCATTTAATTATCTAAAGTAAATATATAGTCTTATAAAACTGCAGGTTATTACAATAATCCTGCTAATGTTTCAATCTGTTTACAATTTATCTGTAAAAATTCAATAAACCATTTCCATTCTTTTATAAAAAGTTTGTTATCTTGATTTCTTATTCTTCTGGTAAGTTTAGCCATTTCTGCATATTCCATAAGTTTTTGAATCCATTCTTCCTTTACTGGGACTTCTGCTTCTTTCCATTTTGGGGCAAGTAACATTCTTGCTGCTGTAGTAACATACATAAATAAATTTCTATACAATTTAGGTAGTTCTGTCCCTATAATTCCCAAAAGAAAAGCTTCTGGAGTTTTTTAAAATGAAAGTTATTTTGAACATCTTTTTCAATTCATTATATATCATTTCCCTGGGAAATGGACTAGGTGAGCCTTTGGCCTCATCCAACACGACAGTTCATCCGTTCTTACGGTGCAGGGAGCTGAACTCTTGGGCTATTACTATTATTTTTCTATCTTGTTTTTTCTGCCCTTCTCACTTCAGTCATAAAAGTCGTCTTTATCATGCAAGCTGTCATCTTTGCTTGCTTCCTCTGCATCAGCCCAGAGATCTGTGGAGAGAAAAGGGTATGGCCATGGATTGAAGCGTCTCCTACAGTGTATTTCAGTATATTCCCTACTTTTGCAGGGCATTGGGGAACCTGCGGCCCTCCATATGTTGCTGGACAACAGCTCCTATAATCCCTGACCATGCTAGCTGAGGCTGAAGGGCACAGGAGACCAGCAACATCTGGAAGGCCAGAAGTTCCTCACCCCTGCTCTGTAGAAATATGCAGTCTCCTAGCAACACAGAGATCACTATTTTTCCCGCAGTTTGGTTGTACTCTTTTAGCTTGAGATGCCAGCGATTGAACCTCAACCTTCTTTATGCAGAGCCTAGATTCTACCACTGACTTTTAGTCCTTCCCTGTTTGTATCTCGGGGCCAATTCCAGACTATCACTATTTGGAAGAGTGGGCTTCTATTGCATACTGGCAAATTCAGTGTTCCTCCAGATGATAGGTTTATACAAGATTCATCCCAAAGCTTGTGCAAGCAATTAGAACTATGGCTGCATACACACGGCATTTTATTCTAGAATCTGTTGAGACCGAGTTGTTCCCCCACCCACCCACCGACATACCCTACACATAATCTAGATCTACTGCATGTTTTTTTGCTCCTTAAAAGTGCTTCTTGAGAAACTGGTTCCACTCCGGCAATGAAAGCTCGTTACAGATTGATTCTGCATTATCCCACAGGGTGTCCATTTGAAAACAGATGAAAACAAATGTAGGCAATGGATAGGGGCAGTTTGTATCCACACTTGCCCAAATACATTGAGGGTGGGTGTATATCAAGATCGTAACCTCCTCTTTCTTCTTCACTTACCTAGGCATGTGCAGCAAGGAAAAGGCATGGATAACATAATTGGGGTGTGGGGAGGTCAGAGATTATAATACATTGCTCAGGAAACTGAACCCACCCTTGTGGACATCTAAAATCAATCTAGATTGAAATGAGCAAGTTGAGGACAAGCATGAATTATTCCAAACTGAGAAAAACTACATTTTTGTGCTACAAACAGGTTAGTGCGCATGTAGCCTACAGGATGTTCTTTATTGAACATTCATCCTGATTCGTTTGCAGAATGTTTACACATCTTCCTGTTAATCATTTGTATGTTCCCTACTTTCCATTGCATTTGCCCAACGCTTTCCTAATCACAAAGATCTATTCTTTCCCCCCGAAAAAAGTGTTGTTGCAGTAGGGTGACAAAACACTTCAATCCACTCTGATTGGGGAAAATGACATTTCCAGTATGTGCTCGAATCATTCCCACAAAATAGCAACAGCCTGGAGGCATCCTCAGGTTGTGCAATTAAAGTGGATTTGGTGCCCTTGCGCAACAAATCTGCTTGGAAGAAAAACACAAAAAACCACTTCCCAGACTTTTTGTGATGAGTAAAGTGGAAGGAAAATGAACTGGAAAGTGTGGGACAACATTTGTTTGGCACAATGTCATATAACCTCCCAACAAATAAATCAGAATGAACATTCAATAAACAGTGGATGGTTGTATAAGCTCCCTACTAAATGTGTGCAAAACGTATCGGGATGAACTATCAATAGACAGGTTTTCTGGAGTGGCATGGTTATTATTCTGAGAGATTCAGTTTTGGCTGCCATTTCTCTGTGCCCAAGAAATTTCATCTCACCTTGGAGCCTTTGAAGATCTGCCTGACTCTGCTGATCCCTGTGGAGAAAGAAAATCAGATCCTGAAAACTGGGGATCCAAATGCAGAAATGCCCCAACCAGGGCTTCACTGCAATACCAGAGTTGTGTCCCACACTGTGCTTCTCCTCCACCGCACCCCACCCTTGCCCCTCTTTGCACTTCCAAGCTAACCTGGCTATGATTCCAGGTTCCATATAGCTCACAACTCCTCTGTTACTGCAGTCAGAGGGAATAACCTACTCCTGTTTTGTTTCTTTCAGTGGGTTGTATTTGCAGACCCTCCAAGTGTCCCTGTTTTCCAGTCATCCTGGTTTCTGATTTGATCCTGGAATATCCCACTTTTCCTTAGTACGTCCCTATTTTCATTGGAGTAATGTTGGAGGCAGGGCTGGATTTAGGTTTGATGAGGCCCTAAGCTCCTGAAGGTAATGGGGCCCTTATATGTCCAGCTGTCCTTTTGCCTGCGCTGCATCTTCCAACAGTCAGCTGGCCTTGGTTTCTAGCATTGTGAGAGAGACTGCATGGATATTGGAACTGCATAACTCCAAGGTCCGCTAGGTTCAGTGGGTCTTCCTCACAAGCAAGTGACTCATAAGAGCATTGTCTGGGAGCCACTAGATGGCGCCCTGTTATCATGGGATAATTGGTATTCGAGGCAATGAAGGATCTGATGACAAAGCGAGGGATGAAAGATGAAAATTCATCAGGAGGATGAATCATCTTCGTTATCAAGAAAGGCACAAATGGCTGGTGGTTTTCGGCTTAGGAAAAGCCGAAAGAGGAGACAAGTGTCTTCTAAGGTCATGGTGAGGGATGTGGGTAGAGTTAATAAGTCCAGTTCTCTTGCAAAGATGTTTAGATGGACTTCCTTGGAGAGGCAGGACATCCAGGTGCTATTTAGGAACCTAAGGAGCTGCCTTATCCCAGGATCAGACTATTTGTCCACATAGGCCAGTATTGGCTACTCAGGCATCCAATTAAATTGATAGGAGGCAGATACATGATGCGTATAAAATGAAGTACTGTACAGGCAACTCCTCATTTGTGCAGGGGTTACGTTCCAAGGCACCACACATTGAAGGGAAATCGTGTATATTGAGAACCACATTGAAAAAGCCTGCAAACACACTCTAAACCTCTGGAAACCCTTGAAAAGCCCTTTAAAAAAAACCAAAACTCCACCAAACTCCGTCACAATCACTCCCTCCAAACCTCCTTGTTCAAACTCCAAAACTCTACAGACCTCAAAGGTTGGTGCAAAGGCTCATGGGATTGCTAGATGCTATTTTCACACTCCTTTAGGGCCACTTTTGCCCCTTTCCATGCCACTTCCGGGTTTGCAGGGATGTGCTTGTGCCTCACATGTGCATAAATGGGAAGTTGCCTGTGGCAATCTATGATTGCTCCATGGAGAAGGACTGTAGCTCAGTGGCACAGCACCCACTTTGCGTGCAGAAGGTCCCAGGTTCAATCCCTGATGTCTCCAGGCAGGACTGGGACAGTTCCTTCCCTGAAACCCTGGCAAGCCACTGACAGTCAATCTAGATGAGGTTTTCCCCAAACTTGGGTCTCCCACTATCTTTGGACTACAACTCCCATCACCCCTAGTTAGTAGGACATCAGGGATGATGGGACTTCTAGTCCCAAAGCAATCTGGAGACCCAAGTTTAATCTAGACATTACTGAGCTAGATGAACCAATGGTCTGATTCTGTCTAAGACAGCTTCCAGTGTTCATGTTCCTTAAGATAGGATGGGTGTAGATAAAGGAGGAGAATATGAGGCCCCACCTTGATTTTGGCTTTTTGGACAAGGGAGCCAAGGCAGCTTCAATGTCTGTATCAGCTTCACTCTCTTCCACTTCCTCCTCCTCCTCCTCTTCTCCTTCACAAATGGATTCTGTTCCTGCATTCAATAAATACGTGTGAACTAGGAGAAATTTGACAGGAACAAGGGGGAAGATGGTGAGGGAACCTGACATGGGAAAGTACTCCATCTCAGTTGCCAGATTCTCAGTTGTCTCTTTGTTAAAAGGACTTCCTGGGCAGAATTTAAACCAGCCTCCCCCAGCCCAGGGCTCTCCAGTGTCTTGGACATCTCATGGGGCTGATGGGAGTTGTAGTCCTACGCATGTGGAGAGCAACAGGTTAGGGAAGACTGGTTTAAACTGTTGCATTGGACCTCTAGAACAGTGTTTCCTAAACATGGGTCTCTGGCTGTTTCCGGACTACAATTCCCACCATCCCTGACCACTGGTCTTGCTAGCTAGGGATGATAGGAGTTGTAGTCCAAAAAAGGCCGGAGACCCAAGTTTGGGAAACACTGCCTAGAACCTTAAATGATCTGGCTCCAAGACACCTCAATGAACACTTCCTCCCAAACGAGATTCCATTTATTCAGTTCAGTGTCCCCAATCCAAATCCCATTGTGTCGGATGAGAGATGAATGGCTACCATGGCCTTTTCCAACTGTGGTGCCCCCTCAGTGGAACTCTCCTTGTTAACGAAGTTCATGGAGTTTTGAGACCTGGTGGCTGATTTCTTATTATCAATTAATCTCTGCTGCACTTTAGGATGCTTTTTATAATGTCCTTGGGTGCAATTCTAATTTGGGGGGGGGGGCTGTAGATCACAGCGCTAGAGCACATGCTATGCACAGAGAAGCTCCCAGGTTCAATCCTAGGATCTCCAAGGAAGGCTGGGAAAGACATTTGATCGAAACCCTGGAGAGTCACTGCCAGTCAGTGTATAGAATACTAGGCTAGATGGAGCATGGGTCTGGCTCGACATAAGAAAGCTTCCTTCTTTTCTGTTTGAATCAACCCTACAATGATGACTGGAATCTTACATTATTTTTAGAGGGAGGGCCATCACACCTTGGTCAGAGCACATGCTTTCTTTCATGCAGAAAACCACAGGTTCAGTCCTTCACAGGTTCCATCTCCAACAAGTAGCTCCAGGAAAGACTGAAACTCTGGAGAGCCTCTGCCGGTCAGAGCAGACAATACTGAGCTCAATGGACCAATGGACATACTGCTTTGTTTCCAATCAGTGCATGTCCCATAGCTTCTTGCTGAAATCCTGCAGCTTTTCGCAGCATAAATGTCCTGGGGTGGATTTTTTTGTGTCCCACTTTTTTGTGTTATGACAAAAGAGTGCCCCTTCTGATGACAAGAAGATTGAGAAGGCATCATGGAACAATGAATAAAGCAGAATGATGTGCGGACAGTCCAGTATAAATCCACTACTGATGCGCTAATACTACATTAATGACACGTCTCAGAAGACACTCAGAAAAAGGGCAGCGGAAATGTCACCATATGTGCAGCCAGCGCTGTGCTTACCTTCCTCCATGAGCTTGACCCCCAGGGGTTGCCCATTCTGCAGACTGGAGGTCTGGCAGCTGCTGCCGTCATCCCTCAAAGAGAAGAAAGAAGAACAGTGATGGGGAGGGGTGGTCCATCTCCCCACGCAGGATAGGGGAGGAGGGTTCTGCCCACCTTCCACCCCACTGGAACACTGAGAACTTACTGCTCCAATGTGCTGCAGATCCGGGGTTCCAAAGAGAACTGCTCTGGACCAGTATTGATGCTGGCTACATCCTCTTCTGGGCTCCTGGCTCCCTCCTGGCTTTCCGTGTCTCTCTCTGGGCCTCCCTGCTCATCACCGCTTCCTCCAGCCCTGTCTGGCTCACCATAATCTCTGCTGGTTCCTCCTTCCTCCTCGCCCTCGCTCCGACTTCTTCCCTGGCCATTTCCATATCCTATATCCAACTTCACTGCTTCCACCTGAGCTTCCAGCTCTGCAGTTGACTCCCTGCTTTCTTGCACATTTTGAGTTTTCCCCAAAGATCCTGGTGTGTTGTTTACTTCCCCTGTCCTGCTCTCACGCGCCACATGAATCCCACCCTCCTGTTCTCCCTGCGCAGGCTCCAGTACTTCAGCTCTACCACTTTCCAGGGGCTCCTCTTCATCCTGAGCTGGTGTTTCCCTTGGAGACCGATGGTCCCCGGACATTTTATCCCACCCCAAATCCAGACTTCCTGCAGCTTCGCCCACCTCACTGCCACCGCCTCTTCCCTTTTCCTGTTCCTCCTTTTCCCCAAGGTTTCCATCCTCCTGCCCATCCCGGCCTAATATTTCCTCTTGTCCCAAAATCTTGCTAGGCTCATGGATTATCGCTGTCTCATCCTCTTGCAGCAATCCTGGAAATCTGGAAACAGAAGGGGGGTGGGAGGTAGTGAGGTCAAGGGCAAGAGGCTCAGGTTCATAGGCTCCTTCCAATAAATGCCAAGGAGAGCAAGTTATTGAGCTTCTCCCCACTCCTGACAACTGTCCTGGTGGAGAACCAAGGGTGGCTGAGATTCCAGGGTGGTGGTAAGAATACCTGTTTGGGGGCACCTGTGACAAATCTTCACTTTGAACTGTTGTGGGAGCATCCTGGCACTGTTTCAGCTGCATCCCTTGTTGCCTCAGCAATGCCTTGGAGGCACTTTCAGCCACCCAGTGCTCCAAATCTGCTTCAGCTGTGTCCAGGCCACTGCCACCCGAGCTCATCCCCAGTGGTCCACGCTGACCCCAAGAAGCTGGCGAGAGAAAGAGGGAAAATAGGTTTATGTTTTACAGCTGACCTGGTGGCAAGACTTTAACTTGAAATTGGGCTCAGTCTTAAGACTCTGAGCACACAGGCGAGAAATAAAAGCTGAGCGGACTTCTGAGCAAGTGCAAAGTACTTTCCCTGAGGGGCAGAAGGTCCTGTTCCCCAGAATCTCCTGGGTGTTGTCAAGAGATAGAAGAAAGCTGATGCCAGCATCCTTACCTGCTGTGTCCCTAAAAAGCATCGCAGCCTGTGACCTTCCTTGTGGGCTGTAGGCCAGGCTGCGTCCATTCCACCTCACCGACATGTTGCTCAGTTCCTCCCTGGAGCATCCACTGCTGCTGCTTTCTTCCCTCGGGACCTCCCTTGTGATGGTGGTGCTGGCAGCAGGACTTTCGGTAGGATGGTCCTCTGGCCCCTGGACTATGCTAGTCCTCTGCCATTCCTGGGAAAGGTCTCTCCTCAACATGGTGGCCTCTCTAGGGATTGTCCAAGGTTGGGAGGACAGAGAAAAAGATCCACCTTGGCCAGGAGATATCAAGACTTCCTCATCCTTCTGGGGTTGCCATGGAGACCGCGAGGAAGACCAGGCCTGACTGCGATGTTCTCTGGAAGTTTGGGAGCTGAGTGTTATGGAGGGGAAAGGATGGGCCACGGAATGGCCCCAGCTCTTCCTGTGTTCCCCGAAACCTGACCAGAGTCTCCCATAAGTTTCTGGGGCCCAGGATGGCACCGTTTCAAAGGGGTGAAATGGCAACCATTCTCTCTGGCGTCCGATTTCAAAAGGGAGCTGCCCATTCCAGTTAGCAGAGTGGGGTCTTGCCAGCAGTTCCTGGGATGCAAAGAGCAAAAGAAAGGCACGTGGGAACCTGAATGGGAAATATTTCAAATATTCACTCTTCAAATGGTTATTTCCTTATGTTTGCTGGTGGTTTGAAATAAAACAAGGTTTAATTATTTCTAAATGTATTTTAAAGAGCCCACAGCGAAAAGCTAATAGACAACCGTCAGCATCAGAAGGTGGATGCTATACCTCAAACTTCAGAACTAGAATCTGGATGACAAATATTTATTCCTGAATTTATAAACTGCTCTTCCTTTAGAGAATTCCCCAGTGGTGAACAAAAATGAAACATAAATAAATATTCTTTTTCGACTTTTATTGTAGAAATTATTTCAGAAATGTAAAAAGTCAGCAAAATTTCAGATTTGAATGGGACTCTCTTCAGATGCAAGGAAATAGGCCTGAAACTTATTGGGGGGGGCAGTGCTGGGGCACAAGTTGCCCATTCCTAAATGTACGGTATATGAAATTTGTTGTGTATTGAAGTTCTCACCCTAGCCACCGGGGGGTATTGTGTATATAGTTTTCACTCAGGTCCACATCAGTTAATTTAACCCACTACTTAATAAAATTCTGTTCAAAATAATATTATTCATTGGGTTTTGGCACAGCGGATTATATAGTTCACAACAGCCACCTGAGTTAGTTTACCTGTCTCACATCAGACCCTTGTGGCTTCTGAAGGCCTCTGCTCAGATGAGGAAGGGATTCTTCATAGTTGCTCTGAAATAAAAAGTAGCTTTGGATCATCTGGGGGTGCCGATTTCTCCATCCCCAATTTTATCCACCAGCACCCCTTAGTTTAACTCTTGGCAGGTGAGGAGAGATTAGAACTTCAGATCAGCCATTTGTTTTCTCCACGCGAGCATGAATCTAGCTCGGAGGGTTAACAGTGACCCAGGTGGGTCCTTCAAAAGGATGTTTCTGGGCCGCCTGTTTTGCTCAGGTCCGGCTTGCGGGTTTTCCTGTGATGGGCATCTGGCTGGCCACTGTAAGAACAAGATGCCGGATCAGATGGGCCTTTGGCCTGATCCAGCAGCCAGGCTCTTATGTTCTTATGATAGCAAAAGTCCTCTTTGTCTAGGATCCAACAGCTACAGCTTACTATCCCCACGCCAGGAGGATGAGGAGCATCAGCCCAAGCCAATGGCAAATAGTCAGCAACATCTGCAGGGCAACAGGTTACTCCTTCCTGTGCTGCATGGAGGTTTAATTTTGCCCGTTGACATACTGCACCTTGATCCAGTTTCTTTTTAAAAGCTACCTTAGATTAGCAGCCATCCCTACCATCTTATGAATATCACCTGTTAGTTATATGTTGCACCCTATAATTCCAAAACCTAAGAATTCAATAGGCAGATCTCTTCCCGTCACTGCATCTGCATGCTGGGGGGAAATTGGGACTATTAAATGTCTGCCTCTCAAGATGTTGAATGCATGAGAATTGCTAATTCTGCCCTTGCAATATAGCAACACTACACAGAGGAAACCTACCACTAGCAATTGATGGGATTCTTCTCCTGATTTCAAACAACCCCTTTGCCCGTTTTTCTTGGCTACCTTGGCTAAATCGCTTCTCTTCCTCCTCCTCCTCTTCCTCAATGCATCTATCTTGGCCGACAGATCTGCCAACTGGGCCTCCACGTCAGCAAAGTCCTGCAACAGCTGTTTGTTCCGGATCCGTGCTTGGTTCTCACGCATGCATAGCTCAGTCCATAACCTGCATAGTGCAGCCACTTGCGTCTTTGGGCTAGGGGAGAAAAAGAAAATGACTGGCAAGGTACAAAGTGGAGCAGGTTAGCAAAAATATCTTGGGGGGGAATATTATAAGAGGTTGGTCAGGGAGGGGGAAGGTAAGCATCTTGCCACCTGATGATAAAGAGTGCCATGTATCTCCCGGGCTTAAGGCTTCATGGGAAGCCCTCAAAAGCACCCTGCTGATGACCAGGCTTTGCTGGTGAGCTACATTGAGGAAAGTGTTCTGCATAAGCTGGGCAGTCATGTTTTTTTATTAAGATGCAGCTGCAATTGCTCGTGATCTTCCTTATCTCATTGCTGTGCCGCCCAGCACGTAGTGTTGTCTATGAATGAGGGAGAAAAGGAGAGAGAGATGTGGAGACGCAGCAGGAGAGACTGAATAAAAGAACCGAAGAACTGTAAAGTTGCAGGAATCTGGCAACTGGACTTCATGTTTGCTGTGAACTTTAAGGAAGCAGGAAACTGAAAAGCAGAAACCCTCTCTGGGCTCAGAGAGAGAAACTGGGCAAGAAACTGTGATGTCTTTAGTGTGTTTTAGTAACATAGAAGTTCATCCTGACATATGTGTGGAATGTGTTGTACAAGGCATGGAGGTGCTACTAAGTAAAACTCTGCTAAAACTTTCATTTAATGGTCCTCCTCATAGCTTCCCTAGAAAGATGGATACTAGGGCTGGATGATGTATTGCTATACCATCCAAAATTGCTTTGAAGTCCACATCGTGATAACGGTGTCATAATATCTGACATGGTGATATATCACAAATCACAATGTGTGTGCTATGTAAAAAACCGTGATATGGGGAAAAACGTGAAGCTGGTCATCACCTATCTCATGATTCCTACTGCCCCTGTTGCTCTGTACAATAATATAACAGTTGTAACAATATGTTAAAGGTAAAGGTAAAGGGACCCTGACCATTAGGTCCAGTTAGGTCCGTTAGGCCTCGCTTTACTGGCCGAGGGAGCTGGTGTACAGCTTCCGGGTCATGTGGCCAGCATGATTAAGCCGCTTCTGGTGAACCAGAGCAGTGCATGGAAATGCCGTTTACCTTCCTGCTGGAGTGGTACCTACTTATCTACTTGCACTGCGTGCTTTCGAACTGCTAGGTTGGCAGGAGCAGGGACTGAGCAACGGGAGCTCACCCCGTCGTGGGGTTTCGAACCGCCAACCTAATGATCGGCAAGCCCTAGGATCTGTGGTTTAACCCACAGCGCCACCCGCATCCCTTTAACAATATGTTAAATGTAAGTAAAAAATGGATCAGTTTTAGACACCTAAGTAGTAGCCATTCCCAGGACACTACTCCATTCACGTCTACATAGTTACATCCTTATTTCAGGCATCAGGATGTATCACAATGTTGAAAACCAGGCATCGCTCAGCCCTAATGGATAACTCTCCCTCCACGCCAGTTAAAGAGGATATGATCTAAGTGTGTGCATGTGAAGCAGAATGTTGGGACAGCGATGAGAGATGAACTGTCAAGTTAACAGCATCATAGGACGTCAGGGGAATTTCTCTGGAGCCCTGATGTGGGAGCAGTGGACTCCAGGTGTCTGTTGGAGGTTTCCAGCTGTGCCTCCACATCTTCTCAGCCTGGATATTTGTAACATAAAATAAAAATGCAAATATGGCAACATGACGACCAGACCTGAGTAAGCACTCCATTCCTGGAATGTGTTGCCGCTTGAAGAAGTAGGGCAAATACAACACACCCAAAGGATGGCTGGAGAGGACATCCTGCAGTTACCATCCAACTAGGAAGTCCACTCTGCTCTATGCCAGAACTGAGCCCTTAATGTGGAGGCACCTGTCCTTTGGCAGCCTTCTATTTCAGTGCTTCTTGGAGACATTCCTCTTTCAACAATGAATGTATTTCCTCCAGTTGGCATCTCTACTGGATATATATACACCGTATTTTTCCGTCTATAAGATGCCCCCATGTATAAAATGCCCCCTATTTTGGGGGGACTCAGATTTAAGAAAATGTGGGGAGATGGCCCAAAGTTTATACATGGAAAAATACGGTATGTATTCACGCCACACCACTTTCTGAGCAGTATCAGATTCCAGGAGTTCCAGGCACTTCCCCAGGCTTCGCGTTTCCTTTTGGAAATGAGGCGCAGCAAACTGTGGAGTCTTTATGATATATGATTTATTTACATGGGTGGCGCTGTGGGTTAAACCACAGAGCCTAGGACTTGCCGATCAGAAGGTCGGCGGTTCAAATCCCCATGACGGGGTGAGCTCCCGTTGCTCGGTCCCTGCTCCTGCCAACCTAGCAGTTCGAAAGCACGCAGTGCAAGTAGATAAATAGGTACCGCTCCGGCAGGAAGGTAAACGGCGTTTCCGTGCACTGCTCTGGTTCGCCAGAAGCGGCTTAGTCATGCTGGCCACATGACCCGGAAGCTGTACGCCGGCTCCCTCAGCCAATAAAGCAAGATGAGCGGCGCAACCACAGAGTCGGCCACGACTGGACTCAATGGTCAGGGGTCCCTTTACCTTTATATACAACCTGAGCCTACGATGGGGGGGCTCACAGTACAAACACCCCCAAAGGGTCTTGTTTCTCCCAGAGCTGCAGCCTTGGATTAAAACAGACATCAGACGTTGCTCTCCAACTTTCTCTCCAGCTTGCTCCTAGGTCACACATCACGGCAAACTCTCAACTTTCAGCTCAGGGTTTGCCCTTCCAACTATCTCTCATTTGTTGTGTCTCACAGAGCCCACTTTCCTTTGTTCTCTTAATGGTCCATCTCTCAAGTGATCATCTTAATGCAGGAAACTAGCCTGCCTTATATTTTAACACTTGCTGGATCCAGGGTTTAGAAGGACCTCGGATACAGCCTACCCCGCCCCCCAACTTGTAACAATACATTTGGAGTAGTGTTTTAAATTTTATGTGTTTTTAATTGTATAGCACACAAATGTTTAAGCTGCTTTCTGCATATGCAATTGTTCTGTGTATGTTTTTATAGTATGGGGAATCCTTTTGGGTTGCTTCAAGGGAAGAGGTTCCTAAAGAAAATAGGTAATAATGTAGCTTTAACACACAGTCTGGCAAGCAGAGAGAATTCAAAACAAAGGAACAAAGGAAGCTGCCTTATGCAGTCAGACAAGAAGTCCTACCTGGAGACTCTGGGGATTGAACCTGCAACCTTCGGCATGCAAAACAGAGGCTCTGCCAACTGAGCTCCTGCCCTGCTGGATCACAGTTGTTTCTTAACACAAATAAAAAAGCTGAAAGATGCTTTAAGTGCTCCATCCCCAACACTGCAAGCTGTAGAAACAAGCTTCTCTAGATTGTAGCAATAAAGGTCACTTCAGCCTAGTCCCTGTTTAAAAGGGCTTTCTGCTTCAAATCTCCGATTCTGTAGACTGCTAACTATGCTCTTTGCAAATTAGCTTACAGCTCTTTGCAAACTAAGAAAAGGCACAATGGAAGTGGTATGCAGTTGGGTGCTGGTTAAAAAAAGTTAGCTTGCACTAGTAGCTCATCCTGGGCCAGACAAAGTCATGTGCCGTCAGCCATTTATTGGGGATGGGAAGCAAATTGATCATGGCTTGGTTGAAACAGGGCAGAGAAGGAGAGGGACTCAACTGACCTCTGTAGGCTATTTGGAGGGCAGATCCCTACCTTTTCCTCTCACTCTCGGTTTGTGGGGTACGATCCAGTTTGGCATTGAGAGCCTCAGGCCCACAACTTTCTTGTGACCAGTTTCTCATCCTGATGGGGGAATCTTTTGCAGATTGTTAAACTGATAATAATGTGCTCTCCTCCCCTGTGCTTCTTCACCCATCTCACTTCCCCACACAAGGTTTCTAACTCGGCCAATCTGCAAGGATGATCTCTGGAGGATTAGCAAATAAATCTTCTTGTTAAGAAGCTGTAGCCTCTCGCCAGCCAAGTCACCGCTGAGTTTCTCTCTTTCTCTCACTCCTGGCAAGGACCAGCTAAAAGCCAGAAAGAGAGAGACCTGTTTGTGTTCTTGCACCACAGTCTACGTGGAGATTAAAATATGGAAGCTTCCAGGCTACCTGTCTATTGAATACTCATCCTGATATTAGACAACATTCCCTATTTAATGAGCATTTGTTCTGATGTGCTAGTGGGATGTTGCATCAAAACAAGTCTTCTCCCACACTTTCCAGTCTCTTTCTTTGTTGCAAGAAGTTTGACCTTTCCGGGAAGCAGGTTTGTTGCAGAAGACCTCCCAATCATCTATAATTGTACAGCCTGAATTTACATGTATGCAATTGGATCCCACCCAAAAAATAACACCTTATGTCTGATCTTTATTGAGCATTTATTCTGGTTTGTTTGCAAGGTGATTATCTTGATTTGCTAGTGAGGAGTTTATAGGCCTTCCTGTTAAATCATTTGCTCCTCCCACACTTCTCAGTCCATTTCTTCATTACTTTCCTAGATGCAAAATGACCTGTTTTTAAAAAGTGGGTTTATTGTGCCAGAGCAAGAGAGGCCTTTAATAACACTTTAATTGCAGAAAATACTGACAGTCTAGGGGGGAAACAGAAGCTACCAAATCATCTTGATGAGATGGCCCTCGAATGTGGTCTCAAGCTATCCCAGGGAATCAAGGTCACTTCAAGATGACCTGTTCGTTGAGCATTCATTCTGATTTGATTCATGGGGAGGTTATACAACATGGTGCCAAGCAAGTGTTAAGTTAGCCCACTCTTTCCAGAGCATTTCCCCCCATTTCTTTCCTTATTGCAAAGTGCCCCAAATCAACTTTTAACGGCACCACCTGAATGTGCTGCAACGTGACTGAATCTGACCTGACAATAGTGATGATTTAGAAGTGCTCTTGGTCTCACGTAGCTGCAGGGAAATGGGAGAGTGGAAGCTGGAAGGACTTTGTGACCAATCCAACAGACACTTTCTTTAAAAAGTACTGCACAGGAACATCCATCCAGGAGAGCAGTTGTTCAACCAACTCCATCTGGGTTAGTGAAGACTCCTTTTGCTCTTCCTGCAAGCTGTATGGAGGTTATCTTGTACTTTTTAATCTTGTGAACTACCCTTCAGATGAAGAGCAGTATATAAATTTATATATATATATATATACCGGTATACACACACACACACACACACACACACACACACACACACACACCTCCTTCCGGCAGCTCTCTGCAAAGAAAGGGCCTCCTGCAGATACCATCTCATCAAGAGCTCCATTGCACATGGTGTTGGAGTCAGGCCTTTAAGGTGGTGGCACCTCCCCTCTAGCGCTCCCTCCCATGAATAGACAAGCAGGCACCATCTCTACTGACATTCTGGTGCCTGTTAAAGAATTTCCTGTTTCAACAAGCCTTCTAACGTGGATATTTTTTTATCCTAGTCAACATTCATGTTGGCTGTGAAATCATTTCATGCAGAGTTTATTGTATATGTTTTTACCGCAAAATTGCTCAGAGATGCTTCATAGGAAATGAGTCATGAATGAGATAAATAAATCTATGGGGATGCCTGCTGACACAGTCGCCAACACCTCCTGCATGAAATCCACATAGAGGGAGGTCAAATTGTAGAGGCCCATCAAGGCTAACCCCTGCAATGCAGGAATCTTTTGCCCAACATGGGGCTTGAACCCACGACCCTGAGATGAAGAGTCCCGTGCTCTACCAACTGAGCTATCCAGCATCCTAAGGAGGCATCGATTGCCCTTTTGATATATGCTCATCACATGCAGCTTGTTTCCGTTCTACTGTTCACCTCCTGACAAAAACCATGTTATTTGTTGGACTTGCTGTGTGAAAATTAATGAAACACATTTTTTAAAAAAACCCTCAGTTATTTACCTTGCTGTCCTCTGTGACAGAATTTTACATAATTATGTTGTCACGATGTTATTTCACCCCATTCATTTCAAGGCAAAGGAAATGAAATGCAATTTTGAGGCAGGGGGAAGGAATCGGTTACGTATCATTTGTAAACTGAAAGCAACAACAACCAATACCAATCATATTAATTGGATTGATTTCCATTCCAGACTTTGGGACGATGAAGCAGGCATTAGCAATTTCAACTCCTCTTTCCCTGGGAATACTCTGATATCCCCTAAGTGAGGAACCCACCCACTCTATTAAAAAAAATACAGTATCTCTAAACACACACACTTAATTCTAACAGCAAAAACAGGTTTTGTTTGTTTGTTTTATTGGCCTCCAGCTCCTCCTTCAAGAAAAACACAGCGAGATCTTCTGTATTACAATGTCACAAGGTCTAGGACATTAAAAATAAAATAAAATAAAAAAGCAAGTTTCTGGAGATGAATCCTGGCAAGTCCCATGAAGGGGGTGGGGCGGAGAGAGAGACTGATAAAGGTATAAAATTAATTTTCGGCAGGGGAGGGAGAAGATGTCAGGTTGGAGCTCCACATGGATGGATGTGAAAGTGGGGTGCAGGCATGCAGTATGGATTTGGGGGAGCAGAACCGGAAGTGGTCGAATTCAGCACTCGGATGTACATAGTGGGGAGGACGAAGAAAATGGTTGTCAGAAGCGGGGAGGGAGACCACCCTCACTGCTTTCTAACAGCAAGGGATGGGGCCCGGATGTGCTCAGCTTCCCCCGAGGTTCAGTTGTAGCATTTCCTTTGGAGCAAGGGAGAAACGAGGCCAGAACGGAGCACCCAGTTGGGTTTAAGAAACAAAAATCGGGCTGGTTGCCGAGCGACGGGAATCCACTTGGCTCGCACACACGGCCTCAGGGCGCCTGGAGGAAAGTCCCGCTCACCCAGATCCCAAGGCCATGAGTTTTAATAGGACTAAGCACAGCCCTAAGTCCCAGAAAAGAGAAACTGAGGGGGAGTCATTGCCAAATCGGACTAGCCATCACCAGCCCCCCTCCACCCTGGCTCTGAAGAAGGCTGAGGCCTAGGCCTAATCTAGTATTGCAAGGGCCCATCACAGGACGCTGAGGTGTTGCCAGGGCGACAGTGGGAAGCTTCTCTCCGGGGCTCTTGCCAACCGGGCCTCTGCCTCCTGGGCCTTTCCAGCTGCCGCGGTGGTGGGCGCTCATGCCGCCTTGGGGACAGGGTGCCGGGGGGGCCTCAGGAGCCCCCGAGGCGGCAGCGGCCGATGGAGTGCCGCCCTCCTCCGGTTCCTCAGGCTCTGCTTCCTCAGCAGGTAGCGGGAATACTGCACCTCAGGCATGGCCAGCTTGAGGCACTGTTCGTCCAAGGGGGCGCCTGAGCCCGGCAGGTCGTAGCCCACGATGCCCACCTTGGCGCTGGGCTGCCAGGGCCGCAGCTCCTTGTTCTTGATCTGCATGGCCGGGCGCAGCTGGGGCTGGCCCCCGAAGCAGCGGTGCGCCAGGTGTTCACAGGCCCGGCGGAGGGCGCGCACCTCCTTCTGGACGCAGTCCTGGCCCACGCGCCTCAGCTTCCGCCAGAAGGTGGCGTTGAAGTGGTCGTAGAGGCGGGCGTCGAGGGCGTTCCAGGCGTGGACCTGGGCCGCCACGCGGGCCGAGGTGATGTTGAGCTTGGACTCGGGGCTGCGCATGTTCAGCTTGACGTAGAGGATGTCCTCCAGGTCCCAGGCCAGAAGGCGGCGCAGGAGGACCAGGGACTCGTCAAAGTACTCGGCCAGCATCACCAGCGAGAAGATGCCCTCCACTTGGCGGATGAACTCCGGCAAGTAGGTGGGGTCTTCAGGGCTGTGCTCGGGGTCTCCTCCCAGGTCGTACACCAGCGTGTTGTGCGCGTACATGGCGTATTTCTCGTGGGGGCGGTAGTAGCGGCGAGGGTCGTCAAGGAAGGCCTCCATGGAGCCGTTGGGCACCCTCTTGTAGGCCGGGCAGTACTGGTTGTAGTAGCTGAAGAGAGACTCGAACATGGCCACCGGCTCGCGCAGGATGGTGACGTAGATGGTGTCATTGGGCATGAGGCGGTGCAGCTCCTCGCGGTTGAAGCGCAGGTGGCTGGCGATGAGCCGCGGCGGCAGCGTGTAAGGGTGCACGAAGCGGGCCGAGAAGTTGCGCGGGTAGCAGAACTGGTGGTCGCAGGTGTGGTGAGGCAGCGCCACCGTCAGGTTGTGGCGCTCAGCGAAGCGGAAGAGCAGGTTCTGAACGGTGGTGCTGGCCGTCTTGTGGGTCTTCAGGAAGGCCACGGCAGTGTGCTTGAGGCGGGGGGGCGATGGTGGCGCGCAGCTGAAGGGCGCCGACTTTGGGAACCTGGGCGGCAGAAGCAAGGGGTCCGGTTAGCGGCAGGGGGGTCGAGAGAAATGACAACAAGCCCAGAGATGCTTCCTAGTCTCACACCCAAGCCCTCACGGACCCTCCACCCTCTTCCGCCACTTTTTTTGAGCCCTCCCTTCATTTTAATTGCACTCCACCACTTTTTTAAAGCTCCGCTCCTTTCTCCTTTCCAATACCCAACCCAAATGTCATCCGCAGGGCCGGCCCAATTATGAGGCGTGGTGAAGCAGGTGCCTCAGGTGGCAGGTTGGGGACAGCTGGGTGGAGTGGCGGATTCTCATCCTGAGGAGCATGCCATTTTCCACCTCCTGTGCTTGTTTGCCCATCTCCTAGACTGCCACCCAACCTCCCCAAGCTGCCTCCAAATTTTCTCATTTGCCTCAACTGGTAAGACATCATAGGCCATCTTAAAAGTGCCTACTGCCCATTCCCACACCCACCCACCACTCCCTTCTTTTCTTTCTCATTAGTCTTAGTCTGGAATGGTGCCAGGGGTCAGCATCACCGGGCACCCGCAAATGCCCATGCCCTAATAGGGGCCCCACTCCCAATCTCTTGGGCCTCTTCCTCCTTGCTGTTGGTGCGAGTGAGAGGTAAGAGAAGAGGAGAAGAAGCCTCTCCATACTTTGCCCTCATTCTCTGGGAGGAGTTCTGGATTGGACCCAGAGGGAGAGGTATGCAATTGGGCAGTGGCGGCAGCAGCAGCGGCAGCAAGGAGGTGGTGCACTCAGAACCCCAGATGTTGCTGGACTACAACTCCCATCATCCATAGCTAGCAAGACCAGTGGTCAGGGATGATGGGATCTGTAGTCCAAAAACAGCTAGAGATCCAAGTTTGGGAAGCACAGGCTTAGCCAATGGACAGGGATGATGGGAGTTGTAGCCCAGCAATGTCTGAAGAACAGTGGCCTAGGGCATGCCCAGGGAGGACAGGGGGAAGAGCGTGTTGCCCAAAGGCTGCCCCCAAACCTAGAACTGGCGCCAACCCCCGCCTTTTCAAAGTCTCCCACGCCTACCAGCCGAGGTGGGCACTTTGGTGCAGGAGCAAAGTGCCTGTGCTGAACGCCAGGAGGAGGAGGATGGCCTTCTTGCGCGACATCATCTCAAGGTTGGAGTGCGGCGGTGCAAAGGGCACAGGCTATGCTGGGGCCCTTATCCAGGCACAGTGCAGGGGCAAGTCCACCCCGGCATGGAGGCTCAGGGCAGGTAGCAGGCAGCGGCCTCCGGCCTTGCGCAGAAGGGGATACCTGCAAGGGGAAACACAGCAGTCAGCAACAAGTCCTCTCTCTGTGTGTGTATAAAGGAGTCGTGGCAGATGGCAGATCCAACTCAAACAGAGGCACTAAGGTTTCACAGGGGAACTGCTATAATAGAGCAGATCCCTCTTAGAGCAGATCCACTGAGGAGAAGGAGGAGGAGGAGGAGGAGGAGGAGAAGAAGAAGAAGAAGAAGAAGAAGAAGAAGCAGCAGCAGCAGCAGCAGCAGCAGCAGCAGCAGCAGCAACTGAGAGGGCTAGACTAATTAATTAAAGAACAGAATGACGAAAAGTTTCTTGAAGAATGGAAATATTTTGTGTAATATTTGAATATTTGAAAAAGTATTACGGTTATGTTAAAGCATATGCAGGATTTGAAGTATAGCATCAGATGAGAAATGCACTTTAATCATTTATCATTAGCATATATAATGGGTAAAATATAAGTAATATAAGGTAAGAATAAGCACCATGGAAGGGTGGATGGGAAGTCAACGGATATGAGAGATTTGTTCTGGTGGTTGTTTAAAAGAATTTGTAAAAATTGAAAAGTTCATTAAAAACTTACAGAGATAATACTAATACTAATAATAACAACAGCAGCAGCAGCAGCAGCAGCAATAACAACAATAAAATATATTATTATTATTATTACTACTATGCTGCACATATGACTGCTGGGAGGCTTCCAGCAAAATTTAAAAACACCAGAAAACATCAAACATTCAAAATTTCCCTATACAGGCCCACCTTCAGATCTCTTTGAAGTTCAGAAGGATGACTAATGTAGGTTTATTCATTTCAATGGGTCTCCTCTGAGTAGAATTTCATGGGAAACACTGGGAGTCATGTGTCTACAGAGTGTGGGGGCCAGGCTCACCCACTGAGAACAAACATGGTAAATAAAATAAATGCTTCACCCACCTGTAAATATCAGATGCTCCAAGTGTCCCTATTTTCCAGGGACAGTCCCAGATTTACAGATGCTGCCCCAGTTTCTGATTTGATCCTGGAATGTCCCACTTTTCCTTAGGACGCCCCTATTTTCATCAGAGAAATGTTGGAGGGTATGGAAATATGTGACCCCTGAGCCAAGGAGATAAGTAAATATGCAGCCTTTAGAAGACATCTGAAAGCAGCCCTGCATAGGGAATTTTTTTTAATGTTTAAAGTTTCATTATGTTTTTATATACGTTGGAAGCCACCCAGAGTGGCTGGGGCAACACAGTCAGATGGGTGAGGTATAAAATAATTAACAAACAAACAAATAATGGAATAGGACATCCCTGTTTTCATTGGAGAAATGTTGGAGGGTATGAAATATGTACTCTGGCATCAAATACAACATTTGGTTCCGAACATTACGCGGTAGCTGAATATCTACAAATGAAGTAAAAAAATAAAATGCCGCGAAACCCTCTTCCCGCTCCAAGTCCTGCCTTCTCTTCTCAAAAGCCTAATTTTGCCTCTTGTCCTCATTTCCCCCCCAATCCAAACTGTGCTCCCCCTTACCGAGTTATTCCTCTTCCCCAGCCTCCAGAACTATATTCCTCCCCTCTGCACTAAAGGAGGGGGGGGGATTAAGCTCCTGAACAAACCCTTAAAAACAAACAAAGCAACAATCTCAGGGATGGTTATCTGAAGATGCCATGGCGTGCCCCTTCTCTCTCCCCCCCTCCCCAATAATATCACAAATAGAGGACAAGGCTTTCAAGGTCAGAGAACATGGCATACAGGCAGAGTTGAGCCCCCAAACCTCTTTACTGAGAAATAACCTGCTAGCACAATCCTAGGAGGGGAGGGGGCAGAGAGAGGAACTTGCCACCAGATGATCCTTCGACTTACCTGCATTCAGCAGCTCCAAAAGAGATGTTCATACAAAGCAAACCCCTTTCCCTTCCCACCCAAAGCAAAGCAGCTGTCCTCTCAATTTCACTTTATTTCCTGCTCCCGGGCCCGGTTCCCGGCCCCCTGAGCTATCCCTTACCCTCTCTCACACATACACACATACACACACTGTCCACAGCTGAATGAAGGAGCATCCAGCGATCTCACCCCCACCAGCACCGAGGAAACCAGAGAAAGCCACCAAGTTCACCTTTCTTCGCACAACAGGAGATTAAGTGTCCCAGGACTGGGATCGTTCCTCTCCCCTCCCCACCCGCCTTGCCGCTCTTTTCTGGACGGACTCCAACAGCTCCTCGCCATGTCGTGTGGAAAGAGGGCAACACAACTGCTCCTGGGACCTGGGCCTGGAATCCCCAAGCACAGCAAACAGAAGCAGCCCCCACGCCACCCTCTGGCTTTCAGACCTTGGCAGAGAAGCCACCTCACGGCTGAATAAAGGCTAGAGTCCTTCAGGTATTTCAGACCACAATGGCTGATGTAGTCCAAAACAGCTGTAGGGCTCCAGGTTGCCAAAGGCTGGCCTGTAGCATGAAGGAATTGTTTGTTTACTTATCTATTAGACTTATCTGTATTCCTGCACTGCAGGGGGTTAGGCTAGATGACTCTGGGAGGTCCCTTCCAACCCTATGAGTCTGATTTGTTAGTCGCTTGTCTTTGAGCTCCTTACAACACGTTTAAAAACGTAAGCCTTCAGTACATTACGCCACTGAAATAATGCATGCCAGCACCTAGAGAGGCTCAGTATGAAGGCAGATCCTGAGGGCTTCCAGTGCCCCTGATCATGCACAGAGTGCGGTCCATTCGGCACAGAATAGCTGCAAACAGCCTCCCTCTACAGCACACATTTGGAAGGAGAGCCACTACAGCAGGTGGCAAGTCGTTCTTTCAAAATGAAAACAGCTCCCCCCTCGCTGGCTATACATGGAATTGAATTTTGTAGTCTGTTCTGTTGACATAGGCAAAATCTTAAGACTTCTTTTTAAAAGGAAGGAAGGAAGGAAGGAAGGAAGGAAGGAAGGGGACATACTTCTAGCCCTCGTGAAAGTTTGCAATGTTCTCTCTGCCATCATTTAGAAGGCAGAGAATTTAGAAATAAAATACGTATTAGATTTATACTTATTTCCTACAAGAAATGGGAGGTGTTTTGCTGAGATTCTTCATTAGTAACTTTAAGCATGTGCAAACTGCTTTTTGTTGTTGCTGGGTGGTTGCAGAAAAGGGTGCAAGTGGCAAACTTATCTGCAGGGGCTAGAAATATTTTTTTGCAGCAGGGTTTGCCCAGGAGAAATAATATGGACATTTCTGCAGTAATGCTGGACCTGGTGAAGAACACCTGCCCTGCATGCAGAAGGCCTCAAGGTCGCTTGGATAGCTCAGCCAGAGCACGAGACTCTTAATCTCGGGGTTGTGGGTTCAAGCCCCACATTGGGCAAAAGATTCCTGCATTGCAGGGGGTTGGACTAGATGACCCTTGTGGTCCCTTCCAACTACAATTCTATGATTCTGTTCCAGTGGCATCTCCAGGTGTGGGCTTGGAAAGACCCCCGTCTGAAACATGGAGAGCTGCTGCCAGTCAGTGTAGGCACTACTGAGCTAGATAGGGGGGAAATAGGTCTGGTTCAGTATAAGGCAGCTTCTGCTGTAAATGCTGTGTGGTTGTGTCCGTCCTTATTGACTTTCAGGAGGAACTTAAAAGCATTCCTGTTCACTCAGGCATTCGATGGTTGGAAGATACTGTTCCTGGCAACTCTGAAGTCACTGGCTGAGTTAATGGGGGCTGTTTGAAAGTGGTTTTAGAATGTTTTTTTAATGATGCTCTTTTAATTATGTGTTTGCTGCCCTGGACTCCTTTGGAAGGGAGATTTAAATAGAAATGAGAAAAAGACGATGACAACGACAAGCTGTGTGGCTTGTTTAAAATCACGCTGAACTCGCTGACATCCAATGAGGCTGAATGACAATTCAGGACAGACAAAAAGAGGTCCGTCTTCACACAGCACATAGTTAAACTACAGAATTGGCTCTCATAAGATGGAGAGACAGATGACTTGGAAAGAGAATCAGGCTCATTCATGGAGAATAAGGCTATCTGTGGCTACTAGTCATGAGGGCTATATACAACTTTTCCAGGATCAAGGGCAATGGAAGCTATTCATTACCAAAGGACATAATGGCTTAAAAATTTACCGGGGTCAAAAGCTACCCAAAAGAACTGCTTTGTGTAATCACTCCAAATGATAATGGCCATCCCATTTTTAGAATTGAGTCTCACGTACTATAATAATAATAATAATAATAATAATAATAATATTTATACCCCTGCCACTCTAGCTAAAGGTGTTGGTTTCATGACACAATGAAAATGAAATCCAGTTCAAAGGAGAAATTACTGCAGGAGGAAGACCTGACCCAAGAGAAGGAACTGCAAGAGCACATGAGATACCCCAAGCTCAAATGAAAATTGTGCAGAGAAGTGCACGAGGGTGGCAGGCGTGGGGCAACTCACAGGCAGGCAGGCAGGCAGGCAGGCAGGCTGCTATTAACAAGGCAGCTATGGCCAGTCCTGGATCGCTTAACCAGAGTTGTCCATGCACTGGTAACCTCAAGACTGGACTACTGCAATGTGCTCTGTGTGAGGCGGCCCTTGAGGTTCATCCAGAGACTGCAGCTAGCGCAGAATGAGACAGCTGGGTTAATTGTTGGAGAAACTACTGCCAGGATATAGTACCTCATCTGCACTGGCTGACAACACTGGTCAACAACAAATTTGTTGTCTGCGTTTTGTCAGTTGATTTAGGACGAATCTGATGCGCTGAATCCAAAAATCACACTGGTTTTACTCAATCAGGTCAAGTTTTTGAGCTATGGCCACATGTTGTTTTTTACGTTTTTGTTCACATGAACGCTTGTGTGGAGCATTTTAGAAGAAGTTGTTGGGGGTAAAATGCCATGTCAAATAATTGTTTTGATTGGAAATGATTATTTTAATGACAAGAAGTATTCAGGTCCGATAGTTCTGGGTGATTAAGTTGAAAAGGGATCAATTTGAAGTCATAAAACCTCCGTTTTTTCTCCGAAGAGAAGGACTTGGTGTACTGTGCAGATATTGCGCAGCTTCTGCTCAAGCTTGGAGTGCCACAGTACGAACCCAAAGATTGGAGACTGTTCATTGACAGCAGCAAGCGATCACTGAAATGTGTTCTGCTACACAACGGCAACCAGTTTGCCTCTATACCCCTGGCTCACTCGAGTACACTGAAGGAGAACTATGAAGTGGTGAAGTATGTGCTGGAGAAAATTGGTTACGATCAGCATAAGTGGTTTATTTGTGTTGACCTGAAGATGGTGAACTTTTTGTTGGGACAACAGTCTGGCTTCACCAAGTACCCATGTTTTCTGTGCATGTGGGATAGTAGGGACTGTGCTCAGCATTACACGAAGAAGGACTGGCCTGTGCGGGAGGAATTGGTGCCTTGCAAAGAAAGGAACGTCATCAACGACCCTCTGGTGGACAGAGACAGAATACTCTTCCCACCGCTGCACATCAAGCTCGGCTTAATCAAGCAGTTCACCAAGGCTCTGGACAAGGATGGTGACTGCTTCACTTACTTGTGCCAGGCTTTTCCAGGATTGACCATGGAGAAGTTGAAAGCTGGCATCTTTGACGGTCCTCAGATCTGTCAGCTCATCAGAGATCCAGAGTTTGGAAACTCAATGAACGAAGTGGAACTGGAAGCGTGGAAGGCATTTGTTCTGGTAGTGAAGAACTTTCTTGGCAACAATAAGGCCAGAAACTACACAGAACATGTCAACAACATGCTGACTGCTTTCAGAAACCTGGGCTGCAACATGAGCGTCAAGATGCACTACCTATTTTCACATATGGACCGGTTTCCTGAGAACCTGGGTTCAATGAGTGACGAGCAGGGGGAGAGATTCCATCAGGACATGAAAAAGATGGAGACCAAGTATCAGGGTCGCTGGGACGCAATCATGATGGCTGACTACTGTTGGACTCTGAAGAGAGACCTCCCTGCCGCTGAGTATTCCAGGAGTTCCAAGAAATGGAAGTTCAAGCTCTGAAGTTTGAAAAATGGTGAAGCAACATGCAATTTATGTGTACTTACCTTTATCAATGCCCACCATTCAGTTTACAGTAAACCTGACCTGATGGAGAGAAACGGATGCCATTTCCTGATTCAGCAGTGCAAAAATACCCTAAATCAGTTGTAGAAATCTAGACAACATTCAAAAAGTAAAAAATTGTTGCCCAGTGCAATCGGCTGCTGGGCTAAATTCAAAGTTCTGGTACTAATCCAGGCTTCCTCAAACTTGGCCCTCCAAATGTTTTGAGACTACAATTCCCATCATCCCTGACCACTGGTCCTGCTAGCTAGGGATCATGGGAGTTGTAGGCCAAAAACATCTGGAGGGGCGAGGTTGAGGAAGCCTGCAGTAACCTGTAAGGCCCTCGACAGCTCAGGACCAGGTCACTGGAGAGACTGCCTTAATCCTTATATGCCTAGTAGGTCACTGCACTCTGCAGAAGAGTTTCTCATTGAAGCTCTAAAATACCAGAAGCCTGGAGCAGGGCTTTCACCGTGGCTGCCCCTGTTCTGTGGAACATTTCCGTCGAGGTATGACAGGTGCCTGCCTCCTGTCCAGTCTGGAAGCAACTGAAGACATTTTAGTTTCAACAAGCATTTCCAGCTGGATGGAAGGGAGTTCTCAAACCTATTTTCAGTTTCATTTTTGTACTGTTTTTTAAAACCATTGTAGCAGGTTTTTGTGGTGTGTTTGCAAATCATCTTCATATATTAATGAAATAAGAACGACAAAACCAAAAAACTTAAGCAATAACAATTAACGATGAAAAGTTTATAATTGGCCTTGCTGGAAAACTATTTCTGGCAAAGAGAGTGCGAGGAGGAGGATTTAAAAGGTACTGGTGGGCAGAACGCCCAGCATGAGGAAAGGTTTGCCACAACTGTTTAAAAAAGAGAATCCATTTTGTACAAGCAGGCACTGTGGAGAATTAAAGTCTGAAAAAAGTAAATGAGATACTGGAGAGAGGCAGCAAAAGTCAGTGTTTCTGGCATCCGTTGCAAGGGCAGACCAGGGACAAAAAAAGAAGTCAATGTGGATATAAAAATAGGCATAAGAAAATTATTCCGTTGAAGTTAGACGTAGGAGCCGAAGTCAACGGCAAACCAGCACAAATGAACCATAAAATGTTGGCGGGTGTGTGACAGTGTGTTTTCAGTGTTTTATAGTGTCCCTTACACTGTGTTCCTCAGGGCCAGCTCAAGACATTTTGCTGCCTGAGGCGAAGGACAAGATGGCTCCCTCCCCCAGGGCACATACAGGAGCCAACTGGAATGGCAGTGGAATCTTACTCCAACATCTTTCCCTGCACTTGAGGGCAGCAGGCTAGCATAGAGGGTACAGGGCAGGCCATGGGGCACTGACAGCTCTGGCTACTCCTCATACTCAGCATCTACTGCCTGAGGCAGCTGCATCATTGTAGGACCAGCCCTGGTGTTCCTGCCACCCCAAATGGGACATTCAGATGACACCACTGTCCTTTCACAGCCATTGTCCTGTGCCTTGCATTTGTCCATCTTTTCTGCTAATGTGGAAGGCCCAAAGATCCAGAACAGCAGTGCAAAAAAATAGCCCATCTTAGGTGTGGGCGTTCCTTTGGGCTTTTACTCCCCAGGTTTACCGGTAAGTGTGTGTGGTTTTGACAACACTGGAGGCTCTCCTCCAACCACACCTCTTCCCTTCTGGTGGCTCCTCACCCAAGGCTGTTTCATTCTGGTCTTCCACCATTGCTGCTGGGCCTGCTTTTGCCCTCATTTCTTCTCTGCTGCATTTATTTCTGAAGAAGAGCTCGTTGCTCAGAACCTCCATACAGGGAAAGTGGGCAAGTTCCCACTTGTCTTCTCCTGCCCCTCAAAACATAGCATCAAAATACAGCAGGGTTCGCACATTCCCCTAAGCCCAACTATGATGGGTTCAATGATTTGGCTTAGCATGTTTCCCTAACCCAGGCTCATGGGGGGAGGGTGGTTTTATTTTCTGCTTCAGTCAAACCATGAGCTGCAACCAAGGTTTGCTCTACGGCTGGAAAAGAGGAGACCGAGAGGAGATACGACAGCCATCTTCCAATATCTCAAGGGCTGTCACATGGAAGATGGAGCAAGCTTGTTTTCTCTTGTTCTGGAGAGTAGGCCTTGAACCAGTGGATTCAAGTTACAAGAAAGGAGATTCTGACTAAACATCAGGAAGAACTTTCTGACAGTAAGAACTGTTTGACAGTGGAAATGACTCCCTTGGGAGGTGGTAGACTCTCCGTCCTTGGAGGATGGATGCTTTAGTTGAGATTCCTGCATTGCAGGGGTTGGACTGGATGACCCTCAAGGTCCCTTCCAACTCTAGAATTCTATGATTCTACAATCTTTTCATTTCAAGCAGCTTTCAGTTCATGTGCACTGCATTCTGGATTGCTTTTAAAGTGCTGCTTTTTCAAAGCGTTTTCTAGTTTAGAGCTCCAGAAGGACTGTGATTTACTAGGGAAGGGTACCCCGCAAAAGAAGGTTGTCTAGAATAAATAAAAAGGGACGGTTAGAAGGCTTTCTCCATGGGTCTCAGAGATTGCAACAGGCTACCCGTGAAGCAGCAGAGAGCCCAGAGGCTGGCAGGGCCAGACCCATGGCTGCAAAGAGAAAATTTAGATCACACCCATCACCTTGAACTCGGAGCCCAGAAGGCAGCACAGCTAACAAGGGCAGACGCCTCTGCAAGGTCCTCTTTGTGCAGGGCAGACGGCCTATTTCAACGGCCACCAATGCCTCCATGAGAGAGGCTGATCGAAAGGTGGGTGAACTGAATTGACTTCCTTTCTCAATCAAAGTTGTCAGCAGAGAGAGAGAGAGAGAGAGAGAGAGAGAGAGAGAGAGGAGGCTCCTCCTGCTGTTTTCCACCCTAACCAACTTCCATTTCCACCGCCTGAAAATCCAGAACTAAGGACTGAATGGAAAACTTGACAATTAAAAATGTGGAACCTCCCCCATCTCCTCGAACTCACTACCCACTCGCCCTTTCAGAGCCGAGAGACGCAGCACCTGGCTCCCAGTGCACCAGCCACTAAACCTCTCTGCCCTTCACTGGAATCTAGGCCACAGACTTCACCCGATCGATGAGCACGAGCCTCAGGGGTGAGGTGGAAACTTGACAGCTCCCTGTCCCTCGATAAATCCATGCGCAGCTAGAGAGAGCGCCGGAGGGCCAGGGAGGGGGAGTTGGGCGATCAGAGCAGGGGCACGCAAAAGCTAGTTTGCAAAATGCACCCACAGCCCTTTCCTCTCTGAGCCAACCTTTCCTCCTCTGCTCGTCCCAATTCTAAGGGCCCTCCCAGACTGGTGGGTTTCTTGCAGGCATTTCCCACAATGTGTTGCTGGTGGAATAATAGCAATGACAAACCTAGACAGCATCTTAAAAAGCAGAAACATCACGTTCCCAACAAAGGTCTGTATAGTTAAAGCTATGGTTTTCCCAGGAGTGATGTATGGAAGTGAGAGCTGGACCATAAAGAAGGCTGATCGCCGAAGAATTGATGCTTTTGAATTATGGTGCTGGAGGAGACTCTTGAGAGTCCCATGGACTGCAAGGAGATCAAACCTATCCATTCTTAAGGAAATCAGCCCTGAGTGCTCACTGGAAGGACAGATCCTGAAGCTGAGGCTCCAATACTTTGGCCACCTCATGAGAAGAGAAGACTCCCTGGAAAAGACCCTGATGTTGGGAAAGATGGAGGGCACAAGGAGAAGGGGACGGCAGAGGACAAGATGGTTGGACAGTGTTCTCGAAGCTATGAACATGAGTTTGACCAAACTGCGGGAGGCAGTGGAAGACAGGAGTGCCTGGCGTGCTCTGGTCCATGGGGTCACAAAGAGTCAGACACGACTAAACAACTAAACAACAACAGTGGCAGATTTAGACCGGACCATCCACACAGCGTTCAGCTTTGAGAATCGTTCTGCAATGTAAGCTGATTGTCACTGTATTATTGCTGTCTGAAGGGCCACTCTTGCACTAAAACAGTGCAAAGCAGAACGAAAAAGTCAACGACGCTCCAGAATATTTGTATGAAATGCTGCAAGTTTTTCAGCAGGAGATAATGAGATATGCACCAATCGCAAATGAAGCCACCCTGAACCTTTTGAACAGATGCAAACAGTATCGAAAGGGGGGATTGCTTATAACCATCCCAATACCACCCTGAGCACAAACAGTTGTGTGTGCACAATAAAAAAGGGTTGTCTGGAGGAGGCTTAGAGTTCTGCCAATTTGCTATCCTGAATTTCCAGGAGAGAAACCTAGAAATTCAGACGCAATCCTCGAGGAAAAAAGCCAGAATGGCAGGGAGGCAGCAGCAAAGATGAAAGCTGATTAATTTGCACGTCAGAATTAAGAGGCAGGAAAGGCCTTGTGGGGAGGGGGAGAGAAGAGAGACTGGACTGGAGAAAGAAATCTTTCAAATTCCTGAATGCCAGTTGCCACATTTCAGAGTACCCAGGCAGAAGGAGCTTAGAATTTTTGTTTTTCAAATCTTTGGATGCAGTCCCCAGGCACAGCTACTTGGGAGTACATTCTCCGTCAACCTCAGCCAGGCTTGTTTCTTTGAGACCACTTATTATCTGCAGTGGGTCCGAAAGACCTGCAAGGCCTGGGTTCAAATCCTGCCTCTGCCAGGGGCTTTGTGCAAGTCACCCACCCTCTCTCAGCCTCAACTCCTGGAAAATGGGGACGCAGTGTCCTTGTGAGTCCCAAATAAAGCAAGGGCTTTTAAAAAGCAGCTAGCAAGTTTGAAAAAATCATTATTGCTAGCATTATTAATAGCCACCGCTGCAACCATCCAGCTAGTCTGCCTTTTAGGCGGCAGCTGGACTTGCCCATTCAGGTGGAAACAAGGAGGACTGGCTACCTGCCTAGTCCCAAGAAGTATCCATTACCTGCCGTCCACCGGCTCCTCCGTGCCAGGTTACCTGGGCTCAGATTACTGCCAATGATTACACAGGACAAGGTTCCAGCAAAGGTGACCTGGTTTTAGAATGCGCTGCAAAAGCCCGTTCACAGTCGCCGCCCCGGGCCTCTCAGAGAGGCTGGAGGAAGGTGACAGCAAATCGGGAGGGCCCAATGCCCAGAGATCACCTCTAACCACTGCATACCACTCCTCTTCTACACTGGAACATAAAGGCTACAGCAGGAGTGAGGAACCCTGATTATCGGCTGTGCTGACGGGCTGATGGGAGACAGAGTCCAGCCAAGTTTGTAGAGCTACAGGTTCCCCCACCCCTGAACTACAGGAATGCTTCTGAACTGCAGTTAATAGCTATTACTCCACTCCTCCCTTCCAGATAGTAGAGTCCGTCACCACCTGCCGGAGGTGGATTGCAAATGAGACACATATCCCACCCCACTGCTTTAAGAAACTTGTCAGAACTCATTTTTCTCCCACGGCCTCAAAGAGACCCAGGTGTCCTGGCCCCCAGGCCCATGTCCTTGCCAAAAACTTACCGGACCCTCATTCTCCTCCCAAGGTCTTTTGGAACCCAGATATCTGACTTAGAAGAGCTACATGAAAGGTCCCACCATCTCCCCCTGTAGGGATCAGACATTTGCCTACAGGGAAATCTCTAACCGGTTTGCATATATCCTAACAGAAAGGGAATTGTTATGGCAACTGCTATGCACATTACTCATACAAAACCAAAGAATACTACTGAAAATTTAATAATAATAACTCCGCATTTTAAGTGACATGACCAAGCAACAAAATACATCCTTAAAAGACGTCTTTTTAATTGTGCATTTATGAGCATTTGTGCTCATGATGGTATTAGGGCACTTTCAGTACGGTTTTGCACGTGCCAAAGTTTGGGGTAAACATGCTTGATTTCCAGTTGGTTTATGCACGTCCAATTGCTTCCTGCTGAAATCCTGTAACATTTTATATTACAGTGGTACCTCGGGTTACAGACGCTTCAGGTTACAGACTCCGCCAACCCAGAAATAGTACCTCGGGTTAAGAACTTTGCTTCAGGATGAGAACAGAAATCGCGGTGCGGTGGCACGGTGGCAGTGGGAGGCCCCATTAGCTAAAATGGTACCTCAGGTTAAGAACAGTTTCAGGTTAAGAACGGACCTCCAGAACTAATTAAGTTCTTAACTCGAGGTACCACTGTATAGATGTTCCTGTTTATTTCTTTGTCCCTCTTTTTGCGCTATAGGGCAAGGGGGGCCCCTCCAGGAGGCAATGGTGTAATAGCCTTGAGTAAGCATTACAGAGGGACGGACGCGGGTGGCGCTGTGGTCTAAACCACTGAGCTTCTTGGGCTTGCCGATCAGAAGGTCAGTGGTTTGAATCCCCGCGACGGGGTGAGCTCCTGTTGCTCGGTCCCAGCTCCTGCCAACCTAGCAGTTTGAAAGCAAGTCAAAGTGCAAGTAGATAAATAGGTACTGCTCTGGCGGCAAGGTAAACGGTGTTTCCCTGTGCTGCTCTAGTTTCGCTAGAGCAGCCACATGACCCGGAAAAACTGTCTGCGGACAAACGTCAACTCCCTCGGCCAGTAAAGCGAGATGAGCGCTGCAACCCCAAAGTCGTTCGCGACTGGACTTAATTGTCAGGGGTCCTTTACTTTTTTAAGCATCACAGAACCACTAACGCGGTGGAATTGCGTGTGGGTGGTCCAGTTAGAAATCCACCAATGATGCACTATTCCAGGGGTCAGCAAACTTTTTCAGCAAGGTGCCAATCCACTGTCCCTCAGAACTTGTGGGGGGCCAGACTATATTTGGGGGGGGGGGAATGAACTAATTCCTATGCCCCACAAATAACCCAGAGATGCATTTTAAAAAGGACACATTCTACTCATGTAAAAACACGCAGATTCCCGGACCATCTGTGGGCCAGATTTAGAAGGTGATTGGGCTGGATCCGGCCCCCAGGCCTTAGTTTGCCTACCCATGCACTATTACTTCACCAGTGACATGTTGCGGACGACACCCTCCAAAGACGACAACCCCCAATCGGGAGGGCCCCCAAAACACAGCATCAAAATACAGTAGGGTTTGCACCCTAAGCCCAACTATGACCGGTTCGATGATTTGGCTAAGCAGGTTTCCCTAACCCAGGCTCATGGGGTGGTGGTTTTGTTTTCTGCTCCAGACAAACCATGAGCTGCAACCAAGGTTTGCTGTACGCCTGGAAGGGAGGAGACCAAGAGGAGATATGATAGGGACCCCTGACCATTAGGTCCAGTCTTGGCCGACTCTGGGGTTGTGGCGCTCATCTCGCTTTATTGGCCGAGGGAGCCGGCGTACAGCTTCCGGGTCATGTGGCCAGCATGACGAAGCCGCTTCTGGCGAACCAGAGCAGTGCACGGAAATGCCATTTACCTTCCTGCCGGAGCGGTACCTATTTATCTACTTGCACTTGATGTGCTTTCGAACTGCTAGGTTGGCAGGAGCAGGGACTGAGCAACAGGAGCTCACCCCGTCGCAGGGATTCGAACTGCCGACCTTCTGATCAACAAGTCCTAGGCTCTGAGGTTTGATATGATAGCCTTCTTCAAATATCTCAAGGGCTGTCACATGGAAGAGGGAGCAAGCTTGTTTCCTGCTGCTCCGGAGTGTAGGGCTTGAACCAATGGCTTCAAGTTACAAGAAAGGAGATTCTGAGTAAGAGCTGTTCAATATTCAATACTTCTTTCACTTGGCTGTGAATCCTGGAGGACTTGCTCCCTGCCGTGACGGAGCTACAGAAACAGAGGCTGCTGAAGAGGTCAGAGACCCAGGTCACTGAGTCTGGGCTTTCACAGCCACCAGCTACCATGAACTACCATTGGCAGGACTGGCAACAACAGCAGCAGATATGTTCTATGCTTACGATAATGTTTTATTCTCTTGCTAATTATGCTGTTTTAAATGTGCATGTTATATTTGTTTTCTCTTCAAAGGTTTAAGAGCTCCCCCCCCCCCGTTAACTTTGCTGCGATGAATGTGCATTCTGTAGCTGACCTCCATTACAACGCTTTCTTTTGAAACCTTTAAGACAATATTCTAGCTTCCTGTTAATTATGTTGCTTTGAATGTTGACTTCATATTTGACTTTCTTCAGTCATGTTTCATTCTGGATTGTTTCATTTGATGTTTCAATGTCAGCTGTAAATTGCTTTGAGCTCTCCCTCCCCCTTAAAAATATAAAATGTAGGGCAGGCAGAAATCCCACAGGTACAGCTTTGCCTGACAGATCTTCTTCCTGCCAGCAAAATGCTGCAACCCGTCCAGTTGCTGTTGAAACAATGTTGACCCCTGCCAAGGAAACAGGACCTATCCTACGTGATTGTGAGTCTGTGGCATTGCAATTTTCCAAAACGAAGACAATCCCCCCTCCAACCCCCTGGGAGCAGAGAGGATTTGGGATGTCGACAGAGCACTGAGATTTTGCTTTACCCTTTCCTTCTTCTGCATGCTCTCAGCTCTTGGGAACAAGAATGAATTATCTATCTTTAGAACCCGCTTTGCCCCCTTGAACCGCTTCTCACAGGAAATGAATATATATATATATATATATATATATATATATATATATATGAATGATGCAACATTCTTATTGTTTCCAGCATGGGTGAGACATCTTCCCCAACTGCTGGCCACAGGGAGGCATAATTGCCTTCATTCTATAGCGACTGTTTTTTGCTTACTTCATTCAAACAATATGCATGGATCCCCGCAAGCCACAATTAAGAGGGCGGCAGTGAAGACCTGACCTTCTCGTAGCAGGGAAAGGAAAGGTTTCAGAGCTCAGGGTGACTTGGGAGCCCTTTCTCCAGCAAGAAGGCGGAAAAGCACTCTTGGCATGGTCAGGGGCACTCCTTTAAGCAGAACTTAAGACTGAAGCACTGGGGCGGTGGGGGAGGGGACGGACAGATTCCAGAGCCACTCTCTGGGGCACATAATAATACTATCTCTTTAGGCTCATCCAGGCTTTGTATGGCTGTTGCGTTTGCTTCAGGGAACACCATAAAAAGTAGGATCCCAGAGGGCTGCAGTCAGGTACAGCTCTCTCTCTCCCCCCCCCCCCACAACACATGTGCCGTCCTGCACCCCTGCATGTTTGTCCTTCGTTCTCACTCTACCCCTCTCAATCTGTTCTCCCATAGCAAATGTCAAGCCAGCTGGGGCAATACCCAGCGGAAGATGTGAAATCTTGCTATGTTTTCCATCGGTGGCAAGGAAACCTCTGGCCTAGCTGAGTTGGGCTCCCCTCCACCTCAAATGCCACCTTAGGGCTCATTGAGGTCCATCCTTGTCCTGAGGGGAGGAGAGAACTGGCTTTCAGAAAGCCCCACCCCACCCCACCCATTGCAACTTTGCCATATTATGATAGGGGAAACCTGTGGCCACCCAGATGTTGCCACAGTACAACTCCCATCATCCCTGGTGTTATGTACTGAAGTTCTCACCCTGGGCCAGCAGGGGGATACTGTAGATAGTTTTCACTCAGGTCCACATATGCAAATAAGGAATTGAAAGTGACGTTCAGTGATTAGATAGTTACAGAAAGTGGTTACAGTTGCATTGTAGTGGAGCTGTATATTAGCAGGCTGGCTGAACCCTTCAGTTCAGTTCTGTTCTGGCCTGTGAATAAACAAGAGCTGTTTGAAGAATCGCTGTGTCGTCTGATATGTTCACCCACAACTTAACACCTGAGCATTGGCCAGGCTGACATAGGAATGGCAAGAGGGAGAGAACTGTCCAAAGAAGGCCATGGAGAGAACCTAAGAAGATTAAGCAGAGCGCAGCTGCTGAATCAGGCCAATGGCCCATCACAGTCTTCTCACGGTGACCAACAAGATGCCTCAAGGCAGGTCCCAAATGCAAGAGACCTTTCCTCCCCACTTGCGATGCCCAGCAACCGATATAAAGAAACCAGAGAGCGAAGGAACAGGTCTCCCTGTTTACTTTTGGATCTGGCCCTTCCCACCACCAGCATGCGGCCCCCAAGACATTATTATACTCAAGGCAATGCCAACTTGGTGCCCTCCAGCTGCTTTGGACTAAAACTCTGGAGGGGCAACAGGGTGGCGATGGCCGCTCAATGTAATGGGCCGCTCAAACAGAAACAGACCCCTGATCAGTGTTCAGAACTCCAATATCTAAGATAGTTGCCAAATGACTCCTTAAACCAAGGTTGCAATCACAAAAACCAACTAGGTTTATCCAACCCATCTTATATAAGTTTCCTGGGCGTTCAGAACAACACAACATCTCCCTATTACAACAGGACGAGAGCCCAGAAGTCACATATGTAGTCGCCAGATTTTGCGCTGCCATGATAGATACTCGACAAAGAATGGTCTATGCTACAATTCAATCCTAAACTGAAGGCCCATATTGTTAGATCCGCACTTCTGAAACCCACCCCATATAGCTGTGTTAACTGATCTTTTAATTTTTCTTCTAAATTTTTACTCACCCATTATCTATGCTTAATTAAGTATTCTATGTATATGTTTAAATCTACGTTTGGTTCTTGCTCCTATTTAATTAATACTGTTATACTATTTATTTAGATGTTTTGCTTATGCTGGTCTATGACTGTAATAAACTACTTGAACTTGAACTTGAACTCAAAAACGGAATGTCTAGTTGCCATTCTGGGGCAAGGGGGCTCTAAAGCCTTATTTTTCAAATGATGGACTGACTGTGATTGATTCTCATTTAAACATCTGGCTAGTTCAGAGGACAGCCTTGAGCCTCAGTTAAGAACTTTGAGAACTTAAAGAAGAAAAGTCCCTTGATCCAAGGACAGTCCACATATATATTGGCCTCTTCCGACCTCTTTTTCTTAATGGCGACTGCTCCTGCTCTGGCTGCACAGAAAAAGCATTTGGGTTCCCGAAATTCATTCCGATTGTGCAGATAAAATATAACTGATAGAATTCTACAGGATTGGGTACTAGTGTGTGAAAACAGTCTAGATCCAATAACCCCCAGGTGGCAGAGACGTCAGGTGCCATCCTGGTGCCTGGGCATCATCACTTGGTTGCGAGTGGCCGAAAGCCAGGTGCAAAATGCGCCTGGCTAATTTCGAACACTGCCCCTGATCCATCGCGTTCCCCTGCTAATAGTAGGTGACCCAAAGCTAGAATGGTTTGAAGACCTCCGGAGAAGAGGAGCCCACCTGCCCTCCTAGCTTTCTAGGCCATTGGTTCCACTGGCAATGGACATTTCTCCTGGAACACAAGATGCAAACCTACCCTTTGGACCAACATCAAGGAACATGCCTTTCTCAGCATTGATGGGGCAGCCCTTTGGGTATCTGAGGAGGGCTATCCTGTCCCCCTCTCTGCCTTCCGTTCAGCATGCTGAACACACCTGGCTCCTTCACACCTCCCTCAAGGGAAGGTCTTTCCATACCCATCTCCACATTCACTGCCCTTCTCTGAACCGGGTCCAATTTGTCTACGTTCTTTGGAAAGTGCAACAACACCGCAACCTGCCACAGTTTGGCCCTTTGTTCCCTTTATGTTTTGCTTCCGTTGGTTCCGCTGTGGCTTCCTTTGTTTTGCCCTTCTCCCCAAAAGACAACAATTATTATTTCTAAAAGAAAATAATAATGCTTGATCGCTCCCCTCCCCACCTCCAAGCACAGTCAGAGACGCAAAAGAGAGAAGGGCTGAACAACTGAGGAGGTGCATAGCCAGGGAGAACTCTGCCAAAATTCTCAGGCTGGGAAGAGGGGAGGGGGCTGAAGAGGTATTTTGCATGCAAAGGAGTCAGCGGCAGTGCTGTTGGCTCCAGCTCAACCCCAAATCTGAAGATGACTTCCTGACTAGGCCTTTAAATATACCTGTCATTGTGTTTCTGGCATTTTGAAGTGCTAATTAAAGGTGCTGGACTCCTGCAGAACATCCATTAAGCTGAAGGAATCGGTTGTCTTTAAAAAAAAGAAAGGAAGAAAAAAGTTTGATAGCAGGGATGAAAATACAGTGGTACCTCGGGTTACATACGCTTCAGGTTACAGACTCTTCTAACCCAGAAATAGTGCTTCAGGTTAAGAACTTTGCTTCAGGATAAGAACAGAAATCGGGCTCCGGCGGCACGGCAGCAGCAGGAGGCCCCATTAGCTAAAGTGGTGCTTCAGGTTAAGAACAGTTTCAGGTTAAGAACAGACCTCCGGAACGAATTAAGTACTTAACCCGAGGTACCACTGTAAACTGCAAAAAATAAAAAGTGCTCCCCTCTTAAAAGACACCCCCAGGAAAGTAATCAGGCTGGGGCACAGCACGGGGCCTTCTTGAGGTTGGTGCCTTAATCGTTTAACTAACAATGCCATGTACACCCACCTCAAACACACGAAAGCCTGACTCCACTGCCGAGGGTGTTATTTATATCTCAGCCATGGAATGGAATGAAAGGAAGGAAAAATCACGAAGGAAGAGTATACACGAGTAGCCAACCGTTGCAGGAAGAAGGTCAGGCGGGCCAAAACTCAGAATAAGCTCCGGCTTGCCAGAGAGGTTAAAAATGATAATAAAGGTTTCTTTGGCTATGTTCGAAGCAAGAAGAACAAGCAAGTCCCTTGCATGGAGAAATGCTATTGGGTGACAGAGAGAATGCGGAACTGCTCAACACCTACTATGCCTCTGTCTTCACCCAAAAGGAAAGCAATCCCCAGCCTGGAGATAATAGAATAAATAATGCAAAGAGGAAACTGCAACACAAGATGGGAAAATAAGTGGCAAGGGAACTTTAAATGAATTCAAATCTCCAGGGCCTGATGAGCTGCACCCCAGGGTACTAAAGGAGCTTGAGGATGTAATCTCAGAGCCTCTGTCTCTAATCTTTGAGAATTCTTTGAGAACAGGTGAGGTCCCTGTAGACTGTAGGCAGGCAAATGTTCTTCCCATCTTCAAAAAGGGGTGAGAAGAAGACCTAGGTAACTACCAACTGGTGAGCTTGACATTGATTCCAGGAGAGGTCCTAGAACAGATAATTCAACAGTCGATCTGTGAGCGCTTAGAAAAGGATGCTGTGATTACTAAGACCCAGCATGGGTTTCTCAAAAACAAGTCATGCCAGACAAATCTGATTTCGTCTTTTCATAGAGTTACAAGCTTGGTGGATCAGGGGAATGCTGTGGACATAGTGCATCTTGATTTCAGTAAGGCTTTTGACAAAGTCCCCCGTTATATTCTTGCAGAGAAGCTAGTAAAATGTGGGTTGCATGAGGTAACTGTTAGGTGGATTTGTAGCTGGTTGACTGACCAAGCCCAAAAAATGCTCACTAACAGTTCCTCGCTATCCTAGGAAAAAGGGACAACTAGAGTGCCAAAGGATTCTGTCCTGAGCCTGTTTTTGTTCCACATCTTTGTAAATGACCTTTGAGGAAGGTATTAAAGGAACACTAATCAAATTTGCAAAAGACACCAAATGGAGAGGGGTAGCCAATGCCACTGAAGACAGAATTGGGATTCAAGATGACCTTAACAGATTGGAGAACTGGGCCAAAACATTTCAATAGGGACAAATGTAAGGTTTTACACTTAGGCAGGAATAACCAGATGCACAAACATAAGATGGGGACACCTGGCTTGCCAGTAGTACATGTGGAAAGGATCTGGGGGTCTTAGTAGGTCACATGATTAACATGAGTCAACAGTGTGATGCACCAGCAAAAACAGCTAATGCTATCCTAGGCTGCATCAAAAGAAATATAGTGTCCCAGTCAAGGGGGGTAATAGTCTTGCTCTGTTCTGCCTTGGTCAAACCACAGCTGGAATACTGCGCCCACTTCTAGGCACCACAATTTAAGAAGGATGTTGACAAGCTGGATGTGTGCAGAGGAGGGCGAGCAAGATGATCAAGGGTCTGGAAACTAAGCCTTATAAGGAACAGTTGGAGGAATTGGGTATGTTTAGCCTGCCAAAGAGGAAACTGAGAGGCGATATGATAGACTATTGCCATGCTCAGATTCAACCACATACCAGAAAATTCAGGTTGCATAATTATAGCTACCTAGGCGGTCCTGCACAACAAACCCACTTCCCCCCAAAAATCAGGCTTTTTGTGATAAGGAAAGTGACAGAACACACACACCAAAAAGTGTGGGTTAATATTTGCTTTGATGCAATGTCATCTAACCTCTCTGCAAACAAATCAGGACGAATGCTCAACAAATACATCACTTGGGAGTGCCCAGTGTTAAACCTTTTTAGAGCATTTGCACCAACTTCTTTGCAGAGAGGTTAAATGACAATAAACATCCATCCTGAATGAATTCTAAATTGCTTGCGGGGTGTTTATATGTCTTCCTATTAAGCTATTGTTCATCCTGCGCTTTTCCTAACTGCTCATTTTTTCTTGAAGTGGATTTGTTGAACTAGGGCAAACCTAAATTTCTACTACACACCTGATCCCCCCTGCAAAATACAGAGTCTGGAGGAGCCCTGAAAGTCTTGCATGAAAAAAACCACAGGTTGTATCCAATGTTAATCCTGCTCAGAGTAGACACATTGAAATCAATGAGCATTATTAAATTAGGTCCATTATTTTCAATAGGGCTGCTCTGAGTACAACTAAGCTGAATTCAGCGCAAGAGCTCTTTCACACTAGAGGATGTGTGCTGTACCAAGAAGGCACTAGGTTCAATCTGCAACATCTCCAGTTAAGGGGATCAGGTAGCAGATGATGGGAAGGACCTTTCTCTGTCCGAGATCCCAAAGAGCCGCTGGGAGCAGACAACTTCTCTCCTATGTTCCTACGAATCCAAACTTGAGTCTCTCAGCTGAAGAATACCAGTAAAACCCACAAGAAAGTAGGGTTGCCAACTGTTTCTTCCTGTCAAGACCCCCCATGAATTTCACATCTGTGTGACAGGCAGAAACTCATAGGTATAGCTTTCATCTGTTTTATGCCCATGCCAGCAAGATGTGGCAGCACCCATTGAATTATTGCCTGCTCTGCGGTTGTTAAAGGATACAGGGCCACAGCAAAAACAAGAGACACCTGTCCTGTATGGTTTCAAGTCTGTACCACTGCCTGTTCTAAAGAAAAGTATAATCTCTGGTCAGAGAAGACAAAGCTGGCAGATCATGGATGCACACAGAGCGTAGAAGATACTTTGTACTTTCCTAGGTTGAAACACAAATCAAAAACTAAGAATGCTGTGAAGGCATGGTTTCAACAGTGAACAGGGTGATCTGAAGGCCAGTGTTGCTAATTGGATTACTAGCCAGATAAGCCTTGTTGAAGGCATTAAATTCTGTCTCCATGCCCAGTCCCCCAAAGGACATAAATCCTATCATTCGTCTGGCCATTCCAGAACCTACCACAGGCTGCATCTGGGCTTGATACAGCAGAACAGTCTTTGCCAACTGGATGTTTTGCACCACAACTCCCATCAGCCCCAACCATTGCACTGAATGGCCACAACTGACTGCAGTCCACTGATTTCAAAGAGTCTGCTCTCTGAGTAGGGCTTAAGTTGACCACAACCCAATCTCTTTCTAGGATCCCTTCCTCCAGACATCCCCACGTTTGGAAACAGGTGCTGCGTCTAAGGCATGCATCAGATTAAGCCTTGGGCAGGCTGCTCATCTGCAATGTCAATTTATACTCCCCAAGGCAGATGGAGGAGGCGGGAAGGGTGTTAAAAACCCTAAAATGCCAGCAAAGAATGGGCTAAGTGCAGGTGTGGCCTGCAGGGAATAGTTCGCAGCTCAATGAAAGGTCCCAGATTCAAGACGGAGAGCTGCTGCCAGTAGACAAGACTGAGATAGATGGTTGGTCTGACTCAGCAGAAGGCAGCTTCCTATGTCCCAGTATCAGGCAAGTCCAAGCCACATCAGAAAAACCTGCCCACAACATAGCAAAGTTAGAATCCAAGCTTCCAAGGGGAATCAGTAGCTACACAAGCCAGTTGGGGAAACCTGGAAGAATTCAGGTGGCAGGGGCGCCACCTGAGCATCAAAAGACTTGGCATCATCACACACAAGACTTACCCACACTGGAGGAATGGCAGATGAAATTGATGGACTATATGGAATTGGCGGAAATGACTGGCAGAATCCGTGACCAGGGAGAAGAGTCGGTGGAAGAAGATTGGAAGAAATTTAAAGACTATTTACAGAAATATTGCAAAATTAATGAATGTTAGAATGATGTTGGATTGAAGTTAAGTGGTTTCTAGCTGTATAGGTACAAAAGAATATGGAAAAATTGGTTTTTAATATGTAAAAATTTAATGTTATAATATATCAAGATTAAAGATTAGGATTAAAAAGAGGGAAAGGAATTGTTGGATTAACAAATTGAATTGGAATACAAAAGAGGGAGGTATGAGGAGGTCCAGGAAACAAGTAAACGTAAAAGAAGTGATGAAAAGATGGAATTGTTTTTAACTGTTTTTTCTTTTTTCTACTTTGTATTTTTCCTTTTTATTGTTAATTTTTTTTTATCAATGTGATTTTTCTTCTTTTGAAACTTTAATAAATATTATTTAAAAAAAAAAAAGACTTGGCATCATCACACACAACAAGGAAGCACTTCCCAGTCAGCCTGAAATAATAATCCAGCCACTAGAAATATTAATCCAGCTGCGGGGAATATTAATCTGCCTCTGGCAAAGAGGAGCAACTGACCCAAATGAAGTCCCTTTTGCCTGTGGGATTATGTGGTGCAATTGGGGTGGGGTGGGGAATAAAGGATAAAGCTTGTGAATGTGAAGGCACAGGAAGTTCCTGCCTTATACTGATATAATGATAGGGGCACAGGAAGCTGCCCTAGATAGTCCGATGCTTGGTCCATCTAGGTCAGTACTGTCTCTACACCAACTGGAAGTAGGTCTCCAGGTTTCCAGGCAGGAGTCTCTCCCAGCCCAACTCAAAGATGCTAGGGATTGAATTTGGGGCCTCCAACGTGCAAATCATGCACACTCCTTTTCCTAAAAGCAAACTGAAGATTCCAGTCCTCATTGTTCTTCACAAAGGGCTAATTTAACTAGGAACCTAAGAGGCTGCCATATACTGAGTCAGGCCATTGTGTTTTCCCATCACCTTCCTTACTGCAAAAGTTCCATGGGAGGTGGACTAACAGCACTTCAATTGCACAACCTGAACTGGGCAGAATATCCAGAACAGCGACTGTATTAACACACCTTGGTATTCAGTGATATAGTGCCCATGGGCACGTACGTGCCCATGCATACACACACACACACACACACACACACACACAGGCAGTTTAGAAAGCATTTCTTAATGTTTCACTTGAATCCACCTTTTCACAGGATTTGAGATGCTTTGTGTTTCCTATAGAATGGTCAGAGGTGATGGGGGCTGGGAGTCCAGCTAAATCTGGAGGGCCACTGGTTCCCTTCATAGGTATATATAAATTTTAAAAAACGACCACCAACAATTAACAAAATGGAACAATTGTAGTGTTACTTATAGACAAGTATACGAAAGGAAAGAAGTAAGTCAGAGCTAGCACAGCAAGAGGAAATCTCTCATCCATCAGGAAATGCAGCTGAGACCAGAGAGGCACTTCAAAACTGGACAGCAGGTGGACAGAGGGCTTTATCCCTTGTATTAACAGGAGTAACACACTGAAACCAAAGGCCTGGGAATCTCTAAGGCTGAATTTCTCCCCTAGATTCCCCCCCCCCCACACCCGCTCCCATTGCTAGGCTGGATTTCTCTTGAGAAGCCCCTGCATACTCATGATTTGACACAGAGGTTTCTCAGATTTCTCCAGTGTGGTACAGCCACCTCCATTCTGGCAGCTACAAGCAATTTATGTCTCAGATCGTTCTATGCCAAAGAGTTATTAACTCCAACTCTGAAACGCCCACCCTTTTAAATAACAAAGTAAATGCAATGGCATTCAGTGTCCTGACTCCTACAGCAAATTTAAGAGGATGTATCCGGTGTGAGGATGTATCGGGTGCACAGACTGGGAATGGGGGTAGTCAGCTAATACTCCCTCCCTCCCTCCCTCCCCAGGAGTCAGCCGTGACTTATATGGGTTCACAGTTTTGGGTTCTTTTCCACCCACCACGCTAAGGGTAGTGATGTTACCATTTGCACACACAAAAACCACCAATTCACTTGGGCCCATGCATCCGAATCCCGCCCCCCCGACCAGCCTCACTGCAGCTCCCGTCCAGTTCAATGAGGCATGTGCGGGAAGCTCGTTCCTCGGGTGGATCGGGCCCTACAGAGCAGGTTCTCTCCCCCCCCCCCCGCGTCTCCCCCTCCGCCATCCTTCCTGGTCCACCCCAAATCCACCAACTCACCTCTGCCTCTGGGGCGACAGGGAAGCCTCTGCGCAGGTTTGTGCGTTGAGAAACAGAATCCTAAAAATGTGTCCCCTCCCCCGAACCGCCTCTCAATCCCAGGGAATTCGATTCACAAATCTCTCGCTCCTAACTTATTTTGCAACCGTTGTTACCCTTCCAAACAGCTTTACAGCTAGGAAGCAATCAGGCTAAAATAGTTTTGTTTTTTTAAATGTAAAAACCAAATTAAGCAAATGAAATCCACAGCGCCCATCTCAAGCATGCTTACTCGAGAGCAAGTCACCTTCCTCTCCAAAGGACCAGATGGCATTTGAAGTATTTGGCTATTTTTTCTAGAGAGGAAGGAGAGGTCCTCCTTTCTGTCCCCTTCTCTCCCCCCCCCCCACAACTCCCTGGAGCTTTCCCCTCGGAGGGAAAGATTCTCACACCACCTTGGCTTTCTGCCCGGGTCACCCTGTTCTCACGTTGAGCCACGCCAATGGAAACGCATTGGGATGCGTGCAGAAAGAAAGGAGGAGAGCGCCATGCCCTCGACCCCCCCCCCCTCAAATAGGAACAACGCCAAAAAGGAGGAGGGGTAAGGAGAAGGGAAAAAGGAAAATCCTTGCATCAAGAAAAGACCCTATGCAATGGCTGGCTGGAGGAGAAAAAAGGGTTCCGGGACAGCGGGGGCCGGATATAGTGCCCCCCTCCCCACGGAAAAGCCAGCTTCTCCACCAGCCCCCGACTGGAGGACACCCCCCCGTTCCCGACGCACCTGTCCCCCTCCCGGCGCCCGCGTCGCCGCGGCTCCCGCTCCGGCGCTCCGCCTTGGGGAATGCCTCGGGGGGGCTCGTCCCCCAGCGCCGCATCGCCCGGCCCGGAGCAGCGGCCAAGCCAGCAGCAGCAGCAGCAGCCCTTCCTGGTAGCCGGGCAGAGGGCGCGTTGCGCGCAGCCTACGAGCCGGCGGCGTCCCGGCGCAGCGCCATGATGCGTCTTGGGGAGGCGGAGGACGGGCGCTCGCTCCCCCGACGGCGGCGGCGGCGGAGGCGCGGGGAGAGGAGGACGCAGCGGCGGCGGCAGCAGACCAGCCAGAGGGCGCGTGCGGGCGATGCGGCGCTATACAGTATACATTATACACACACACACACACACATACACACACCCTGGCACGTGTCGCCGGGTGGAGTGTGTGGACGGGGGGGGGGTCGGTTTCCCTAGGCGAAGATCCTGCACGTGCGCGCGCTCCGCGAAGGCGCGTGTTGCGCTTGGCACGCGTGGACGTGCCTGCTGCTGCGCCGCGGGTTGTATCCAACCGAGTTGTGCTCGCAGCAGAGCCGTTGAGATGGCTGGACCGAGGTGAGTCGATGGGTGTCTACTCGGGAGTTTGACTAACCTGGGCTACAACCCAGGGTTACGTCTTACGTGTGAATGGCGCCCCCCCCGGCAGTCGCTTGGCCTTTGCTGGGCGTTATGTTCAGCGCGCGCGCGCTTCTGCGCCTTTTCCTCTTTGTGTGGACACGTGAGGGCGTGCATGATTCCCCATCTTCAGAGGAAGAGCTCGGCTCACCGGTGCCCAGTTCGGTCTCCTCCATTCCATTTCGCCCGGCGTCTGGTTCCAGTGCCGAAATGGGAGAAGCCAAGGCAAGGCAAGGCAAGAGGGCTTCACTCGGTCGCTCTACTTCTGTTGATGCATCCTAAAAGAGCATTAGCTTTTTTTGCCGCTGCATCACACTGTTGACTCGTGTCCAGCTTGTGGGCTACAACATCGCTGGCATCCCCACTGAAAAGGATCCAGAAGGCAGGCAATGGGGAAAGGCCTTTCTCTGCCTGGGACATGCTGGGTATAGGGCTGGGGCAGGGGGCTACCAGTCCCACCTTGGTTTGATGAAGCAGGACTTGTCTTACCCCCTTACTGAGAAGCAAAGTTCAGCTTACAAGCCTATGCATACAACCTGAGAGCTAAACAGCATCATTTACCAGAATTCTGGTGCACTTTCCACATGGCATGAGCATCTTCAGGAGAGACACTCTTAGCCAGATGCTTCCAAGGTTCATCTTAAGGTAAAGGTAAAGGGATCCCTGACTATTAGGTCCAGTCGTGGCCGACTCTGGGGTTGCGGCGCTCATCTTGCTTTATTGGCCGAGGGAGCTGGCGTACAGCTTCTGGGTCATGTGGCCAGCATGACTAAGCCGCTTCTGGCGAACCAGAGCAGCACACAGAAACGCCGTTTACCTTCCCGCCGGAGCGGTACCTATTTATCTACTTGCACTTTGATGTGCTTTTGAACTGCTAGGTTGGCAGGAGCTGGGACCGAGCAACGGGAGCCCATCCCGTTGCGGGGATTCGAACTGCTGACCTTCTGATTGGCAAGTCCTAGGCTCTGTGGTTTAACCCACAGCACCACCCGCGTCCCTAAGGTTCATCTTACAACTAAACCAGGGCCTTTAGTGTGCTGGTACCTGCCCTTTGGAATGCACCCCCAGCACACATCAGGGTGCACCTTCAACCACTGGGGCAAGTGGGGCCTTGCCCCACCAACCTGTCTGTCCTCTGCCAGATTTCCACCCCCCCCCACTTGCCTACCTTCTTACTTACAACCAGTTAGGGTGGCTCTGTCCTGCCATTAACTCTGGCTCTATCTACTGTTGGTCTTCCTGAATTTTGCCCCTGCTAGTCCCAGCCAATGGGCACCAGCCGCTCCTGGTCTTGGCATTTAACAGCCTGTGGAAAACTCACCTGATCTCGCAGCAGGCTTTCCCAGAAGAATGATCTAGCTGTGTTGATGTATTTGTTACAAGTTATGTGTCTGAACGCACAGGTGTGCCCAGCACTCATGTGTATTCATACACACACCGCAAATATATTTTGCTAGAGTGATGGGGTTTGTCCATTAGGAATATGTGTTTACTCTCACACTTAATCTTCTGCCCACAAAAAGTTCTTACACCAGAGGAATAAAGGAAGCTTGGTTTATTACATGTAATGAAGGTAAAAGGGTTATGTTCCAGGTAAGGCTGGGTGATATGTCGACATATTGTCCAAAACCAGTTTGAAGTCCATATTGTGATGTTGGTTTCATAGTTTCTGACCTGGCAATATATGGCGAATGATGATGTGTGCAAAAATCGCAATGTGGGGGGAAACCATGAAGCCATCCAGTGCCTCTACATAGCTCCATCCTTGTTTCATACATGGTGATATATCCATATATTGCGATGTTTAGCTGGTGATATATCATGATTGAAAAGTAGATCTCAGCCAGGCGCAGTTCCAGGTTATTGCTCACATTGGCAAAGTGCGCATAAGCCTGCGCTGTTGTGCCCCCATCTCATGTCCTGTTCTGGATCCTTGCATGGTCACACATTCATGAGTTGCCTGTATAAATGCTGCTTCATGCAGCAAAATTACAATTTGAGCAAGCAATGGATCCTTCAGTACAGGCACACTTTGATCCCTGATTATTCTCAAAATCCTACAGAGAATGAAAATTTTGCTGCAGAACTCAAGAAATGGAGGTGGGGCGGGGGGAGGAAGTGTATACCTGTCCTGAAGGAGAAGCAGGTATGGATTCCTTGATGCCACCAAGCAGAATTCTCCTCGGAGTTTTGAGAGCCATCTAACCTTTGAAAATCTAGGGCTTTTGTACCATTTTTGCCAATGCGTTCAAATAGAGAAGGGAGGGGGGCTTTGAGATGACCAATTCCTATAATTCCAATAGCCCTGTGGTTCTGTTGAATTTATCCCAGAGTTTCCTGCCTTATCTCCACTTTCCCCATAATTCACAGTGAGTGATGACTAAACTGGCTGCCTTGTCTGCCTCCTGCCTCAAAGTTATCCCACCATTATCTTGACGGCCTCCATTCAAGTGTTAAGTCCATTTTAATAGTAGCTAGGTTAACATGTGCTGATCCTTATACAAACAAGGATGTCTCCTGGATGCCTTGCAGGACCTGTTCTTGAGATTAGACTCGTACCGGGGTCAAGACAGTTAATAATGGAGGGTCTCCTGTCATATGAAGTTATGTCAAACTTTGTACTCATGCCGTGATCTACAGTAATAAACCAAAGTTCAAATTGACACACTGCCTATTCACATATTTGATTTGGATATCTTTTTATGGGTCTTGTACTTCATTTATGAATGTAATTTGACGACTGGTTTTCTACTGTTTACTGCCATTATTATTATTTTTCTTAATTCTTGGATGGGAAGCAAGCAGATAAGTTTCCTACAGTGCTGCAGCTCTTGCCACTGCAAGATTGTGCTCCTACACGATAGGGAGGAGGGTGGGCTTTCCTGCCCCCAGCAGTCCAGCTGCCCTTCCTGCCATCTCCTTTCAGCTTAAACCTGACTGCAGCTGCTCTGCTCCTCAAATCTCACATTTCCCTCCAAGCCCCCTTCCCTTTCCCTTCCCAGAGTGGCTAAGTGGAAATGCTTCTTGAAATGGTTGGAATTTGATATTTTTTAGGAATTTGTTACCGAAAGGCCAAGCCGTAAATGCACAGTGAAGAACACAGCTGCCAAAAGGCAAAGTACAATGGTACCTCGGGTTAAGAACTTAATTTTTTCTGGTGGTCCGTTCTTAACCTGAAACTGTTCTTAACCTGAGGTACCACTTTAGCTAATGGGGCCTCCCGCTGATGCCATGCCGCTGGCACACAATTTCTGTTCTCATCCTGAAGCAACGTTATTAACCCAAGGTACTATTTCTGGGTTAGCGGAGTCTGTAACTTGAAGCGTCTGTAACATGAAGCGTCTGTAACCCGAGGTACCACTGTAATACAAACCATCAGGCTCTTCCTATGTTCCAGAGCAGAGGCTGGGGACAGCTTCTCCTCTGAGCCACAGCCAGTGGGACAATGGATATAAATTTCACCTATCTACTGTGGGCTGGTTTCTTCATCCACTCATGGTCCCCTCTCCACCCTCCATCCAGACAAGCAACAGGCATGATCAGAGAAACACCTGAAGTGCAAATCAGGACTGGTGAGGGTCTGGGAAGAGTTCTGAGGGCCAGGTGGAAAGACTTGGAGGGCCACATTCAGCCTCCAGCAGTGGCTTAGCATGGGCTGGGGCACAGGGGCAGTTGCCCCAGGTGCAAAATGTAAAGGGGTGCAAATATTTCCTTCACATCCCACCCCACTCTCTCCTGCCTGTGAAACTTTGCTAACAGTTCTGTGCTGGCTCCTCCTACCTGGGTGGCCAATTGATGGCCCTGCCTTTAAGGCTGGAGCACCCAATCAGACTTGGCTAGGATTGAACTGGCTCACTGGTGGCCAGAGCCAATAAAGACCCAACAGGATGCCCCCTCCCCAAGCTGTGCTGGGCAAGGCCAGGCAGGAGGACACTCCTAGTCCCAGATCCAGTGGGCAGCAGGGCGGGGGAGGGGGAGGAAGAGGAGAGGAGCTTCTGTTCTCAAAACTAGAGGGGGCATCTTAGAGTGGCTGGCATGCAGAGATAATAATGCCATGCCCATTCCTGCCTTGCCACTCTCTGCCTTCAAGGGGCTGGAGGTGATTGTGCTCCAGGTGGCTAAAGGCAAGGAGGCAGGAAGGAGAGGAGACCCAGTGGGAGTGGTTGGTGGGTGGGCTGCTCTTGCCTGTTCCACTCAGGGGGGTGACCTTCTCAGGAGCTCTCTGCCAAGGGGTCTTGGCAGGTCCCTAGATGGAGGTGCATGGCAAACCCAGGAGCCGCCTTTGGGGCTGAATGGTGACTGAAGCTGCCACTACCACCACTTTTTAGGGGGTGCTATACTTGACTTGTCCTGGGCGCTTTCAACCCACGCTATGCCACTGGCCTTCAAGCCTAAGGTTTCCCTTCCCTGACCTACTGTAGGTGGTAGACAATTTGGCAGCTGCTTCTGTGTTCTTTCTCCTCCTCCCCTCAAGTTGAATGCCCCTCTGCTGGCATTTGTGCATTCACATAAAATAGTTATAGCTGGCCACATAAGATGGATGGGGATCCTATGGCCCCAGGGCAGTTGGACTTTGTCCCCATCTCTTCTGCCTGAAATTTTTAAACATAATTCCTTACAGCAGGTGTTCTGTTTGCAGACAACCCTGTTGTTCCTTCCATCTTCCTCTTTCACCAAATACTTTTTCGTTGTTAAAAGAAGGTTATTCCCTGACAGAGAGGAGGTGGAGGGGACACAAAGGGTTATATTGAGCTAAGCCCTGCTCAGAGTGGACCCAATGAAACCAATTGCCACAGATCAACCCTGCCAGTTATGGGGTGAGTCTGTGAGCTTCTTGGGATACTTGGGAGAGTCCTGGATGAGATGCAGAAGTGTCAGAAAAAGAAGAGGTTACCAATTAGGGCATTGATATATGTGTTTTTATTAGTCCTTTGTACCATGCTTTATCAAAGGGATGCAGGTGGTGCTGTGGGTTAAACCACAGAGCCTAGGACTTGCCGATCAGAAGGTCAGCGGTTCAAATCCCCGCAACAGGGTGAGCTCCTGTTACTCAGTCCCTGCTCCTATCAACCTAGCAGTTCGAAAGCACATCAAAAGTGCAAGTAAATAAGTAGGTACCACTCCGGCGGGAAGGTAAACGGTGTTTCCGTGTGCTGCTCTGGTTCACCAGAAGCAGCTTAGTCATGCTGGCCACATGACTCGGAAGCTGTACACCGGCTCCCTCGGCCAATAAAGCGAGATGAGCACCGCAACCCCAGAGTCGTAAGTAAAGGTAAAGGGACCTAATGGTTAGGGGTCCCTTTACCTTTACGTTTTTACCATGCTTTATCACACTTTTTCTGTATTAAATGGTATAGATCCAGGTAGGTAGCCGTGTTGGTCTGACGCGATCAAAATAAAAAATTAAAAAATTCATGCACTTAAAAGCTTATACCCAGAACAAACTTAGTTGGTCTCTAAGGTGCTACTGGACAATTTTTTAATTTAAGCGATATAGAAATGTTCCTTTAAGAATAAACCTGCATCCCTTCATTTCAATGGGTCTACTTTGAGTTGGACTTAGCTGGCTACATCCCAAAGTGGATAGGGTTGCCCTCATCCAGATGTACAGCCTGCAATTTCTCTCCCTCCCTCCTGGGAATCAGACACCCCTTCTCTCAATAAGGCCCTTCTCTCCCCCAAGATGGGGAAAGTCTTGGAGAATTGGAGCAGAAAATGCCACTTCCCCTCCCCTCCCCATCTCCGCCAGGCTCTCCTTTGTCCCAGCAGCCGGACACCCATTGTGCGCTGGGGTGAGGAGCAGGGGGCTGACCTGTCTACGAGGGGACAATAGCATGCATGCTGGAACTTGAGAGGTCCCCTTTGTTCCTCCCTGCCTCCCACCCCCACGCCCCAGCCCTTCCTCCCATCTCCCCCTCCCCTCCCAGGGCGAAGGGCAGAAGCTTGAGCCACAAAGCAGTGATTGTGGCTGCGTCCCATGAGAGCGAGAGCAGAGAAGGCAGGCGGATGCTGGCCTTAAAAGCAGCCTGGGACAAGTCTGCCGCTGGCGGAAAACACCCACACAGCTGGCACGCAGTGTCATAAAATCAGACAGGAGAAAGAGGTGCAACCACAGCTGGGATGCTGGCCCTGTCTCAGCCCGGCCAGCACACATATTTTTGCTTCCAGCTTAGTGTGTCAATTTTGTTTTTGAAAAGCAGGTTCCACCCAGCATGCCCAATGGTCAGGGATGACGGGCATTGCAGGGGCCTGGACTAGATGACTCTCGGGGCCTCTTCTACGATTATGATTCTAGTCACCCCCTTTCTATATGTTATTTCTCTTCTATACAGCTGCTGCAAGTACGGCTGCTGTCCTCTTCAAAAGCATTGGTACATTTCCATAAGCCTTACTTACAGCAAATCTCAGAAGGTAGACCAGTCCCCTTCCATGCCGGTGGCTGAGAGAATAAAAGCATTTGGACACAAGACCGCTCAATGCAGGGCTGGTGAGCCTTCGCCCCCCCGCCCCCAGCCAGAGGGCTGGCCAGAAGTTGGATGGCCATCTGTCATGGATGCTTTAGTTGAGATTCCTTGCATTGCAGGGGGTTGGTCTAGATGAATCTCTGGGTCCCTTCCAACTCTACAATTCTATAAGCCAGGAAATGGGGTGCAGGTATTGAGGGCCACAGCAGTAGCAGAGCACTTGTTTTGCAGCCAAAGCTGCCAGTTTCCAGACACGGCCTGGAGAGTCTTGTATGAAACGCAGGAGAGGTTTTACAATTCGGTGCAGCCAATGCTGGATCAATACGGACCAGTTGTCTTGAGTTGGCATAAACTGGTTTCCTATGTATTTCCAAACCACCACCCCCAGGCACCCACTTATGGACCTCTTCAGCTCCATTAAAGGGTGAAGCTGCCTGATCCAGCTTCGCCCCCCCTACCAAGAAATTTCCTGTGGCAAAAGCTTCTGGTGAGCAATGTGAATTTGCTGGCCCCTGGTGGTCACAGTCCAAACTCCCTTCACTGAGAGATCCAGGACTTCTGACAACCGCAGGTACCAGTATCTGCTAGCTGGTCAATTCATGGTTTCTATTCACACACTTTACATTTCAAAACGCTTTAGCAGCATGTTTGCATTCACAACAAACCTGAAGGTGTTTGTCATGAGGAGTGGCAGCTGCCTGGGGCTATGGCAAAGGTGGAACTTGAGGCAGAGACCAGAGCACCTATTTGCTGCACAACACTGAGAGCATTGCAAAGCTTGGACAACAGACCAGTAGAGAAAGGTCAATATCGTTGTCATGACCTACCTCCCAGGGCTGTTGTGAGGATAAAATGGAGCGAGGAAGAATCACGCAGGCCACCTTGAACTCCTTGGAGGAAAGCTGGGGTATAAATGTACGATTAAAAGAAATAAAATTCCGCTTTCTTGTTTTCAAACAGCTCTGAGTTAAACTCATCTTCCCCCTCCTACAATCATAAAAAGAAAGGAGCGTTCCTGGCACTGAGCATTATCTCAGATCCCCTAACATGCACCCAAACATTTAAGAGACTCCCCTCATGTTGGATGTGAATGTGTCTGAGATGGGAAAAGGAGGAAATGACAGCAACGGCAGACATGCAAAGGGTCTTGATAAAAGGTATTAAACCAGGGTTCCCCAACGTGGTGCCTGTGAGCACCCCAGCAACTGACACCCCCAACTCTTGGCACATGCCAAGGCCCCCACCCCTTTTATTTCATAAAATACACAGCTTGGTATTTTTTAAAAAAACTCAAGTGGTTTACAAAAAAAAACCTGCTTAAAATTCTTGTTTCTCATTTCTACTTTGGGGGGCTATGGGGTTGCCTGGTTTTTTGTGGCAGTGGGGAGGCTGCCAGATTTTTCAATCAGTTTTCTTTGTTGTTTTTTGGGGAGGTCTCCGAGTATCAGCAGTGAGGTGGGTATTTTGTGTCCAAGGCAGTTTTAAGATTACCAAATGAGATCCCCTGAAATCAAGCAGAAGCTCACAAGCAGCCAGGCAGAGAATTGGGTTGTGCGCGTGCGCACACACACACCCAGAGCAGGAGAAGGGACTACTGTGAGCAGGAATGCACAAATCCAGTTATGGAAGCAGCTCGACAAAGCATTAGAATAAGAGAAGCAGGACAAGAGCTCACCCATACTCATGCATTTTACCTTCCATGCTTTAACTGAGTGGAGGGGCAGGGGGAGGTTGGTGGCAACCCTGGAAAGAGACAGCTTAAAGCTGGCAGGGTAACAGTGCAAGGAATAAAGTGGCGGAGAGATAATGACTCAGTGTGGCTCACCTGAATGCTGAGTCCGGAACAGGGGACTGGGGGCAAGGGATTGTCTTTCCTGAGGTATGAATTTGCAAATAAACAACTGACCTCCTGTTTCAAAGCACTGAGGGGCGGGGGACCACAGACATGGAGCATACACATACACACCCTGCAAATTTCATGCTGAAGTTTACTTTCCTACCCACGGGACCTGTAAAGGAAGATGCCCAAATCGCCATGGAGAGTAGAAATCATTCCACCCTCCTCCACCTAAGTAAACAAAGACCTCCAGAGAGCAACTCTGACTTTATTTACAAAATATTCCACATCTTTATCCAGACGGAAGACACGAGAACAACACGAGAGCCAGTGGGTGCAAAGGAGAAATGGAAGCGGGAGGGAGGGAGGGGATTAAAAATGAATGACAAACAGGAACCGCTGAGACATTTCGGAGCTGGGCTAGAACTTGAATTCTTTGTACTTCTTGGCTCCTGCCCTGGTGTCCTGGGGCTGTGCTTTCCGCTTCTTTTGCTGGAGGAGCAGAGAGGGCAGTCACAACATGCTGATAATGCCGGAGAATTTGATTCCACCCCACCCCCCACAAAAAAACCCCAATGTGAAAAGGCATATATGCATGCCTGCACACACCCCTCCCCACCCGCTATGCAACTGCACCACCTCTCCCAAACTGCTGTGTGAACTCCACCCGCCCCCCCTTCTTCCCTTAGGGCCCTGTAATCTCTTTCCCCCTCCTCTGCCTTTCCTCGGCTTCTTGCTACAAGTTTCTGACGGGGCCTGCTGCTTTCGCTGTCCCCCTTCCATCCACAACACCTGACAAGTAGACTGGCTCTCTTGGCCCCCACCTCCCTGCCAGCAACCCAGCCTTTGTCCCATCCCTGAACCCCGCTTGAATTCCTCTCCCCAAAGCCACCCACAGCCCTTTCACCTCCCTCACAGCAGCTGCATTTTGTCATTCTAGGACAGGGTTTCCCAAACTTGGGTTTTCTGCTGTTTCAGGAATACAACTCCCATCATCACCAGTGGTCATGGGTGATGGGACCTGTAGTCCAAAAACAGGTAGAGACCCAAGTTTGGGAAACCCTGTTCTAGGACATCCCATGAGAGGGATAATGGAGAACCTGCTAGGCATGCAGAAGGGCCTGGGGTCAAACCCCAGCATCTCCAGCTTAAGATCAGATAGTGGGTGCCGGAAAAGGCCCTTCTCTCCTGCAGAGCCAGTTCCAGAATACACAGTGCTGGAGAGAGGCAGGCAAAGAGCCTGGCCTGTGGGAGCTCTTCATGGCTTGGCCAACTGTCCAGGCTGGCAAGTCCCCTCCATTCCACAGGTCCCCTCACCTTCTGCTTGGCAGCATGCTCAGCCACCATGTCGCTGAAGTCCTCCTTTTCCACCTGGGCTTGCTGCTCCCGCACGTGCTCCTCGTACTTCTGCGTCATGGCCATGGGGTCCAGCTCCAGCTCCTCAGGGGCCAAGGCCACCTCCACGCCCTGGATCTCAGGCCCGGGACCTTTGCGGCTCATCACCTGCAAGCGAACGCGGGGGGGGGGGGAGGGAGGAGGCAGCCAACAGCGGATACTGGTGTAAGGTGTTTGCGGGTGGGTGGGTCACTATCTCTCGCCTCCCAAACCACGTGCAAACACAGAGGGGTGTTGCAGGCAGCCCACCTCTCAGCTGCGGAAGCAGAGAGTTGCCTGCAAAAGCCTTGCTTTGGAGTAAGTCCATCTGCAGGAAGGCGGGCAAGCCAACACGGGGGACTCCCCAACTGAGGGTATCACTCAGGAGCAACTGCCCAACTCCTGTTCACACATGCTTTATGGACAAGCACTCATTTGTCTCTCTTCACACACACGCCATGTTGTGTGTGTGCATCCATACATCTCTCTCACTGAAGTCCCACTTTCCCACCTGCGACTCTGGTATCCAAGTAATTTCTGCTTCACAAGAGACCCGCTGAAATTAATGGACCTAAGTTGCCACCCATGTCAATGGGTCTACTCTGAAATTAAGTGTGTGTGTCTTACGTGCAGAGAACCAGGCTCCACCAATGCAACGTTGTCCCTACGAACAATTCTTGAGGATGTGGTCTGATCTCCCACTTCCTTTGATTTAACTCTCTTTTCAAGCAACAGGGAACAGGAATTAAAACATTTGAAGCAAGGGTTCTTTAAGCTTAAAGTGACACATGTCTGTAAGGACCTACAGGGCAGTAATTTTAATTATTATTTTTGTTCTCGTGCCCCTGCAGAGTGACGCAGTGGTCGAACTTTGCTCCAGGACAGTTGCTAACTTTCCTTCTCTCCGTCCCCAGTCTAGTATATCTGAAGCAGAAGCCAGGTGGCTGCCCCTCCAAGCCTGCTCTGCTCACCTAGGCCTAAAACTGAATTTGCTTGCTTTAAGAACACATACACTGCACACCTTGTTCCAAAAATGGGTTTCAGGGCAGCGTACGTACAAAATGAAAACCCACAAGGCAGCATTTGAAAGCATAAATCGATGGAACAAAAATAAAAAAAATAAGGGGGGGGGGGAATGCAGTAGCCCAAGATGCCTGGGCAAATTTTTAAAAAGTTTTTAACCTGGTGCCACGAAGTCTAGTGTGCTGGCTCCAGGTGTCCCTCAACTAAGAGAGCACTGCAGGGTTGAGGGGCCACCACAGAGTAGGCACTCTTTTGAACATTCAGAGGCTTCCTCTCCTACAGGGAGAATGCACAGAAGGCTCTGATGTTTGAGGCAGTGTGCCTCCAGATACTGGGAATCACAATGGAGGGAGACGGTTGCTGCATTCAGGTCCTGTGTTTAGGCTTGTAGGAGGCATCTTGCTGGCTACTGCAAGAACAGGACGGAGAACTAGATGAGCCTTTGGCCAGATCCTGCTGCCAGGCCCTTCCTACATTCTTAAAACACATGCGGTTAATATGGGAGGTGTTCCTTCAGCTATTTGGGCCCAAACATCCTGCAGCAGAAGGCAGAACTAAAGCCAGCCTCTTCTTACCGTCGCCATGTCATAGATGTGAGTGGAGCCCATCATGGCCCCGCCAACTGTCGCAGTCCTCTTCTCTGGCAGAACGGTGAAGAGCTGGGGCGTCTCGCTGCTATTGAGGAGAACATGAGGGAGAGAAGAAACACTCAACATCATGGGAAAGGGCAGAGAGAGGGTGGATGGGCGCAGATTAGCCAGGAAGAATCTTGCCACACGGAGTGGAGACAAAGCTCTGGGCCAGTGCTAAAAGGTTCTTCCACAAGGGAGGGGAACCTCTGGCTTGTGGGCCAATCGTGGCCTTCCAGGCTCCCCTGTTTGACCCATGATTTGAGCAAGCCATGCCCACCTGCTCCCAAAGCACCCAACAACCCCCGGGACGCAGCTGAGGAAAGAAGAAGCCAACACTTACCCATCCATGGCCTCCTCAATCTTCTTCTTACGCAGTTCAATGAGTTCAGGCGTCTCCATGCCAGCGGGGACCGAGGAGAAGCCCCCAGGCGTGATCAGACCACTGGAGAAAAATCAGAAGGGGTGGTCAAAGGCCAAGCGATGGTCTCAAAACAACTCTAGTCCCAGAGATCCACTCTGTCTCTGCAGGGGTGTCTGTGTGTCCTGGGCAAGACGGGCCCAGCTCCTCCTCTACTAATGCCCATTTGCTTGCCCTTGGCCTCTACCCAAGTAAGCCTTCCATAAATAACCCTGGTGGCCTCCATAAGCCTTGGCCTACAGCTCCCAATAACCCCAACCAGTGTGGCTCAGAGAAAAATGCAAGCCAAGTGGGGGAATGTTGGGCCACTTCCTCATCACCAGCAACAGAACCAGGGGGCGCTGGGCTTTTTGGGGGAGCAGTGGACCCTCTCTGCAGGGTCGTGGGTGCCAGGCAGGTGCCCAGCAATGGCAGAAACTGATACTTGCTCAGCCAAGGCATGGCGAGAGAGAGCGTCAGGTACTTAAATCAGAGAACTGTAGAGCCGGAAGGGACCCAGAATCACAGCTACTTGCCTGTCTGCTGGAGTGATGAAACCCGTCTCATCCGGTTTCTCTTCATCACTCTCCTCGTCTTCTTCCTCCTCAGAGGATTCTTCATCGGAGGGCTCCAGTTCTCCCCACGGTGTCCGGTCGATCTCTTCCTCCTCTGTCTTGGTCTAATGGTGAGGGAGAGAAAACGTGATCCCATCACCTCCCAGGCCAGCAGATCCTAACACAACACAGAGCAAGGGCTCTGGACAAGCGGTCAAACCCAGAGGCGGCGACCCTGGCCGCCAAGCAAGTGAGGCTCCCGATGCCTACCTGGAATTCAGCCGCGTTGGTCCCAAAGACATCTCCATAGAGAGGCTTCCCAGTCTCATCCACTGGGGGCTTGCCCCAGCCCCCAGCGTGGTACCCGAATGAGCATCCCTGGAGAAAAAGGGGGCGGAGGGGAGTCAGTCATTCAGCAGTGGAAAGGAGGAGCTGGGAAGCGTTCTGTGGGCTCCGCTCCCCCATCCCAATGCTCATGCGGTGTTACTTTGTGGTGTGAGGGACTTCCAAGCCCCAGTTTGGATAGCTCAGTTGGTTAGAGCGTGGTCTGATAACGCCAAGGTTGCAGGTTTGATCCCCGTAAGGGAGAGCTGCATATTGCTGCATTGGAGGGGGTTGGACTAGGCCAGGGTTTCTAGCTGTTTTTGGACTACAACTCCCATCATCCTTAGCTAGCAGGACCAGTGGTCAGGGATGATGGGAATTGTAGTCTAAAAACAGTTGGAAACCCAAGTTTGGGAAACCCCGGACTAGGTGATCCTCAGGACCCCTTCCAACTATGATTCTATGATCCCTCTTCAATACTCGCACACCATTTGGTGCCGGATGTAATCCACAAGTACTGAAATTGGTACGAGGGGGGGGGAAGGCAGCACCTTGAGACTCTCAGATGAGGAGCCCAACTTTCCAGCCCTCAAGGCTTTAGAGAGGGACCCAGCAAAGTAAAGCTTCAGTCGCCTTTCCTAGTAGACGCCATCGGGGTGGGGGACGGACAAGTGAATCACTGGAGATCTGTGCAGCCCAGACTCCAGCTCCTGCTTGGGAAGCGGCCATGCACCAAATCAGAGCTTTGGTCCATCTCGCTCAGTACTGTCTACAGTGACATACAAGCAGCTCTCTCTGATTTCAAAGGGAATTTCTCCAAGCCCTGCCTGGAGATGCCAATAGTGATTGAGCTTGGGACTTCCAGCACGCATGAGACACAGCTCCCCCTGCTACAGGTCCTGCCCACCAATCCCTGATGGGTAGTCCCCACTGGGACTGGTGGGGTGGAGGACGGAGGAGCCAACTCATTCCAGTTTCACCCCCCATTCTCCTCTTGCCCGCTGAGTTCTACAAAGGCAACACTGAGACTGAGCTGCCACCCCTTGGAATGGTTGTAAGAAAGCAGGGAGGCAGGGGCTGGCTGAGGGCAGACAGAGGTTGGTGGGGCAGTGCCCCATTTAGAGCCACTACTAATAATACAGGTCGTCAACTGGCCACCTGTTTTCTAGCAAGTGAGAAAAAGCCAGGGTGGCAACGAAGGGAAAGACTCTGCTCACCTCTGGGATCGGGGAATTCAGGCCAGGAATCTTCAGGTTGGGATAGGAGGGGGGCGGACCGTAGCGCTGCATGGCAATCAGCCAGGGAGGAGGGACTTTGTGTGCGTTCTTGTTGGTGGCGGGGAAGAAAAAAGACATTCATCAGTCACAGAAGCCTCCCAGTTTACATAACCCCAATCCCCCAGTTCCCCTTCCCCGCTATCTCATGCACTCTGCTTTCCATTCTCACAGCCCTCCCCCTCCTCCCGCGGGGTTGCATTCAATGCTAGTCCTACTCAGAGAAGACGCCGGCTTCATCAATTTCAATCGGCCTATTCTGGGAAGGAAACAATCCACAATCTCCTACCCAAATACGCTGCCCCAAATTTTATTACCGCCAACAAAACAAAACCAGGAGATAAGCTCCTGTGGGGGTGGGGTGTCTGAATAGTTAGGAAGTAAATAACACACTCAGTTCTGATTGTTCTACTCAGAGGAGGCCCACTGAAATTAATGTGCCTGATTAACTTACTAGGTCTATTAATGCTAGTAGGTCTAGCATCATCATCATAATATTATTATTATTATTATTATTATTATTATTATTATTATTATTTCCCTAGCCACTCTGGGTGGCTTAAAGGTAAAGGGACCCCTGGCCATTAGGTCCAGTCATGACCGACTCTGGGGTTGTGGCACTAATTGGCCGAGGGAGGGAGCCGGCTTACAGCTTCCGGGTCATGTGGCCAGCATGATTAAGCCGCTTCTGGCGAACCAGAGCAGCGCACAGAAATGTCGTTTACCTTCCCGCCAGAGCAGTACCTATTTATCTACTTGCACTTTGACATGCTAGGGACCGAGCAACGGGAGCTCACCCCGTCGCGGGGATTCGAACGGCTGACCTTCTGATCGGCAAGCCCTAGGCTCTGTGGTTTAACCCACAGCACCACCCGCGTCCCTGGGTGGCTTACAGAATATATAAAACATAACAAAGCATCAAACATTAAAAACTTCCGTATACAGGGCTGCCTTCAGATGCCTTCTGAAAGTTGTATAGTTCTTTATCTCCTTGACATCTGAAGGTAGGGTGTTCCACAGGGCAGGTGACCTACCTAGAAGGCCCTCTTCCTGGTTCCCAGTAACTTCCCTTCTCTCAGTGAGGGAACCAACAAAAGACCCTCGGAGCTGGACCTCAGTGTCTGGGCTAAGTGATGGGGGTGGAGATGCTCCTTCAGGTATACTGGGCCAAGGCCGTTTAGGGTTTTAAAGTTGGGTGCAACCAGCTTAATTTACACTTCCTGAAAACAGCTTCACTCCTGAATTTGCTAAAATGGGGATCTGGAGGATGTAGGTGCCTCGGAAACCTGGTGAGCCGGCAGCCCGCATTCTGCCCACCTTTCCTCCAATTCCGCCTTCCACGAGAGCCCATCCTCCTGTCAGCCCTGGTGGCTGGGAGGGCCACTGGGCTTAGCCTTCTGCCACTCACCGGCCCGACGGGCATGCCCAGCGCAATGCGCAACTCATCGGACAGGTCCCCAGGCTTCTTCTCCTTCAGCCGCGTCTCAAACTCCTTACCCTGGCAGGGAAGAGAAGATGAAATCAGAAAGGGGTTGGGTCCTCCAAATGGCTTCCCTCCCTCCCTCCTACCCACCCAACCCTTTCCAGAGGGAAGACTTGTCCAGACAACATGGCGCGCCAGGGGGACTGGTGTTTGTCGGGGCTGGAGAGGTGGAAAACAGGGAAACCGGGAGGGGGTGGTGTCAGAGCCAATGGCAGATAGAGCAAACCAACTCAAGCCTTGTCCTTCTCCTCCATCCCTGCAGAGTTCTACCAGGGCAGCGCTGCGATGCAGGAGCAGGGCAAGGCTGACAGCTGGTACCACCTGCTGAGCTGGCTCTAACTAAGGAGACAGGCAGGTGGGGGCTGGCAGAGGTCGGAGGGGCAGTGTCCCATTTGCCCTCATGGGCCAACCTCCACCGAGGGCTCCTCTGCTACCTCGTAATACAGGTCGCCGTGGATGGTCAGCTTGGGTTTGGTCTGCCACTTGAAGAAGGCGTCGTGCAGCTTCTGGTAATCGATATCAATTTTGCCCATCTTGGGACGAACTTTCTCCCTCATCTTGGACTTCATGGTCTTCTGCTCCTCCTAGGAGGGGGTGGAACACGAAAGAAGGCGGTTACAAAACGAAGGCCTACATGTACCTGTCTTTGCCAGGATGCATGAAATTTGGCCAAGGGTCACAGGTCGCCCAAAGGCTACAGGGTAGTGCCAGATTTAACCATCTCCCTGAAACTGCTGGGAAATCTAGTTAGCACCAAGTTCAAAGTGTGCAGGCCACAATTCCAGGGATGTGTAGACTTCAGCTTCCTGAGGATCTCACGGTGGTAGCCAATGTTTGTCGTATTCAAAACAGACTCACTGAAAGCAACCAACACAACCAACAGAGGTTGATTAATCTCAGTGGCTCTGCTTTAAGTAAAATTTCATTGGATACAACCCTCAGCTGCTGCCCAATGGCAGAGGCATCTAAAAGGGGCAGACAAGGATCCAGTTCACTGGCCAGATCTAGTTCCCCACTGTTGGAATACAGTGGTACCTTGGTTTACGAACTTAATCCATTCCGGAAGTCAGTTCTTAAAACAAGGTGTGCTGCTTTCCCATAGCAGCGGGGGACTCAATTTACAAATGGGACACACTCAGCAGGAAGCGAAACATTATTCCAAGGCAAAGTTGACAAACCAAAACACCTACTTCCAGGTTTGCAGCGTTCTTAATCCAAGCTGTTCATAAACTAAGCTGTTCTTAAACCAAGGTACCACTGTACTGGGGTCATGGGTCCCCCTGCCCATTTTGCTGCCCAATGTCAAAGAATGGCCCCTGCCCAGCTCCTTGTGCAAAAGCAGACCAGGCGGGCAACAGGACGGCTTCCTCTCTGCCCCCGATGGAAGCTGGCTAGGTCAGGAGAGCGGCTCATGTGTGGCCCAGAGCTCTGTTCTGCAACTCCTTGCCCGAGGCAGCTACCCGCTCTGCCTAACAGTTGGGCTGGTCTTGTGTACACGCAGATGGTGCAAAAGCGAAGAGCAGTCTAAGCAACTCCCCCCCCTCCCCAGCAAGCACTTGACACTCCTGTGAATTTCAGGGCCCTGCCCGTTTTGGGAGGGGAGGGGGACACAGACTGACCTTTTCCTGCAGAGCCTCTCTCATCTCCTGGATGCCCGTGCGCTTGATGAACTCGGGGAGCTCAAAGGGCGGCTTCTCGATGCCCCTCTTGCCTTGCAGATATTTGCGTTTGAAGCACCAGTGCCGGGGGACAGGGACAGAGTTGCGCGTGGCCTTCAGGTGGACGAGCAGCTTGGGGTCCTGGGCTGTCACATCGTGCATCTCCACCACATCAGGACGGGCCACCAGCTGCAAGGAGGACAGGGCTGAAATGGGGCCAACTCTTCCTGCCCTTTGGATCAGAGCGAACCCTTCCTATCTCGCCATGCAAGTGGCGCTTCTCACTCCCAACTCCACATAAGCACATGGTATTAATCCTGCAGCAGAGGCAAGGCTGCACCTTAAGCCACAGCAGCCTCTCTAGATCCACAAATCACAGCCAGTTAGGAGTAGTGACGTTAAATTCTCGAGAATAATCTTTTGCAGAATATTCTCGAGAATATTCTCGATTAATGAAAATATTAGAGACTTTTCATTTAAAATAGGAGAATATTCATTTTAATGCATTGAAAATGATATAGTAAGTCAATATACATGTTTATTCATGGGTAAACTTGTTCAAATGGCAACCAAAAACTGTACAGATACTTTTATTCAATGGGGCAATGCAGTGAGTTCATTCTTTGATTTTTTGCACCAAACTTGAAACTGAAAATTCAACGTGAATGACTCACGTTAATCACTAAGCCTGCAACTAACTGTATATTTACCATCAACTTTGAATTCTAATTATGTTGTGTATGTACGAAATGTAGCTTTTAAAGCAAAAGGAATATTAAAAAAAACCTCAGGTCCGCTACATGAGTGTGTTCTTTAAATGTGGGTTGTAAAACTGATTCTTACATTAGAATTTGCGGTTTGTGGAGAATATTCTCCAGAGAATTTTCTAGCAGAGAATTTTCTCGAGAATATACTCCGGTGAATGTTCTCACCTCACATCACCAGTTAGGACACCCTTCACGTGTCACACACCATAGCTCCTGGAAGAGTTACATCTCTGTTTTGGGCCAGCTCTCAAATGCATCAGCAGTAGGCAGAAATTTGGGGGGGGGGGGGCGGGCAGGAGGAAGGTGGAAGAACCAATGAGGGGACAGCCTCCTGGGATGGAAAGGCAGACATCCAAATCCTTTTAAAGAGGGAATCAATTGTACCAGTGTCCCTCTCCCTGTTACCATCCAAACAGACATGCACGTGCACACCACACACCAACAATCATACCTGTTTGAGCTCAGCCACCGTAAAGCGATTCATCCGCCGAAGCTTCTTCTTGGACAGTTTGGGAGCCTCTGGCTTCTTCTCCTGCACACAGTAGGGAGGGGCAGGCCGTCATTTCCTCTTATCGTTAACTTGCACTTTATTTCAAGTACTGTGACTTTCACAGCACACCCCCCAACCCCCACTGTCCGCCTTGCAGACTCCCAAAAGCTCAAAAGGAGGAGTTTCGGGAAGGAAGGATTCCACCCCGGGAACCTGACAGTCGGGAGGCAGACTGCTTCTGAACTTGGAGGTTTCACTCTTCCGGTGTTAGGAGATCATCAAGGGGGTCTGGCAAGCAGTTCTTAGGAACCGAGGGTCCCGGGAAGGTGGAGTGAGCGCATTTCTGCCCACCCCTGAGATGCACTCACCTGCTCATCATCTGAGCTGTCGTCACTGTCTTTCCTCTCCTCCTCAAAGCCCTTCTTCTTGGGAAGAGCTGAACTGGCCACCTTGTCTGCTTTCTCTGGTTCCTTCTCCTTGTCCTTTTTAACATCATCGGTCAGCTGTGGCAAGGGAAGAGCAAAAGGTGAGGCAGGGACTCCCCGTTCCTCCTTCTTAGAACTAAGCGCACACACAGGGAAGCAGTGGAGTCTCTCTCTTTTTATAATGTAAACTAGGTCCAACACCTTCCATAGAAAGGTAAGGAGAACTTGCCATGCTTATCAAGCCCTTTAGAGGAGCAATAATGCTCACTCCTGACTCCCATCAGTCCCACCATTAATGGTTAGGGATGGTGGGACTTTAATACATTTAATACGTTTTCAGCAAAAGTTCACATGCACTTGTTTGACAGCCATTTCTAATGATCTGAGGTTCTTCCCCATAAAAAAGTAATTTCAATTTGTTACATTCATATCCCATATACAGTGGTACCTCCGGCTGTGGACAGGATCCGTTCCAGAGGTCTGGCCGGATCCTGAGGTTTTCGCAACTGGAGAGACCTCTTCTGCACGCACAAACATGGCGGTAGAGCGCTTCTGCGCATGCGGCAACCCCCCCCCCAATACTTTCAGGTTTGCCGCTTACACATTCCAAAGTTTTCATAACCGGAAGGATACATAAGCTGAGGTACCACTGTAAATTCAGGGGACGAGATCAGGAAATCCCAGGCCCTCCTCATACCTTGAATGCCTCAAAGATCCTCTTGAAGAAAATGAAGTTGGGGTCATAGATCTCTGGCTCCTCTGTGACATACTCAATTTCCACTGGGCCATCGCCCCCAGAGTCCTCCCCACGCCCCTTGGCATCCTGGGAAGGTGGGCTCTCTTTCGGGGACGTGCCCTGCTGCTGCTGCTGCTGCTGCTGTTTCTTCTTCTTCTTCCGGTTTCGTCGCTTGCGGTTTTTCTGTCAAGCAGACCAAATGCACTTACTTAGATTTAACAAGATTTACATACTGATAAGCTGCTTAAAATAGGATACTAGTAAGAAAGCACAAATAAAATAATTAGACTTAAAACAACCCAAATATGCATAATAAAATTGTACGTCTGGGTAGGCTTGTCTGAACAAAAATGATTTTAGCAGGCGTCAATAATGGTACAACACCAATATCAATAAGCAGGGAGTTCCAGACAGTAAGTGTTGCCACACTTTATTGTCAGCAACTTTAATGTTTTGTTTTTTAACTTTCTGGATCAATTAGCCTCCTGAGGCCATTTAGAAGAAGTCAAACAAAAGTAAGATCACAAATTATTAATACTCAAGAAAGCATTAAAGCAGCAGCAGATAAAACAGGGATCAACACACAGCACCATAATGGAATAAAAAAGGTCTTGTGAGGCTCTCCTAAAGGCCAACAAGGAGGGTGTCAAATGAATTTCCCTTGGGGGGACATCCCAAAGATGCGGGGCCAACACAGGACACATTTCCTCTGATAGGGCAACATCACTGCCTCCAAGGCAGCCCAGTTCTTAGCAACCGGCTTTTTCTACCACCTGGGGGGAAACATCCTCTGCTCATGCTCTAAAGTCTCACTTGACTGAGCCCCTTCCCCCACCCCCTTTTTATACAGCTGCCTGAACACACCGCCCATCGGTAAGCTTCTGCCCGCCTTAATAGGCCAGGACAGCTTTGCAGAGGGGCTTACAGAAAACAGAGGCTGCCACTGGCTGCAGTTCAGGGGTGGCCAACTTGCCCTGACCACTGGTCGTGTTAGCCAGAGCTGGCGGGAGTAGTTCAGAGGTGGCGAATCTGTGGCTCTCTACATTAGTGGTTCTTTAGCCTATTGGGGGGTCACCGACTCCTTTCAGAATCTGATGAAAGCTGTGGATCTCCTCCCCCCCAGAAAAATGCACATGAACACAAAAGTTTGCATATGACATTTGGGGGGGATTGTGCATCACAGGCCTCCAGAATTTTAAGACCCCTGCTCTAGAGGCTGTTGGACTACACTGTTGTCCTCAACCACTGGACTGGGAGTCACAATGTCATCTGGAGGGCCAACAGTTCCCCCCACCCCTTCCGTAGTTCCTGCCTCCTCACCTCTTTCTTCGACAGAGCCAAAGCATCGTCTTCAGCATCTGAAGCGGAGATACCAGCCAACACCCTCAGGTCAGTCTCCATGTCATCATCTACAGGAAAAGCACAAGTGTGAGGGAATGAGTAGCAAAGAAGATACAGGAAGCCTGGCCTAATCATCTCTGCAGAAAGCTTGCATGCTGGCAAGTCCACCCCTCAGTCATGATCTGCCACAATCTGCTCTTTGGCTGCCTTTACTGCCATTCCGCAAAGTGCAGAAAGAAGGCACAGAATGTGATGTGGGTCTCAGAACCCAGCTTGAGAGGGCCCAGAGCGTGTGAGTCACAAGTTCAGTGGCCGGCTCCTACAGAGTGCTTGGCCTCCTCCAGTTGATGCGACATCACACACTCAATCTTGGGACACCTCAATCTTGGGGCAACCTGACACCTCTGGTTAGAACTAAAATTTCAACTCCCATATTGGTCATGTGACCACATGGAACACACACAAGTTCACCTACAGCAGGGCTAGAGAACCTCAGAACTAGGGGTTAACTGCAGCCCTCCAGGCCTCTCTTCCAGGCCCTTGGGGATCTCCACGGGCCACACCCACAACTGGCTTTGCTCCACACCCTCCTTGAGTGTTTCTGCCTGGCTGGAATGTGTCTTTCAACTCTGATAATGCTTCACATTTGCCTAAATGGAGGATCATAGAGCAGGATTTGTGAGTGCTTGCACAAACCAGTCTACTGCAGGAAGCTAAAATTCACATTAGTTGTTCTGCCCCTTTTTGCCTCTGGCTCTGCCCACCACTGGCACATGGCGCCCCCCAGAAGGTTACCCAGGAGAGAATGCAACCCTTGGGCTGAAAAAGGTTCCACAGCCCTGACTACGTGTCTCAATTTCAACTCTAACCTTTGCCTCAGGCGACCCAGTACCTGTGGCGCTCGGCACAGCCGTGAGCTCCTCCTGGCGAATCTCCTTCAGCTGGAGGATCTTCTCCAGGGCTTGAGGGATTTTGGGACCCACGCCGGACTCATCAACCTGGAAGGCGAAACAAAGTTTCTTAGACAAAAGTGGCCTCGTTCTGTTTCCAAATGCAGATCTTTCAGCTTCTGTCTAATCCTGAGTTTGTTTTCATTCAAGCTGTGTCTCTCAAGAACACAGGCTGCACCAGACAGCACACTCCCAGCAGCCCCCATATCTGACTGCTTGAACCTCCCTCCCATCTGAAGCCAACCTAGGGCAAGAATGCCTATTCCCTAACTCACAACCTCCCACAAGAGAGCCACCAACTATGTTGTTGTTTAGTCGTGTCCGACTCTTCGTGACCCCATGGACCAGAGCATACCAGGCACTTCTGTCTTCCACTGCCTCCCACAGTTTGGTCAAACTCATGTTTGTAGCTTCAAGAACACTGTCCAACCATCTCGTCCTCTGTCGTCTCCTTCCCCTTGTGCCCTCCATCTTTCCCAACATCAGGGTCTTTTCCAGGGAGTCTTCTCTTCTCATGAGGTGGCCAAAGTATTGGAGCCTCAGCTTCACAATCTGTCCCTCCAGTGAGCACTCAGGGCTGATTTCCTTCAGAATGCATAGGTTTGATCTTCCTGCAGTCCATGGGACTCTCAAGAGTCTCCTCCAGCACCATAATTCAAAAGCATCCATTCTTTGGCGATCAGCTTTCTTTATGGTCCAGCTCTCACTTCCATACATCACTACTGGGAAAACCATAGCTTTAACTATACAGACCTTTGTCGGCAAGGTGATGTCTCTGCTTTTTAAGATGCTGTCTAGGTTTGTCATCACTTTTCTCCCAAGAAGCAGGCATCTTTTAATTTCGTGACTGCTGTCGCCATCTGCAGTGATCATGGAACCCAAGAAAGTGAAATCTCTCACTGCCTCCATTTCTTCCCCTTCTATTTGCCAGGAGGTGATGGGGGCCAGTGGCCATGATCTTAGTGTTTTTTGATGTTGAGCTTCAGACCATATTTTGCACTCTCCTCTTTCACCCTCATTAAAAGGTTCTTTAATTCCTCCTCACTTTCTGCCATCAAGGTTGTGTCATCTGGTTGGCTTTAAAAGAGGATTAGGCAAATTCAGGGAGGAGAGGGCTATCAAAGGCTACTGGTCACAAAAGCTATGCTCTGGCCTCCATAGCTGGAGGCAGCTATGCTTCTGAATACCAGTTGCTGGAAACCACAGGAGAGGAGAGGGTTCTTGTGCTTGGATCCTGCTTGCTGGTTTCCCATGGGCATCTGGCTGGCTGCTGGGAGGTCAGGATGCCGGACTAGACAGGCCACTGCCCTGCTCAAGCAAGCTCATCTTAACTCGCTCAATTTCTCCCGTTCCCCAAAGCAGTTTCCCTGCCACCCTGCCAAGCCTACCACCCCCCCACATCTGCAACAACCAGTCTTACCTCACGGCTGTCCTCTCCAGGAGGAGGTGGGGGGCCACGGGGTCTCGGACCAGGTGGTCCAATGGGCGAGCCCACAGGGGGGTTCCCTAGGAAAAGATTGGCAAATGAACTCCCAACGGCAACAGCCACCGTCAATGTGCCACCTCCCTACATGTCAGAAGAACCGGCATACTTTGACATCACTTGAAAAGCTTTCACGCCCATTCCAAGACAGGGGGTGGGGGATCTGTAGCCCCGCAGGCGCTGTTGGACTCCAACTCCCATTAGCCCGTCAGCATTACCAACATCATGGATGGTAAGAGTTGTAGTCCAACAATATCTGGAAGGCCACAGGTTCCCTGTGGGGCTGAAATCTCTGATTTAAGCAAGTTTCTAGCCCCTTTGGTTCTCAAGAGCTTCAAAGAGGGAGAGCAACACTGAGCAGTGTCTGAGCAACCTCTTTAGCTCTTAACTCCACTCTATAAGTGCCAGTTTGCATTTCTTGGTGCAGAAAGTATTGGTCTGATGTGTAGAGATCTCTCCTATTCTAATTAATTCAAGAGGCTTCTGGGACCTTCTGTGTGAAAGAAACAAGCAGAAGGTTCATGATGTTTGGGTTATTCCTTCAGAGGAACAGGTGGTTTAAACTGGTTCTCTTATCTCTTCTGTCAAGGTCATGCTGACTGTAAAAGGCCAGAAGGCGCCTGGGTTTCACTTTCTCTTTCTGTCTCTCTTCCTTCTGGTGTGGGGTTCTGTATGTAGTGTTAAGCTTTAGGCTTATTATAAGTTATTGTAAGTTTAAGTTAAGTCTGCTGCAACTGGATTTCTTATGCCTGAATGTATTGGATTTGTGACCATTATGCTCATTTGCCTTCAGTAGCAGTAAAGCTACTGCTGAAATACTTGATGAAATATCAATTGCCTCTGGAATATTTTTTAGGAATCCTGCAAGGTGTTTAAGTTTTTACTCTGCTAACTATATGTTGAAATTTACTCTGGGTCAATATTGAGTAGAATTCCATGACAATAAGTACCAAAATATGCAGATATATTTGCTCAATTTTAATACAAGCCCCCAAACTCAGCTTTCCTAAGTGCAATTTTAGTTCTGCACATACAACCAAGCCAACAGTCCCACCTTCCATAAATTTATCCAGCTCTTCACTAAAACTGGGATGGGGGTGTAACATCCCTTGGCACAGAACCCCCGAGTTAACATTTTGAGCGGTTGTGGGGAGGGTTTCATTTTGATTCTCTCAAGATTCCCTGCCTGGCATTTTTAGCAAACAACTTCAAAGATTTGCCATTCCTTCAGTTCAACAAGTTACTGCGCAATGCAATTTGGGGCCTGCTTTTCACTGAGAGGGGTACAGACTCAGAGGGATAACCTTTGCCAATAAACCTCTTTTTAAAGTGGGCATAAATACTTATCTTCTTTAAAAAATAAATAAATAGGATTCTGGGCTCCCCTCCCACGACACCATGTAATATGCTGTTCCTTGAAATAAGAATAAGTGGGAATGAATTCCTAACCAAAGAGTATGTGAATGACACAGAGTAAGTGAGGTCTGACACTCTTCCTCCCTGAATGATTCTGGCAAGACTGCCTGACGCTGCTTGCCCTCTTTGCATAAACGGGCCAAATTCCTTCTCTGATGCAAAGGGACTTACCTCTTGGGAGCCCCGGAGGTCTTGGCCCCAAGTCTGGAGCAGCCCGAGGTACAGAGGGGGCCAGCTTAGACATTTCTTGCTGGCGCTCCTGTTCCATAAGGACAGCAGCCTGAGACGGGAAGAGAAACCACACAGATTCTAACATAGGAAGCTTTTTATAACAAATCACACAATTGATTCATCATGCTCAGGCATGTCTACATCGACTGATGTCTCCATGATTTCAAACAGAATATAGTTATAAATTAGCCTCTTGCATATCTACCATAAGTATGTATACAAACTCAACAAGAGGTGTGAGTTTGCTTTTGCCATGTTACCTCATTTATATTAGGTCTAATTTGAGACAAGCAAACTCATCTCTTCACCAACACAAAAAGGCCTTTCTCTTTTCTGATCTTTCAAAATCTGTTGGAAAAATCCCTGTTCACAACAGTATGTCATGGAGAACTGTGGAAGAATAGCCAATGCTTTTGCTCTCCTTTTGAAAATATATCTATCCATATTCTGCAAATAACTAAAAATATTTTGATATTATACTATACTACACTTAAACGTTTCTTTGATTGTCCTTGAATCTTCCCACTGCGCTTGCCATCCTCTCCTGCCACACCCTTTGAGAACCACTGATCTAAAGGGAGAGGTGAGTAGGAACATTCAGTTCACAATATAAAACAGGGATGGGACCCTCCAGCTGTTGTAGGACTACAGATCCCAACATCCATGACCACTGACCACAAGGGCGGGTGCTGATGGAAGCTGGAGTCCAACATCTGGAGGACCACAGGCTCCCCATCTCTGGTCTCACTCTTGTGCTCCCTCTCTCACAAACACAAACAGACAGGCTACAAACATGTTCTGCAGCACAGCAGAGTTCATGTCACTGGGAGCTGTTCCATTACGAGACACAAACACAGAGGAACAGAGCAAGCTGTTACCTGCTTGACCCTCTCCTCCTGCTGGATCAACATGGCTGCTTGCTGCTGAGCCAGCTTCAACCGTTCTTCCTCAGGTAACACAGAGGGATCCACCGCCTGCATACGGAGAGGTGGGCCCAGGCCAGGGGGTGGAGGAGGCGGCCCCACCGCCATGGGGAAGTTGAGGCCCATGCCAGGGGGCGGAGGAGGTGGCGGTGGCTGCATTGGCGGCATCCCCATGGGAGGGGGTGGCAGAGGCATCCCGGGATGCTGCAAGACAAGAGAGAAGAAGGCAGCTGTGGGAGACGTTGGAAGCACGCTTGGCTCAGGTTTTTAAGGATTCCTGTGTGACACAACCACCCATGAACAGAATGACAAGAGGAGTTAAAGATCCAGACATATGGGATGGGTGAGACCTCGTCTGGAAGCAGTACGTATGAAAAGTTCTAAAAGTCTTTGTGGCTCTCAAGCTGGACGTGAGCCAGGAAGGTGATGCATCTGCTGAAAAAGCAAATACATTTTACGGCTACATGAACTCAAGCATAGCATTGTGGCAGGTTCCACGCTATTCTGCATTGGTCAGGCTGCATCAAGAGCAGGTGGGGGGAACCCTCTGGCCCTCCAGATGTTCCTAAACTACAACTCTTATCATCCCTGACCATTGGTGGGGCTGATGGGAGTTGTAGTTCAGCAACATCTGGCAGAAAAAGGGCTCCACATGTATGATCTAGACTAGAGAGTCCTATAGATGTCCATAGTTTTGGATGCAACATTTTAAGAGGTAATCTAACAAACTGGAGTGTAATCAGAAGAGGATGATCTGAAGGGGGGCATCTGGGATATAATGTTTTATGGGAGGAGGATTATTGCTTTGTTTTTGTTTTATTATGCACTTTGTGTTCTCATTTTGTATTTTTATGTTGTGAATCACCCTGTGATCTTCAGATGAAGGGTAGTATACAAATTTAATGACGATGATTATGATGATGATGATGATAATAATAATAATAATAATAATAATAATAATAATAATTGGTATGTCAAGTTTTAATTTTGATGTATAATTTCTGATCATATGTTTCAGTTTGACTACAACCAGTATTCAGTTGCCTTATTAAACTTGGGTCTTTCACAGCCCTGCTACCTGACATTTTTTAAACAAACATACCGGAGATGAACCTGAGAGTGAACCCAAGACCTGTTTCATTCAAAGGACATGGGCTGCCTCTGAGCTTATGGCCTCTCTTGAAGCCACTGAAGTCTCATAACAGTGGCCAAAGAGGTTTCCTGGATATATCACTCACCTGGCCTGGCATGGGGGGCAAACCCGGCTTATCTCCATCATCTCCTCGCAGAACTGGCCGGTTGAGCACTATCCCAGTCTGTAAAGGAGGAGATGGAACAGTAGTAGAGGCAACCATCAACACCATTATAAAATTTATTGCCTGCCCCTCACCACAAGGTCCCAAGGCAGGTTACAAAGGACACCCATCTGCTTTGTGAGAGAAAGAAGAGGACATGGGAAGCAGGCATAGACAACAGCAGGGCCTTCTTCAGTCTGACTGCCTGCCCCATCCCCTGGCCAACTTTAAATGTTTGGGGGATGTTGGAGAGAGGGTACAAGCCAGTCCTTCAGGCAGCTTAATGCATTCTTATCCTCAAGTGTTCTGGGTGGTCACATTTGTAGCCACAAGAAATACAGTCTCACCTGAAGTGTGTAAGTCTGCAAGCGTTCTACCAGCTCCTCGCGGCCACCTGGAAGGACAGAGAGACGTTGAGGTCATTCTGGGGTTACTCTATGTCACATAGGGTAAGATGACAGGATTGGAGTTTAGGGCCAACAGTCCTGCACCAACTCTCCTCAAGCTCATTTCTGACACACACACCCCCCCAACCATTCCCAACATCCTGACCATATTGTACCAACAAAACAACTCCCTCATCATCTCCCATTCACCTTCAATAGGGAAAAATCCCCAGACTCTCACACATACCCTTCTGTCTGCAGGTCAAGAGCAGGGAGTTGACATTATTAATTACAGTGGTGCCTCGCAAGACGAAATTAATCCGTTCCACGAGTCTCTTCGTCTTGCGGTTTTTTCGACTTGCGAAGCACGGCTATTAGCGGCTTAGCGGCTATTAGCGGCTTTAAGAAAAAGGAAACAAACTCGCAAGACGTTTCGTCTTGCGAAGCAAGCCCATAGGGAAATTCGTCTTGCGGAACGACTCAAAAAACGGAAAACTCTTTCGTCTTGCGCGTTTTTCGTCTTGCGAGAAATTCGTCTTGTGAGGTACCACTGTATAGTGTTTGTTAAGTTAACTGCTCAAGGCCAAATATATTATGTCAATACAGGCAGCAGCCATTTTGCATGGAAGTTTCATTCCTGGCCCCTGTGCGCATAAGCCCATCCTGCCACCTTCTAGAACCCAAAAGACCCACACGTTGGTGGTCGCACATCAACTGGATGCCACCTGTAATTATTATATAAAGACCGGCAAGTTCATTGCAGGGGGTTGGACCAGATGACCCTTGAGGTCCCTTTCAACTCTACAATTCTGTGATTCTATAAGTTCAGCCAGCATCAACATGATATGACAGCTGTGGTAGTAGTTTACCTAGAGACAACTAGTGAGTTTGAGAGAACAAACACATAGCTCAGTTTCGAGTATTTGCTTTGCATGAAAAAGGTTGCTGGTTCAATCCCTAAAAAAGCATCCCAGGCATCCATTTCAATAGACAACACTGGGCTACATGGACCATAAACCATTATACAGGAAGCTCCTGCAGCCAATTGGAAGCCACGGAAGACCCATTGGACATTCCGCTTCCAAAAATAGTTCGCAAACCGGAACATTCACTTTTGAGTTTGCGGCATTCAGGAGCCAAAATGTTCGAGAACTAAGCTGTTCAAAAACCAAGGTACAACTGCACACAGAGATGAAGCCTGAATACAACCTCTTTGCTGGTACTTGGCAAATACACTGTTCTCTTCACCTGCAGCCCCTGGAAAGCTGGATTTTGGTGTGGAGGGCCCAAGTCAACACTATTTCTCATATGCCACAAATGTAAAAACTACAACCTGAACCTCCCTCCTCTAACTACCCCACAAAGCAGGGTTGAGGAACTCAGAACCATGGGCCAAATGTGACCCTCTAGGCCTCTCTATCTGGCCCTTGTGATTCTCCCTAGGTCACTACCACTCTCCTTGGCCCTGCTCTAACCCTTCCTCCAGTTATTCTGCCTGGTTAAACTATGTTATTGAATGTCTCAATTGCCTGGAGTGAAGTACATATAGTGTAGTGCTTCAAGTGTAGGACTAGGGTCTGGGAAACCAAGCTTCAATTCACCATTCACCCTCCAAAGACACCCAACTTCCTGCTGTTCTCTGGCCCCAAGGATTCTCTGCCAGCTTCATAACCCCTCCCAATTTGCCCAACCTCATCCACTAAAATCCCTTATTCTTCTACCTCTCTCCAACATTCTCCCTCTCTTCCTGTTCCGATACATTTCTGCTCCCCTGCAATAATAACTCACTGATCTTGGAAGCCAAACTAACCAGCTCTAAAGTCTCTAATCCCACTATGGATACATTAAAGGAATTTTCAGAACAGGTAAACATCATCACGCCAAATGAAATTTGGAAATAACAACTCAGGCCTCACCTACATTACTGAACCCATTAAAAGTGTTTCCCCCCTTTAAAAGTGCAATCCATGAACTCTTATTCAGAGGCTCATACAAAGATGAACCACAACTCCATGGCAGAGACCATGCTTTAAATGCAAAAATCTGACACTCAGCTGCATTCCACCACTGCCACCAAAGCTCCTAAGAGCCCTTTCGCATCCCCCTCCCATGACTCCCCTCTTCCTAGAAAGAGTGCAGCTCAGCACTTCGCATGCAGAAGACTCCAGGTTCAAATCCTCGACGGCAGATGGTCAGAGCAGTTCAATACTGCGCCAATTGCGTGAACCAGACACAGCCTCTCAGCCTAACCTGCCTCACGGGGTTGTTATAAGGATGAAATGGGGGGGGGGGGAGACACCATGTACGCCGCCTAGAGTTCCTTGGGGGCGGAAGGAAAGATGGGGTGTAAATAAATGTGATAAAGCTGAAATAAATATAAGGCAACTGCCCGTGCTCCCTGTTCCCCCCTACCCTCGTTCGCCCGCCCACTGCACCTTCCCCGCTCCCTCCTGCTGCTTCCACACTACGAGGGTCCTTCCAGATCACGGCAAAGGCCTGCAGGATCCTGTCCCCCCCACCGGCAGGCTGTAAGCGCCCCCTGCCCCGCCACAAGCAGGGCCCGCTCACCCTGCGTGGGAGCCCCGATCTCGGCCAGCTTGGCCTGCAGCTCGTTGGGGGACCAGGCCGCGTATCCTGGTAACGGCATCTCCCCTGCCTTGGGGGGCTCCGAATGCACCTCGGACGCCATCTTGCCTTTTCCCCGCCGCGCTCACGCGAACTCCGCCGAGCGCATACAACGCAAAACTCCCAGCTGAGACCGCGCGGCCACCGTACGCGCTCCGGCGGCGGCGCCTCCCGCCCAATCAGCGGCAGCGACGACAGAACGGCGCGGGCCCAATGAGGAAGCTTTGCGAGGGCGCAAGCCGCGGCGAGTATAGAGAAGCGGCCAATCACAGGACGGGGATGCCGCGTTCTATTCAGGAGCGGGAGGGTTAAGTCGCGTTCGGTTCTGGGCTATGTAGTTTAGCTGAGCTTCGATGTCTCTAGTTGTGGCCTTTTTTATGTGTGTATGTTTCTGGCGCACTCAAAGCACAGCCTTTGATAATTTGAACGTTTAGTATCCTCTGTTTGCGCATTGGCCATATTTATGAAGTATCACATAGAGATTTCTGCCTTTTGTCCAAGGGTCTCAAGGCTGTAGTACACAACACAGTGTTTTGAACGCATGACAGTATCCAAATGAAAGTGAGTTTGCACACTCTGCACACATTTCTCCAGCACTGGGAAGCACAAGTTAAATACAAGATTCATCTTTACAGGGAGCAATCAACATGTAAAAATAATAATAGGAGGCAATGTCTCTTTGGAACACCAAGAGATCACAATGAAAGTTAGCTGCAGGGGTGCAGTCACTGATGAACATTTGTCGGTTGGTCTGTTTGTCGGTTTGTTATTAAATTTGTGTCCCACCTTTTCCGTCAAGTGGTGCTCAAGGAAGCTGACAGTGAAATCAAGTAAAATACAAAATAACAAAAACAAGCCGGTTAAGCAAATCAATAAGCACAAAGTGGTGGCCAAATTGCAGCATGCACAATGGACATAACAGCCAGCTTGTGAAGCTAAAGACCTGTATGAATAAAAATGTTTTCGTCCATTGGTGAAAATTCATCATTGCACACCCACACCATACAATTTAGAACATCCCCAGCCCTCCAATAAACCTGTGAACTGTAATATGTTAAGGGTGCTGAGAACTATAATTCTGTGGGGAGTAAACTTCACTTCCCATTACCCTCCCTTTTATGGGGAAAAGGCACAACTGTTAAAGTGGTACAAAATATAATTTAAATATATGGTGTGAGTCTAACCTTAAAACATGCCTTCCTTGCTAAGGAGTCCCAGAGCTTGAGGAGCTTCCTACACTTCTCTGAGGGGCAAAGTCAAGCATTCAAAACAGATTCTGCAACTTATTTATGTCAAACCCAGCAAATATAGTTTTGCTCAACAGAGAGATGAAAAGTCATTTAATAAACATAACACAATGTATAAAACAAGTGAGAAATCAATAAAACGTCAAGCTATGTTGACCCTTTAACTGAAGCCTCCAGGAGCAGGTGAAGTCTAGTTTAGGAACACCATGCAAACATCTTCATTTGGAAAGGTAATCATGTTCAGCTGTCTGTAAATGAAGGTTAAAAAAAAGGAGTCAGATCCTATGATTATTTATTACACTTTATCCCAGTCATTCCAGCATGGTATAATGGTTAGGGTGTTGGAGTAAGGTTTGAGAAACCAGGATTAAAATCCTCACTCAAGGCACTTGCTCAAAATTCATAATGTGCCCACTGGTGCAAAAAAGTTTGGCAACCTTTGGTCTATGCTCTCAGGGCAAAGGTGGGAAGTTGTTGCCCTTCAGATGTTGTTAGACTAACTCCCATCATTCCCAGTTCATTGGCCATGCTGGCTGGGGCTGATGGGAGCTGGAGTCCAGTAACATCTGGAGCGCCCACACATATCTCCCATCCCTGCCTTAGGAAATGGATATATTTCATTCTCTCCAGCCCCACTGAACAATGAAGAGTACAAAGAGGTTAAGCTTGATCTCATTGAGCTCCTTGGAGGCAAGCTTGAGAAAAAGAGATTAATTTCAGTGGACTCTCCTAATCAGTGCTTTTTGTGCTGGCGCAGTACTGTCACCTTCTTCTTTTTTCAAATCAGAGCCTCGCACCTCCTTTCCGAAGCCTGGAAAGCTTCTGCCCGGCTTAGGGAGGGAGGGACGATACTCTGGCAGGGCCCAAGAGCCCTCTATTGCATGCTGAATACCGGCACCTTTTTTTCTAGGGGGAAAAAGCACTGTTCCTACCTCAAAGAAAGTGTCTAAGATCTTGTCAGTGGTGGATGCCTGAGACTGGAACTGCTGTTGGTTTGTCTCAATTGCTGTCATTAGTCGAAAGTAGAAGTAGAGATATTCCCACTCCCTAGACAAAGAAGGAAAAATCATTGGGGGTACCAAACAGCTTGGGACATAAGTACTGATAAGAGCATCTCCCCCAGTACAGTATTAACTATTTCAGGCCCTATAATCAGTGGAGGAGGCCCTGTTGGAGCAAGCACTGCCTGGCTGGTGCTCACTTGCGTCTTCTCAGATTCCCTACTTGTGGAATGCTCTTCCTGGTGAGATCTGTCCACTTCATAATTAACATTTAGGAGGGATGTTAAACTGTTACTTTTCACCCAGGCGTTTCATAACTGAAAGATACCGTTCCTGGCAACATTGTAATTATTAGCTGGAGCTGTTTTTAAATGTTGTTTAGATATTCTTAACATTTTTATTCTAATGTTTAGTCTACTGCTAAATTATTTTGTTCCGCTGCTTTTGGTTGTCTGAGGGGAAGGTCTTCCTTATTACTACACTGGTACCTCTAGTTACAAACTTAATTTGTTCCGGAGACCCGTTCTTAACTTGAAACTGTTCTTAACTAGAGGCGTGCTTTCACTAATGGGGCCTCTCGCTGCCGCTGTCACACAATTTCCGTTCTCATCCTGGGGCAAAGTTCTCAACTCGAGGTAACTCTTCCAGGTTAGCGGAGTTTGTAACCTGAAGCGTTTGCAACCTGAGGGGTTTGTAACTGAAGGTACCACTGTACTGATATTTGTAAGCCTCTGTGGAACTCCATTTTCTTCTCTTCCGCTGAAGAGCAAGCTAAAAAAATGTTGCAAGTAGATACATTTTCATCTATTGGCTGCGGCGCCTCCTCACCTGTCCATCAACTCGAGGCTGCCATATTTTCCCATGACTGTCCGTCTGAATAATTCCTCCTCCTTTTCCTCTTTTGCTTGGGGCTTATCTGCTGTAGGGCAAAAGAAGACTTGCCAGCATGCATAGCATGGCTTCAATGTTAAGAATCATCTCCCTCCCTCTGAACTTGAGGTTGTAATCAGTGTTCGTCCTACTCAGAGTATATCCATTGAATTGAACGGACATAACTAACTTAGGCTCATTCATTTCAGGTTCAGTTGATGAGTGGGGCACACAAAGAAGCCTGCATTTTGCAAGCATTGGCTGCTTGAAGGAGAAGTCCCTTTTGCAGATGATGCCTTAAAAAAAAAAAAAGACCAGCTGCTTGCTTTGGTTATGCATGCCTGCTCACTCAGCCAAACTGAGCCAAACCCCACCCCGGTTCACCAGCACAGCAAGGGCAGCTAATGTGATGTCAGCTGACTGGCAAATAGGCATGATTTGTGGGTGGGGAATGGCCTTGTGGGTCAAACTGGACCACACTCAAGGAGCAGGTGTGGCCTGCAGGGAAAGTCCGAGGGGCTGATAGAAATATTTGGAGGGCAACATTCAGGCCTAAGGTTCGTCACCCCGCATTAAAGGTTCTAAGCTTGAGCCCAGTCTCAAAGCCTGCTGCCCATCTCCCCAAACACTCTTGTCACCTGCTGCTTTGCCAAAAACATCATCTGCGATACTGCTCTCCTTCAGTTCGACCCACTTCTGTCAATTGGAGAAAGAAATACAACTCAGTGACTGGAACGCTCATCCTGGCAGCCCCAGCCCCAGCTATTCCCTGTCAACCCCCAGTCTGCATGGGCATAGCCAGGGGGGAGGGGCGGCAGCTGCCCCCTCCCAAATCAAGTAAATAAATATTTTACTAAAAGTATATATTGTAGAAGGGACGCGGGTGGCGCTGTGGGTTAAACCACAGAGCCTAGGACTTGACGATCAGAAGGCCGGTGGTTCAAATCCCCGCAACGGGGTAAGCTCCCTTTGCTTGGTCCCTGCTCCTGCCAACCTAGCAGTTCGAAAGCACGTCAAAGTGCAAGTAGATAAATAGGTACCGCTCCGGCAGGAAGGTAAACGGCGTTTCCATGTGCTGCTCTGGTTCGCCAGAAGCGGCTTAGTCATGCTGGCCACATGATCCGGAAGCTGTCTGCAGACAAATGCCGGCTCCCTCGGCCTATAGAGCGAGATGAGCACGCAACCCCAGAGTCGGTCACGACTGGACCTAATGGTCAGGGTTCCCTTTACCTTTACCTTTTATATATTGTAGAAAGATTTTGACAATTTTTTCTGAGCACTTGAGACCAAAAGAAAGTTTAAAACTGTTGAGACATTTCATTCCGAATCTACTAGACAGAACCAGACAGAGGATGATGACAGGTGGGTGTCCAGCCCCAACCATCATAAATCCTGGGTACACCAATGGGAGCTGTGCTGACCTTTTGCCTCTTGAGCTCTTGACGCTTCACCAAAGCCATCTGGAAGTTGTCGACCAGGACCGCAATCACCAGGCTGCAAGAGAAAGGGAGGGAGGGCAGCAACAGGGCTGTGACTGTTCTATATTCCACAATTTACCAATTGCTTCCTCAAAGAGAAATGGAAATGTACATAAAACTACCGCTTTCATAAAAGTTAAAACAATCCCATATACAAAATCAATTAAAAATACATTGCATATATAGGAACGATTTCAAATCCAATACAGAGCCCAACTGCGTCTCAAGGCTTTAACAGCAATCGTTGCTATTCAGAGCCAACCCACCCATGAGACAGGGTGAGGCAGTTGCCTCAGGCGGCAGTTGGGATAGGCAACAGATCCAGCGCACCGCTTGCCTCCTCCTCTTCTGCAGTCCTCGTGCTGCCACCGCCACTGCCTCCTCTTACTCTTCCTCTACTGCCACCTGCTCCTTTCTGGCCTCCTTTTACTCCTCCACTGCCTTCAGAGCACCAGGACTTCCCTGGGCGGGCTGCTTCCAGTCGCCTCAGGTGGTAGAGGAGGCAGTGGCAGGGGAGCAACATTTTCTGCTGTGCCTCAAGCAGCAAAAATGTCCTGGGCTGGCCCTGTTGTTATTTAGTCTTTTCTTGTGTGTCTCGGGATTTTAAGAGCACTTATCGCTGTGTTTAGTTTAACTAAAACTTTTTACTTTCGCTTTAAGCTTTTACCTTGCTGTGCTTTTTGGAATCCACTCCACACCCGTTCTGGTGTGATCAGCCAGAGCTCAATGTATTTAGTAAACAGTTAATGTTAAGAGTGTCTGGCGAAGACCAAAGAATCCCAAGTTCAAATGTGCTCAGTTGTGAAGCTCGCCAGGAGTATGGCAGATTTCCCTGCCCAGTTTGGTAAACTTATCAACCCAATGGTCTCAAAGCAGGTGTCAGGAGGACAGCTCAGGCACCCAAATCCCATCCCCCAAAACCAGACGCAAGGTCGTATTCAAGCATCTTCCTCCACTGTCTCAGGCAGGACTAAATATACCACAGCAGGGGCACTAGGTCCTGGGGGGGGCGTGTCCTTTGGGGGCTCCCCCCAATATTTGGGGGGACAGGCCTCCCCTAGTGTCCAAGAATTGAAGAGGCGAAGCACTGAGCAGAGTGTGGTGAGGCTACAGTGGCTCACATACACAGAATTGCCCCCTCACAAGCTGACATCTCTGTGCCAGAAAGAACCTCAAGCCGGTCCTTCCATATATATATATATATATATATATATATATATATACACACACCTAACGCGGGACGCGGGTGGCGCTGTGGGTAAAACCTCAGCGCCTAGGACTTGCCGATCGCATGGTCGGCGGTTCGAATCCCCGCGGCGGGGTGCGCTCCCGTCGTTCGGTCCCAGCGCCTGCCAACCTAGCAGTTCGAAAGCACCCCCGGGTGCAAGTAGATAAATAGGGACCGCTTACCAGCCGGAAGGTAAACGGCGTTCCGTGTGCTGCGCTGGCTCACCAGATGCAGCTTGTCACGCTGGCCACGTGACCCGGAAGTGTCTGCGGACAGCGCTGGCTCCCGGCCTCTAGAGTGAGATGAGCGCACAACCCTAGAGTCTGGCAAGACTGGCCCGTACGGGCAGGGGTACCTTTACCTTTTTATATACCTAACAGGGATATTGCGAGGATAAAATTCCAGGGTGGTGGTGGTGTAGGCGGGCAGTGAACAATGTGTGCTACCTTGAGCACCTTGGAGGAAAAGCATGATATAATAAATGTAATAAATCAACAAACAGTCCCTTGACCTCCCATCCAAGGTCCTCTCCAGTAAGTCAAAAGCCTGAGGAGCCTATACTTACTTGAGAAGCAAGAAGTACTCCAGAAGGATGTAGACGATCAGGAAGATGATGATGTACCAGGCACCTGGAAAGAAATACACATGGGGCCTGTGAGTGATAATGCTGCCTAGGGGTGGGCTTTTCAGAAAATCTCCACGTTTAACATATTAGCATGGATTCCCCCCCCCCCAATTATTGTCTTGCTCTTCAATCTTGACACGAGGTTGGGTGGGTTGGGGGTTTTTTAACCGATTGTGCTAAAAATTGTGCTGAGTTCTATGCGCCCCCCTGACAAGGATCCTCTTCCCTCACCTGCTTCTTGACAGGTAAGGTAGATGAGGGACCAGTCATCCAAAGTGAAGAGCTGGAAAAGTGTGAAGATGCTGTTGAAGAGGTCTCCGAAGTGTTTTTCGTCAGCTTCATGGAACATGTCACGCAGCACCACGGAAGACATAACTGACAGGTGGAAGGCAGGGCTAAGGAACGAAACAAGGAGCCTTGGAAATGCAGGATTGCGGGAGAGAGAATGCCATCCCTTTGCCTCTTCCAAGCATTTGTAATTAACCTGTGAAATTCACTCGTCATAGGATGACATAACAGAAATCAGTGCCAGTAAAATTTTGGGGAGCGGAAGAAGGCAGGTCTCAGTGTTGCCCTTGTTAGAGCTCAGCAGGGAGGAGGATGGGGACAAAACTAAAATTAATGGCCTCTGTCTCTCATTGGCTCTGGCGCCACCTACTGCTGGCCTCCCTGCCTTCTGCCCTACCAGTCCCAATGGGCACCAGGTGCACCTGAAATCTTCCCTCTCCCTTCTGCTCTTTCCTGGGAGGATACAGAGGAAACAGAACATGAGGAGAATAATGGCTCCGATGGACTCGCAGGAAAGCAAAAAAGTGCTTGTGACTTCCTTGAGGTTCTGCATCACTCTACGTGGAAAAGCAAATAAAGAAACAGAGAGTTAGGTAGGGTTGTAAGGTCAGTCGCTGTCAATTCTTCTGTCCCGCACCCCACCTAAAACCTGGGAAGTTGCTATGGATTCCTCCAGATGACCCATTTATTGAGCAAATTACAGTGCCAAATATTCTTTGTGCACAGTGAGAGAAGAATGCTTTCGGGGTACAGGACGGGAGGATCCTGGTATGTACTGGAAGCCCTCTTGCGAAATATTGACTATCTGGAGGCGCTAAGGAGCTCTTCCATTCCCCTTCCCTCCCCCAGCTAGAAATGTTGGCGCTAACCGGAGGGTGAGCAGGAAGCGGATGGCGCGGATAGCACGGACGGCCTTGCAGATTTTGAGGACCCGGAAGAGCGTGAGTTTGTTGCCGCGGTTGCCTTGTCTGGAGGAGATAAGCAAGGGGAGCAGAAAATCCAGCACCGTCATGCACATAATGAAGAAATCTGGCAAAGGGAAGAAGAGGAAACATAGAAATTAAGGCAGACCCACATGAAACGGTGCTTCGGACTGTCAGCTGAGCAACATTAAGCTTATACAACTAGTGTAACATTATGGGCATTCCAGAGAAAACAACAACACTTAGTTTAGTACTGTACTTTTCTTAGTACAGTGGTACCTCAGGTTACAGACGCTTCAGGTTACAGACTCTGCTAACCCAGAAATAGTACCTCGGGTTAAAAACTTTGCTTCAGGATGAGAACAGAAATTGTGCTCCGGTGGCGCGGCGGCAGTGGGAGGCCCCATTAGCTAAAGTGGTGCTTCAGGCTAAGAACAGTTTCAGGTTAAGAACAGACCTCCGGAACGAATTAAGTACTTAACCTCAGGTACCACTGTACCAACCTTCTCATCATTTGAGAAGGGTCTGCTGTTAGTTCTGCACATGTTGCTATTCTCAGGCAGTCTGCTAATTAAATAGTTTGCCCTGGAATCCCTTGGTATCAGCCGGGGCTTTTTCTCTCAGCTTGAACTTGCCGAAACTCAGTTCCGGAACCTCTCCAGTGAGTGCCATTGCCATGATAAGAGAACAAGGGAGGCGTCCATGGTGGGTTCCGGCACCTCTTTTTCTAGAAACATAGAACTGGCGTCAGCCCTTTCATACCCCCTCGACCACACTGCAAAAAGACCCACCAATGTCATTCCATGGGTCACGGAAATAGTCGCAGCCCAACGCAATGAGCTTGAGGACGGCCTCTAACACGTAGACAGAAAGGAAGGCAGGATCCATGGCAGAAAAGAACCATTCTGTTGCAAGGGAGGAGAGAAAGAGAGAACCATTGATTGTGGGAAAGCCACTCTCCTCCATGATGAAAGCTGTTGTGATCTGTGGAGATGCCCACCACTGAAGAAGGTGAATTGCCTAAGTGGGGAGTGTGGGCAGTAGTCCCTGGTTGAATCTACACAGGAGATAAAGGTGTGGGTACAGGGCCACAGATAATGCCACTAAAGCAGTGGTTCTCAACCTGTAGGTCCCCAGATGTTGTTGGACTACAACTCCCATCATCCCTGAGCTCTGGGATTGAGAAAGGGTGCCCTAAAGGCAAGGCCAAACTCTGAAGTGGTCTCAGCAAGGTTCTGAAGCAACTGGCTGGTTTCTATTGGGGATAGGTAGTCACTGACTAGTGTTGCTTCCTGAAAGGGTCAGTGCCTTATTCTGCAGATATAAGGCCCTTGGGTCAATATGGCTTCCAGCTGTGGAGATCTCTCCTGAGGGCCAGCCGTCAATCTGGGAGCAGAAGTTCTCCTTGGGGCAGGACTGAAGCCCCTGGCCTTATTGAAACCAGAGCATGCTCTGGTTACTACCCAGCATTCAGAAGAAGTCTACGGAGCAGGATTATTTATGAGGAAAGGAACGCCTCTCCTGCGGGCTGACCTCCCCGAATTTCGACCACCGCAAACGTTTGAGCCACCAGCAATAAGGTGTTGATGGCAACCACTGAGCAGATTATGAAGTCAAAGATGAAAGACTGAGTCAAGTGGTAGATGATCTCCCTCAGCAAGACGAGGTGCGGGTGGATCTTCTGCCAGGCATGAACCACCATCTCTGTCAGCGTCATTCGTCTGTGCTTCCTCTTGCGACGATGGCGGGCCGGCTTTGCTAGAGTTAGAGAGGGAGGAAGAATCATTTGAGGGTGAGGGCAGAGGAGGCAGCAATTCACCTCACCCAGTTTCTCAGACCACATGAGGTTGTCGCCTGCAACAAGGGCCTGGATAGCTCATTTGGATAGAGTGTGGTGCTGACAATGCCAAGGTTGCAGGTTCAATCCTTGTATGCAACAGCGGCACATTCCTGCATTGCAGAGGGTTGGACTAGATGATCCTCAGGGTCCCTTCCAGCTCTACACTTCTATGATTCTATGATTCCAAGGTACGTTGGAGAATCCAGAAGAGAAAGGGAATGAAGGTGAGATTTGCTATGTTTGCTTATTCATTCCTTGCCCAGAACAGAAATTATCCAGTCAGTATTATTGGTAATGGACTAATGTAATGATAATGAGAGTGATTTTGTAATTAAATGATGTAAATGTTCACCATAGCAAGCAGCAATGCGGATAATTCAGTTTTTGTCAGGAGCCGAACTGCAGTGTAACAGAATCATAGAATTGTAGTTGGAAGGGACCACAAGGGTCATCTAGTCCAACGCCCCTGCAATGCAGGAATCTCTCTGCCCAACATGGGGGTTGAACCCACAACCCTGAGATCAAGAGCAGGGGTAGGCAACCTAAGGCCCATGGGCCACAAGCAGCCCATGAGGGTCGTTTAACCAGCCCATGAGCTGCTCCTGTACCGAGTCGCCTGCTAAACCAGCGCAGCACAGGAACTCACTTCTGCAGCGCCGGAAATCACATCTGTGCAGACGCCAGAAATCACGTGCACACACAATCTGGCCTACGGAGGGATCTCCACTGGAGTGAACCGGCCCAGGTGAGGTAAACCTTGCCAACCCCTGATCAAGAGTTTCATGCTGTTCCAGCACGACGGCCTTGGTCCAGTATACCTCAAGGAGCGTCTCCACTCCCATCGTTCTGAGGTCCAGCACCGAGGGCCTTCTGGCGGTTCCCTCCCTGCGAGAAGCCAAGTTACAGGGAACCAGGCAGAGGGCCTTCTTGGTAGTGGCGCCTGCCCTGTGGAACACCCTCCCACCAGATGTCAAAGAGAAAAACAACTACCAGACTTTTAGAAGACATCTGAAGGCAGCCCTGTTTAGGGAAGCTTTTGATATCTGAAGGACTATTGTATTTTAATATTTTGTTGGAAGCCGCCCAGAGTGGCTGGGGAAACCCAGTCAGGTGGGCGGGGTATAAATAATAAATTATTATTATACCAACTGAGCTTTCCCGCTGAATGTAACAAATTGTGGGTGGGAAAGAAATAAATCCCTTCTTACATACTGTACCTCCCTACAGCACCCATGTTGGGGACTAAGTCCCACACTTCCAAGTACAGTAATCAATCCTGGAATTAGGCTGAGCTCCTTCTCCTCCAGAGGAAACCATGTTAAGCACAGTGATTTAATTTACTGAAATTGGGAATGCTTAAATGCATGAATGTGTGTTTAATTCTGAAATGTTTCCCAGTAACTCTCATGTGATTGGTTAATTCTGTTCACATGGGAGACATCTTATTACATTCTCCATTTTGTTTTGTGTGTTTGTGTGACTTGACTGTAATGGCTGCATCTCCATGAACACTGAAGAAAAGAGAGAACTCTCTAAATGCAACACACCCTCCAACATTTCTCTGATGAAAATAGAGACATCCTATTATTATTATACCCCACCCGCCTGCCTAGGTTGCCCCTACCATTCTAGGCAGCTTTCAACATATATAAAAACATAATAAAACATTGAACATTTAAAAACTTCCCTATGCAGGGCTGCCTTCAGATGTCTTCTAAAGGTTGTGTAGTTACCTATCTCCTTGGCTTGGGGGTTGCATAACTCCATACCCTCCAACATTTCTCCAGTGAAAATAGGGACGTCCCAAGGAAAAGAGGACATTCCAGGATCAAATTTGAAACCGGGACAGCTTCTGCAAATCCAGGGCTGTCCCTGGAAAATAGGGACGCTTTGAGGGTCTGATATGCAATGTTTCTCTGTGAATGTATGTGACAAAAAGAAGTACAGAATCTGATGTTCTCCCAAAGAAGCAATAAGGAGAAGTCTGCTGGAAAGAGAAAGTGGAAACCTCTTGGAAGGGGCTGCATGGGTTAGCTGGGCAATGTACAGAAGGCTGAGTGCAAGGACTGGAAAGACAGAAAGACCGAGTTAGTTTGAATGTTTATGGAAGAATCTTCAACTACTGTATTTACTCAAATCTAATGTTCACTTTTTTGGCCAAATTATGTTGCGAATACTAAGGTGCGTGTTAGATTCAATGGCACAATTACATTCACCGATAGATAGATAGATAGATAGATAGATAGATAGATATAACCATCTATCCATCCACATTTGGTTTCAAGGTTCTGAAAACTGAGGTGCACATTAGATTCGATGGCGCATTAGACTTGAATAAATACGGTAAGAGAACAAAACAAGTCCCATGCTTGGATAAGCATGTGAATGTATATTATTCTTTAGCTATGTGTTCTGCAAGTGAAAGCTTTGAATATTTTAACCTTGTTTTAATTTCAATAAAATAGTCAGTCTTGCACATGATTTGGCTTCCTAGCGGCAATTTAGCTACTCTGCCAACAGACCAATCTCCATATGAACTTCCCTTCCAACCATCCTGCCAGGGTTTTGGGGAGCTAAGGCTCTGGAGCTCTGAGTAGAAAAGGCTCCCCGCTCCTGACAGAGACAGCCCTGAGCTCGATGGCCAGGGGTCCGGTTCGGTATAAAGCACATGGCCATCTAAAAATGGTCCGGGAGGTGGGAAGGTCTGCTGCACCTATGTCAAGTCAAACTGCACCCCTGGAATCGCCCCCTCACTTTTGACTCTTATCCCTCCAGGTGCATTCTTGGAACTTCTCCTCGACCTGCTGCTCTGATTGCTGAATCTTCTCGGGTGTTTTCTAGACCCTCTCAAGGAGGGCGACATGGAGGTGACGGCCAGGACCATGGAAGGCTCTGGGTGGGCGGAGGGTGAATACCCAGGCCCAAGGCTGGAAGTCCCAGGCATTCCTGTGCCTGCACCCTGGGCTTGCCCCTGCTCCTGGGTCGGGACCTGCAGCATTTTCTCCATCTGAGGCACAGAGGACATGGCAGGCACGGTGAGGTACCGGTGATCCATGGTGGCGAACTGAAGGAGCCCTCGTGGCTCAGATGCGCCTGCCTAGAAATGTCCTCCCAGTCGGCTTCTCCAGTCTGGGCTGTGGCGAACCTGGAACACGGAAGGCCCCAGGCTTCCAAATGGGGAGCCTTGGCAGCTCTTTGTGATGCCATCGTGAGGCAAGGCAAAGCATGCCAAGGCAGTCAGAGGCGGTGGTGTTAGCAGACAGTCTATGGAGCCTAAGGCCCAGGCCGCAGATCTCCTGCCCCTCTCCACATTTTATATTTTTAGGATTTTTTCCCAACTGACCTTTTCTATGTCCGGACAGATACCATGTAAGAAACCAGAACCAATAACAGAAAAGCAAACCAATCCCTCTGCAAATAGTGTTTGATTTGCTTCTAGAAACTGGTTGGCAACACAGTACTGTACTCATAATCCTCCAACACGCTGGAGAGCCAAATCAGGACGCTCCTTTTTTTTGGTCCCGAATTCTCACACGTGCGTGTGAACACAAGACCAAAAGACACTCATTTTTTTGTTTCTGAAAATGGGGACTTCAAAGCAGAGGCGCCGGCAACTCCTAGAGCCGCAGGTCCCTTTGTCCCCCCCACCCACCTAATAAAAGCCACGTTTGGACTTCATTTTGCAAGGAATTTGTAACAGGGTTGCTGGAGGGCAAGAGAGCTGGGATTGGGCACAAACCTTCAACATTGTTTCTTACAGCCCTTGAAGCTCTGCTAGGACAAGAGAGGAAGCGGCTCCTGGCTACTTACCATATTTTAGAATTAAACCAGGAGTGCTTAATTCAGATGACTTGGAGGGTAAAGCTCCCCACCTATGATTATTGTTCTTGTTGTTGTCAGTGTTTTTTGATTTTTTTTTAGGGAAGGAAAGGTGTCGGTACACACAATGAAGTTGTTACAGTAAGTGCCACACTTTCAACATTTTTTTGGGGGGGGGGGTGCCAATACTGCATACCCTTGAGTACCCTCAGAAAAAAAGAAATGGTGGTGGTGGTTGTTAATCTACCCTTTACCCCAAGGTACCAGGGCAGGTTATAATTAAAACGCAATATTGAAAAGCAATTTAAAGCAACTTAGGTTGATCTCTTCTGTGAACTGCCCTGAGACCTCTGGGTATAGGGCGGTATAATAATAATAATAATAATAATAATAATAATAATAATAATAATAATAACAACGTCACAGAAATAAGGCAGGTCCTAAAAGTATGCTCAAGCAGGCAAATGCATAATTTTGCAGCCAGCCGCTGTTGCTTTGGTGTGAGCAGGAAGGCACCCAGATGCCTACAAACTTGGGCTTGGGGAGAGTTGGGTTCAAGTCCCTTCTTAGCTTTAAGAATTCAGAGTAGCCCTGGACCAGTCGCAGTTTCTGAGACCAGTCAACCTCACAGAGCTGTTTTGGGGATAAAAAGTGGGGTGATGGGTGGGGGAATAATCCTTCCTCTATGGCTAAGATTGGGCGCAGGTTTTATCTGCCCCCAAATATGTTATTCAAGTTGGCACCACTGCTTCAAAGCGTGGCATTGCCTGACATCATAGGGATGCCAGGTGACTGACAGGTGGCTCCTCCAGCTGGCCTGCCAGGGTTTGGGGAGCTAAGGATTTGGGGCCCTGACTAGAAAAGGCTCCCCACTCCTGATGCAGACAGCCCTGGGCTCCCTGTCCAGTGGTCCAATTCAGTATAAAGCAGATCCTAGAAAAAGCAGCAATGCTGGCTCCCCCCATTTTGAAGGAAGTTAAGTAATAATACACTTGGCTGTCAAAAAATGGGTCAGGTGGGGAGGCGCGCCACACTAACATTAAGTCTAAATGCACCCCTGGAATTGCCCCCTCACTTTTGACTCTCGATCCTGTGTGTATGGTTTTGGATCTTTGCATTGACCTCCTGCTGCTCCTGCTGCCCCTGCTGAATCTCCTGGACCCTTTCATGAAGGGCGACATGGAGGTGACGGCCAGGACCATGGAAGGCTCTGGGTGGGCTGAGGGTGAATACCCAGGCCCAAGGCTGGAAGTCCCAGGCATTCCTGTGCCTGCACCCTGGGCTTGCCCCTGCTCCTGGGTCGGGACCTGCAGCATTTTCTCCATCTGAGGCACAGAGGACATGGCAGGCACGGTGAGGTAATTCATGGTGGCGAATTGAAGGAGCCCTCGTGGCTCAGACGCGCCTGCCTAGAAATGTCCTCCCAGTCGGCTTCTCCAGTCTGGGCTGTAGCGAACCTGGAACACGGAAGGCCCCAGGCTTCCGAATGGGGAGCCTTGGCAGCTCTTTGTGATGCCATCGTGAGGCAAGGCAAAGGATGCCAAGGCAGTCAGAGGCGGTGGTGTTAGCAGACAGTCTATGGAGCCTAAGGCCCAGGCCACAGATCCCCTGCCCCTCTCCACATTTTATTTTTACCTTTTTTTCCCAAACTGACCATGTAGGGAATCATAACCAATAACCGAAAAGCAAACCAATGCCAGTGTGGTGTAGTGGTTAAGAGCGGTGGACTCGTAATCTGGTGAACCGGGTTCGCTTCCCCGCTCCTCCACAGGCAGCTGCTGGGTGATCTTGGGCCGGTCACACTTCTCTGAAGTCTCTCAGCCCCACTCACCTCACAGAGTGTTTGTTGTGGGGGAGGAAGGGAAAGGAGAATGTTAGCCACTTTGAGACTCCTTCGGGTAGTGATAAAGCGGGACATCAAATGGGACATCAAATCCAAACTCTACAAGAAGGCGGGGAAAGTTTCAAAAACTGGTTGGCAACACAGTCCTGTACTCATACCCTCCAACATCATGGGGACCAAAATCGGGATGCTCCATTTTTGGTCCCAAGCTCTTGCGCCTGCGTGCGAGCACGAAACTAAATGATGCTCGTTTTGTGATCTCGCAAGACAAAAACACAAGCGGCTTTCATTCTGGCACTCTGGCATGAGTGCTCCATCCACTTTTGCCCCTGGCCCTACTTACCACAGGCATGTGGCCCCTGGAATGCTACCTAGAAAAGGATTCCCCACCTTTCATCACCACCAAGCGCCATTTTCAACTGCCCAGGTCAACCCCCTCATAGAGCAGGCTGAGTAATTCTCGTCTCCAAAGCTAGTTTAATTTCTAGGTGCTTCGTGGTCCAGAAGGTGCAGATCTCACTGCAAGGTTCCCTCTCTCTTTCTCTTTCTTCTCTGCCTGCCAGGCTTTGCTTTCAGGTCGATTCTGGGAGATCTTCCGGAGATTCTGTCCTCCTACGCCTGAAACACACCACAGGTCTGAGAACGTCCTGGGCAAGGCATCAGGTGTGCATTGCCAAAAAATAAAAAAACCCAAGATGAAAGAGGGTGCTGATGCACATAAAATTTGCATCTGCTATTTTTGTAGGTACCAACTCGCACGCAGAAATAATTTCTGTAGTGTGAACAGAAACACAATACACCTCGCCATAGTGGGGAATAGGACAGTGAGCAGGTGAACTGTGTGCCTGCTCATGAGAACAAAAAGGGCCAGCTGCTGGATCAGGCCAATGGCCCTTCGAACCCAACACTCTGTTCTTGCAATGTCCAACCAGATGCCAACTACAGTGGACCCTCTGGATACGAATTTAATTCATTCCGGGGGTCTGTGACACCCTGAAAAATCCATATCCAGAGGCGCTGCTTTTGCGCACACACATGGCGCGCAGAGCTCTTCTGCGCATGCGCGAGCAGCGAAACCCAGAAAAATACTTCCAGGTTTGCCGCTTTTGCAACCCAAAGTTTATGTTACTCAAGAGTAATGTAACCCGAGGGTTTACTGTATATACATGGGCCAGAACTGCTGTCCAGGTACTAACGTTTGATGGGCAACCTTTCAAGGCCCCAGCTTTTTCAACCAACCTTGGCTTAAAGCATGGACTGTTTTTAATCCAGACATCAACCGTGCAACTTTTCCAACAGAGGGGAGAGAGGGCTGTCCTCTGCAAAGCAGGACACATGGCCTCCTGAAAGAAGGGCTTTCCAGGGACCTCCATGCATGCACACACACCAATCCACTCCCCATGCCTGCACACCCCTCGCATCCCACCTAGGCAGAGGTGTAGCGCGGGGTGGGGGGTGGCGACACAGTGGCAGTTGCCCTGGGCGCAAAATTGTTAGGGGCGCCAAATGTCAACACCCGGTGCTGCCTCAATATAGCTGCACACTTCTGACACCCAGCTCCATTGAAAACGGCTACTCCATGTGAACCAGGACAACGGAGCGACTCTTCTTATCTCTGCAGCTGCGATCTCCTGGGTGATGCAGATGCTGTTAGGCAGTTGAATGTGCATGTGTAGTACTCTGTCTGTTTCCCTCCCTCCCAACCCCACTCTGTACAGCCCCCAGGCACTGGCAACCCTCGCTACGCCACTGTACCCAGGCCACCCAAATAAGCTTTTCAGGTGGCAGCAGGCAAGGATCCCTTTGCCTTACCCCTTGTTTAATTTACATGGCATGTGTGCTGCAAAGCAAAAGCAGCCACCCCACTGTCTTCTCTCCATAATCCTCTGGGCCTTTACAGGACACAGGCCCATGTAAAATATATAAATCAATAGCTGGCAATTGACATCAGCCCCAGTGGGCACACCAGCATTTCATAGAACCATAGAACTGTAGAGTTGGCTGGGACCCCAAGGATCTTCTAGTCCAGCCCCCTGAAATGCAGGAGTGGCAGCTAAAGAATCCTTGACAATCGAGCCTCCGTTTAAAAACCTCCGATGGAGGAGAGCCCACCACCTTCCAGGGGAGTCCATTCCGCTGTCAAACAGCTCTTCCTATCAGAAAGTTCTTCCGGAGGTTTAGTTGGAATCTCCTTTCTTGTAACTTGAAGCCATTGCTTTGAGTTCTGCTCTCTCTTGGTGCCCAATAAACAACCTGGAGATTAAATGGAGCTCCCGATTCTTTCTTTGCAAGTGGGGTGCACTGACGGTGAGCCTGCCTGGGAGCGGCGGTGCTAGGGAGTCCCAGCAGGCCATCCTGGGTGCATAAGCTCCTCTTCTTTAGGGAACGGCTGCATTGCAGGGGGTTGCCCTAGATGACCCTCGAGATCCCTACTACCAATTCTACAATTCTATGATTCTAACACAGGGCTAGAGCCCTTGCTTGGCATGCAGAAAAGACCCCGTGTCCATAATGATTTCCAAATGAACAAGGGGGAAATATCTGTTTTCACTCAGGGGACGAAGGAGAAGGCCTCCGGCCAGCCACCCTCTTCCTCTCAACCTTCCTTACATGGCTTTGCCCGAGGACTTGCGAGCAGATTGCCGCACCGCATGCTTCCACAGCATTTCTTCGTCGATCCCCAGCGCGGCCAGGACCTGGGAGAAACGGCGCTCCACAGCCTGGCGGGCGTTGGCCTGGCAGGGAGAAAGGCTTGAATGGAGACGCAGACAGGCCAAAGGCAACGTAGTTTAAAAAAAACCACCGTACAAATGGCCCTATTGCCACACGCTGTGCTCTCTCGCTATCTCTGCTGCCATTTTGCTGGCTCTGCCAGAATAAAGGCAGCAAGTCTTTTCCTTTACAGGTAAAGGCCAGGAGGCAACTTGGATCGCCTTGCCAGGAACTGATCTTTCAGTGTGGCCAGCACCTACCCTCTGGAAGTCCCTGCCTGTTGACATTTGTTCTGTTTATAGCCAGCTCTTCCTCCCAAAGGTGCCCATGGCAGCAAACACAGCGAAGCAGGCGAGGCCTTGTTGGCACTGATCTGTGGCAGGGCCTTTTTGGTGGCAGCTCCTGTTTGCGAAATGCCCTCCGTGGCGAGGTGTGCCAGTCTAAGAACATTCCTGCTTACGTAGGGCTGAAAGATACTGTTCCCCGGGAACCCTGATATCAGTGCTTGAAATAATATTTTTAGAATTATTATTTTGCTTTAAGGTTTTCTGCATTGATAAATCAAGGCCGAGTGGACAACTCAAACCTGTGTCTCCTCACACTGAACCGGATATTCAAGCTGCTATGCTATATAACCCATTGCTTCCCCTCCCCTCCCCCCCAGCCCCCTGGCCCCTGTTTCACCTGCATGACTCTCTCAAACAAGAAAGGTCTGCTCTCCACACGGTCTTGCATCTCCTGCAGCTGCAATGTGTACTCTTCCATGCGCTGCTTCTCCTGCCTCCTGCACACCAAAGGGAGAGGTTGGTAGGCCTTTGCTGCATTACTCCTCTTCTGATCCCTCTACCCCAACCTGTAAATAACTGGGTCTGCTCCTCTGTAAGTAAGTAGAACACCTGCTTTGTGTGAATCATAGAGTTGGAATGGACCATGATAGTCATCTAGGCCAGCCCCCTGCAATGCATGAATCTTTTGGGCTTGAACCCATGACCCTCATATTATAAATCTGACGCTCTACCAACTGAGCTGTCTGGGCAACCCAGGTTCGATCCTCCCCAATGGCATCTCTAGATTTTAAAAGTCAGGTAGCTGCAGAAAGGAGGAGGAAGCTGTTGCCAGGAAGAATATTCCAGGAATGTGGCCCTCCAGGCTTTTCTGTCTGGCCCTTGGGATCCTCCCAAGGCCACACCCCTCACCCAAGCCACACCCCTCAGCAGCTCTGCTCTGTTGCCCTCCTTAAGTAACTTCCTCTGGCAGGAATGTGCCCTTGAACAACCCATAATCTTCCCAGAAACCTCTGTCATGCTCAAGAGCAGAATTGCTCCTTCCAGCCTTATGAAGATCGCCGGGTAATAATTTTGGCAGTCCTCGATACAACCCTAGTTGGCAGCTGAGCGCAAGCCAGAAAACAGGCTGTGTACACCTTTAAAGCACATCCGCCCGCCTCAAGAATCCTGGGCACTGTAGCTCTGTGAGGGGTAAGCTACAGTTCCCAGGGTTCTTTGGGGACGGCGAATGTGCTCTCTGTGGGATGTAATCCACTGGAGCAGTCAAATACAACATTCCTTGTTTCCCTAGAGTGGACACAGGCAGGCGGATGTTACGCCAGCCAGTAGAACTTCCTGTTCCACTGGTCTGGAGTGTCCTCTCCCTGCATGTGACCAGGCAGATGGGCGTGACCCTGGCTGACTCCATAAAAGTGGAGTCACGCAGCCATCTTTCTCTTGATGACATTTTCTTCTCTTAATGTATTTTGCTGTCTGCTGGCTCTCAGCCAGCAGTACACGGGCTCAGTCTCCATATGGGATGAGCTCACACTTTGTTCTGTAATTACAAGATAAAGCCTGCCTGCAGGGATTATACTGTGAACTGAATGTGAGTAAACTTCTTGTTACTTTTAAGACTCTTGTGTCTTGATTCTTATAAGAGAGATCAAAGGGGACTTGCCAAGAATAATCCAATCTGGGCAAGCAAGACTAGATTGCTTAACTAAAGAGATTCAAACGAATCTGCAAACTAGCTTTACTGTTGTATTGGGGGGAATCTGCTCTGCTACATGACTCACTAGCGTGGAAGGATCATATTTTATCAATATATCCTTTCCTACTATCCTTAACAGTCCCACACTTTCAAGGTATGGTGCATATGCAGCCCCTGTTCTTCCCCACAGCCCAGAGGGACTTTGCAGAAACCTCATGGCACGTTACCTGAGCACCTCCCGTTTTCTCTGCAATGACACGGAGGGGTGGTCCATGGTCTGGTACGTCGCCAAGCACTTGGCCACTTCCCGCTGCACTTGCTGCTCCTTCACCCTGCGCAGCTCAGCTCGCCGCTTCTCCTTCCGTTCCTGCCTCTCCCACTCCAGCAAGAGCATCCTAACAAAAAGAGGCCAACCTCAGGCATGGGGAAACCTCTTAGAGGTGAGGGTGAAGGGGTCCTCCAGGCAGGCTGGCATTGTGTTCAAGTGCAGGCCAGGAATGTAGGTTGGCTAAAGGGGATTGAAGGGCTTTTAGAAAAGAGGCCGACTTTTTAGCGGTGGGAGGAAAGCGATGGGGAAATGGATTGCAAAGGGTGAGGGCAACAAATAACGAAGATGTGTAAATGTTCTGCAAGCAAACTGGGATGAGTGCCGTGCTGGATGAATGCTGACTGTGGTATAATCATATCAGTAAAGACTGGAAGAATGAACACTCAGTAAACACGGTGTCTCAAGGATGAGCAATTCTGTCTATTGCAGTCCCTCTTTTTTCCTACCTGAAGTTCCGTTCTCCACTCTTCCACATCATTTTGTGATTTTTGTTTTAAAAAAGGGGTCCTCGTGAAGATTCAGCAGCATTTTAGTATGGTTTCCTCTCTTAATATAGACATACAGTCGTACCTCGGAAGTTGAACGGAATCCGTTCCAGAAGTCTGTTTGACTTCCAAAATGTTTAGACACCAAGGCGCGGCTTCCGATTGGCTGCAGGAATCTCCTGCAGCCAATCGGAACCTGCGTCAGACGTTCGGGTTCCAAAGAACGTTCACCATTCAGAATACTCACTTCCGGGTTTGCGGCATTTGGGAGCCAAAACATTTGACTCGCAAGGCGTTTGACTTCCGAGGTACAACTGTACCTCTGCTTGCAGTTTTGCTTAATATACGCATTTTTGCAAAGCAATTCTCCCCAATAAATCACATTTTTGTCTTATTTTCACTAAGATGGACATTTTTGTGTACACTGTATGTTAGTGTATGCATTTCTCTACACATTACTTGGCTGCAGAAGTGAATTGCAAAATTTAGGGAAGTGAGTATTTCAAAGGTGGAGGGGAGGGTGGGGAGTGTTGTTTCCTGTTTCAGAAATGGCGAATTAGGTTCCTCTTTAAACACAAAATGAATTTAATTTCTCTTCCATCCCTAGCTTTCACTTAGCAACAGTCAGCTTTTGGGGTTATTTGTTTTAATGTTTAGCTGAAAATTTTGCAACCTACCCCCAAGCAACCCCCTGGCCTTTCTCATTGGACTGCAGGAAATAATAGCACAAAGACTTTGGAGCCGCCACCTCCCTCCCCAGGTGCCCTGCTTACCTGTTGGCCTCTTGCCGCTTGTCAGAGGTCTTGGTGTGCATCACTGGAGCAACCATGGGGGGACCAAAGTCCGGGCAAGAATGGGCCCTCCAGTGAACCCCATACAACCGCCGGACCTCGTAATACGGGTCTTCTGGGTCCTGCTTGTCCTCTTCTCCAGAGAATTGCTGGGAGCTGCCCGTGGAGTGAAGTCGGAAAGGCTTACAGATGGTCAGTTTTGCTGGGCGGAGGAGAGCACAGAGGCATTAACGTGACCCGTCCCAACCCGCCTGCCCACATATCGTCACTTCGCAGCATATTAATTGACTAATTTAAAATATTTTTTATTGAAACTATGACAACAGAAATAGAAACAAACATCCAAACAGGAACTGGACCGTTTACAAGGATACACCGGATTACGAGTAAACTTTAAATGACAATGATTGCTCTTATAATCCAGTCTCTAGAAAAAAGGAGAAAAAGCAAAGAAAGGAAAACAGAGAGTGAAGAAGAGAGAAAAGAAAGAGAGGCCAGCACACATTAGGGGGAAAGGCAAGTTATAAATGTAATAATTGTAATAATAATGTTATAAGAATTTTAAGGTCTCAAATATAGAATAAATGTTCATAAATGCACACATATCTAATTACATGAACCATGTGTCTGAAACGGTATAGGAGAACAATCTTGAAGCCATTTTGAATCTCTCAATGACCTCAAATATTCCTCTGCAGTAAAGGAGGCAAACGGGGAAAGCCTTCCCACTGTCTTTTTGCTTTCAAATCCTGTTTTAAGGGCGCATTTGTGTATGAATAGGGGGAGCCTGTGACCTGGATTTAGGAACTAAAGTATTAACTATCACAAAAGAATGGCCAGGCTGCCCAGGTAATGCAATCAGTGACCATTATCAGGTATCCTGGCAAAAAGGATTTCTGCTGTAGACCACCTCCTCTGCTGTAGACCGCCTCCTTCTGTGATGTATGTATGATGTTTGGGGTGGTGGTTTTGGGCTACAGGGTGGGCAATTTCAAAAGTCTATATATGGGCTTGCGCAGCATTGTTCAGAGTTCTCCTCCCTCCTGCGTGTGGTAAGTGGGGACCCTGTTGCAACAGTTCCCTGAATAAAGATCAGGCTTGCTAGCTGCTTTGCTTTTCAATTTACTCTAGTTGGCTGTTATTTCTCCTACTAATAGGGAACCCACTTAAGGACTCTATATGGGCTCTGGAATACCCCATAAGGGAAAAGGAGCGGGTTTCTCCCCCCTTATAACAACAACAACAACTCACTTGACCAACTGAGTCGGACTTAGTTGGATGCCATCCTTAATCTTGACTTTATGCCACCCCTCACCTTGCCCATTATCAATGAATGACTGCTCCCCACCTTGATCCTTCCTCTGCTCCAGTTGCTCTTGGAAGCGCCTCTGGAGACTCTTGAAATTGGGGATCCTGCGGTTGATGGTGGGCTGGAAGGTCAGCTGCTCTTCCCTGTCGGTCTGGGCCCGGCCCTTGGCTCTCCTGGCCTCCCTCTGGGGAGCAGGCTCCTCGGGCTCTGTAGCCAGGCAGAGGAGCTCCGCTCGGAGTTTCTCTTCCAGCCGCTTGAGCGAGAAGCGCTTGTTGCTCCTGGGGCCCTGATCCTCCAGGCTCAGCAGCTCCTGGGTGAGCTGCAGCCAGCGGTGGCGCTCCTGGCGCATCTGCCGTTTCCGAGCCTCCTGCCGGGAGTCCATCTTCCAGTAGAGAGGCAAGAGGGAGCTCCCGGGAGCCAGGCCCACCTGGCGGTGGCACTTCTGGCATGTGGGCCAGGGATCCTCAGGGACGCCATTCGAGGGCTTGGGGTCTTTCGAGCAATGGCCGCCTTTAGGGCTGCCGGCTCTCGGGTTCCCCAGCTCTGGCGTGCAGGGAGGCTCACGGAAGGTGGTGACAGAAGTCTGAGGGGACCTCTTCTTCTTGGGTTTCTCCAGGAGCCGGTCTTGGTACATGGCCTGGCCGTTGACAGAGATGCTCTCCCACATCCAGTGGAAGGGAAAGGAACCCGGTCGAGATTGCTTGGCAGATGCGGGAACTGGTGTAGGGCTTGGCGAGGCATTGCTGACATCTGGAGTGGGAGGTACTGGGTGCTGCCTAGGGGGGAAGCAGCAGCACTCAGGTTGGACACAAACCTGGTCTCCTCACCTCCCAGTTTTGGAACTCTGCTTCCCAACTTTGATTTGGATAATCAAAACACTTCCAGACCAGCAGCTTTTAGTGCATGGGTAGGCAAAGTAAGGCCCGGGGGCCGGATCCGGCCCAATCACCTTCTAAATCCAGCCCATGGACAGTCCGGGAATCAGTGTATTTTTACTGGCATTCTCTTTTGGGGGGCACATCCTGCTACTTTCCAATCACACTAGTGGGTGTCACACAACCACGGAGGCAGGTCCTATTGAAGGACTTTGGCTCAGTGGCAAAGAGAGTTTAAAAGAACTGCAGTACAATTGCAGCATCTGATGCACATTTCACTTGTGAACCTGGATAGCTCAGTTGGTTGGAGCATGGTGCTGATAATGCTGATAATGCTAAGGATGCTAGTTCAATCCCCGTATTGGACAGAAGCATATTCCTGCGTTGCAGGGGGTTGGACTAGATGATCCCCAGGGTCCCTTCCAACTCTACAATTTTATTATTCTATGTCATGGACTGGTTGGGTGCAGAGGAATGGTGGGAAAACAAGCAGGAGAACCACACAGAGAAGAAGCCTCACAGCCTGTGGAGGGATGATGGGACGATGCTGAGTGGTTGGAGGGAGAGGACTGGGAAGAGGAGCTGCCGGAAGCTGGAGAGGTAACAGGGCTTAGTGAGCAGGGAGAGTCTGTGGCAGAGAGAAGACCAGAATCAGAGGCAGAAACAGAAGCCAGGGAGGAGGGAGGTGATGAGACAGAGATGAGTCCTGCTGAAGAAGGATCACAGGTGTCTCCCCCTCCTGATGTGACAATCTCCCTTCCCCACTTGTTTCCCAGAACCCAGAGAGGCATGAAAAGGGAGGAGGAGAGGTAGGTTGGCTGCCTGCAGCCGCAGTCTCAGATTGCTTGGAAAAAACCCTGCAGTGGAAGGGAAGGCTGTGAGGAGGCATAGTCTCGGCAACTGGTTTTCATGGAGGAAGACCACTGGGAATGTGCTGCTCTGACTATTAGGCCTGACACTCAACCCCAAGTCTTGGGGGATCATGTTTTTGCTAATAAAGAGTTAACTCCATCTTTGAACTGTGTAAATTGTAAAAATGCTCCTTTCAAAACTTGACCACTCTGTAAGACCTCAGACTGGGCAGGTTGTTTATTTTAAAATTATAAGCACAAACAGATCCTGCTCTGAATCAGGTGCATTCCCCTTGAATTACAACCCATTCCTTACTTAGGATTCCTCCAAAGAATCCTGGGAACTGTAGCTTATTAAAGGCGTTGAGAGTTGTTAGAAGACCCCTCACATCACCCTTCACAAACTACTGTTGCGAGATTCTTTGGGGGAAGCCACAATTGTTATATTAGTATAAAAACATAAAGGGACCCCTGACAGTTAAGTCCAGTCGCAGAAGACTCTGGGGTTGTGGCGCTCATCTTGCTTTACAGGCCGAGGGAGCTGGCATTTGTCCGCAGACAGTTTTTCCAGATCGTGTGGCCAGCATGACTAAGCCGCTTCTGGCGCAACGGAACACCGACGCCAGAGCAGCGCACGGAAACGGCGTTTACCTTCCTGCTGGAGTGGTACCTATTTATCTACTTGCACTTTTTTGGCGTGCTTTTGAACTGCTAGGTTGGCAGGAGCTGGGACCGAGCAGTGGGAGCTCATCCCGTTGTGGGGATTAGAACCGCCGACCTTCTGATCGGCAAGCCCAAGAGGCGCAATGGTTTAGACCACAGCACCATCTGGACCCCTTATAACAGTATAGGCGTGCTTTAAATGTATGCTGTGGATGGGACCCCCCCAAAGCCCACAGCAACAACTTGCCTGCTCAGTTCTTGCTCTGGGTCTATGTCTGAGATGCTGTTGGCATTTGGAACTGTTTCCTCAGGCTCCCAGCAGGGCTTCCTTGCGGGGTGAGGGCCTCTCTTCTTTGCCCGCTTCATGCAGATCAGCATCCCATCACCAGCATCCAGGTAGTCCTCCTGAGTCACACAGAGACGTTTTATAGCACCAAGGCTGGCTCCAGAGACATGCATTTGGGCACCAGGACCCTGAGCCCAGCAGAGGGCCCACCGTCTAAACCAAACCACACTTTCTACTTTGCACAGAGAAGATCGGTTGGAACATAAGAGCTCCCTCAGTTTGCTCTTCCAGGTTGGGGTTAGGAGCCAAAAATGTCATGCCTGAGGGCACACCTGAAATCCTAGGAGCCAGGAAACACTGGTAAAACGCAGTGTTTTTTCCAGTGGCAGTTTTACCACTGCTTTACCACTAGAATGACTGCAGTGATTCTAGTGGTACCATCCGGGCAGGACTTTGGGGCAGATGCCCAGGACCCCACTCAGCAGAATGAGGCCCCCTAAATACAGCAGTAGGATATATCATTTTACAGGGTGGAACTTATTTCTTGTTAACTTCTTCAGTGAGGAGCCTTAAAAATACCTTTTTGGGTGGGAGGAATTCAAATCTGCTTTTATTTTGTGATTGGACAACATTTAGCTTGGTAAGTCTACATTTTATGAAGAAGCATAGAATAAATTGCTCTAGGAAAACCAATGAATTCTAATTTTCCCTTCTGAAAATGTCAGTCATGCTAAATAATAATAATAAATAAAAACAATATTAATATATAATATACAACTTCAAGTACTTGGCAATCATTTGTCATGATTTCTATGCAATTTCACACACATTTTACGTACCAATCCAAACTAAATTAAATCAATATAACCAAGCAATTTATTTTGAATTCCCAAGTCATGTTACAACTTTTTAGCACCTCTCCTTTTGGAAATTGGTAAGCTGACAAATTCAGCATGCCCTAATTGGACTGCCTTACCACATTTCAAAGTAAATTAAGCAATGTGTATTGTGCTTTTGCTTTGAACTGTGCGATTTACTGCCTGGCACACTGTGAAACTGAGGCTTAAAAATAGAGATATTTAGGCATGCGTGTTCACTTGCATTCTGCACCCTTTCCCTCCCCGCCATACAACTTCTGGTACAAGTTACGAAATCAAGTCCAAGGGAAACAATGATTCCCATGCAGACTGACTGAGAATTTCCCATCATTCACCTGGGCCCCATCACTCTCTGGCTAGGAGCAGGCAATCCTCTGGCTTCCAAGGGCCACAAGGAGCAATGGGTGGGTGCCTGGGGGCTGCATGCCAGTGGCATGGCCGCACCTGGCAGTTGGTGTGGCCTTGGTGGACACATTCACAATACTTCTCTCTGGTTTTCAAAGGCTTACACGTCCCTGTGAGGCAGACCCCCCCCCCCAAGTAGCAAGGGAAACACGCTTGGAAAGTATATGAGGTACACAGAAGCATTTTGGCCATGCTGATATTGCTGAACTAAAACATCTATAATACCAGGCCATTGGCCATGCTTGCTAGGGCTGATGGGCGCTGTAGTTTAACCACGAAGGCCAAATTTTCCTCACACCAAATATCACTGGATGGAGAAACCGTGACTTCACCTCTTTGTACAGCGCCTAAGGAAGGAGCATATTAAAACAGTGCTAATCTGGTTGTTTTGTGTGTGAGAAGTATGGCCTCCGCTTATGGGAGCAAGAAACCCCCGTTGCCCTCTCCGAGCTACCTGCTGTGGAGGGGAGCTCTCCGAGATCAGGCCCAAAAGCCGCACCCGCCCCTTTGGCTCATAGATGGTGCCGGCGATCCGGTTAACGGGGTCCACTGAGGGCTTGACACAGGCATTGGTCAGCACCGAGTGGCGATGAGGGTTCAACATGGTGCCCACGACAACATGGAAGGGGACGCGTCAGCTTTCCAGTTACCACAGCAACCGGCCTACTTCCAGAACAGCCTGAGTGGCAAGCTTCCGGAACAAAGCATGGCTCTCCCCAGCCGGGGGTTTTCATTTTTATTTATTCCATAAAAGTTATACACTGCTTGATTGTTAAAAAACAAAAACAAAAAAGCCACCTCAGAGCAGTTTACAAAAGATAAAATAGGAAAATCGGGGGGAAATCACAACCCTACTCCAGACCCCCCTATTGTCCCTATTTTCCAGGGACAGTTCCAGATTTACAGAAGCCGTCCCAGTTTCTGATTTGATCCCAGAATGTCCTGGTTTTTCTTACGATGTCCCTATTTTCATCAGAGAAATGTTGAAGGGTATGGTAGGACGTCCCTATTTTCATCAGAGGGTATGGAGTTATGTGACCTCTGAGCCAAGGAGATAAATACCTCTAAACCTTTAGAAGACATCTGAAGGCAGCCCTTTATAAGGTCATTTTTTAATATTTAATGCTGGAGCAACCCAGTCTGATGGGCAGGGTATAAATAATAAAATAATTAATAAATAAAAATAATAAATAAATAAATAAATAAATAAGGAATAGGATGTCCCTATTTTCATCGGAGAAATGTTGGAGGGTATGCTACTCTATAACATACAGAAATTAAAATACTAAAACAGATAACTTTCTAAGCATCTGGGTAGGTTTGTCTAAACAGGAATGATTTTAGCAGAAAGAGTAAAGTGAAGGTGCCTGCTTGATCTCAATCAGCAGGGAGTTCCAATGGGTGCTGTGACACGAAATGATCAGAGTTCTTACAAATGCAGAGCAGGTATTATGTGGCACTTGTAGTAGGCCAATTCCACCAATCAAAGCGGTCAATTGGGCCTATGTGAGGTAAGGCGATCTCGCAGGTAAACTGGTCCCAAGTTGTTAAAGGCTTTATATAGTGATAATAACACATTGAACTTGGCTCAGTAGCAAATCGGCAAGTAGCGCAGATCTCTTGAGCACAGGTGTTCTAGGCTGACAAGGCCTCACTCCTGGCTGCAGCATTCTGCACTACCTGCAGCTTCCAGATCAAGCGCAAGGGAAGCTCCCACATGGAGCGCATTGCGGTAATCCAGTCTTGAAGTAACCAACCCATGAATTACTCTGGCAAGGCTTTCCCGGTCCATGGCAACCCATGTTGGGCTTTCATTTAAAGCTTGCTTTTCCACCCCAGAGCCTGTTTGCAACAGCCTTCGAGCGACTTGATGTGGCAGAAGTAATATACTGGGGTTCTTGGCTTCCACACGTCTGAGAAGCACTGTTCTCAATCACTGTAATGTAGCTGGCCACTTCTGGAAACAGTGTGTGGAGTTAGATCGGGGGTGGAGAACCTGAGCGTCCCCCCATGATGCTGCTGTACTACAACTCCCATCATTCCTGACATTAGCCATGCTGGCTGGAGCTGATGGGAGTTATAGAATCCAACATCAGAAAGGCAACAGGTTCCCATCTCTGAGCTTAGATGAACCTTTCAATCAAGGCAATGCCATTTGAGAGTGTGTGTTTATGTATTTATATATATATATAAAAATAACTGTAGTCACAAGATAATTGTGTTGTCATTTTAAATAGCATTTTAATGTAAAAAGGTGCATTTACATCTAAAGGTAGGCCCAATGTCAGATGAAAAGCTGAAACAGAAGAGAATAGCAGCTTTCCCCAAACTAAGCCAAGGAACTCACAGCTAAAACAGGATTAAAACCCACATCTCCATTACTCATGGCCACAAGGAAAGGGGGGCATCTCAAGAGCCCGGCATTCTTGCCCTCCTCTCTGGGGGGCTGTTTGCACTGGTGGCTGGTTTACTATTGAAAGTACCTAGAAATTAAAACCACCTACAAGCAGTGTGGACCGACAACTTTTCTGGAATGCAGCTCGAATTTCCATCATTGCCTTTCCGCTGTCCTCTCAAAACTGTTGCGATTCAGGGAAGCAGAATAGATCCATAAGAAGGAACAGTACTGTTTCTGTCTAATGCTGCCAACCTACAATGCCTGCTCAGCATCAAATGAGATGCCTTAAGCCTCCAAACCACCATCTCCTGCAAAGAATGCCCTGACACTCCACCTCTCAGGGCACTGGGAGTGCCTCCATTATCCAGAAGCTCAATGGTAGAGCCCTGTTTTGCATGCATAAGGTCCCAGGTTCAATCCTCAGCAGCTGCAGCTGAAGCATCTATGTAGCTGGTCTGGAAAGTGCCACTATCCGTCAGAGCCGTCACTACTAGGCTAGGTGAACCAACTCTCCGACTCCAAATAAGGCCGTTTAATACACCCTACATTACTGGAAACATTATTGGAAAACAGGCCAGGAATCCTGTCTCTTTGATCCTCCAGCCCCATCTTGTGGGCTTACAGCAGTGCAGACCTCCAGGCAGGCAACATTTTGTAAGGATTCAGTGAGTAATACAGCCAAAGCACAAAAGCAGAGCGTAGATGTGGAAGGATCCTAAGCATTGCAAGGCGGCTGGCAGAATTCTAAAGGAAAGGGATAAATATCGCCAGAATTCCTTCACTCCTCTCTTGCTCGCTTTTGGCAGAAGCAAGTTCCCTATGTCAATGAGATACCAAACTCACAAATGCCAAGAAGAGAGTGACAGGTAAAGCCTTCGCACCTACTACAAACTTTTGTGTTGTGTTCCCACCGCAATTCGTGCCTAGTTTTTCTTAGCTTCTCCCTGTGCCTTCCAGCCTGAGAGAGTAAGGAAGGGGGTGTGACATTTCACAGCTGTGGAGTGAAATAAGCTGGTGGAAAAGCACCACGCAGATCTGAAAGGCAGTGAATAAATTTGGTCCCAGCGACCTCAGCCGCCAGATGGAACTTAGCCCAGCAGGATGGTTAAGCTCCCATGGAGACTTCCTTCCAGACCACTGAAGTGAGCCGTTTGGGGCCCCTCAAAAGCATCCCCAGTGTGCCAAAAGCCACCAAATCAGATGGAAGTATATGTCACCAGAACCCCAAAAGGAAAAAGCTATTGATGACAGGGGAGCAAAACATGTGAGAATTCATCTCTCAGTTCATCTCCTTTTGAGCAGAGCAGAGGTGTAGCTAATCGCTCTCCCCTCACAGGGGCTCGACTCCCCTTGCAAAACACAGAATGGAAACCTGGAAGGAGAGAAAGAGAGAGAGAGAGAGATTGTCATGGACTGCTATCAGGCTGCAGTAGAAAGAAAGAGAAACAGGGCTACCATCAGTTCTGTTGGGAAATGCAGTAATCCCTGGCTCTTCCCCTCCTTGGACTCTTTCCATTCCAGATGGTCATTTTGAGAACCTTGTAAGTGAAATAACTAACAACAACTAAGAAATAGTGTCTGGGTTTTCTTTTTTCCTCCTCCCCCCCCCCCCCGCTTTTTTCTTTTATGTCAAGACTGCCTTAAGCTTGAAGACAAGGGCTATCTTATTATTAATCTTTTCAATCCACTCTGGGAGCCTTTCTCAGCTGAAGAGCAGGTTAAAATTCTTCAGATTAACAAAAAGTAACCAGAATGGATGAGTAGTGTGTGGGTCATTATTAGCATTCCTTCAAAGTAATCATAAGTGACCATTTTTCTGCAGATAATATTTTACTGTATCTCTGCTGCTCCTGTAAATTGCACAAGAAGAGCTCTTTTTGGAGTCAAGGCGGGGGAGAGAGCAAGTGTGTGGCTACATCAAATACTGGAGAAAGAAGATTTGAGAAAAGTAGCCTCGCGTGTTATGAGCTTCCAAGACTCACAGGTCTTGCAGCAATTGTGCCTTGGAACTGCTGCCATTTCCTAAAATTTTAACACACCCCACCATTAGCAAATAAACCAGGGTCCACTGGCTTACAAATTTCCCCCCAAACCTGCCTTACAATAACCCTGTAAGGATTACAACCAAGTAAGTTATGTGCAGTGGTTTGAACATGCGAAAGCGCTGGACAAACCTCTGGTCTATGGGGTCATGAAGAGTCAGGCACGACTAAACAACAACAACAAGCATTATTATTGTTAAAAGAAATTATTTTGCCCACTGATTGCTTTTTTCTGGTCATCCTTGCATAAGAAGTGCATGTTATACATAGCCCCAACCTGCACCCTGGAACCCACCTTTAGAGGTCACGGGATTTGGGGAGTGGCTCAGATCGGGGGCACTTAGTTCGGAAGGTGATCCCGTCCCCCGGCAAAGGGGAAGCAATGAAAGGCATGAACCACACCAGGTGTCCCTGATCCCCCAGCACTTCCCGAAGGTTGTCTTTCCAGCCCAAGTGGTACTGACGATCTCCTTCGAACCATTCGTTGGTCGTCTGCCCACGCAGGGCCAGCAGGCTGTGAAAGAGCAGGAAGCCCGTGCAGAAGAGGAAGCCAACAATGCAGACGTCAGTCACAAAAGCAAAGATGAAGATTGTGATGTTCACCTGCCCTACAAGAGAGATCCAAGTGCTACGTTAGTTACCAAAAGGAGAGAGAGGAAGATGGGATCCCAGGACCCCTCCATCTGCTTTGCTGGAAAACCAGCAACTTTTGGCTCTGCCTCTCATCAAAATCTTTCCATTTCACCTTCTCTAAGAAATGCCTGTTTGCTCCCCACTTCCCAACGCCCTTTCCTTTTGTGCCATGGCTTGTATATCGTAAGCCTGACGGGAGGGATGCCTTATCTTTAGAGGAAGGGACCTTGCTGAGTGGTAAAGTATCTCTTTTGAATGCAGAAGGTCCCAGGACAGGTAGAATCATAGAATTGTGGAGTTGGAAGGGACCACAAGAGCCATCTAGTCCAACCCTCTGCAATGCAGGAATCTTTTGCCCTATGTGGGTCTTGAACCCATGACCCTGATATTGAGTATCTCATCCTCTATCAATTGAGGTAAGCCTGGGCTTGAATTAAACCCTCTCCACAGATACAGGCATCCCCCCACTTGTGCACCTACAACCACGTATAGTGGCACTGGGAAATAATTAAGTAATTTAATTCATACCAGGAAATGGAAGAAAAGAGCTGGAGAGTCCTCATGGCTCGTGAGAAGACCCTCCCCAGAGCTTGAAGAGGACAGGTAAAGGCAGCGGAAGCCCCAAAGAGACCAGAGGCACAGTTTAGGCTGCTCAGCCTCTCTGCCTAACAGCTGGTGCATGCGGTAGCACAGCAGCAACCTTTCCACGCATCCTCCAGCCTTCTGCAAGCCCCAGAACTTCAATTCCAGTTGTCGATATTTTTGGTACAGTATTTTTGATCTGGATTGGAGAGAGAGAGGCACCAAGGGCATTTCAAGGGTGTTTAGGGGGCACTCCCCACTTACACGATTCTCCTGTATGCGTGCGGGGCGCTGGAACGTCACCCCAGCATAAGAGGGGAGTCGCCTGTACTCTCAAAAGCAGGGCTGGTACTATTAAGAGTGGTGCAGAGGCCTATTTCGTCGGTTTCCAGCATGCAACTGTAGGGCTGTGATGGAGTCTGTACTGCGCCAATGAATCTTACCCATCAGTAACATAAGCCAGGGAAGTAGTAGCAGCAGCATCGCCTGGACAGAGGTGCCCTCCGGGAGCAGTGATAGGACCACATCAGCATTGATCACGCAGCCGTACAGCAAGGCGACAGAGCCATGTAGCAGCAGGCAAAGGAAGTAGCGGTAGTTCTGGTATCCCAAGCACTGGCCAAGCAAAGTGCAATGGTGGTCACGCCGCAGGATGCAAACGTTGCAGGAGAAACAGTGGCTGCAGCGGGGAGGCACGTGAGATTGGCAGGAGTAGCAGTAACTGAAAGAGAGAGAGTGAGGAGCGACGGTGAGGTTTCTACTGGGCTCATCTTACTCCACTCACTCAGCCCAGCGGCAGAGGACATGATTTGCATGCAAATGGACCCATGTTCAATCTCTGGCATCTGGAGGGAGGGGGGGAACCTTGCTTAAATCCCAGATGAACCATTGCCCAACAGTTTGCTTAAAACTGGGTTAATCTAGTGGTTTGACTTGGCATAAGGCGGCTTCCAATGTTGCTTTTTTAATCTTAGAAACTCTGGTTAAGTGCCTTTTGGCAGTTCAGTCCCTCGGGGAAAAGATCACACAGCAAGTGGGAGATGAACCCAGCTCCAACCACTGGCCACAGAGGGAGCAACTGTGGGGACGGTGCTTCTCTCCTCCATTGGAGGAAAGAACACTCTGCTTCAAATGCAGGCTTCCCTGGGACTGTTGAGCAGCCAGAGGATTAAAGGCTGCTAGGTTGTGGGCACAGATATGTGAGGGAGTATTCTTTCAACCAGTTATAAGTCACCCTGAGCAACTGATTGAAAGGTGGAGCATAAAACTGATAAAACAAATAAATACACTGAAGGAGGTAACTATTTTTTTTTTAAAGACAGTATGCCTTTCCCCCTAACCATAAATTAAGTTCTACTAAATTCAATGGGGATTACAGTACTCCCATTTATTTCTACCTGATATGCTTTTATTTGTTTATATGTTAATTTCTGCATTGACCTGTTAAGAACAAAACCTTCTCAAGGCAGCATACTTAATAAAATCAACCTAAGAGACGAAATTCAAAGATAAACAAAGAGGCAAATATCAGAAGAACATAAAAATAGGTCACATGACAGGTTAAGCTCTTGTAAATAATATGCTTTAACCTGGCATCTAAAATCAGGCACAGAAACCTCCCTAGCATACAAATGCAATGAACTGCACAATGTAAGTGCTGCTGCAGTGAATACCCATTTCCTTGTGGCCACTGATAATTCATTTACAATACAGTGGTGCCTCGCAAGACGAAATTAATCCGTTCCGCGAGAGTCTTCGTCTAGCGGTTTTTTCGTCTTGCGAAGCAACCCTATTAGCGGCTTAACGGATTAGCGCTATTAGCGGTTTAGCGGCTATTAAAGGCTTAAAGGCTTAGTGGATTAGCTGCTAAAAGGCTATTAAAGGCTATTAAAGGCTTAGCGGATTAGATAAAGGGGGGGGGAGCGGAAAAAAAATCTCAAGACTCGCAAGACATTTTCGTCTTGCGAAGCAAGCCCATAGGGAAATTCGTCCTGCGAAGCAACTCAAAAATGGAAAACCCTTTCGTCTAGCGGGTTTTCCGTCTTGCGAGGCATTCGTCTTGCGGGGCACCACTGTATTCCTCTTTCGTTTGTACAGCATACTCATTCATTTTTTAATCTTACATATTAAATCCATTTCTCTAAATTCCCCTTGGTATTTCTCTCTCTCTAACACTTGCCTCCAACATCTTAATGAAGCAGGGTCTTGCTTACAAAAAAACAAAAACAAAAAACCTGTGCTGCAAGCCTGCCAGGTAAGACATCTGGTTCAGTACTGTTTACTCTGGCAGAGCATCTAACACAGAGTTGTCTACCCTGAAATTCTCAGGGGCCTTTCCCATTATCTGCTACCTGGTTCCCTTTTTAAGTAATGGCCCCAGAGATGGGACCTCCTGCCTGACAGCTGTGATTTCTCCTCAATTCCTTTCCCTTTAAGGTACCCCAAGCTTTTAGCTAGGCCTCACGGGTGCTGTTGCTCTCCTCAGGGCTTTTCCTCCTCTTGACAAAAAAGAGCTTTGAAAAAATAAAATCCAATGAGAAGAGTGCCTCTGAGCATGTCAGGCCAAGACGCTTTCCCTAGTCCAGGCTTCCTCAAACTCGACCATCCAGATGTTTTTGGCCTACAACTCCCATGATCCCTAGCTAGCAGGACCAGTAGTCAGGGATGCTGGGAACTGTAGTCTCAAAACATCTGGAAGGCCAAGGTTGAGGAAGCCTGCCCTAACCTAACAAAAAACGCCTTCCCAGTCCTTTTCCCGCCACTTCCTCAAGCCCCGCCTCCACACTCCCACGCCCTTCTCTGATTGGCTGCCGTCCGCCGAAGCCCCCCCTAACTCACTCCCATCCTTGCCCCGCCCCCGCCAGCATAACGCCGCGCGTGCTGGGCGAGGCGGTGACGAAACGGCGCGCGTTCTCGAGCACGTTCCCCAGCAGGAAAAGCAGCGATGCCAGCGACACAAATGGGAATGCTTCCGTCCTAGGGGCCTCGCTCCCGCGCTCCCCGCCGCCTCCGCGTTGCCGAAGCAGCAGCACCGTGACCACCTCCAGGGCGAGCGCGCCCACCAGCGCCGCCCCCACGCACACGGGCAGCACCCTCCGCTCCCAACCGCGGCCGGCCATAGCGGCGCATGCGCGACGCCGAAGGAAGTCTTCGCCGCCAATCCAAAGAGCGAGCGGGCTCTGGGGACCGCCTTTAGGAGTGTGATTGGCGAGCCGCCTAGCCAATCCATCCGCCACGTGAGGCGGCCCTCGCGCTGTGTTTACCTCACAGCGATTCCTGTCAGTGGGGCGCTTGATTGACTTACGCTGCAATGTGAATATAGTCGCCTGTTTAATAAATATTTAGCAAGTCTGCTCAGAAGCCCCACTGAGTCAAAACACTAGCAACTTAAGCTGCTGCACACCATACATCTAAGGGCCTCTACCCTAAGGTTACCAGATTTTTTTCAATAAATCCGGGGACACTTAAAAAAATGATTTTTTTTTTTAAAGAGAAAAAAAGTTATTTTAAAAATTTAAGGAAAAAAGTCAACACCACAGATCAAAGTTTTTGAAACTGAGCTGGCGAGTAGGTCCTCCAGTGGGCGGACGGCACCCAATGGGGACCCCGAGATGCAGCCGATTCTCCTGCTCTCGCTGCGGGGCTGCCCCAAAGCTCCCAGCCGCCGCCGGCTGAAGTGATGCCGCGCTCCCTGCCGCTGCCAGATCGAGCCCAGAGCTTTTGCACGAACACACCCACCCACCCCCGCACCGCTTCTTTCTCTTTTTCTCGCCCCCATCACTCCTCTCCTCCCCAAAGCCGTGCAGCCGCAAGCAGCTCAAATGGAGTGGAAAATGGCCAGTGGTGGCAGATCGAGCCTTTAGATTATCTCCACATTTGGTATTTAGCTGTCTCTAATCCGCTTTTATTTGCCAGAAGCCGCCCCCCCTCCCACCAGCTTGGGCGGGTGGTTGCGGGGGCGGCGAGGAGACAGAAGAAGCGGGGTGGTGAATATATATGTGTGTCCCCCCATATACAGTATTTTGGCTGCCGCCGCTTCTATACACGTTTATATGATAAGCTGAGCCCAGGGGTGGGTAGAAAAGGGGGGGTGGAGATTGGAGGAAGAGGTGGAGGTGGCTCCAGTTCAGAGTTACTGGAGAATCCGTGTCAGGACTTCGCAATCCGCAGTCACACACAGAGAGAGGTGCATGGACGAAAGGGAGCTGGCAATACAATTCACTGGGATTTTTCTTTTAAAGAGCGATTTCACTCGCCCCCCACTCTCCTTTTCCTCTCTGACTCTTCCTTTCTCTCCCCATTGCTTTCAGCGCGACCAGCTTTGCTCTTGATCTCCGTTCACGGGGCAGCAAGCAGCAGCGTCAAGGAGAGAGGAAAAGCAAGGAGGGGGGAAAGCGAAGCTTGAAGAAGGGTTGGAACTGGATCCGGCTACAGGCCAGGATGCCAACCAGGGAGATGTAAATGAGGCGGACGAGGCCGACGGAGATAAAGGGGGCTTTTCTATCCGATTTTCCCTCTTGCGCGTGTGCCTGTGCTAATAGAATATATGGCAGCAACCAGGTAATGGAAACGATGGACTGATTTGGCTTTCTTCGTAGCTCCCCTCCTCCTCTGAGCAGTTGTTGAGTGGCCTGAATTAAGACAGCCTTGAGAAGTGTTGGTTAAAGGAGACAGCTGATTTAAAAAAATTAGAAAATAAGGCACTCATTTCTGCACCACTGCTCTTGTATAGTAAAAGTATCTCTTTTCCATCCGTCCCAAATTTGTTTTAATGCATTTCACTTTATCTATAATTGCACTACATAAATGGCTTTTCCGTTCTTAATTAATTTTCTCTATACAGGGAAGTTTTTAGAAATATTTGAACATTGATGTTACTCATAATGCATGTTCTCAGAAATTGATGTATGGGGAAAGGAAGTATTTTAGGAGTAGCTTAAGTTACGTGGTTGCTTTCTTTATGGATTAACCTGCCTTTCATGGCAAATTCTGTCCTTAAAGACACCCAATTTGGTTTTAAGCTACATCTTCAGCCCTTTGAGGACACTGGTACCGACTATTGTTGTTGTTTAGTCGTGTCCAACTCTTCGTGACCCCATGGACCTGAGCACGCCAAGCACTCCTGTCTTCCACTGCCTCCCGCAGTTTGGTCAAGCTCATGTTGGTAGCTTCGAGAACACTGTCCAACCATCTCATTCTCTGCCATCCCCTTCTCCTTGTGCCCTCAATCTTTCTCAACATCAGGGTCTTTTCCAGGGAGTTTCTCTTCTCATGAGGTGGCCAAAGTATTGGAGCCTCAGCTTCAGGATCTGTCCTTCCAGTGACTATAGGGACCCCTGACCATTAGGTCCAGTCGTGGCCGACTCTGGGGTTGCGGCGCTCATCTTGCTTTACTGGCCGAGGGAGCCTGCGTACAGCTTCCGGGTCATGTGGCCAGCATGACTAAGCTGCTTCTGGCGAACCAGAGCAGCGCACAGAAACGCCGTTTACCTTCCCGCTGGAGCGGTACCTATTTATCTACTTGCACTTTGACATGCTTTTGAACTGCTTGGTTTGCAGGAGCAGGGACCGAGCAACGGGAGCTCACCCCGTCGTGGGGATTCGAACCGCCAGCCTTCTGATCGGCAAGTCCTAGGCTCTGTGGTTTAACCCACAGCACCACCCGCCTTCCTTACTGAGTGCTAAATTTGGAATACATTCAAACACTAAAACAGCGCCACAGCTCCACCTACAAGGTCTACAGTGATATGAAATTCACAAATACAACTGTTTATTTTAATAAGTCATTAACAACTGTAACATAACAACAAAGTAACATATAACACTTCATTCATAAGGCATCAGGGAACATCAGCATAAGCTCTGGAACATCAACATAAGCTCCAGAATCGCCCAAAGCCCATAGTCATTCTTCCCTGGAGGAAAAGCTCCAGGCAGAACCATCAAGATTCTCCCTGTAATCATAAAATCACAATAGAGAGGTATCAGTATGATGGACTGGATGGGCTGAGAAATAGCCATAACAGTCATCTGCAAACCTTCCTCTCTTTGTCAACACCACTTAAGAACTTTGCATGTAAACATTGAAGTGTTAATAACTGTCATAACAACTGTACTTTACCAAATATTTCTCACAACTGCTCACCTGTAATCTCTGGAATCGCCCCTCCTCTGACATATTCCTCTGTGCTGTAAGTAAAGTATAAAACTCCATGCCTTCTTTTGTTCGGGGTTTGCCTTCCTTCGTACCACATTGGACGTTTGGGAGTGGTAACCCCTGTTGCAACTGCGCTCTATATCCTGGGAGACTTTCAGGGGCCAAGGGGGCATATTTTCTAGGAATTTTCCAAGAATATGCCCCCTTCTCGCTGAAACTCTGCCAGAATATGCCCCCTTGTTCCCTGAAACTCTCCCACAATTTGCCTCCTTGCTCTCTGAAATTCTCCCAGAATATGCCCCTTTCCCCTCTGAAACTCACCCAAAATATACCCCCTTCCCCCCCTGAAACTCTCCCACAATATGCCCCCTTCCCCCCTGAAACGTTCCCAGAATATGTCCCCTTGCCCCCTGAAAGGGTCCCAGAATATGCCCCCTTCCCCCCTGAAACTTTCCCAGAATGTGCCCCCTTGCCCCCTGAGAGTTTCAGGAGGCAAGGGGGCATATTCTGGGAAAGTTTCAGGGGGCAAGGGGGCCTATTCTGGGAGAGTTTCAGGAGGCAGGGGGGCATATTCTGGGAGAGTTTCAGGGGGCAAGGGGGCATATTCTGGGAAAGTTTCAGGGGGCAAGAGGGCATATTCTGGCCAGGTTTCAGGGTGCAAGAGGGCATATTCTGGCCAGGTTTCAGGGTGCAAGAGGGCATATTCTGGCCCAGTTTCAGGGGGCAAGGGGGCATATTCTGGGAAAGTTTCTGGGGGCAACGGGGCATGTTCTAGCCAAGCTTCAGGTAGCAACGGGGCATGTTCTGGCCAACTATCAGGAAGCATAATCTGGCCCAATTTCAGGGGGAATGGGGCATATTCTGGGAGAGTTTCAGGGGTAAGAAGGCATATTCCCGGGCGGGCTGAATGGAGAGGAAGCAGAGGAGTGGAGCAATTTCTTAGGGGGACTCAGGGGGGATGGGGATATCTTCAGGGGAGACCAGCAGGGAGACCATAGTCTGGTTCGAGGATGAGGGGGACTTATCCCAGGGCGGAGCTAAGGAGGAAGACAGCTGCTTTTGGGGTGGCTATGAGTGGAGCGAGGAGAAAGAGGGTGCTCATAGGATCTTGCAATGCACTTCACTCCTTGGCGCGATTTCCTGTGTATAGCAGAAGGAACAAAGAAAAAACCCACACCTTTTGAGTATTTTTGCGGCTAAAATCTCTGGAGCTAGAAGCATGTGTGGATCCTAACTTTGCCTCTGTTTGCATCCGGCTTCCCATATCCACCCCTGACAATCTCGTGGAATTTTATTTTTATTATCTATACCCTGCCCATCTGGCTGGGTTTCCCCAGCCTCCTTTATGCCTTGGCTGCTGGTGGGGCAGCAAGAGCAGCAGAACCTCCTGGTGCCTGTCAAGAGAGGATCCCCACTTCTTCAGACATCCCTCTCTGTGGCCTGCAGGTGCATCTCCCTCTCATTCCATGGAGGAGGAGCTCCAGAGCACCCACCAGCCCCAGTGATGCCCTCCTAAGAGACTTGGGATTGCTCTCTTACCCATTGACACCCACAAGTAGCTACCTTTGCTAGGACAGCCAGCCAGCTGGCTAGCCTGCCAAACTATGGTACTAAAGGAGAAATAATGACTCCTTATAACAACCCCCATAATAGTTATTTTCTCAAAAGCTGAGCTGAACTGGTGCGCTTCCTCTCCCTCGCCCAGATTCAAATATGGGATGGTGACTGGGAAACATGGAAGGCAACATCTAGAATGCGAGGAGGAGGGAATGCTTTTGCAGCTCCCACTGATGCCCTCTCTTACAATGGGCAGGGGAACGTCTTGGCCCGTTCCTAATCTGATTAAGGCTTTGTGACTCACCAATTGGCTATGGAGAGCCCTGAGATGAACTGGGTTGCAGTGCATGAAAGCCTAACACTTATGTATCCATAGCAGTGACTGGAGGAGGAACGACCGCTAGGAGGAGTGTAGAGAGAAGAAATGCCCTGGTGCACCTGCAGCAATACAACTGGATGCCTTCCTCTGCCCCAGATGCAACAAAACACATCTCTCCCCTATCAGCCTCTACGGCCACAGCAGGCCACCTTCCAGCAGTTTGGCCTCACCCCAAAAGGACCTTACTCCTCCGTTGTCTCCGGAGACAGACGGATGCCTACATATATCAAAAGGGGCCAGTGAGAGCCTTGGGGGTCAATAAACCCCAAGCACCCAATTTGTTGTGCAGGGCAAATCTCTTAGGAACATCTTTTTTCTAGGGAAATGACAGGTGATGTGTTTCTATGGAAACCAGTAACCTCTCTCCCTTCCCTGTACCACTCAGGATCAGCTCACCTTCAGCCCAAGGCCTCACCACAAGGCGACTCCTCTTCTTGGGGGCTCTGCCCCCTGGATGGTCTCAAACTGGGAGAAGACAAAAAGAGAGATGTCGGTTGGCCAAAATAAACTGTGTCTGTCAGAGCTGGTGGCCTGGAGGCACAATAGTGGCCAAGGAGGAATGGGCAGCCCAAAAGGTCAAGAGTCGGTAGTTTTCAAATTTATTTCATTTAATTTCCTCACCCAGGAAGTGCGCTAAAGCACACTGACAAATGTAAATTTTCAGCGCACAGTTTTAATACTGTTTGGTTGGGAAGCTTTTGGGAGTCTGTGCAAATCTGAAGGAAGAAAAAAAGTAAGACTACTTCTCTGAGAACCAGAAATAGTTAGGAGCACAGCCAGATGGGCGGGGTATAAAAAATAAATTATTAGTATTAATTATATTATTAAGATGCATACCATCAGCCTAGTTCTCCGCCTCAGCCTCAACCTGCTTCTGTTTAACTGCTTTAACTTCTTTGGAATTCTCTGGCGTCTCCAGGGAAACTGGAACCCAGGCATTGTGACACAAATGGCTGCAAATCCCAGGCAACCAAACAGGGATCCTCCGGTTTGAGGGTCAAAGTAAACTCTGCCAGCGGTCTGTTTAACTTTGGCCCACAAGGCCATTTTTCCACTGTCACACTCACCTGGTCCATTGGAGATGATGAATTGGGCAATAGTTTTGGATCCATCTTGAATTAGCTGCATAGATTCAGTATCTGGTCACTGTTTGCTTTCTCCAACTCCACCGATTCCCTCTCTGCGGGTGAACGTCCCTCTCCTGTTGGCTGGAGGAACCAGATGCTACATATTTTATTTTATTGTATTTTAAATTTTTTATTTTCTATACTGCTTTATATTTTTAATAATTGAAATTGAATAATTGAATTGAAATACTTTATTGTCACTTGTACAACTTGTATACAGTGAGATTACACAAGCACCCCCCACTCAGCTCTCTTAGTCTTAATTCCCCTCATTTACTGACGCACACCCACCAAACCCGAAAATCAGTTGCCCTGTTGTTATCTTTTCATTCAGCATCCTAACAGCCCATGGATAGAAGCTGTTCTTTACCCTGTTGGTGCGACTAATCATGCTTCTATATCTTCTGCCCGAGGGCAGGAGATCAAGAAAGTGCCGGTCAGGGTGTGAATCTTCCATAAGAATTTTCCTCACTCTCCTGAGGCAACGTTCTTCCGCCATTTCATAGTTTGTGCTGTATTCACCACCCTCTGTAGGCACTTCCTATCAGTTGATGCCAAACCAGCATACCACACGGTGACGCAGTATGAAAGGACACTTTCTATTGTGGACCGGTGGACGGAGATAATCAAATGCTAATTGACATTGTTCTTTCGCAATACTCTGAGGAGATTGGGCTCTGAGTCTCTGTTGGGCTTTCTTAACCACTTGGGTTGTATTTATTTTCCAAGTAAGGTCTTCACTGAGATAAACTCCTAGGAATTTAAAGGAAGAGACTCTCTCCACACAGCCCTCCCTGATGTACAGTGGGGCTTGTTCTCTCTTCCTCCAAAAGCCCAACATTATCTCCGTTGTCTTGCTGATATTAATAAAAATCTCTAAGCGTTTTACAGCATATTAAATAAATAAAACAATAGCCCGTTGATGTTCCTCTGGCCTCATGAGGAGCCTCTTTCTAGGGCTGGCGAGTCTGGGCCTTGCCCCCTAGGCCAGGTGGAAAGGGCCTTGCAGGGAGCGGCCTTCACGCCTCACAGCCGGGCAAAGGTTGTGGTTTAAGGTTTAAGGCCCACCCTATTCTTCCGACTGTAAATTATTCTAACTTATTTCAAGGTTGCATTTTTATATTGTTGTAACCTCCCCTCGAACCGTGTGGTGAAGGAATGAAACTTAACAAAAAACAGCCGAAACCAATAGGGACTCAAGCATCTTGCTTTAATAATAGCACTTCTTTTTTCCTTTTCTTTTTGGCAATAAAACAAGTCTGTTTCTACAATACAAAACAAAAAGATTAAACAGTAGTACCCAGTTGCATCATAGGAGTGTAAAATAATCCCTGATAACGGAATCTTCTGGCGCAATTACAGAAGCAAACATCACCTCAGAAGCCTCCCATTTGGGCACCTCAGGGGAGACGTGAAACAGCCTCGGAGGGGAGTGAGGGGGCTTCTGCAGCACCTCAGGCGGCTTTCTGGGAGCAAGTGTGAAGTGGGTGGGGGAGACGGGTAAGGGGCATTCAGCTGCTGCAGCCTGGAGGCCCCAATTCACCCCAAACCGGCCTCTGGGTGAGGAGAATTCTGCCCCTCAGGCCTTGAGGTCAGGCATTGGCATGCTCATAGAAGCTTCCAGAGAGAGGAAGCAGCCTGCCCAACTGTTGGCCAAACAGGATTGCCGATCATTTTGTGCCTGACCCTATTTGATTTCCATGAGTCAGTTTCTTATCCAGATCGCACCTATGAGACCGCCTCTCCTGGTATGCCCCACGGAGGACCTTAAGGTCCATATATAGCAACACCCTAGAGGTCCCAGGCCCTAAGGAAGTTAGATTAGCCTCAACCAGAGCCAGGGCCTTCTCAACACTGGCTCCGGCCTGGTGGAATGCTCTGTCTCATGAGACCAGGACCCTGTGAGATTTGATTTCTTTCCGCAGGGCCTGTAAGACAGAGTTGTTCCACCTGGCCTTTGGCTTAGAACCAGTTTGATTCCCTCCCCATCTTTCTTTTTCCTTTCTCCTCCTGTGTAGAGGCTGCATCCTAATGTTTTAATGTTGTATTTTGATTGTTTTTTAAATTGTATTTTAATCAACTTGTTTTTATTATTGGTTGTTAGCCGCTCTGAGCCCGGCCTTGGCTGGGGAGGGCGGGGTATAAATAAAAATAACAATTATTATTATTATTATCATCATCATCCCAGGGATGGCGGACCCGTAGCCCTCCTGGCGTTGCAGGGTTATCAATTTCCTATTCGAGAAAGGCACCCTTTAGGCAGGACAACAGTCAGAGAGGAACAAGGCTGGCGAGGGCAACTTCTCGAGATGTCAGTGATGTGAAGCTGTGGATGCCAAAAGGCAGGCACCAGTGAGGGAAAGCGGGCCCCTCGGGCGAGTGGAAAATATGGGGCTGGAGAAAAGGGATGATGTCCTTGCAGCCAGATACAGATTGGAAGACAGGAAGCCACCCTATGGCGGAGCCAGGCCATTGAACCATGTAGTTAGTTCTCTTTCCTCTCTCTACCTGGAGATGCTGAGGACTGAACTGCAGAACATGCCACTGAAAGGCAGTCCTCCCCTTAAAAATAAGATTTCTGTCCAATTGCTTCTGAATAAAAGGCTGATATAAGCAGGGAGATCAGAAGCGGCTTTACACCAAACCAGACATTTGGTTTAGCTAGCTCTGTATTGTCTACACTGACTGGCAGTTGCTCTCCAGGATTCCAGATTGTGTTCTCTCCTATGTCTACCTGGAGATGCCAGGGATTGAAAGCTCAGTCTTCCCCCATGTAGACACAGGCCTTTCCCATCTGAAGAAGGAGCCCTGCAAAGTCCCCTGTCAGGTCTCAGTCCATTCTTGCCAAACTTTGTATTTGCCAAATAAAAAAATACAGAGGCCAAAACAGTTACAGAAGTGGGAATATTTCTTTGGCACTGATGCAAATATGTTTCAAAAACATAGAAGGCATCTCACTGGCAAATAGTGAAATACCAGTGGGCAAATCTGAGGCCAAATGCACACTGCACATTTAAAGCACTCTTTATAACCCACCCCCCATCCTGGGAACTTGTGTTTGTTGAGAGTGCTGAGAGTACTACAGTTCCCAGAATTCCCTGGGAAGAGGGACTGATTTAAAAATACTCTGGGAATGGTAGCTCTGTGAGTGGGAGAGAGGTCTCATAACAACACCCTCGACAAACTACAGCTCCCAGGATTCTTTGGGGGAAGCCATGGTTGTTGAATGTGTTTCAAGAGTGCTTTAAATGTATAGTGCAAATATGGCCTGAGTGTAAGAAATATGGCAAATGAGTCGAAGGAAGTGTGGCCGACGGAGGGCTGAGATTTCCCAGCAAGCAGTGCTATGTTGCAGAGTGGGCATCCACCAGACGGCTATAGAAGCAAACTGGGAGGACTGAGCAGACATCCAGCAATAGGGACAAAGAAGGCAAGACATCCCATTTTTTAAAATTAAGGCATCAGGGCTCCCCCCCCCCGCCGTGTGCCTCAGGATGTTTGCTCACTATTTCAAAACAATGCTTCTGTGGGGCCAGCTCTCTGGCTGCCCCCCTTATCCTGCACATACATCTTAAGACAAAAAAACCAAAAACTTAAGAGGAGGCCAACATCAGGACAAAGCCCTAAAAACTAACCAAAGCCAGCAGCCACTGAAAAACTGGCCATCAAGAGGCAAGAGTGTTCCCAGAATGCACTGCCCACTCAGGGCTTTTCCACAGAGCCACCGTTGCTGCTCATGTTGGTGCTGTGATAAGCCCCCATTTTAAAGACAAGGAGCCTGAGGTCAAGTCAGGAAGGCCTCTTTTGTGCCAAGCTGTGCGGCAAGAGTCTTGCTATGGATCGTTATTCAAAGCAAGAAGCAGCTTTGGAGGCAGCGCAGGATCTGAACAGCTTCTGAGGTCACAGGTGATGACCAGGCACGGCGGCAGGGAGCCAAGAGAGTCCACCTTGGCACGTGAGGCAAATGTGAAGTGCTGTGTGTGTGTGTGTGTGTGTGTGTGTTTAAGCACGGGTCTGTTCCTTTATTTGAGGTGGAAGCAGTGAAAAAGCAAGAAGCGACCACATTGTGATGCAAGGCACTTGCAGGTAAAAAGAACGAAAGCACAAAAGATGTCCGAGGAGAAGGGCCAGACAGCCGTGCAGGGATGGTGCTGTTTCTTCTTCAGGCAAACATGGTTAGTTGTATCCACTGCAGTGCAGGAGAGAGAGAGAGATAAAAAGAGGAATAGAGGAGAAATTCAGTTCAGTTCACCGTCAAAAGCAAATCTACCTAATTCACGCTTTCTGAAACAACACATAAACTGAAACATAGACCCAACCTTCAAAATCTGCACCTCTCCAAATTTTGCAATAATGCATACAAAATGCATACATAGGCTGTAATACAATGCACAAACACATTGGGGAACACTGCATGTAAGTAAATGTGTATATTAGGATAAATTATCGCAAAAATGCTGGTGGGTTTTCAGGAGGATTAAAAACAGTAGTTCAGAAACTCCCAATGTCATAATCGTTCCTCACAGGAAAACGCGTTCCACCCCCTCAATCATTTTTGTTGCCATTCACTGCACCTTTTCCAGATTTACAATATCCTTTTTGAAGTTCCTGGACCAGAACGGCACACGGTATCCCGAGTGTGATCTCACCAGACATTTGTATCACAGCATTATGACACTGGCAGTTTATTTTCAACTATCAGAGAGGCATTACCTTAACCAAGTCAAAGGTGACGATTCCATCCTTGTCTGAGTCCAGTGCTTGGAAAAACCCTGAAGAGAGAGATTGTGGGGTGAGTGGCAGAGTTGAGGGTGGGAATTAAATCAAGATATTTCACTGCAGGACTTCTCTGGGTGGGAAACAAACCCAGATCAACCCTGTTGACTCCAGGGACAGGCTCCAAAGAGCTGCGCCAGGAGGGTGGCATGCCCAAAGATGCACCAGGCTGCTGGCCTGCTTCCTCCTTACCCATTTCAAGCTGCTTTGGAAATAATTTAAGAGCAGCATGGGGAACATATTGCAACTGCATGGAAATTTAAAATGTTGCTGGTGGTTTGCAAAGCCTTTCGGCACGCCTAAAGAAACCCTCTAGCCCTGGAGTTAGAGCACTGGGGCATGCAAAGCCAACACCTTTCTAAACTCCAAGGCCAACACTGCAGTCCCCTGCTACTCCTTTGCCTCCTTTGACTTCTAGGAGAACCCCAAAGAGGGAAGAAGTGCAGACAATACAGCCTCCACCAGTCCTCAATAGCTATGGGGTCCTGGGGGTGGGGCAAGGGGGCTTTGCCCTTGCCCTCCATAGGCAGACTAAAACAACCTGGTCACACATCAAAATATGAAACGGCCACCCTACGAAAAGGGCACTCACGGAACATGGTTTCAAGTCGCACTAAGCAGCAGACAAAATTGTCAAAGTCGATGGCCAGATCAGGTTCAGCATAGCGGGTGATGATTAGCTCATACAGTTTCTTGTTCAGCTTGAAGCCTGGGCGAGAGAAAGAAAGAGCAAATACATTTCATTCAGAAGCTGGGTGGCTTTCTTAAAAACACAACAGAGTCTCCCACTTTTGAAGCAAGCCGAGGGACTATGAGCAATTCAGACAGCTGTGTGCTTTGAAATCCAGCAGTTTAGATTAGACCTTAGTGGGGGACCTGTGGTCCTCCAGACTTTGCAGGATTCCAACTCCCATCACTACTAAACTATGGCCATACCAGCTGGGGCTGATGGGAGCTGAGAGTTGAAGAACATCTGGAGGGCATCCAATTTCCCAGTCCTGAGACACTTGTAATACAAAACTTATATGGCAGCTGTATCTCCACTATCCCACTTGGCTGGGTGCTGAGCAGGAAAGACAAGTCACAAGTGTCTTTCTCACAGGACCTGAACTGCCCATTTGTCTAATTCATTCATGCACAGCTTCCAGTTACAATTAATGAGGAAAGGGCAAAGGAACTGGATATGTTAAAGAAGACAAGAAGGGTCCTGTTAGATCAGGCCAAAGGCTCATCTTAGTCCAACATCCTGTTCCCACAGTGGCCAACCACCCAGGATTCCTGACTGTTAGCTGAGTTTCTTGATTCTGATTGATGTCTTGGTTTTAATTCCACCTTGAGGACTAGTTCAGTTGAGAGGCTGCCTAGAACTGAATGCAATTAAAAAGGGGCAGATCACCTGCAGCCTCCAGAGCCATCCGCATCTCGTAGGCACTCATGCTCCCCGACTTGTCCAAATCGAACTTCCTAAAGACTGCCTTAAAAGATAACAAAGAGAAAAGGAGATAAAATGCCCCCAAAGGTGTCAACAGTGAACCCAGCGGCTGAGCCCCAAGAATCAAAGGTGTCCAGAGGAAAAAATAAATTATGAGTTCCAAGGCTCCAGTAGGAACCCATCAATTCATAGTCTAACCACTAGAGGGAGATCCAGAAAGGATCACTAAACTCTCCAGACTTAAGTCCCATCTAGAGGGAAGAGATTTCAGAACCAGATTCAAAATTCCTTAACATGCTCAAATTATGATACTGGACATCAACATTCACCTTTTAAGAATCAAATGGATGTCAAATTACAAAGTTTGATTGTTTTGGCTCTCTCATTTTCAGCCCACTCCTTAGATATGTTCCAATTTTTAGAACAGTCCATATCTGCAAAATATTGTTTGCATATCAGAAAACAATTAAGCAGAATTCCCCAGCTTTTCCCTGCAAATAACAAAAATAATTATAATTCCATTTAGTTATCCTGGTTTGCGGGGGGTGGGGAATCATGTAACCAAGAGGATATTTGTGAAATATTTGGACAGGAGAGTTTTGTGCACCAAGTTTTAAACCATGGGGAATCTGTGGACCTCTAGCTGTTGTTGGACTATAGCTCCCATCATTCTTGACCACTGTCTATGCAGTCTGAGACTGATGGGAGCTGGACTCCACAGTACCTGGGTGGGCAGAGGACCCCACCACTTACCCACCCCACTGTAGTCATGTTTGTGTGGTTTTTTTTACCCATAAATGGCTTTGATGACACTGTGAGCTTACCAAATAGCTCCTGATTTTGGTCCAAAGGATGTTGAACTCCACCAATCCAAGTTTCCCATTTCCATCTCTCTGATCAAGGAAGCGGATGTTAAGGAGACACTGCTGTCAAAATGCCGCCGTCGCCTCCTTCCACCATCACCTCCCCTTCCCCTCCAATGCCATACTCCCAAAAAATTAGTTTGTTGAGCGCTTGCAGGCATATAGCTTAGGCAGAGGTTAAACTACGTCCAGCCTTCACATAGCATTCATTCTGATTTGTTAGTGATAATTTATCTTTTTTGTAAATCACTTTGAAGTTTTTTTTCTTCTACAAACAAGCTGTATATAAATTTTGCGCAATAAGTATTATATAAACATCTTTAAATAATTTTTAAAGTCTGCTTTGTTTTGGTTTTATAAAAGTGGATTTATTGCATTAGGGCAAAAGAGCATTATAATCTACTTTAATTAAGCGCAAATCTAAATTGATGGCACGTGCTCTCCTGCAAAATACTGAGAACCTGGAGCTGCTTTAAAATACAGTGGTGCCCCGCAAGACGAATGCCTCGCAAGACGGAAAAACCGCTAGACGAAAGGGTTTTCCGTTTTGAAGTTGCTTCACAGGACGAATTCCCCTATGGGCTTGCTTCGCAAGACGAAAATACCTTGCGAGTCTTGAGATTTTTTTTTCGCTTTTCCCCCCCTTTATCTAATCTGCTAAGCCTTTAATAGCCTTTAATAGCCTTTTAGCAGCTAATCCCCTAAGCCTTTAAGCCTTTAATAGCCGCTAAACCGCTAATAGCGCTAATAGCGCTAATCCGTCAATGGGCTTGCTTCGCAAGACGAAAAAACCGCTAGACGAAGACTCTCGCGGAACGGATTAATTTCGTCTTGCGAGGCACCACTGTACACAGACCCCGAAACCAAAAAGGAAGGATACATCCATGAGGTTCACCATACTCCGACAGGACTCCAAACTAAACCCTTTCGTCCGAAGGTCTTTATCTACAGTGAAAAGCAAAGAAGGGACAATCAGAGCTTTTCCTTTTACACCCCATGAATGCACGCAGCAAAAAGATGGCGGAAATCGTTCAAAGGGACCCTCAACAGTGGCACAAGGAAGCCACAAACCCTGGAATTATATGTCAGGTTTGTTACAAGTCCAAGGTCAGGAAGGTGGTGGGTTGCTGGTGTCCGAACATTTTAAATGGTGAAATCTGGCAACACTTGTTGCCAAAGGGCCCTGGCAACACAAAGCTTCACCAAATTAGTTTTATTCTCTGTTGCATACAATACTCAGCATTTGTTGTACGCACATGCACACATTCCCTGACTTTCTGCATGACAAATGTTTTGCTATTTTAATTTCTTTTTTAAAAAAGAAGAAGAAGGTGATGAGGAAACAAGTTAGGCTCAGTGCTTACGTTTCCCTATGATTCTGTTGAGGATAGTCTGCAGTTCACGAACGCTGATTTCCATATCCTGCAAGGAAGGGCGGAAAAGAAGAGGAAAAAAAGATTCAGTGTTATTTTAAGCCACTCTTAAAAGAGGCGATTCCTGGAGAGGCCTGAAGTCAAGCCCTTTGCTCAGAACCTACTCAGACCTGGAACCTGTTTCCCCATCACAGCTCCGGGCACCTTTGCATATGCAAACTAAGTGCTCTGCTGCTCAGCTAGGACAAAGGTGGGGAACTTAATGATCCTTAACCCCCCCTCCGCCTACCACTGGCCAACTCTGACAGGTGGGTGAGGTGAGCACCAAGCATCAGCTGATCAACAGGGCCCGCCAATCCTCCATTTGGCAAGAAGCCATCTGTCACCTGCTCCACACCTGCACAGCTTGGTCAAAATAGTAAGGAAACACTTTACCAAGCTGGAGAACTGCACTGCAGAATTCTGAGAAGGGCTGATTTCAAAGGCTGCCTGAATTTCGGTCCACGTATTGTTTTGGATGGTGCATGTTGGGAAAGTTCCCCTTTAAATGGGGAATGGATCTAATTTAACCCTCCCCCCTCGCATTTGACACACTTACCGCCCCCGCCAGCTGCCTAAAGAGTTGCTTGAAGCTATCATCAATCTCGCTTTCTGAAAGCACTTTCTGGGGAAGGGAGAGACAGAGGAATGATCAGACAGGCAGGTTAGGGTTAGAAAGTCTAAATATGCAAAGTTCTATGGGCTCGGAAGCATGGAAAAGTGATAGGCTGCTCTTTTTATTTTTTTAAAAACCACTCACAAAAAGCTTCACCATCACTTCAAGAATTATCTTGGCTAGCTGAAGGCCACATGTGATGAGTCCATTCTAAGGGCTGCATGCATTGGCCCGTATCTGTGGGGAGATTTCCACCACCACCTCGTAAAAAATGGAAAACTGCTGGACAAATTACTGTGCCCCAGCACTAGCTGAGAACATAAGATGAGTCTTGCTGGCTCTGGCCAAAAGGGGACAATCTGGTCCAGCATCCACTTCTTACAGTGGCCAAACAGATGTCCATGGGAAGCTCTAAGTGCAACCACAACTGTCCCCACTCGTGACTTCCACCAATGGGTGTATACTGAATTCAGAGAGAAAGACGTGCCCATGACAGAAGAGGGGATCCTTCTTGAATGTAAAAAAAACTGGTAGCAGTTGTTACATAATTCCTCTACACCAGTGGTTCCCCAACTTTTTCTTTTCTCCAAGGACTGCTTGAAAATTGCTGAGGATCTCGGAGGACCAGTTAGCTATTCTTCTACCTCTTGGAGCAATGGTGCTAGGTGCTGCATGGTTTTTAACTGAATTTTTGCAGACATGCTGTGGATCACTTGAACGAAGCTGGTAGACTGTCAGAGGTCCAGAGACCAGCTTGGGAAGTCCTGCTCTGGAATACAAGCAGGAATTTCCTCTAAGTCACCCTTTGAAAGGGGTCCGTATTTGTCACTGGAGGATTCCTACCTCATCTGGGAGGTTTGCCTGGATTTCATCGTCCATTTCCCTGCAGAAAGGCAATAAAAATAAAAATGAGAACTCAGGGGAAACATAAAGAGGCTCAAGGCAATTATCCAGACACTAGTAAACATAGCAGAACAAGCATTATGAAACCGGGGTGGTGAGAAGCATTCTGAAGCCAAGTGAGAGGCAGGGGAGAGTTAAAGTCAAGGGTTTACATCTGGTTTTGTTTCCAAAGTCTGGCTCGTGTGTTGCGACAGCAGCAGAATTCCAACAAAATTGGAAGCTGCCAATGTTAACTTATTTGCCCATAATGGAAATCAACCCAGTGAAAACGACTGATGTTTGCTGCTGCTGTTGCTTTCAGTCTGCAAATGATAACAAACTAATGTTCCCCGCCGCAAACCACCACCATTTGCACTGTGATTCCTTTGCACTGAAATGAATGGGATGGAATAAAGTAATGACAACGCGAGTTATGTAAGCTACATAATCTCGCCACAATGGACAGCAAAGAATGACGATGTCATAATTTTTGGCACAAGATGAACTGCTGCAGAACAGCAATATCACCGTGTGTGTCAAACACAGGGTGGAATGGAAAGCAATGCATTTTACATCCCTACCTCTGACTCGAAGGACTCCGTCTTGGGAGCCCCAGTCCAGAGTCTCCCCTGCTCTATGAGAGTAAAAAAGCTGTTGAGAGGGGGTGGGCCCCTTTAAGAGAAGTGGTGCTTTTCGGTAAAAGGCAAAGCTTACAGCTCCTACCTAAGGCTCAGCCCAAGGCTGGCTGTTGCTGAAGCAGCTTCAATGCTCCACTCTCTGAGCCCTGGGCAAAAGTCTGGGCTAGGATGAGGTCAGCACCTGTATCCCAACAGGCAGCGCCAATCACAGTTGGAAAGAGGCAAAAGATCAGAAGGTCCTAAGTCCAGCTCCTCACACCTGTCTGGTTAAGAAGGGATTAGGTGGCAGGCAAATGGGGGCGGGGGGCAGACCTGAGACCCTGGAAAGCCAGAGAAGACCATGCTTGTTCAAAGCTTCCATGGAGACCAGAATATATCCAGTTTCCATTGAGCATTTGCTCTGATCTGTTCTATGACAACAAGCATTCAATCAATCCTGATCTGCATGAGAGGTGTTTCCAGGTCTTCCCATTAGTTTTTCTTTCATCCCATTCAGTTCAGGCAACCTCCCTATTAACACGGGGGTTACATTCTGAGGCGCCGCGTGTTTAAGTGAAATTGCATAAATTGGGAACACCATTGGAAAAGCCTGCAAACACCCTCCAAACCTCTGGAAACCATCAAAAAACCATTTAAAAAACAAAAAACCCACCAAAACCTACCACAGTTGCTCCCTCCAAACCTCCTTGCTCAAACTCCAACTCTCCATAGGCCTCAAAGCTTGGTGCTAAGGCTCTTGGGATTGCCAGATACTATTTTCATGTGTTTTTATGCTCTTTTAGGGATGCTTTTGCCCCTTTTTGTGCTACTTCAGTGTTCGTGGCAATGCGTGCAATCACATGCAGGGCCGGATTTAGGTTTGATGAGGGCCTAAGCTACTGAAGGTAATGTCCAGCTGTCCTTTGTCAACAACAAATTGTTGCTGTTTTTTGTGTTGGATATATGCTATATAGTAATTTATGGACCTAATGGGTATCTAAAGCCATTTGCACATAACAAAATATGTATTTTATCAAAGTAATTGTTGAACTAAAATACAATTAATTTTTGGGGGGGGCCCCCAAGAGAGCGGGGCCCTAAGCTATAGCTTGTTTAGTAAAGGTTGCCTGTCACTTTCCCAACTACAATAAATCCACTTAAAAAGAAGAACTGGATTTGTTGTGCCAGGGAAACCAGAGTGTTCTCACCATCTTTTATGCCTGACAACAAACCCTAACTATTGGATTCTTTTGCCCCACCTTTTTATGCCTGCCAAACAGCTGTGTTATGCTTATGATATTTTATTCTCTTGTTAATTATGCTGTTTTAAATATGCAATTTATATTTGACTTCACTTAGCAATGTGGTTTTTTTAAAATGTTTAAGTTTTTTTGTTAACTTTGTTTGTGTTAAATATGTGTTCTGTAGTTGACCTCCTTTGTAATGTTTTATTTTGAAGTCTTTAAGATAATATTTTAGTTGTCTGTTAATTATGTAGCTTTGACTGCATACTCTACATTTGACTTTCTTCAGACTGTTTTATTGATGTTTTATTGATGTTTCAATATTCCGTAAACCGCTTTGAGATTTTTCTTATAAATATAAAGCAGTATAGAAATGAAATAATAATAATAATAATAATTATCACTCGAACCTAAATGTCGATTTCAGTGGGTCTGAGTAGTTAGACAGCGCTGCAAGAGGACACTGTACAGCACTCTGAAACCCATTTCAAACAGTTGAACGATTGCCCACCCTCTGCCAAAGGAATGACAAAGATCACCAGCAACACATACACTGTCCCAGCTTTGTTCTCTGCGAAGAACCGGAGCACGAAGTCCCCTTCCTTGTTGGGCTCAAAGGTGGAAGGCACCACGATATACTCCCCCGGCGGCAGCTTGAAGCGGGTGCTGACCTCGCGCAGGTTGATGAACTGCTCAGATCGCGCCCGCGAGGAGTTTGACAGGAAGAAGTCACGCTTCAGGTGTACGGAGGTCTGCCCCCTGAACTGCCAGAGAGGAGAAGGCACGAGTTGAGCAAGCGCTTCACCTGTCGAACCTTCCTCTTGGAACAGGGAACGGCCGTGGCCAGGGCCGGATTTAGGTTTGATGAGGCCCTAAGCTACTGAAGGTAATGGGGACCTTTATATGTCCAGCTGTCCTTTGTCAACAACAAATTGTCGCTGTTAGAAATGAGCAAACCACTGATATTTCAGCGAGCAGGCTAGCAGGTAGGGCCCATTTCTTACATCACAGGAGCCTACACAACACAAAACACTGTTGCTGTATGTAGGTTTTATTTTATGTGTTTTTTATCTTCTATTTTGGAAATGTACATCCAGGTTTTTTCCTTTAATTTTTTTGCCCCCCTCCCAAAGAGTGGGACCCTAAGCTGTAGCTTGTTTAGCTTATATGTAAATCTGGCACTGGATAGCTGAGTGGAAGAGTTCCTGCCTTGCAGGTAGAAAGGTCCCAGGTTCAAACCACTGCAGCTCTGGTAGACAGCAGCTTTCTACATCCTTGTTTAAATTGGCCCTTTCTTTAAATCAAGAGGACTGGAATCTTGTCTTTCTTTTTAGAGGAAGGACTGCAGCTCAGCAGCCAGAGCACCTGCCTCTCATACCAAAGGTCCCAATTTCAACCCTCAGCAGCTCCTGATAAGCTTGTCTGAAAACCCGGAGAGCAGCTGCCAGTCAGTGTAGACAATGCTTAGTAATAATAATAATAATAATTTATTATTTGTACCCCGCCCATCTGGCTGGGCCTCCCCAGCCACTCTGGGCGGCTTCCATAGAAACAAAAAATACAGTAAAATATCACAGATTAAAAGCTTCCCTGATTAAAAGCTTAGCTAGAGGGATCAGCGATCTAACATACTAGAAGTCCTCTAAGGTAAAGGTAAGGGGATCCCTGACCATTAGTTCCAGTCGTGGCCGACTCTGGGGTTACGGCGCTCATCTCGCTTTACTGGCCGAGGGAGCCGGCGTACAGCTTCCGGGTCATGTGGCCAGCGTGACTAAGCCGCTTCTGGCGAACCAGAGCAGCGCACAGAAACGCCGTTTACCTTCCCGCCGGAGAGCGGTCCCTATTTATCTACTTGCACTTTGACATGCTTTCGAACTGCTAGGTTGGCAGGAGCAGGGACCGAGCAACAAGAGCTCACCCCATCACGGGGATTCGAATCGCCAACCTTCTGATCGGCAAGTCCTAGGCTCTGTGGTTTAACCCACAGCACCACCCGCGTCCCTAGAAGTCCTCTATATCCACTTAAATTATCCCTTTATTCAGAAATAATGAGGACTGGAATCTTTCTTCCAAGCACTTGCCTTGACTGCAAAGGGCGCCTGCTTCATTCCCTGCCATTTCCAGATAGGGTGGGAAAGACTCCTGGCCTGAAACCCTGGACAGCCGCTGCCGGTCAGTGTAGACAACATTGAGCTAGATGGACTCAGTTGGCCTGACTTGGGATAAAGCAATTTGCTACACCCCTACTTATTTTGTTCCTTATGTGGAGGACTAGAATCTTAGGTTTCCCCCCCTTTTTAGCAGAAGGTCTGCAGCAAAACAGTGGAGTGCAAGCTTTGCATGCAGAAGGCCTGAGGTTCAGTCCCTGGCAACTACAGGCAGCAGTGGGAAAGACTGGGACCCTGGAGAACCACTGGCAGAAAATACAGACCCCCGTGGCTTGGCTCCTGGTCCTATGTTCTGACAGGACAGGAGATGCTCTTGCAGGGGCTTCCCATACTTACAGGAGTTGCTGTTTGGCATACATACCTCAGGAGGCACCTGCAGGAGACAAAAGGAAGAGGGGCAGTGAATTCCGAAAGAAGGCAGAGGAAGGGCTCCACACCCTGAGGGGCAGCTCTCCCAAGCCCTCGGGCAGTACCTCGTAGACGGCAAAGCCGATGGTCTCCATGTCCTTGCCAAACCGCCTCTCCCGGCGCCGGTGCTTCTGCATCAGAGACAGGAGGAAACTGCAGCCCGGCTCCCTCCTGTCCTCATCATCGTCGTGGTCCACCTCTTCCAAGCGGATTTTGAACTGGGGGTTAATCCAGAAGGTTGCTGAAGGAGAAAGAAAGAAAGAAAGAGGAGACTGTGGGGTGCAAGGGTTTTGGGGAGATGGCAGTCGAATTCAACAAATGCATATTCTCACGAGTTAGTAAGTTTAGGGGCAAACAGACACAGAGCTGTATTGCTAGATAGGCGGACTCAGAGCATAGCAATGTAAATGGTAGAGAGAGTTCTGTGTGATGTCATTTCCTGTTTCCAGTAGCAGGAAGAAATGAGAAATATAAGCCCATCTCCTTCCTGTCACTCTCTCTTTCTTTCTCCAGCCTGCAATGAATGCACATATGGTTGTTCCTGCTCCAGCTCAGGCTCACACCTGAAGCTGGTTGGGCTGTAAAATGTAAGTATTTTACCTGCACAGGGTTTTTTAATAACAATTCTTATTAATTTTTCAGTTTATACATCTCAAAATGAACGTTTTACATAATACCATGTAACAATTGACTTCCCTCCTCCCCTTTTCGAGGTTGATTTTACTTATCTATCATTCCTGCATATTTTATTATAGTCAATCTAATCGTTTCTCCATTTTACATCCTTTAAATATTTACCATACTGTTGAATTTATCTAAATGCTGGCATTTTCAATTGTATACCATTATTTCCTAAATATTCAGCAAAAAGAGTCCACTCCTCTTTGAATAAAGATTCTTCTTGCTCTCTTACTCTATAAGTTAAACCTACTACTTCCGCAAATTCTATCATCTTAAGTTGCCAATCTTCCTTACTAGGGATCTTGCTCACTTTCCATTTATGGGCTAGCAAAATTTGAGCCGCCGTGGTTGCGTACATAAATATTTTTTCTGACAACTGGGAACTTCAGACTGAAGTATTCCTAACTAAAAGGCCTGAGGGGTTTTTGGGGAATGTTGTTTTAAACATTTTTTTTACTCATTGCAGATCATTTCCCAATAGCCTTTAACCTTTTTACGTGTTCACCACATGTGAAAAAATGTTCCTTCCATTTCTCTGCATTTCCAACACAGATCTGATCCAACTTTGTACATCTTGACCAACTTACTTGGGGTTAAATACTATCTATGCATCATTTTTATATACCGTATTTTTCCGTGTATAACACGCCCCCGTGTATAAGACGACCCCTATTTTTTGGGATGCCAAATTAAGGAAATGGGGGGGGGGGAATTGCCCAGAGTTATTGAGCTTTCTTTGGGGGGGGGATTGCACAGATTTGTTGAGCTTTTTTGGGGGGGGGGGTTGCCGGGCAATCTCTCAACTGTGTCTTATACACAGAAAAGTACGGTAATTCTCTTTCAAAGTATAACATGTGGTAAATTTCTAATCATTCTTCCAGAGTTTCTCCCAGAGGTTTAGGTCTATGTTATGCCCTATATCCATTGCCCAGTGTGTCCTTGAAGTTTTGACTAACTCGTCTTTCATTTCCCATTCTAATAATAAGTTATACATTTTTGACAATAATTTATCCTTGTTCCACAATAATTCTCTTTCAAACTGTGAGTTTTGATCCGGAAACCCATTTTTAAAATCTAATTTAAACATATCATATATTTATTGTATTTTTAATCTTTTAATGTATTTTTAATCTTTGCTGGAAGCCACCCAGAGTGGCTGAGGAAACCCAGCCAGATGGGTGGGATACAAATAATAAATAATGATGATGATGATGATGATACTGTAACCAATCCTTACTTCTTCCATTGCATAGGTCTACTGCTGCCTTTGCCGTGAACCAGTCCAAGACTATTGAGTAAGTAAACACTATTTTTAAGCTTACTTTACAAGTTGTTTCCTGATTCTCTGTTATGAGGGCTACCAAAGGGGAAGCCAGCTTATTTCATAAACTGGAATTGCTCAAAAGGGAAGGCTTTGCAGACTAATTTCCAAAGCTTCTGTTTTTGCTGCAAAGGGTGGGATTTTAAAACTCTTTTTAACCCCCACCCCAGGAGACCGGAGGGGCAAATTGTAATTAAGATGTCCTCTCCTACCTACTAAAACCCAATCCCACACGACTCACGTCACGTGTTACGTGAGCTACCTGGGTAGTTCCTGCAGCCGCCAGCTGTGCTCCCCCGCCGCCAGGTCCCGTCGTAGAGCGTCGTGTTCCACTTCCGGAACTTGCGCGACTTCAGCGCGTCTGGCGTGAGGTTGCAAATCTCAAGGCGGGAGAATTCCCGGAGGAAGTCTTGGAAGGACATCCTAGGAGAAGGAGACAGGTTGCGAATTCAGGTCACGCGCTCGCTCGCTGGTGACGTGAAATGCGATTCCTAAGACAAATGAAAAGGGCGCCTACCAGAATTCTCCATCTTCCATTTTAATTCTCAGCTGCTGCCCTATAGATGGATCCACGGCGTTCCATTCCCCAGAGCTGTAAAGAAAAAGAGAAAAAAATGTGCTGCCTGTTACAGAGAGAGATTCCAAAAGAAGTAGAAAATGCAGATTCTTCTCTTTCCTCCCCCTTTTTATTTTTATTAAATTTTGTTTTAGATTTTAGAATATTAATTTAAACAACCTTAAAATATCAGTGACTTCCCTTCTTCCCTTTCCATGGTTCATTTTGCATAACATAAATCCCTGCATATTTTATATAAACTAAACCATTCAGTATTCCATTATTACATCCATCAAATCTTATTGACACTGTTGAATTTATCTTAATGCTGCCCATGTTTTCAAATATACACAATTTCCCCCCGTATATTCAATAAACATTTCCCAATCTTCTTTAAACGTATGTTCTTCTCATTCTCTTATTCTATATTTTAGGTCCACAAGCTGTGCATATTCTATCAGTTTAGGTTGCCATTCTTCTTTAGTTTGGACTTCGCTCGTTTTCCATTTTTGGGATAACAAAACACAGGCTGCAGTTGTTGTATACTGTACATAAATAACTTTTTTTGACACCTGGGAATTTCCATCTGAATTATCCCCAACAGAAAATGAATCTTGTTTTTTGGGGGGAAAGTACTTTTAAGCATTTTTCCCCCAATTCATTATGAATTATTTCCCAATACTCTTTTACCCTTTTACAGGTCCATGGCATATCCTCAGTCTCATTGCATCTCTGGAGAAAATGCAGAGTCTTCTCAACCAGCCCAAAAGAGCGCTGCTTGGTCTGTTGGAAGGCCTGCCTAATCAAGTGGCAAGCCAGAGGGCTACTGGAAGCCCACAAAGAAGACTTGAAAGCCACAGCTCACTTTCACTCTCCAGAACTGATTTCCAGAGGAATACTTCCTCTGATGGCCCTCACAATTATAGCCAGTGACAGCCTTATCCTCCAAAAATTTGCCTAATCCTGTGTCAACGGCTTCTTTATTTCTGTCCTGAATCTCCCATGACTCAGTTTCAATGGAAGGTCTAAAAATGTCTTGCTATCTGGACAGAAAAAAATAATAATAATGAAAGTTTCAGGCAGCAGAAGACTGGCTGGGTCTCTTATTGAAATCAATGGAAAGTTTAAACAAAATGCACTTTAACGGGTTGCCTGTAAAATGGGCAGATTTCAGGTTTTCTGAAATCTGAGACAGCCAGTTATTTGCAAGACAGCCAGTTATTTGCAAGGGTAAGAGAACGTCTAAAATGTTCACCTTGCCTTGTGGATGAAAAACACAAGAGTTACAGGCTGTAGAAGAGAAGCTGGATCTCCTACTGAATTCAGTGGGAGGAAACCCAGTGAATGAAATTGAAATGAATGGGGGTCAATCAAACAAATGGGAGTTTTTGAAACAAGAACTTTTCTTTTTCTTGGATATCTCTGACATGGGATGGGTAAGTTGCCTTCGTCTACTCTATAGCATGTTGACTGATAAAACTTGCAAAGCTACATGGAGCCATTTATTCTGCAGGCACCACTTCAAAAACACTAGATTGTATTTGATCTTCTGTGATGAACCAACTATTGTGAAGCAACTGCTCGTGCAAATATTAAGAGCTGGGGTGTCTCTCAAAGCCCAGGGGTGAGGAGTCTCAGCCCTCCAGATGTTGCTCTGATCAGTCCTAGCAGGCATGGCCAACAGTCAAGGATGATGGGAGTTCAGCAACATCTGCTGTAGCCCTAGTAACTCTCATAGATTTGTCACCAAAAAATTCACTCTGGTTTCCAAACACAACACACACTCTGTTTCCCTTTGCCACTTTGCTTGGCAAACTCACTTCCTGCACACACCAACTTTGGGGCACAGGGGCTCTTCTTTTTCAAGCGCCTAAACCTTGCGCCTCCTTCATTTCTGTCTGTGATGGTTAGAATGCTGGGCTGGAGAGTCCTGGATTCAAATCCTGGTCCAGCTACAAAGCTTACTAGATGACCCTGGGCTGGTTCCTGTCTCTCAACCTAACCTTACTTTGCAGAGTTGTCCTGATGCGACGCCAAGGAGATTGTGCATGCCACCCTGAGCTCTTTGCAGTGGGATTAAAACGGTATATAGAGAAGACAGGCCTTCTGTCCCCACAGTGCTATGGCCCAGGAGGAGGGGAAGTGGCACCCAGATATTCTCATCCCCATGAAAACAAAGGAAGCTCGTCGACAGAAGGAGGGAACTTGCTATGGCCGCCCTGGCGACTTTCTCCCCCTTTCACCAGCCCTTTCTGAAGCATGCACAGAAAACTCCTCCAGGGTTTCCTTCTTACTTGTCACTCCAAGCTCCAGTCCACTCCACCTCCCCCCACGGGTTTCGCATCCGTATCAGGTTAACTCTCTGCCCTCGGTAGTTGATCTGTGGGAGCAGAGAGATAATGAGAGATGGCCGTTAAGAGATTGTCACAGAGGACGGAAAGAACAAGGCTGCACTTGACTTGACCACATTATTGACCCTGCCCTGTTTTCATACAGTCTGAATAGCTTCCCAGAGGCAATGAGTTCCAGATGGCTTCTGTGGGAAAATGACAATGCCCCTGTGACTCTGGACATATAGAAACAATAGAGCATGTGCTTCTCCAGTGCCTATATTATAGAGACATTCATATTAGCCTCATCTCCCCACTACTCCATAAGTACCCAGGGCGCACAGAACAATTCTGTATCTCCCTGCTGCTTTCATGATGCCAACCCTGCTACAACATACGACATTGCCAGGTTCTGCATAGCAACCGTCAAAATTCGTCGGATGATGACCTGTGCCACAAACTAGATTTAATGAACACCCATATCAGAGTGCTCTGTAAATGGATAGCCATAGCCTTTTATATACTAACCTTTTATGCTCTTCCACATTCGTTTAATGCCCCAGTCCTAACCCTCCTTTTAGCCTCTTTCAGATTCTTGTATATTTTACATATACCTTCTGTTTTAATAATTTTAGCTTTCCAAAACATTTTACAGATTTTAAATGATTGCTCCCCACCCTACTTATGCTGGTCTATGACTGTAATAAAGATCCGATTGATTGATTGATTGATTGATTGATTTTTGTTGTTGTTGGAATGATTCTTTTCTGGCAACCTCTCTGTTATTAAACTTTCCTACATACATGATCCTCAGTTCTTTTATCTGTTTCCCCTCTGCAGAAATAGAGTTCCTCTTTATGTCAGAAATGGGGAATTTCAGGCCTAGGGCCTCTCTATCTGGCCTTGTTTCACACCCAGGTGGGTACAGGCCCTTGAACTGAGAATGCCTCTTGCTTCCCTGCAAGAGGGTTGAAAGGGGTGTGTTAGGGCCTGTGTAGAAACCAGTCTACCTGTACAAAGGTAAAATCTGCCATTGTTGCCCCACCCACTTTTGCCTCAGGCATGAGGCCCTCAGAAAGTTGCCAAGAAGGCAATGCGGCTCTCAGAATGAAGAAGGGTCCCTGCCCTCGCTTTAGGCCTTCTCTCTTGACTTCTTAAAATTGTGAGGCTAGGGCAGGGGCCACCTTAGAATTGATTTGTTTAAGGTGCCCTGAGAGGTTTTTTTTGCTAAAAGGGGTCTGGACATAAATGCTGTAAATAAAAAGGAAAACAAATGAGCGCCAAATAGTAGAAACGCAACAATCACCTGCTCAGCTCCAGTGACGGAATAGGCGTGGCCTTTCACCAGCTTCTTAAAAGTGACAGCCTCCATGTCAAAAGCACTTGTGATCTGAAAAAACGGGGGTTGAAGAAAAGTAAGAATCTAAGTGACAACCTTCAAAGGGCCTCCAAGGGTGTAAGACTTTGCTGGAAGGGGATGGAGCAGCCAACACACAGAACTGTATTGGATATTATGGAAGATTATATAAATATATATATCCTTTGTTGAAAGATAAAAAGTACTTAATTGCAAGTGCACAGGGTAAGATAAGATATATATAGAGAAAAATAGCATCCATGTAGAAAACCCCCCAGAACCAACTCCCCCCCCCAAAAAAAACTTGTATACATCACAAAAAATTGTGATTGTAGTTCACCAACCACTTAGCAGTCTACCTGTTTCTCTGGCAAAATGTTTCATGCCACCGGTAAACTGCTGTGCAAAAAAAAAAAAAAAGCACAAGCAGGCTGCTAGTAATTGTGCAATCTGTTGCATGGTGAGTTTCCGCTAGCATGGCTGTTGCACTGGAGTCTTCTGTTGCACAACAGGAAAGCTCACCTGCCCACTAGTGCAACAGCCCTTGCACTAGTGGACTAGAGTGGTGGATGCAGCCCCAAGGTACTCACATCAATGGAGCAACCCATGAGAGACCCCCTCTCCAGGGCCTTTAAGATGATCTGGAAGAGGTCGCTGGGCGGCTTTCGTAGGTCGTACCACTCAGTGACGCCTCCCGTGAAGTCTTCGAACCCTTCTGAGGTGCTCCCTCCCGAAAGAGCCTCGTAGCAGCCGTTCACCCTACGGTGGAAGCAGAAGGGCATCAAGAAGGCGCTTCGTAGTGAATCAGAACATTGCTGCATCCATCTAGCTCAGTGTTGTCTGCACTGACTGGCAGCAGTGCTCCAGGGTCCCGGGCAGTTAGTCTCTCCCAACCCTACCTGGAGTTGCTGGGAATCATAGGATCACAGAGCTGGAAAGGACCCCCAGGACTCATCTAGTCCACCCCACTCAGACTAAACCCAGGGCCATCTGCAAGCAAAGTAGCCAATCTACCACTGAGCCACCCGAATATCTGAACCTAAGCTGGGTAAGGCCAACTTATACGTGGACCTGTTTTCCCCCCCTCAAATGCTTTTTACTGATTTTCACAAACATAAATAACACTTAAACTTTTACATTCAACATTTTGTGTCATCTTATTTTGCACCCGGACTTCCCTCCTACCCTGCTTCGGTTTTCCTAATTTACATCTCTTACAGATTCTTATTTACCCTCTGTTCACATCACAGGATTTATATTAACCCTGCTACAGTTTTTAAACTTCTGCAATTAATTCATATGTACGCAACAAATTTACTCCACTCTTCAAACTTTGTCACTTTTTGGTCTCGAATTTTATAAGTCATTTTTGTCAATTCTGCATCCTCAAATAATTTTGTCTGCCACTCCAATAAAGTTGGGATCTCCTGGGATTTCCACTTTTGGGCCACGAGAATCCTAGCGGCAGTCGTGGCATACAGAAATAGTTTACAATCTTCTTTTCTCACGTCATCTCCTATTATCCCTGATAAAAAAGCCTCTGGTTTCTTTGGGAATGTGTATTTGAAAAGTTTTTTCAACTCATTATATATCAAATCCCAAAACTTTTTCATCTTTTTGCATGTCCACCACATGTGGTAGAATTCGCCGTCCTTTAGTTTGCACTTGGACCTGTTTTAATTGTTATACATGTGGAACATTTCTAAACTGTTTTTGCACTTTTCTTCTTTTACGGTTCAAATGATTTATTTGAATGATTCTTTTTATATTATTCTTTTATAGTTGTGTATTTCACTGTTGTAACCTGCCCTGGGGCTTTCTGGTGAGGGGTCAGTAAGAAATCTACAATGGGGGGGGGGAGAGAAAAATAACCTGTTTGTTCCCATTTCACAACTGGGAAAACTGAGGCTGACTCACCCTCAGGTCACAGAGTTTGCCCTTGGCAGAGGTGGGACAAACACAAGTCTTTTGTACCAAATCTTTAGCCTCCCTCCCCCTGTCGACCCCAAACCAAGAGATTTAGATGCTTACTTGGCATAAGCTTTCTCGAGCAGGGCACTCCAGAATTCGTTGCCTTCTGCGGAGTGGACAAACACAAGCTTGCCATCTTTGGTTGGGAGGAGGTCATCCACCACCACGTCGACCCACTCGCCAAATTGCCAGATCTGAACCAAGCGCAAAACAGGCAAGACAAAGGTGAAAACTTTTCAACCTGGAGATGCCAGGAATTGAACCTGGTCCCTGCTGCATGTGCCCTTGGTGACTCAGCGGTGGTTAAGAATGGAGGCAGGGAGGAGAGAAGATGGATGTTGTCTGCGTTTTAGATGAGAACATACTTAATCTGTACTTCTCATCAAACCATTATGTGAGCCCAAACACAATGAGATTTACATTTCTCTGAATTTTACAACGGTAGTTCTGCAACTGAACAACCCATTTACAAAAATACATATGATAGGGGAAAGTGTTCAGAAAAACACATACTGAAGTAAAAACAGCATACCAAAAAAAAGTATCCTAGAAGGGGGGAATTGCTTGCAAAACAGTCAAAATGGCATACAAAAATGTGTATTTCAGGAGAAATTTACATTGAAATGCTGGTGATTTTTCACAGTACTTTTTAAAAAAAATTCCAGGCTACAGACGGGAGAACTGAATTTAAAACTGGAAAAATAAGAAACTGAAATTGACAGATCTGGGGTTTTGTTCCTTAGCGGTTGTGCTCTGCACATGCTCAGAGAAAGCCATCATTAGTCCACATGTTCCAAGGTCAAGGTCCAGCATTCTGCATGAGCTCTGGTCCTGACACCTTGCTCAAATTACATTATTCCTTGCAGGCCCACCTAGTCCAGCTTTCTTTCTGCGGCCTAACAAACCCAGTTCCACTAAAGACAGGAGGGGAGAGAGATTCTGCAAATGCGATTCATCAGGAAAGCTGCAGCTGTCTACCTGCAGGCACAGATCAGCAGGCTGAGCAAACACGAGGCCGTGCTCTGAATGGGAGGCACCGGGCAGCTTTCTTTCCCGCTATGCACCACGCCCTTGCCACCCCCACAAACAAAGAACCTTGAAATACCAAGGCGAATCATCACCTGCGAGGTCGGATTCCACATCAGGGTGGAGTCCTCAGGTGTGGAAGACTTAAAATAAGCAGCAAAGCCACCTCGGCTGGCAACAGACCAAGCCAGGCGTTGGATGGGGTGGAGCTGGGCAGAATGCCTTGAATGGCGTTCGTGTGTTTAAGGAGCTGGCTTTGGGCTAAGTGAGGGAGCCTGGAGATAACTGGAAAAACAGACTTTTTATTCTCACTCTCCTAAGAATAAAAAGTCCATTTTTAAACTGATCGCCGGGCTCCCTCAGTTAGCAGAAAGCCAGAGATTATTATTATTTGTAAAGGGAATTTCTGTATGAGTTAATACCTTATTATCCATTTGGAGCTATACTTTATCTTTGTCCTTCTAGGCTATGGTTTACATTTTTGATTCATTGGGGCTTCCCTCCCCCCTTTTTGTTATGCTTGCATTTTTTTTTTGTTAAATCAATTTTACAAACACACACTGTTTTGCAGTATGGAAAGAGACAGGAACATGCACAGAAAAGGGTGGGATGAACGAGTGATTAACTGGAAAGGTGTAAACACCCCACAAGGAAAATCAGAGTGATCAGAGCACAAATGCTTATTGTCGTATAAACAACTTGCAAAATAAATAAATCAGAATGAATGCTCATAAAGACTGGATACGATCTAACCTCAGTATAAGCTTTCTGCTAGCAAATCAGGGAAGAATGCTAAAATAAACACCAGAGAGATCTGGAGGACACAAAGAATTTCTCTGTTGCTTCGCAAGCAGGGCTAGTCTACGTTCCTACAAAATACATCCAATTTAAAAACACACAGAGAGAGACACAGTGCTTTGAGTAACAAGGTCCGCAGCAAGGCAGGTGCTCACCTGGAAGTGGAAGATGCCAGCGTACCCATTCTGGAAGCTCTGCCCATGGGGGACAACGCGGTGCAGAAGAGGGTCATTCAGGGTGAGGGAGGCAATGGCCGCCAGGAGCCAGCAGTCACCTGGAAGGAGAGGCAAAGGGAAAGCCAGCCAGTTAAAACAAAAACAACTGTTATTTATATATAGTGGTACCTCTGGTTATGTACTTAATTTGTTCTGGAGGTCCGTTCTTAACCTGAAACTGTTCTTAACCTGAAGCACCACTTTAGCTAATGGGGCCTCCCGCTGCTGCCGCACTGCCGCCGTGTGATTTCTGTTCTCATCCTGAAGCAAAGTTCTTAACCTGAGGTACTATTTCTGGGTTAGCAGAGTCTGTAACCTGAGTGTATGTAACCTGAGGTACCATTGTCTCTCTCTCTCTCTCTCTCTCTCTGTGTGTGTGTGTGTGTGTGTGTATAATTATTTGGCGAGGCTGTTGCATCCAACATTAGAGATACTCAGAGTAGGCCTGTTAGCATTAGTGGACATGACCAAGGCCCCATCTGCACTATGCCTCATGCCACTCTGAGCAGATGTGGCTTCCCCCAAAGCATCCTGGGAAGTGTAGTTTCATAAAGGATGCTGAAAGTTGTGAGGAGACTTTGTTTTGGAGGCATCCTGAGAGCCCCCTCATTTCAGGGAGAATCTGCTGCCCTAGAAACTCCAAGTGGAGAGAGCTTTTTCTTTTGTATTCTCCTTTCATGACCAACATGTACCTTTCCCCCCCTCGCACCCTCCCCAAAACTGCCAGTTCCTTTCATCCCTCCTCTCTGGACCTGGAACAGTTCTCCTGTCTTATTCCCTTCCTTTCTTTTCCCATTCTATTTATTTGAACAAATATATTCACCTTTCATTATTTCACCTCCTAATTCCCCTCAGCACCTCCTCTAGCCCTTTCCCCTCAGGGGAGAGAGGTCTCCCTTCCCTCACCCTCCCCGGAACTTTCTGGTCTGCCAGCCATCTTCACTCAGCGGACCAGGAGCTTCTGGTGCTATGGAACAGCCAGGACCACCTGAAACTGCTTTGAGAAACACTGCCTTAGCCCAAGTGGACTACTAGCTGCCTGCCTGGTTCCTGATCTCTGGGTGGGTGGGGTGCTTTCTCCAGTGTTCGAAAATTAGCCAGGTGCCAGGCGCATTTTGCACCTAGCTTCCGACCACTTGCGACCAAGTGAGGTTGCCTGGGCACCAGGATGGCACCTGATGTCTTGGGATCACTGGATCTGGACCGCATTCACACACAAATACCTCATCCTGTAGAATTCTATCAGTTATATTTAATCTACATAATAGGAATGAATTTCAGGAACCAAGTTGCTTTGTCTGTGCAGCCAGAGCAGGAGCAGTCGTCATTAAGAAAAAGAAGTTGGAATTGGCCAATATACTGTACTTTTCCGTGTATAAGACTAGGTTTTTTAACTAAAAATAACATTAAAATGGGAGGTAGTCTTATACACAGGGGCAATCTCCCCCCATTTTCTTAATTTTGAGTCCCCAAAAATAGGGGGGGGGGGTTATACACGGTGGCGTGTTATACATGGAAGAATATGGTATATATGTGGACTCTCCCTGGATCAAAGGACATTTCTTCTTTAAGTTCTCAAAGCTCTTAACCTAGGATCAAGGTTGTCATCTGAACTAGATGTTTAACTAAGAATCCATCACAGTAAGCCCATCATTTGAAAAATAAGACTTTAGAGCTGTTTTGCCCCCAAATGGCAACAAAACATTCCGCTCTGGCGACTGCAACCTTGGTTTAAAGAGCCATTTGGCGCCTAGCTTATATACCTGAGTTTTTGACAAACACTGTTTCCCCCACCCCACAAACTTAGTTGTTACTCTGAAATGCAAACTTGTTTTGGAGTAAGCGCAGACACCAGTCTGCTGTTGTCTTTGAGCCCTGAAGCTGGCGCTCTGCCCCGGGGAGGGGTGCAGGCCGCGCAGAGGAGACCACGCCTGCCTGCAGGGCTCTGATCAGATAAATGGTGTGTGGTGTGAGAGAGGGAGGGAGGGAGGAGGAGAAGAGACACTGAGGAGGGTGTGTTTCCTGCAGCTGTCGGGAAGTTTCCCTCGATGACCGTGACCTGACAGTTTCAAAACAGCCAAGCCAAAAAGAAAACAGCCAGGCAGGAATGGTACGAAGGCCAGAGAGAGTGAGGGAGTCACGTCATATGCTCAGGGGGCTCTGCGGCTGCTGTTGCACAATCAGGACACACCCGGAAAGGCTCCAGGGTCCTTTCAAAATTGTACTTCTCGTCGTAACAGAAAACAAGCCATGCCGATAAAACACAGAAAAATAAACAAAGGGCCAGCAGGAAAACAACAACCAGAAATTGCATCAAAACCTTTGCCTTCCAAGTTATCAGTAGGTTTTGTCTACCTGAAGAAAACAGAAAAGCTGTCCGTCTGTTTCCAGCATATAAATCTGAGCAACCTTTTTTTCTTTGGGATGGGTGGCATCTTGGGCGTGGGCAAGATTACCGGGGGGGGGGAGAACACACACCTGTCACCATCGTCTGTCTGACTCTGTCTAGCAGATCTGGAATGAAATGTCTCAACAACCGTCATTTTAAATTTCTTTTGATCCCAAGTGGTCATAAAAATCTGTCATAATCTTTCCACAAATTTCTACTTTTAGTTAGGTGTTTTTATTTATTTACTTGATTATGGGTGGGGGCAGCTGCCCCACCTGCTCCCCCGACTACGCCCATGGGTGGTGTCCAACTAACTCCCACCCCAGAATACACCCACTGAAATCAACAGACATGGCTAAGGGCTTCCTATGGACACCTGGCTGCAAAAACTGGAAGGGCACCCTTTCGCCTGATCCAGCAGCCAAGCTCTTCCTAGGATCTCCTATACAACAAAGACCACAGCCTTGTCCTGCAAGAAGCAGGGGAGGGAGGTGGGAAAGAACTAAGGGTGTGTGAGAGAGGAGACCTGGCTGCAGTGACCCCCAACCTCTCCCTGCTTTCGGGGGTGCTTAGTGCCCATCTCTGGCAGACCACCTCGGGTGAACCCTCCTTACCCAGAGCTCCTTGACAGACGTCTGTGCGGGTCGCCCCGTCCACAATGAAGAGAGGGTTGCGGCACAGTTCCTGAAATACACAAGAGGGAGACGGGCTGGTTTGTTGCTGCTGCTGCTGCTGCTGCTGCTGTTGCTCTTAAATGCCTAAGAGGAAGAGCCTGCTGTATCAGGCCAAAGGTAAAGGGACCCCTGACCATTAAGTCCAGTCGTGGCCGACTCTGGGGTTGCGGCGCTCATCTCGCTTTATTGGCCAAGGGAGCCGGTGTACAGCTTCTGGGTCATGTGACCAGCATGACCAAGCCACTTCTGGTGAACCAGAGCAACGCACAGAAACGCTGTTTACCTTCCCGCCGGAACGGTACCTATTTATCTACTTGCACTTTGACATGCTTTCGAACTGCTAGGTTGGCAGGAGCAGGGACCGAGCAACAGGAGCTCACCCCGTCGCGGGGATTCGAACTGCCGACCTTCTGATCAGCAAGTCCTAGGCCACAGTGCCACCCGCATCCCATCAGGCCAAATGGGGGCCCCAAATTTAGTCCAGCATCTTGTTCTCGCAGTGGCCACACAGATGCCTCTGGGAAACCCGCAAGTAGGACCTGAGCTCAAAGAGCACCTTATTCTCCTGTAGTTTCCAGCAACAGGTATTCAGAAGCATTGTATTATGATTTGCCTCTACCTGGGAAAGGGGGAAAGGAACTGCAGGGTGAGGGGCTGGCGGGCTGGCTGCCTAATGCCAAAGTTGCACCAGCCCTTTGTCTTGTTTACCTTTTAGACAACTATCAGGCAGGGAGGGCTTTTGATCATTGGGGCCGTGTGTACTCCGCACATTAAGTAAAAAGTTAAACTCTTTTCCCGAAGGAAAGCTCAGCTCTGTAGCCTGCCTTAAAAATGCAGGTTAAACCTATATGCATATTCTCTTACGTTCTCCATAATTAATTCCACTGTTTTGCTTTTACTACTTTGCTTAATTCATTCTGGCATGAAGCCTTGACTGCTGGGAATCCTATTTGGCTTCGGGGAGATGAGCAGACATTACTATGCGAACACAGGTACTGAGTCAGCCTAATCAAGCTCAGTGTTGTCTGCACTGACCGGCAGTAGCTCTCCAGATGTTCAGGTGGGAGTCTTTCCTTGCTTTACCTGGAGTAAAGGCAGCAGCTCTGCAGAAGAGCCAGCCAGCCAGCTGCTCCACTATTGAATCCACACTCTCTAACATGTAATCTCCATACCCCATAAGGGCTAGAAACTTGAGTGTAAAAAGGAGGTTACTGGGAAGCTGAATTTTCAGACTGGTAACACAACTCTGCGGCTTTCCTGTGTTCCCAAATAACTGAAGCTTACTACACAGAACTACTACGCCCATTTTCTAGATGGGCTAAACCAGGCATAGGCAAACTCGCCCTCCAGATGTTTTGGGACTACAACTCCCATGATCCCTAGTTTACAGGACCAGTGGTCAGGGATGATGGGAATTGTAGTCCCAAAACATCTGGAGGGCCGAGTTTCCCTATGCCTGGGCTAAACTGATGCCAACAGCAAGACGTAACTCGAGGTCAAAGATATTCTGGGTTGCAACCTGCGCCATTTCTTGAGTCTCACCGTAGGTCGTTTCCACTTGACTCCATACGTCTTGGAGGAGTTCGGCCCAAGCTCCTTGAAACCCAGGGAAGAGGCTGTGGCGGGGAAGGTGTCATCCCTGAAAAGGGCTCCACTCTGCAAGCACTCGTTGCGAAGCCTCTCGTAATCCTGGTTCAGGTACTTGATTGCATTCTCGTTTTTACCTAAGCCCAGGTCTTTGGCCCGCTGCTTCTGGACCTGAGCGGAGACCCCCGTGCAATAGATAGGCACAATGACCTCTTCCGACATCTCGGGCAATTGGGTGAAGCCCTCCTGAAACACATAAAGATGGCATTAAACACACAGAGCTTTGGTTCAGTGGTAGAGCATTTGCTTGGCATGTAGAAGGCTCAATCCTCAGCATCTCCAGAAACTCTGGACAGTCGCTGCCAGTTCGTTCAGACAGTGCCAAGCTAGATAAACCAAAGTTCTGAATCAGTGTAAAGCATATTCCTAGCTTCCTAGACAGAAACGAGGATATTTCTCAGAGCAATATGGAAAATTGCCAATGGAACAGGCCAGGCAAAACAAATAGGGAATACAGAGCACTATGAGTATAGCCCCCCCAATCTTTCAGATTTCCTCCTGCCCCTCCTGGCTCTTTAAGAATGCTAAGTCTCTAGTCCTCACAATTACTGAGAGGGAAAAGGGTAGGGCTGTCATACGTCCGGGATTTCCCAGACATTACCGGGATTTCAAAGGTGGAAGTGACGTCCAGGGGTGGGGGTGGGAGTGGGGATTTCTGGAAGGCAGTGGTTTGTCCTGGATCTTCAGCAAGTAAATGGAGAAATAGCGTGTGTTTTTTGGTGTTTCCATAAAAAAGAAAGAGCAACAACTTTCGGGTTTTCCTTTAGAAAGCGCGACAATTTTGGGGGGGTGCCCTGGTTTTTACTTTTTGAAATATGGCAAGCCTAGAAAAGGGAAGCTTTAGTAACATTATCACTATTTATTATATTTGTTAATTACTTTATATACACACAAAGTACACTAAAAGCCAAATTAAGAAAACAAAACACTGCACAATATGATTACGTTATTTGGATGGAAGGGGACATCCTTCCCGAATCCTTTGGATTGTAGCGCTGCCTGCGAAAATATCTTTCCTTTTGAAGAAAATGGTCCAAAATCAGCTGAAATTTGTTCTTTTTACTTTTACAAGCCCCAGAGAAGGACTGAGTGGCAGAGCACCTGCTTTGCCTGCAGAAGGTCCCGAGTTCAATTCTTGGCATCTCCAGTTTAAAAAAGGAACAGGGAGCAGGTGTTGGGGAAATCCATTTTCTGATCAGCTGAGCAATCCAAACCCCTGAAGACCCTGAAGAGCTGCTGCCAGTTAGTGCAGACAATGTTGGGTTAGGTAGACAAATAGTCTGATCTTATCTAAGGCAGCTTCCTATGTCCAAAGTAAACTATGAGGGCTAGAATCTCACATCACATATTTAATGCACTCTTATGCTACTTTAAGCATCATGACATACCGGTAATAATAATAATAATAATAATGATGATGATGATGATGATGATGATGTTTATACCCTGACAATCTGGCTGGGTTTCCCCAGCCACTCTGGGTGGCTCCCAACAGAATATTAAAAACATGATAAAACATCAAATATTAAAAACTTCCCTGAACAGGGCTGCCTTCAGATGTCTTCTAAAAGTCAGGTAGTTGTTTATTTCCTTGACATCTGATGGGAGGGCGTTCCACAGGGCAGGTGCCTCTACCGAGAAGGCCCTCCACCTGGTTCCCTGTAACCTTGCTTCTCGCAGTGAAGGAACCACCAGAAGGCCCTTGGCACTGGATCTCTGTGTCCAGGCTGAACAATGGGGTGTATTAATTCAGTGTATTATTATTATTATTATTATTATTATTCTCCTCTCATCCACATCATCAGTGTCTCCACCAAAGAGTGCTGGGAACTGTAGTTTGTTCACAGCATTAACCTCACAGAGCTCAAACTTCCAGCACCTTTAACAAACTATAGTGGTACCTCGGGTTACATACGCTTCAGGTTACATACGCTTCAGGTTACAGACCCTGCTAACCCAGAAATAGTACCTCGGGTTAAGAACTTTGCTTCAGGATGAGAACAGAAATCACACGGCGGCAGTGCAGCAGCAGCAGGAGGCATCATTAGCTAAAGTGGTGCTTCAAGTTAAGAACAGTTTCAGGTTAAGAATGGACCTCCGGAACGAATTAAGTACTTAACCCGAGGTACCACTGTACTATTTCTAGGTTTGTCCATGACTGCTCACCTGGTATAAGAGTGCTTCAGGTTTATCAGGTGTGGATGTCACCTGACTTCCATTTTTAGAGGAAGGGTTGTAGCTTAGTGGTAGGAGGAGCACTGGTCAAATCCCTAGCATAGCTGGGAAGACCCTTGTCTGAACCTTGGAGGGCTGCTGCCGGTCGGACGCCCTTGCCTGCAGATGGAGCCTTTTTGTACAAAACGTTACGAGCTCTGCCACTGAGTCACAGGCCTTCCTCACAAGTTGCACTCGTCTGGAGCACAGCGGTTGCAGAAGGAATGCAAGGGGCGGGGGATGCCGAAGGCAGCAGTCTGGAGACCAATTTCCCCAAGACTCCCATCTTGCTTGCTTTTAAAGAAAAGCAAGTTTCAGCTTCCTAGCTCTTATGGCTGTGAAGACAAGCTTGAACATAAGAAGAGCTTTGCTGGATCAGGCCCAAGCCAAGCTAATCCTGCATCCTGCTGTCACAGCTGCCCAACAGATGCCTGCAGGAAGCCCCCAAGCATGACCCCCAAGCAGAAGAACACTCTTCGCAGTTTCTAGCAACTAGCTTTCAGAAGCATACTGCCTCCAGCGATGGAAGCAGGGCATCACCAACAGGAACAATAGACACTGATAGCCTTATCTTTCATGAATTGCAGAGTTGGAAGGCACCCTGAGGGCCATCTAAGTCCAAACCCTGCAATGCAAGCATCTCAATACATGGTCTCCCATCCAATTTGAAACCATACTGGACCCTGCTTAGCTTTGCAAACGTGCAAGCCAATCTACTCCTGCACCACCAATCCTCTTTTAAAGCCATCCAAGTTAGTGGCCATTGCTGCCTCCTGGGGGAGCAAATTTCAACTGTCACCCCTTTTTTCTGCCTGTTCTGATTCTTTCAGCTTCACCCATGAGTTCGAGTGTTATAAGAGAGCGAGAGAGAAAAATCCCCTACCCAGTTCTTTTTTTCTAAAAAAATAAAGTTTAGGGGTACTCTCATTTTGACTCAAGAAAACCACCATTTATAGTTCGAATCAGGAAAAATAAATACAGTAAATGGTCACTTGCCTCTTCTCTATGCTAAGAAGTCCCAAATGTTGCACACTTTCCTTGAAAGAGAAATGCAGGCAATGCCTCGTGTCATCTCAGAAGCCAGGGGTTAGGAAGGAAGCTTTGAAACCATGCAACGGAACTGCAATTATCCTAATCTGTTGCATTTGCATAATCTATGCGGGTTGTGGAATCCAGCTTCTCTAGGAGCAGAATTTGGGTTAGGTAGACATAGAGGTGTGCTTTTAAAAAAATATAAACAAACATGGAGTGCAGATAAGGAAAGAGGAGAAAATTGGTCCAGGTTGCATTTCAAGGCCAAATGACTCAATTCACATGTTTCAAAAAAACCAAACTCAAGCTGTCCTGTGAATTTTGCATTTATCTGAATTTTGCGATGCAAAAGCTTGTTACAAACATGCATTTCGCGTATTGAATTGCACATATCAACGAAGATAACATAAACAATGCATAAATATTTGAAGAAACTCCTTTGCAAAAATAAATAAATGTGTCTGTTACGGAAGAGTGCTTTAAAATGCTGATGAATTTCCATGTGGGTCTTTCGAATAATAATAATAGCAAACCGATATAGAAATGTGGAGAACTGTAAGGCTGTAAAAAATGAGAAACCGAAACTGAGGGATCCACTCACCCCTACAGACTGCCAACGCTTGCAAAATGCCATCTGTCCTACCCATGGCATTCCAGCTCCAAGCAGTCAGAAGCCCAAAATGGTATCAGCAACTGTATCAGAGCCTCTCTCTGTGTGTGTCTCTTTCTCTTTGCACAGCTACATCTGCTGAATAGCAAGACAGATCACCTTCCCTTCTGCCAGTTCTGCTGGCTGTTCATTTGTAGAGAGGAATGTCAGGGTTTATGTACATATCCTTGCCTGGAAAGGGGACTCACAGACCTGGAAGCCTCGGATCATATCCAAAGTTAATCCTACTCAGAGGAGATCCATTGAAATTAATGGACATGACAAACTTAGGCCTTTAAAAAAAAAAGTCCTTACTGTTAATACAGTAAGTAGACAGACAGACAAATAAGGATGAAATATTCCAAACTATTATTCTATTACCAGTACCGCTATTATTTTTTTAAATAAAACAACAACGCTGTAGAGGGCAGATGTCATTAAGGAATTTCCACCTCAGGAATGTAAATATTTTGGGCTATCCCTGGAAGACAGGTTCTGGAGTTCTGCCCAGCTTTGGGGAAGGTTTAGCACAGATTTGCAGAAAAAGGTGTGTGGGGTGAGGGATGAACACAAAGTTTAAAGCAAATGTGATGATAGATCTATTGCAAAAAGAACAGATATTTGGTGAATGCTGTTCGTCAGGAAAGGCCCCTCCAAAGAAATCCATTTTCTTCACTGACTTACTAATACTTTACGCCAGCAAAATTGTCTCTTCGGACTAGGGATAAATGAATCTCTCATTTCTTGTTTCTCAGTTTTCGAATCTCAAATTCAGTTCTCCATATTTCTCTAGTAATTTGGTTGTGCTTTTTAAAATTCTTACGGAAATTTGTCAGGGTTTCAGTGCCAATTTCTCTTAATAAACTGATGGCTGTATCTAGACCAACTGAAAAAATTGGGTTGTATTCAGCAAAGAGTATTTCACTGTATCTATTCTTTGTTGGATACAACCCAATTTTTTGTGTGCTGTTTTGACTAACATACACATTATTTTTTTTTGCTAGCAATTTTATCAGTTTTACTAATATATGCATTCTTATGCACACTTTCCTCTAATAAGCACATTTTTGTAAACACTGGTTGGTGGGAGAACTGCACTGCAAATTTCAGAGAAATGCACATTTTGAAGGATAACAATCTCTGGGTTCATGCATTGGTTCAACAAGTGTGAATTCGGTTGTTTCTTCTTAAGATGGAAACAAGATCCAATTTCTTCCCCAATCCCTACTCTGGAGTCTAGCAAAATATCCTTCTTCCTCTGCTTTGCTGGTGCAGTCGTACTTCAGAAGTTAAACAGAATCCGTTCCAGAAGTCTGTTTGGTTTCCAAAACGTTCGACTTCCAAAGCGCGGCTTCTCATCAGAAGCGCTGTTGGACGTTCAGCTTCCAAAAGAACGTTTGAAAACAGGAACACTCACTTCCAGTTTTCGATCATTCGGGAGCTGGAACATTCAACTCCCAAGGTACGACTGGAGCCGAGGTACGACTGTAATTCCAAATTCATAGATATGGGATTTTTAAAAGATTTTATTTCTTGCAATCTTGAATGCAGTGTATGTGTGAGTTGGGTAAAGCAGTGTGGAGGGCTGGCTTTCGCTATGTCTGGGGAGGTTTACAGAGTTTGTGCATGTGCAGAAGATTAATCCAACACAAGTCAATTAGATGAGACATTTGGCATGCACATAAAGACATCCACCCACCCCACCCTTGGCAAGGCGAGCCTGGGAGCACCATACCCTCTGGCCACGTTTATGACCCGAGGCATGCAGAAAGTGGACAGAGAAAAAGTTTTCTATGTTTCTCATAATGCTAGAAACTCTAGGACATCCACGGAAGCCAATTCAGGAGGACAGACAAAAGAAAAGTCCTTCTTCACACAGCACATAGCTGAAACTATGGAACTCACTTCCACAAGAGGCAATGGGGCACCAACTTAAGTAAAGGTAAAGGGACCCCTGACCATTAGGTCCAGTCGTGGCCGACTCTGGGGTTGCGGCGCTCATCTCGCTTTACTGGCCGAGGGAGCTGGCGTACAGCTTCCAAGCCATGTGGCCAGCATGACTAAGCCGCTTCTGGTGAACCAGAGCAGCGCATGGAAACGCCGTTTACCTTCCCGCCAGAGCGGTACCTATTTATCTACTTGCACTTTGACATGCTTTCGAATTGCTAGGTTGGCAGGAGCAGGGACCAAGCAACGGGAGCTCACCCCATCGTGGAATTCGAACCGCCAACCTTCTGATCGGCAAGTCATAGACTCTGTGGTTTAACCCACAACGCCACCCGCGTCCAAGGACTGGACAAATGGAGCCTCCAAGTTCAGAGGCAAGTGCACTGCCGAATACCAGAGGCTTTGGAATAAACAGCAAGGGTGGATTGTCACATCTCATGCGCTTCCAGGATCCATGAGGCTGTCCACTCTTGAGAAAGGAATCCCAGACCAGAGAGATGGCCTCCCCCACTTTCTATTCTTTATAATTTCCTTTTTATAAGTTTTCAACAAATAAACAAACCGACAACATTTCAAATTTAGCAATCCTTCCACCTACAACTTCCCTTCCCTCCATGGTTCCCTCAAAATTTCAATTTATGCTGCATATTATAGTTACTCTAGACCTTCACCTTACCTCAACAGGCTTCCTCAACCTCGGCCCTCCAGATGTTTTGAGACTACAGTTCCCATCATCCCTGACCACTGGTCCTGCTAGCTAGGGATCATGGGAGTTGTAGGCCAAAAACATCTGGAGGGCCGAGTTTGAGGAAGCCTGCCTCACAATAAAAACCAAAAAGTTCGCCTCCACTGCTCTCTTACTCAAATCCTATTTGCGTTCTAACATTTTTTTTACACTGCATTTTTAAGTATTCTGCAAACGTTTTCCAATCTTCTTTAAAACCAGTCTCTTTCTGGTGGTCTGATCTGACAACACCATTTCTACACTTTCGTGAGTGGGACAGTGACTGAGTGAATTAATGAATAAATAGATAGATAATTCCTGGCAAGGCTAATAGGTGTTCAGCCAGCATCCACCTGCTGGCCTTCATACTTACAGGCAGGCCTGTCAACTTCCTTCTCTTCTGTCTCAGTTTTGCAGACAGGGAGGAAAATGGAGACAAAACTAGAATTAATTGCTGCTGCCTCTTGTTGACTCTGCCTCTGGCTCCGCCTCCTGTGGGGTTCCCCTCCTCCTGCCCACCCACCCCAGTCCCAAAGGGCAGTACCCGCAAAATGCTAATAGGGCTGCCATTATTTTTCAAGCCAGAGGACCAAGGCAACAATGGGTTAGGTGGAAGAGATTGCAGAGAAAGGGAATCTTATAAACTTGTCAGCCGTTAATATCTTCCCCCTTCTATTTGCATTAATATCATGACAGGTCTTTCAGGTAAAGCCAGGCACAGAGATAACCCGGCTCCGAGTGAGTCACCCTCGCCGCAACCCTCTCCTTTGTACGTACTTTTGCGCCTGGCGCACTGTGCTCAAAAGCCACACCCGAGCAAGAAATTAATGTGTTTAGACTTGCAAAAGGTATTATCAGGGGGAGAAAAGGTGAGCAAAACACAAGAATCAACAAGACCCGTTTGCTCAGAATTTGAGAGCTTTTGTTTTTCCTCCCCCCCCACCAAAAACAGTAGAAAACCCTGGGGCGGTGTTTGAAGACTTTGGCTTCAAAGATCACAACTACTGAAGTTGTGATGGGCAGTGGATATGCTTCCAGTTGCATTCAGTGCTAGTCCTGCTCAAAGTAGACCCACTGAAAATAACAGAAATGACTAATGCAGAGCCATTCATTTCAATTAATCTGAGTAAGATTAGCACCAGATATAATCCTTTGGTTTGGCAGACAAAGAGCTCTGTATAGTTCAAAGGTTTGTCCATAGGCTCAGGCTTCAACCGGGCTCCTTGCATTTCACCTCACCAGTCCTCAATGGGCACCAATCATCGCTGATCTTGTCAATATTGCAAAACCACTGGTTGCTCCAGAAAAACACACCAGCTCCCCAATTTGGCACCTCCCCTTCTCCGGCGAGGGAGGGGCATGTTATCTGTTTATCAAAAGTGCCGATCTGAGGATTTGAAGCTGTATAGCAACGGATTTCAGGTCAGACACAGAACAGAACAACAGACCTAATTAATTAATAAATTGGGTGTTGCTGGAGATGTCAGCCATGCTTGCTGGGGCAGATGGAAGTTCTTGTTCAGCAACACCTCGAAAGTCAAAGTTATATCACCCCTCCTCTAAATAATTGCATGGGCAGTACGTATCCCTGAAGGGAACTTTAGTAAATCTGCCTCTAGGTTCTCAGGGGGTAAAATGTTAAAACTTATATGCCTGTGTACTCAGAAGCAAGTCTTCGGTTCAATGAGACTTGCATACAGGACTGCAGACTTAGAAGGATCTCAAGTACAAGAGGATGAGAAGGGGCAGCTGCTTCCTTTATACAACAGGGGCTGGGGGATCTGGTGTCCTCCAAGACACTATTGGACTCTCAGGTCCCATCAGCCCCAGCCAACCATGGCCGTTGGTCAGGGATGATGGGTGTTGCAGTCTAGCAACAACTGGAAGGCCATGGGCCCCACATCCATGTTGCAAAGCAGGGTTTCTCAAACCTAGGTCTCCAGCTGCTTTTGGACTACAATTCTCATCATCCCTGACCACTGGCCCTGCTAGTAAGGGATGATGGGCTTTGTTGTCTCCAAAAACAGAGCACATCCTGCTCTGGGATCCTCCTGTCTTGCAAGTCAAGGGATAAGTGCCAAAACCGGGAACATGAAGTCCCACAGACACCTCGAGCCAGGGAGCAGATCCAAAAACAAACAAACCCCACAGCTGAGTAAATAGTGCCAATTTGCAAGTGAAATTAATAATTTGGAAAGTGAAGGCTGGCTGTGAACTGCCAGCCATCCCAGACTGGGGACCAACCATGAGTATGTCACACGTCTAGGGAGGGCGAGGGCTGTAGAGCGTCTGCCTTGTATGCGAAAGATCCCAGTCTCTATCTCTGCCATCTCCAAGTGGGGCTGGGAGATACTTCCTTCTTGAAACCCTGCAGAAACTCTGCATGCACAGCAGATATAGGGGCAACCACTTTTTGCTTCTTAGAGCAAAACCAGATATAGTAGTTTTGCTTTTACACTTGGAAGAAACTGATCTTTTAGCATGGCAGCACTCTTTCTTTGGAACTCCCTATCAGCAATCAAGCAAGGTGCCTTCGCTGCAATCTTTTAGGCACCTGCTAAAATACTTTTAGGGACGCGGGTGGCACTGTGGATTAAGCCTAGGACTTGCCGATCAGAAGGTCGGCGGTTCGAATCCCCGCAACGGGGTGAGCTCCCATTGCTCGGTCCCTGCTCCTGCCAACCTAGCAGTTCTAAAGCATAAAGTGCAAGTAGATAAATAGGTACTGCTCCAGCGGGAAGGTAAACAGCGTTTCCGTGCGCTGCTCTGCTTCACCAGAAGCGGCTTAGTCATGCTGGCCACATGACCCGGAAGCTGTCTGCAGACAAACGCCGGCTCCCTCGGCCAATAAAGTGAGATGAGCGCCACAACCCCAGAGTCGGTCACAACTGGACCTAATGGTCAGGGGCCCCTTTACCTTTAGCTTTAAAATACTTTTGTTCAGGGAAACCTACCCCGATGCATAGAAGCCAGCATGTGGTTTAATCTGCTCTTAACTGAACTGTTGATATTAATTACATTTTTTGAACTTTTTTTTTTTAAATCTGTTTTTAACTTTTTATTTTATTGACAATTTCGATGTTTGCCTTTTCTGTTTGCAAAGTGCTTAGAGGTTTTATTTACAACCAAGCAGTATGTAAATAGTGTTAAATGAAATAAAATGAGTAAATTAAATCACAGTACAGCAAGAGGACTGCGGGCTTCGCACTCCCGAGTTGTGACACTGACAAAATTACACCCCACCCTCCCTGCAGCTTCTGGGGGGAGCTCATATTGCCACCTATGGGAGAGGTGTGTGGGTTTTTTTAAATAGTATGTATTTTTATATTTTTATATTGTAAACAGATATCACTAAAGGACTGTAAAGCACTACATCTGTAGCACCGCTGTTCAACTATTCATATCAAGGCCTTGTTTCTAACCACCATCAAGACAAAACGCAAACCTGCCCTCATTTGCTTTAAGCCTAGAGACATATGGAAAGAGATCCTCTCCATTTCCCCACAAATAAGATTATGCACGGCTTTATATACATTACCACCAACAGACTACCGGGAAGAGAAAAGCTTGTTAATTTCCGCCCCCTACTAAACTGGAAACCACCTCCTTAAGCCTGGCCTGGGGTAGATATAACCGTGGTTCACTGGGTTTATTGTGCCTTGATGACATCCAAGGTTAGCCTGAGGCTGTGTTTCAGTGGCTCAAGAAGATTGCTCACCTCTGAAGGCCCTTTGCATCGTTTCCCCCCTCAGGCAAAGGATTGGTGACAACAAGGGACTCTGACACCCTCACTCTGACACAACGGATGACAGAATATTCTCTTAGCCTAGACAGATCCAGCTGCTCCGTCACTGCCCATTTTCCAGCAGACACGCAAGACTTTGAATTCCTGAAATTCATTCTGATTGTGCAGATCAGATAGAATTCTACAGGATGTGTTGCAAGTGGCAGGTGCAAAATGCGCTTGGCAAAATTTTGGAGGCTGCTTCATTGCTGCTAACGCAGTGGTTTAACTTCCCCCCCTGGAGGTGCACTCTATTGTCTCTCGAGAAAGACGGGTACCAACAAATCCCACATTTTTCAATTCAATTCCTCATAAACTTTTCCAGTGCTTTTTTTCTTTAAAAAAATGTTTAGGGGTACTCTCATTTTCCTACTCGTATTGAAATACTGCCCCTCAATGAGGCCAAACTTAGATTCACAAAATGTTTAGGGGTATGCATACCTCTGTGTCCCCCCAGAAAAAAAATAAAAGCACTGAACTTTTCTAACTTCAGAAAGTCCCGCTTTTGTTTCTGAAGTGGATTTGTTGAGCCAGGGCAACAGGCGAAGGTGATGTGTTGCCTCTACAGGGTGCCTTCTCCAGGCTAAAGCATACCCAACTCTGTCAACCCTGCACTACCAGACTTGATCTCCAGCCTCCTTACACCATCTTTCCCACCTTCTTCTGGACCAGCCTTTGCCAAGCCAATGTTTGGGATTACAGCTCCCACCAGCACACCTGTATGATGCCAGAGTGGATGGGACTATAGCCACGCTAACTGGGGCTGATGAGAGTTGTGATCAAAGACATATGGAAGGTCAGTGACAGTCTGGACACATTCCAGTTTGACAATACAGTGGTACCTCGGGTTATAGATGCTTCAGGTTACAGACGCTTCAGGTTACAGACTCCGCTAACCCAGAAATAGTAACTCAGGTTAAGAACTTTGCTTCAGGATAAGAACAGAAATCATGCGGCGGCAGCGTGGCAGCAGCAAGAGGCCCCATTAGCTAAAGTGGTACCTCAGGTTAAGAACAGTTTCAGGTTAAGAACGGACCTCCAGAATGAATTAAGTTCTTAACCCGAGGTACCACTGTACCCTCCTTAAACTGCCATGCCCAGAACAGCGAATCGTATTCCTGGCGAGGTCTGAGAAAAGCAGAACACCACGCTACTGTTTCCTTGATGCGGATATAATGCTTAACTATAATTAATGCAAACGTCTCTTCCTGGTTTCCAAACAACTCTTAACCACAGCACAGCAGAGGCCTGCCCAACTTGCAAGGCATCAATCGAAGTGCAGGCCTTCGTGGTGCTCCACCAGGAGATCAATCTGGTTTTGACTGCTTGCTTCAGACACTTGACAAGGCCACTGGTCAGGCTAATGGTGGGCCTTCAGCTGTGTGGGTTAACATCAAAAGAGCTCCGTCAGGTCAAGCCTAAGGCCCAGGTGCCCATGGAAATCCTGCAAACAGAACCTCAACGCAACAGCATCTCCCTCACCTGCAATGCCCACCAGCTGTTCTTCAGAGGCGCAGTGCTTCTGACAACTGGAGGTAGAGCTCTATAGTATGAAACTATCTGAATGAAATTAAGAACCACCAAAGTGGGGTGGGGAAGGGGGAGAGAGAGAGAGATGGAAACAGGGCAGTTTGCAACAAAGCTGTACCAAAGCTGAACAGAAACAAAGATTCTTCGCCTTTTGTAAGTCATTGCAACAAATGTCAGAGTTCAAGAAGAGTAAGCGTTGCGAGTAGGTCTACAAAAAGTTTCTGCGTCTACCCAAGTCCTTGCTAATTCCCCCCACCCTGCTCAGTCATCTGTGAGCAGAAAGAAAAACCGCTGTGGATACTCAGGAAAAGAGGCAAACATGTTTTTTCCCCAAACAATGACACCATAAAATGACCACAACATGCATTCTGCTATTTTTTCACAGGGGAACGAGTTCAATGTACTCTGTGGTGGTAAGCGACAGAGGAAAGGAGCTTGATAATATAATTCAATTGTTTAGAGCCTACTGTTTCCTCCTTCTTTGAGAGTTGATACAGTTCTCACTTTCTCTCTCTCACCATCAAAAACCTGACAACAGAACAGGAGACTCAAACGAAGGGCGAGACTCTCCTGCTACAAGTGGGAAAATTTCATGCTCTTTCTAGCTTTGCTATGCTGGAGGCAAAATACTGCCTTTATGAGGGCACAGAAGAGTCATTCTTTCATATTCAGAAAGTTGCCTTGCACTACTTGGTGCATCTAGTCGAGTGTTGTCTACACACACTGGCAGCAGCAGCAGCTCTTCAGGGTTTCAGACAGAGGGCACCACTAGTCATGCCTGGGGATTGAACAAGGGGCCTCCTGGATGCAAGACAGATGCTTTGCCACTGAGTTCTTAGAATCACAGAATTGTAGAGTTGGAAGGGACCCCGAGGGTCATCCAGTCCAGCCCCCTGCAATGCAGGAATCTTTTGCCCAAGGTGGGGCTCGAACCCACGACCTGGAGATTAAGAGTCCAATGCTCTACCAACTGAGCTACCTATGGCCCTTCCTTCCCATTCGCCTGCTTTCTAAGTTCCATGGCTGAGTCTCCTGGCTACAAGAGGGCCACTAAGACTTGCTAGTAAGATGGAGTGAAGAAAGCCAGTGGTCAAAACTTCATGTGACCAGGAGAAAGAAGACTGGGGTTCAAATCCTCATTCGGCCTGCCCATATCAATTGCACATTCCACCATGTCCTAAAAAAGGCTCTGTCAGCAGAAGTTCCATCTTCTACACCACTATGCAAGGTGCAAGATCCCGGTCTACTTTTCCCACCTGCTACAACAATCTACTGCATTTCCTCTTATTATCATAGAATTGTAGAATTTTAGAGTTGAATGGGACCACGAGGGTCATCCAATCCAACCCCCTGCAATGCAGGAATCTTTTGCCCAATGTGGCGCTTGAACCCACGACCCAGAGTCTCATGCTTTGCAGCATTCAAACACTGCCTTATGCCAGGTGAGATCCATTGGGTCTGTCTAGCTCAATACTGTCTACACTAGGGGTCAGCAAACTACGGCCTGTGGGCTGGATCCGGCCCAGTTGCCTTCAAGATCAAGCCCGCAAACGGCGTGGGTTTTTGTTTGTTTGTTTTTTCGGCCGCCATTTCCCCCGCTGCGCCGCCATTTCTCCCCCATCTCCCTCTCACACATTGCGGCGGCGCCTCCTCCCTCCCTCCTGCGAGCAAAGGCGGGCGCCAGTCGCAGCCAATCGCCTGCAAAGCTGCTTGAGGCCTGGCCAATGGGCAGGCGGTGGCTGCATGTGATCAGCGGCTGCCCAGTCATCGGGCCTCTGCTACTGGCGGGAAGGCTCCGGACTGAGGGAAGGCCTCTGAAGCCTTCCCTCAGTTTGGGGCTCACCCTGCTGCCGGCGTGGCAGCAATTGGGCTTCTGCTACCAGCAGGAGGGCCCCCATCCCACCCCTGAAGTGCGGAAGAGGTGCTGGCAGCAGGAGGCCTAGCAGGCCGCAAAACAGCACCAAGCCCAGGCGAGGGCCTCCCCATCCAAACAATGACTATCATCAGTGGATGTTAGGGAAAAAAATAATTTTAATTTTTATCATCTACAATACTGTCTGGCCTAATGGAATGTGTCCTTTTAAAATGCATTGGTGGGTTATTTGTGAGACCTGCCTGGTGTGCATAGGAATTCGTTCATCCCCCCACCACCCCAAATATAGTCCGGCCCCCCACAAGGTCTGAGAGGCAGTGGACTGGCCCCCGGCTGAAAAAGTTTGCTGACCCCTGGTCTACACATTGATTGGCAGCAGCTCTCTGGGGCTGCAGGCAGGAGAGAGGCCGCTGCTGAGGATCGAACCTGGAACCTTCTGCATGCAAAGCAGGTGCTCTTCCACTTAACCACGGCCCCTTCCAAAAGTAGCAACAAGAAAGGGAAGCCAGCCCACTGTGTTTCTATATTGTGCTGCAGAGAAAGGGGCTCTCTTGCGTTTGGCCTGGCTGGTGGAAGAGTGAGGGAGTCAACCATCCCTCCTTCAACAGCTTACTTGGGAATGCTTTCCCTGCTGGCTGTTAAAAGTCAAGGCGCTTCCCTTCCTACACAGCTAGCATGGAAACCAGGCCAGCAAAACAAACCAACAAACAAACAGACCCAATACTAATCACAGGCTTATCTACAGGGTTGCTGCCTGGCGAGGGTTAAAGAGGAGATCTTCAATTGAAAGTTCTTGTTCCAGAGGTGCGTTCTTAACCTGAAGCACCACTTTAGCTAATGGGGCCTCCTGCTGCCGCTGCGCCACCGGAGCATTATTTCTGTTCTCATCCTAAAGCAAAGTTCTTAACCCGAGGTACTATTTCTGGGTTAGCGGAGTCTGTAACCTGAAGCGTCTGTAACCCGAGGTAACACTGTACTGAGTCAGTGTGTTGGCCCATCTATTGACCTTTGTTTCTTAATGGCTCCTGCTCCTGCTCTGGCTGCACAGAAAAAGCATTTGGGTTCCTGAAATTAATTCCGATTGCGCAAATAAAATGTAACTGATTGAATACTTCAGAACGGGGTATTAGTGTGTGAAAGCAATCCAGATTCAATGATCCCCAGTTGGTGGAGATGTCAGGCGCCCTCCTGGTACCCAGGCATCTTCTCTTGGTTGCAAGTGGTTGAAAGCCAGGTGCAAAATGCGCCTGGCGCCTGGCTAATTTCGAACACTAGTGAGGAACCCATGCTCCCTGTAAATCCCCTCTTCCATTGGCAGAAGAGCCCCACCAAAGATCCACGCAAGCCAAGATCCTGTTCCCAACAGTGGCCAGAGGGTTCTCAGAAGCCCACAAGCCAAGCATGATGGCAACATCCAGCAACTAAGAACACCAGAAAAGCCTGGCTGCCAGAGGAGTCCAATGGCCCTTCAGGGTCCAGCATCTTGTTCTTAGAGCAGCCAACCAGATCAGAGAACAGAATTGTAGAGTTGGAAGGGACCCGAGGCTCACCTAGTCCAACCCCCAAGTTAGATGCCCAAGGGAAGCCTGAAAGCAGGACCTGATCGCTACAGCAACTCTCCCCTCTTGCAATCCCCAGTGACTGGTGTTCAGAAACACTGCCTCTGGAACTGGGAGTTCCACTGGAATTAGGTAATACCTTGTTTAAACAACTGGCAGCCACTGTTACATCCTTCTGCCGGTAAATCCTCCAAGGTAATTCCATGTGGAGTGGAAAGTACCTAATTTCGTCACACTCCTGAATGCAGTGCTTCTCCAACTGTTGCTAGGCTTTAAGAGTGACACCTTCCTCAACTACCCCCCCTCCTCGCCCCAAATGTAGTATCTCCTTATCTGTTCTTTGCTGTACTGCTCTCAGCTCCATCTACAATGGGAATTAAGACAGACCTTCCTAACCGAGTTGGCCGTAAGCAAAAAAGGAAACTAGCTTCGTACTGAGTCAGGCCAGTTGTCTATCTAGCTCCAGCCTGTCTGCACTGACTGGCAGCAGCTCCCTTTCTGGGGAGCCTGCCCCCCCCCCCGCATGCAGAACTAAGCTCAGCTTTGTAACTTAAGAGCACCTATGGCAGTAGAAGACCGTTTTTGACGGCAGCACCAGGCTTGATTGGTTTTAATAGCAGTAATTATTTCCAAAACATTTTAGACAAAGGAGCTTGGAACATAGCCATTAACCCTCTTTTCAAGGTTAGCTTTTCCTAGCTCAGCCACAACCAAGAGATTTGTGCCTGCAAAACTCTTGTTCTTGCGGAGACAGACTAGTCCTGCCACCCTTTTGAATGTGTTAAGTTAAGCTGCATATATATTTTTCGACCCACATTGGAAATGTCTATAATTTTTAAGAATCTGATCTCTCCTCTGGAACTCTGCATGTGTTGCAGGGTCTGGCTCTGAGGAAAAGAAACCTCTCTGCACATGCTCAGAGGTGACGTCTTCCCCACTCTTAACGTCACACTGGATCTCGCCGAAAAGAGTTTCCTTGGCAGAGAATCCTGGCCGTGATTAAGCCCTTCTTTTTGGGGGTGGCGGCGCAAAGAGGGTGCTAAACTTACGCACCTCCTTCCTTTCGGGGAAACGAAACTGGGGCTCTGTATTCCTTATCACCCCCCACTGCAACAATTCGGGTCAATTGGAAGCGGTACAGAAAAGGACCTGATCCGCCAGGGCGGCGGAAACTCCGTCCCGCAGGAGGGCTGGAGTTGTGCAAGAGGCGGAGGCGCTTTATTAAATAATAGCAGAAATGCAACTCCTTCCCCTTCGCCCCCACCCGACCCGCGCTCTCAGCTGCTTCCAAGCCTCCAGCGCCCGCACTTAAAATAGCCCCCTCCCAAGCCCACTGCAGCTCCCCAAAGCTGTTCATTTCATTTTACCTGTGCCTAGATCGTTGCCTCGGCCTGGCTCCGCGTCAAGGCAACCTTTTGCAAGCCGAAGAAGCGCAGACAGGAACCGGGGGGCGGGAGGGGGAAGCCCAGGCAGGCAGGCAAGCAAGCGAGCGTAGCTTCACCCCCCCTCCCCGCCCTCTGCAACCCGCCCAGAGTCCCGCTATCGCTGCCAATTCGCAGAGCAGCGACTCCTCCCTGCCAAACTCCTCCTTCCATAAAAATGGGCGTTTGCCCAGGGCCAGGAGCGTGAAGCAAGACGCACAAACACACACGCCAGCAAAGGGAAGCCTGGAGGCGGGCAGGAGAGATGGGGGGAAGGAGGAGGCCCGATTCGGGGAAAGGAGGGGCCATGCCAGCTTGGGAAGGAAGTTTTGAGCGGGCCGGCCTGCTCTTCTTCTCCCTTGCAGCCGCTTGGCTTCCAGCAAAGCAGGGCGGCGGCGGCGGCTTCCTCGCTGCATCCTCTCTGCATTGCAACGGCGGGGCCGAAGGGAGCGCAAAGAGACGCGCTCAGGCATCGCCCCTCTTAGGGTGACTCCGGAGCGTCTCCTCTCTGCAGCTGAGATTCAGGGTACCGCACCAGGTGGCCCTTCCGGGTGTTTGGGGAATCCCTCTCCCATCAGCCCCCAGCTAGCATAGCCCATTTGACCAGGGAGCGTCGTTCCAGAACACTTGGAGGAACAACCAGGCGGACGCGGTGCTGAAAGGCACTGGCCATTGGGGGGAAGGCGTTTCGGACCAGTGGGAGATCGCGTACGTTCCGTGCAAAAGGTTCCAGGTGCACTCCCTGCAGCATCTCCCGTTAGGACAGGTGTAGGGACCCTTTGGTCCTCAAGATGTCTCAGGACCAAAAACCCGTGAAAGCCAATGGGCTTGGCCAATGGCAAGGGATGGTGGGAGTTGCAGCTCGGCAACATCTGGGGGGCCAGCGGTTCCCCACACCTGCAGGAGGGCTCTCGCAGGAACCCCTGCCTGAAACTCTGGAGAGCCACTGCCAGTCAGTGTAGACAACATTGAACTAGATGGGCAGACACAGATGGGCAGAAGGCTGTTCCTAATAGCAGAGCATGTGCTGATGTGTATGTAGATAGCTAGAGAAAGGCTCACTCCATCTCTTAAAGACAGAAATCTGTGGCAAAGATGATCAAAAATTGTGGAGTTTGGGTTATTACTGGGTCATTCTTTTTTTTTTTAAGTCAGGTTTTCTGAGTTTGGCATAAATTAAAAAGGCAAACACAGCACAACAGGGAGGATACAGTTCGTACTAGACAAGCGAGGGCAATGGATTCTGTAAAAATGGTACAGAATTAGATCTTATCAACTAGGGAAGGTTAATGGGCTGCTCTTTTTCAAAGGTACAGACCAGCCTAAGTGTAGAACGTGTTGTGAGTTGGGGGTGGTTAGGCTGTATTCCATGAGTCCCTTTCTAATTCCTGGATCTGGCAAAGATTCAATTGCTGGAATAGTCAGGACAGCTTCTTGGTGAGGCAATGGCCTAAGTATGGGTCATTAAGGTAACAAAGGAAGTGGCTCTGTGCCAGAGAGCAAATAGGTGCTCCCCCTCCCTCAACTGGCTGGTGGTTAGAAGGGCAAAGGCCAGAGTTGTGTGTGCAAACTAGCAGCTAGTGGCAGGCAGAAAGCCTGTGAGGGAGAATGCTTGGCTTCTGCTAGGATCCAAGGCTGTGGTTATGGAAGCAGACCTTCTTGGGGTGTTGTAGGTTCAGGTTGTATATAGGTGTAAATAAATCATATCATAAAACCACCAGAGTCTGCTGTTCCTCATGCCAAGGCAGGCTTCCTCACTCGGCCCTCCAGATGTTTTTGGCCTACAACTCCCATGATCCCTAACTAGCAGGACCAGTGGTCAGGGATGATGGGAATTGTAGTCTCAAAAACATCTGGAGGGTGGAGTTTGAGGAAGCCTGTTCCAAGGAAACCAAACCCTGGGTATGGCGTCTGGAACCCCCTGCAATCTCACACCACTCAGCATGCTACCCCAATACATTATCTATCTAAATTACACAGTACCTTTTTTTTAAAAAAAAGGCGTGGGAACCAAATCTTTATAATAAAAATTATTTCGGCAGAACTGGTACTTTAAATAAGTCAAGCCATGAAAGGGGGCAGGGGTACAAAGAGAAGAATAAACTAAGTAGGTCACCCTTGACCACTCCATTCCTTGCTAGCAAAAGGCAAGGATGTAAACCTTCAAAAAGTCATTTCTAATGGCTCACAATTGGTAAACTTGCCATTAAATGTTCCAGATATTAAATTGCGGCCTTTTCTCCCAGACATCTTTATGAAGAGTCTGCTCAGCTGGAATGGGTAAACTCTAGGTTAAAACTACTGGAATGCATTATATGTGGGGCTGCCTTTGGACGCATTTCAGAAACTTCTGCTGGTGCAGAATTCAGTGGCAAGGTTGCTTACCAGGGCAAGATGGTCTGAGCACGTAACATCAGTCCTGGCCCAAGTACTCTGGGCCCAATCCACAGTGCTGGTTTTGACATATAAAGCCTTAAATGGCTCACGACCCCAACACCTCAAGGACCACCTCTCCTCACATGAACTGACCTGGACAATGCGATCATCATCTGAGATTCTTCTTGTGTCCTCTCCCCAGGGAAGCTCACCTGACACCTCATGACATATTTTTAGGTGCCAGGTGAAAATGTTCCTCAATAACCAGATGTTTGGCTGATTAAACAATCTATGGCCTTTTTAATGTGTTTTTGGGAAGGGGCTTTATTGGTTTTTGTTATGTTATGTATTTGGTGTCCTTATTTTGTATTTTTATGTTGTAAACTGCCCTGTGGTCTTCAGATGAAAGGTGGTATATAAATCTAAATTAATAATAATAATAATAATACAAGTCATACTGAATAGCTTTTTTTAATACACAAGCAGGCATTGCTGTGTATTTATGAACGTGAAGATAAAGTGCTTAATAAATAGATCACCGCAGATGTAGAATAAGAACATCCAAATAATGCCACTCCAAAGAGAAAAATATTGCAGAGAGGGTTGTCTTCAGCCTTCGGACGCTATCAGATATTGGCAGTCTTTGGGTGTTCCTTCTGCCTCCATCACAGGTTCCTGTAGGCCTGCCCAAAAAAAGATTAAGACTGAAACTATGCCTTTGGGAGTTTAGCAGTTATATTTTATAAATACTGATTAGAAAGTTATGAATCCCTTAAGGACAGAAGCCTTCTGTCAGGGGTAGGGGCAGACTGCAGAGCCCACAGAATAAAGCAAGATGTAAATCAAGTGCTTTAAAAGGGTTCACAAAGTTATTAAATCCCCATTTGAAGGGACAGCCATCTTCCCAATAACACTACGTCAGCCAATCCACACTAAATTCTGGTGCTGTACAGAGTAGATGTACACCGAGCAGAGTGCTGAGCATATCAGCAATTCCAGATTACTTCTGTGTGAGAATGTTGCAAGATAACCCCTAAGAGAAACATTTTTTCCTTACTCCCAGTTGGTAGTTGGGCCTGAACGGAAGTAGACAATAATCTACGAAGTCTGTAAGTGTGCATATTTTCACTGTTTAACACACTCGTTCTTTAATAGGAGGAGGCAGAGGAGAGAGATTTGCCAACAGGACACAACCGGGGTGCTCATTTACCAAGCAGCAACTTGCCACAGTGGGGTATGCATTCACTCTTAACTGAAGGTACTAGTGATCAGCTCACCACATGTTGGGAGAATTTTGCCACACCTGCACCCGGATGTCTGGGAAAACAGGGGTGTGGTTAAACTTTCTTTAGCACCCAATGAGAAAAACCAGCTCAGGAGCAGCTGCAGCTCAAAAGCTATTCCAATATATTTTCAGTGGTAAACGTGTCTTAAAGCAGCCTTCCCCCAGCCTGGGTGTTTTGGATTACAACTCCTGCACTTGCTGGGGTTGATGGGTGTTGGTGAAGGCTGCTTTAAGGCTCTACTACGCATGCCCTCTGGGACAGTTGGAAGGTATCAAATCTACAAGCCTTTTGCCAAACCCACATTGTAAACAGAGGAAGTTGCACCATCTTTCTGTAATCTTATCAGACTCATGGCTTTCTATGAATTTAATATTTGCTTTTTCAGATTCAAATCTCACACTGCACCCCACAACCACAAGGGGAGGGGGGAACAATTTGACAACACTTTCCCAAGCAGGAATGAATGCCGTATATTAAGAGACTCAAAAAAGCTGAAAGTTGGGCACCGTTACTACTTACTCTGCATGCTGTAGTCAGTCATCAGCAAAGGGAAGCCACTCAAACTCTGCTTCGGTGCTGTGGAGGGCAGCAAGTCACTGGCAGGAATACTGCTAGCAAGAGGTGTCATTATTCCAGCATCTTCTTTTTCCAGATCAAACACACAGAGAAGGCAGACTGGGGGCGTAACGCCAGGCCCTCTAGGGAATAAGTCTTCTTCGTTTTTCAGGTAACTCCTCAGCGCCCCACTGTGGTGAATGGCTCGTTCACGGGACCAGACCCAGTGTGTGGGCTCCTTTAACATTATCTAGAAAAGAGGAAGCCTGAATCATCCCAAAAGAGAACTATGTTTGGAAAACTTTGGGGAAAGAGAACCGAACATTTTGTGCCACGTAACCTGCCAACCTAGCAATTCGAAAGCACGTCAAAGTGCAAGCAGATAAATAGGTACCGCTCCAGCGGGAAGGTAAACTGTGTTTCCATGCGCTGCTCTGGTTCGCCAGAAGCGGCTTAGTCATGCTGGCCACATGACCCGGAAGCTGTACGCCGGCTCCCTCGGGCAATAAAGTGAGATGAGCGCTGCAACCCCAAAGTCGGCCACGACTGGACCTAATGGTCAGGGGTCCCTTTACCTTTACCTTAACCTGCCATATAGCATAGTCTCAAATCTCTGGTCCATTTAACTCAGTATGGTCAGTGAGAGGGTGTGGCCTGGAGGGTCAAATTCAGTCCTCAAACCTGAGGTCATCACTGATTGTTAACAGCTCTCCAGGGTTTTATTCTTACAAGCAGGGCTTTTTTTCCAGGGGTAACTCGCCAGAACTCAGTTCTGGCACCTCAGGTGGGTACCACTGCCATTCTAAGAGAAAGAGGGAGGCGTTCATGGTGAGTTCTGGCACCACTTTTTCTAAAAATATAACACTGATTAGAAGTATTGTCTACATGCACACGCTGCTGCCCATACCTTCATTTCTGAAGACCTATTAACATGATCACCAGAAAAGGACATTAGCCTGCTGCTTTTTTGGTGGTCATCCTGCAATTGTGGAATAATGTTCCATACAATGTTAGGCATGGCTTATGCCTGGATAGTTTTATACAGACTTTATTAACAATTTTTTTTTGTCTTGACTGTAGAGCCGAATTGCAGCTAGGGATCTGATTGTAGCTGCATACCCATTACAACTTTAAAGCACTTTTTTAAAAAAAAAGTCTGGGCATTGTAGTTTACCCCCACGGAGCTACAATTCTCAGCAAACTAGAGTGCCCACAATTATGTGGGGAGAAAGTTCATTCTTTGAATGGGCTTTAAAGGTAGTGTGTATACACAGTCTGTGTCACCCGGTCATGGTAAATACATTATGCTGCAATTTTGATGTTTGATTGTTACTTTTAATTAAATGGGATTCTTTTACTGAGTTGTTTTAAGATCTTGTTGTTGTATTTCATGGGAACTGCCTTGGGGAGAATTTTGTTCTTGAAAGGCGGTACAGAAGTTTGCTAAATTAAATAAAAATACAAGAGACTTTCCCATTCGTACCTGAGATGCCAAGGACTGAACCTTGTGACTTTTGAATTTCCTTCAGCCATATCGTTTCTACCCCCCATCCCAAGGAAAAAAATTCCAGTAGATCCCCCAGCAGGATGAGAGGATTATTCTGCTCTCCCTGCCACCACTAGTGCACCCAACTTCATTTATCTTAACACACCAACGCCAAGAACATTGCAAATCAAGTGATCTGCAGCTAACCTCGTCACAGCAGCGTCTGCTAACAAATGCTCTGTACTTCATTTTGGCCCAAAAGCCATCCCGCATTTTCAGGAACTGGGGGAAAAGCTTCCTCCAGTTGTCACCAAGTGCCCAGGGGAAGATCTCATATTTGTAGTCCTCTGTGTCTTCTTCCATGTCATTTGCTAGGTACCTGTAATCAGGAAAAAGTGGTGTGGGGGACAGTGGAAAGCCTCCAGAATTCCTTCACAAAGCAATGGATGGTCTTCAAGCAGCAGAAGGAGTTCACCAGAGAAGTTATGTTCCAGCTTATAACAGTTTCAAAAACTAAGCGGTCAAACGTTGCTCACTGTAGCCAATATCTTTCCTCTCCACCATCAAGGGTGGCCATGTGTTCTACAAATAACAGCCCTCTATTTGAAGTGTTGTCTAGTTCAACTCACAAAGAAGCCCAAGAAAACAGAGTAGGAGGAACCCTGAAGTTGCCCCTCAACAATTAGCACCTGTATAACAGGTTAAGATTGCAGTCTTGGGGCCTAGATGCACATGACACTAATTGGGCTGCCCCTGATCATGTTCTTCAACAACTTCATTTGCAAAAAAAACAAAAAACAAAAATTAAAAAAAACACCTGCCATCATCACCTTTAGGAAAAACAAAAGGTCTATTGCTTACAACAGGAGTTTTCTCTAAACCTATTTCCACCTTGGGGACAGGTGATTTTTGCTGCAATTGTACTGATGGAATTTGGGTGAGGAGGAAAGTTTAGCTCCCCTCTCCCCATTGTTACAGTTTCCAGATAGAAACAGGGGTCCTCTGCACCTGTAACTAAATTTTGACTGGGAGAAACGCAATTAGTTTCACATGTTGTTAACTTACAGTGAGCTAATATAGTAACCTTTCCCCCCACTTTGTAAGAGTTGTTCTGCTGCACTAATAAATATGATGAATAGCGAGTATTTGGTGACATTGACTAAACTCCTAGCCTAATAAACATTACAGGTCACCTCCCCACATGACCGAACCAATAGAAGAGCACCAAAATAAACTTACAGAGCTATGAAGAGATTAGTCCGTGTGTATTCCTCCGTATGCAGGCCAGCACGTTTGAAGTACATCATAGTCATAGCTATAAGATACTGAATAAGACAGCTTAGCTTTAATAAAGTCTATAGCAGACCACAATAATTATTTAAGAGATGTGAAAGGAAGGCAAAAGCATTAAGAGGGTAGAAAAGTCAGCTACAAGACATTCCTCCAACAAGAAGCAAAGAATCAACATTATGCCCTGCTTTGTTGGTTGGTTACTACACAGGAAGGTTTTATCCAGAGTTTAGTCAGAGGTTTGTGGTGGTTGTTTTTTTCACTTTACCAATCTTGATTGCAAATGGGCCTATCACTGTGATACTGCCTGAATGAAATTTAACTCCTGAGTTAAAAAGCAGTTCTTTATACAGCCTCCCACAACCTGGTATTCACTAGATGCTCTTGACCACAACTTCCATCAGCCCCAGCCTGCCATGATTGCTTGGCGCTAATAGGAATTGCAGTTGAAAACACCTGGAGGCACCAGGTTTTTTTTGGGGGGGGGGAGGCTACAGATAGTAAAGCAGGCAGTTTTGAAAATGGATTATATTTATTTATTGAATTCCTATATCCCACCCTTTAGCATCAAAACAATATCAGGGCAGATTACATACTAAAACACAAATAAGATAATCAGATTAAAAAACTACCATTACAGTCTACATGTAAATTGTTCCATCTGTCACACCATTAAAATGGTTACTACTACTAATGTGTAAGTCACACAGAAAAGAAATGTCTTCTGCTGGCAGCAAAAATTAAATAGTGATGACGCCTGCATGACTTTGAGGTTGGGGGAAGCTGTTCTGCACCCATGGCACTACCCTAACGAAGGCTCTATTCTGAAACCCCAAATTATGTTTGGCAATGGTGCAAGCACAAGAAAATCTGTGGTGGGCCTCAAATAGTAAGCAGGTGTGCTCCTTCAAACAGCTGGGCCCAAAGCCATTTAAATCTTTGTAAGTCAAAGCCAGCAGCTTGACTTAGGTTTAGTAGTCAATGGGCAGCCACTGCAGATTTTTAAGGACCAGTATTGCACAGCTGCACTGGTCAATACCTTGGGGTCTGCAATTCTCACTAGGTGAAATCTTTAAATTGTTTTTTCAGGCATCCCCATGTACAGAACTAAATGGGAGGTTATTGGGACATGGACACCTGTGGCTAGGCTCTCTCTATCCAGGAACAGCTGTAGCAACCCACCACCAAAGCCACTTGAGTCTCTAGAAATTGTAGCGTCAAGGAGTACCTGCAGACCATGCACCCAATGTATCTGGGGGAACTGCAAGCCCGTTCAGAGTAGCCTGCTCACCTATTTTCTGGACCTGGGAAGCACCAATCACCTCAACTTTTTTGGGAATTCAGCTTCAGTTTATTTGTCTTCATCCAGCCTGTCACTGTCTCAAGACACTGATTAAGTACCTGTACAGCTTCTCCAAATTCAGACAGCACAAAGATAGACAGAGCTGGGCATCAGCATACGGATGATGCCTTGCCCCCCAAATCACTGTTCCCAATGGCTTAATATGCATGTTAAAAAGTGAGACATGAGAGTTGCTTTTGGTGGAAACTGGGATGCAAGCCATGTGGAGATGATTGCTTGAATATTTGTTTCAGAAGTGAGTAGATGGCAGCTCATTTACTTCCACTACACTCCTGCTTGAACTTATGTAAATAAAGCAATTACTACAAAAATGCTATTAACTTAACAGTGTTCTTCTAGTAACTGCATTGATTGCTCCCCTCCAGCACTCACTGAAAGAAGCAAACCAGAAATGTTGTTGTGAAATTTCTCTTTTTGCTTTGGCATTCATATAATTAAAAATTTGAATGCCATGCTGTAATACTGAAAGTGTAGGGTGGAGGACTTGGGGGGGGGGGGAACCTACCTTATCTGAGATCCTGTAGCATGTATCCATTGAAAGGAATTCTTGTATCAAACTATCCTCTGATGAGAAAAGAAAGCAAAACATGTTTTAATCCATACCATTATTTGTGGGCTATCTAAAGCTTTTATAACCAATTGCCTCATGCAGCTTCAATGTATATTTATGGTACCTGAGAAGCACTGTTTATTGTTACATTCAGTCAAGCAGCCATTCTGAGCAATCAACTTTCCAAGCTTAACTACATTATAGACTAAAAGTAGACAGTTTTCATCTTGCTGAGAACTGCACCAATGAATCTAATGAAGCTCATGTATCTAATGAAGCTCATGAACAGTACAATTTGTAGGAGTCGTTGGGAAGTTTTGGGGGAAAGCTGATGGTATTTTCCCTACTGGCTGCATTTGCACATTAACAGAAAGCTATGGTTTGTTGAACAAACCGTGAGCTGTCTTGCACAGACAAGCACGCTGCAAACTGATTCTTTAATGCTTTTTTTGTTTTCCATCTGTCCTGGCCTTTCATCTTTGTAGCTTGGGGTGGGATGGCTGAGCCATAACATCTGATTTCAGACATAACACCAAACCAAAGTTAAAACAACCAGGGTTTCTCAGCACAGTGTGACACCAGAAGACAAACGATGGGGTGCCTCCAGACTTCCAGTATTTTGTGTGAGGGATTTTCAAGGGAATACCCAGAAATGTTAGGTTTACACAATTAAAGTGGACTAAAGAACTCCATCACCCTAGTACAACAAATCCACTTTTAAAAAGAGAATGATTTTTTTGCAGTTAGGAAAGTGAGAGAGAAACATATTGAGGCAAGCAAATGATGTATAAACACAAGCAAATCAGGATGAATGTTCAGTAAAGAGTAACTTCATTGTAAAAGCTTTGTGCAAATAAATTGGTATGCATGTCCAAGCAGCAGCTCACCTGGAAGAGTCCATGATTAGTCTGCTGGGAGACAGTCAAACGCACACCATTTTGCCTAAACAAGTAATGACTTAGCATTGTCTGCAAATCAGGCTATTGACTAAGAACTGGGCAACATTTTTACTATACCCATTTAAAATTTGGCAGAGCTGCTAGGGACAAGAAGGTCTGCATGCTACCAATCTCTGAATAGGACTGTGGGGTCAGGTATCTCACCCAGGAGATTGAAGAAGGCCTCTTGTTCTTCTCTGTGTAGAAGCAAAGGTGGTTGCTGTGAAGTTTTCAAGGCTGCTGTGGTATTCTCTCTCTCAGGCCCCTGTGCATCACTGCTGAGTACCCCAACACCATGTGTGACACGCTGTCGTCGTCTTGTGCTCCCTGGCTTCACCCCTGTGGTGACCTCAGGAGGGACACAAGTGCTCTGGTTGTCCCGCATTTTTCTTCTCAAGTTGGAACAACAGAGGCTCAAAAAGAACCTTTCTGGGGAGGAAATAGTTTAGATTCCAAGTTACCAATGAACATAAAATGCTATCTTTCCTCCACTAAGAATCTGGGACAATTATGCATTATAGGACATGTTATAAGAAAAAAAACTGCTTCCTTTCCCTTATGGGGTATTCTGGAGCCCGTATAGAGTCCTTAAGTGGGTTCCCTCTCAGTAGGAGAAAATAACAGAGGCCAACCAGGGTATATTGAGAAGCAAAGCAGCTAGTAAGCCTGATCTTTATTGCAACGAAATAAACAGTTGCAACAGGGTCCCCACTCATCAGACGCAGGAGGGAGGAGAACCCAGAACAATGGTGTGCAAGTCCTTATATAGACTTTTGAAATTTCCCACCCTGTAGCCCAAGACCAACCCGACAAAACATTATACATACATCACAGACGGAGGCGGTCTCCAGCAGAAAATCTGTCTGCCAAGATACCTGATAATGGTCACTGATTGCATTACCTGGGCAGCCTGGCCATTCTTTTGTGATGGTAAATACTTTAGTTCCTGAATCCAGGTCACAGGCTCACCCTATTCATACATAAATACATCCTTAAGACAGGATTTGTAAGCAAAAAGATAATGGGAAGGCTTTCCCCCACTTGCCTCCCTTACTGCAGTGGATATATTTAAGGTCAATTTGGGAGAGGATGGCTTCAGGATTGCTCTCCTGTACTATTTATACTTATGTATGTGTTTGCCTTGTACATTTATGAACATTTATTTTATATTTGAGACCTTAGAATTCTTATAATAGGCACGAGGACTGAAAATCTTCCCAGATGGGATGACACACACCCTTTTCTGTATAAACGTTATACAAGTCGTAAATTCCTGTTAAAAGCTTGCAAATAGTTCAAGGGAACTGGAAAAACCAGAGGCTGAAGAGGACATGTGTTCCCATTTAGGCTGTCTCCCCAATGCTTTGGGCTGAGAATACACATACAAGCAAGCACTAGGAAGACTGAAGTCATTAAAACACAGTGGCTAATTCCCTGAGATACTAGCAGGTTGTATCACAGAATAGGCTGTATTTTTTTATTTATTTCAATGTAAATCATTTCCCAAAATTGCATCCCAAAACAATTTACAGTATTTCATACATTAGGATTACCCTGTGCAACTTTTTCCAATGCAAGCTTTCAGCCGGTTTTTATCACTCCTGGAGTTTAGACCACACATGTGACATGGGCACTAGGAATTGTAGCTCTGTAAGGGGTAAACTACAGTTCCAGGGTTCTTTGGAAGAAGCCATGTGCTTTGTGCTCAGCCATGGTCTGCTGCACAGGGCAGAAGCAACTGCTGCCAGCCACACTCTATTCTGTCTAAACTACGGTAACGCTCCTGCTTATATCACCCACATTCCCAGAGGTTTAACCTGAGCCCCAGCTAGTGGGCCAACATATGAACTCAGTTCTGGAATTTATTATGAATACAGGGACTCAAGGACTCAACACCACTTTGATATTGGGAGTAGTGATTAGTAAATCAACCCTATCTGGTTCAGCTCCGTCAAAATGGAGGAAGCAAAATCCAGTGATGTACCTAGCCATTACCTAACGTACCTCACTGCACTGGACAAGGCAACATTTAGAAGTTGGAAGCAGTAGTGCTGCTGGGCCATAGGCATACATAGAAGCCACTGTGTCCAACTTAGTGCACAGGTTCTAGACCCGGAGGATAACCAGTTACCTGTAAGTAATCTTCATACATACTCAGAGGTACTCCTGTTGCTACTATCACCAAATGTTTCTGGAAGGGCACTCCAGATTTACAAGTAATTAGGAAGAGAAGAAGCTCAGGATTTAATCTCTGACTGCACCAAACCTTTTAGTAATACCTGTAGGTGCTGCAGCACATTTGGCCCCAGGTTACCAGACTTCCTGACATACACTGTTTATTATGTTTTTAAGGGGCTTGAAGGCTTTCTTTAACTGTAACAGGCATGGCTATCCTGCTAGAATTACTTCTTATCCATCAATTACCCCCCACTTTGTGGGAGTGATAAACAAGCCATATTGCCAATGGCAGGGAGAGAAATAGCACCGCTTCTAAAAAATGTGTAACCAACAAATTACTGAACTCCATTGGGACTATTATTGGCAGGGAAACCCAGATTTCAACCACTTTCATTACATTTTCGTTCCATTTGAAGATGGGGTAAGTGGAGAGAGAGAAAAAAAGGCAACATTGCAAAACAAAAATCACAATCCTTCCAGATTACCATTGTCATGTTCTTTCACTGAAGTCTGTCACACAGGTGATTGGAGTTTCCCCAAGTACTTTCTTAAGAGGAGCAAACAAGACCTACCGATAAAAAAACAGGTAGCATACATTGGTGCTGAAGAAAATGATAGAGCCCCAATTTCTGATGGGTCAAGTATTGGTACATGTAACACAGTGAAACACTTCATTCTTGTAAACTCTGAATCAGCCACAAATTTAAGTAATGGGCTTAAAATTTAAAAAGGTGCGCCACCCAAAATTAAATGGGTGGCAAAGTAGGGAAGCAATGATTTTGCTGAACTCGTTAAAATATATATTGTGATTAAAAACTGGGGGAATCAAAGGAATAGTAAATAGTTCAGAGCAATACAGACACTGTACACAAACACATATCTAGCATTTCCAAATGTTAAAAACTTCAAGCGGACTCTAGTCCACAAACCATTAAAAAATGGTTAGGCCTTCAAGGTACCACAAGCCTATCAATTTTTTGCAGCAAGAGACTAACACAGCTTCCTATGGGAATACATCATCCTACTACACACAATTATATTACACATTTTGAACTGCAGATTGGGGTGAGGGGGAGCAGCTCCACTACCTCCATTTTCCTCTCCCCACCCAAATCCTTCCTTTAGCTCAACCTCCTGCCCAAAGACTAAATGCCAAGAAATTAAAAATTTTGCTCTCTATTCTGTGGACCTTTTAAGTTTGTCCCCAATTGAAAACAAACCAAAACCAGACATATATGGCCTTTGTAGTAGATTTCCTTCCCACTCTAATTAAACCAACATGAGCTTCCATGGTTTAATTTTGCGGCGTATTTTACAAACAACCCTGTAAGGAAGCTCACTTGAGGGGGTGTGTGGCATGCGCCCTTGGGGGGAACTAAAATGCCAAAAAGAGGAGGAATGATCAACTTCTCTTCTGGGGAACTCAAGGGCGAGTTGACTTTGAGGGAAACACACCCAAGAAAAAGAAAGTGGAGACACCCCCCTTCTCTCCAAAAGGCCCCTTCCCTCAAAACACATTTTCCCGCCTTTTTCTCTGCCTCGCCTCCCTTCCCCCACCCTTGCACCTGAACAGAGCAAACCACCCAGCTCGCAAAAAGCCACAGGTGGGCGGAGCACCACGCTAAACGCCGTTTCACCTCACCCCACCGCCCGCGCGCGGCTTTTTTTATAGGCTCCGCCGGGGATCCTGCTAACCCAATCGCCGCCCGCGGGACGGAGGGAGGGAGGAACAAAGGCTATTGAACATCCAGTCCCCGCGTGCCCTTTCGCGAAGCTGTCCGTCAAAGGTTCGAGCCTCCTTGACGGGCAGTAAATCACTTTGCGAGGGTTCTGTGCGCGCGCGCGGGGGGGGGGGGCCGCGCTTATTGGCAGGGGTGTGTGTTTTGCGAGCCGGATGGAACGCGGCAGGGTTTACTTCTGAGTAAACAGGCATAAATAAGGCTGCGATCTTGCGCCCACTTGCCTGGGCGTTAGGCTCCACTGAGATCAAACGCCTGCCTCATGCTTCGACATCGCCCTGCAGGACTGCGCTGCGTAACGGGGGTTAATTTTGGGACCTTTCTAGTAGCACAGGTGGCGGCGAACCCTTTCTAGCAATCACTGGGGGCTGCGGCTAATAATGGGGTTGCACTCCTACGTTTTGGTTTTTTAATTAACAAATTTTTTAAAAAAACATTTGAAAATGTGCATTTTGTAGTGTGTGTGTTCAAATGTTTTTTAAAAAGGTATATATGTTTATTTAATTTTGTTAATCAAAACACACACACACACACACATATTGCTCAAGGCAGTAAACATGCACTAACTCAGCTACATTGGTAAAGATAAAGCGCTTTATCTGCGTTATAACACTGACACCAGGTGGCGATGTGGAGTCCCGTCTTTCGCCAACTGAATGCCCCTGTAGGAAACTTACAACGCGTTTAACTGAATCGCTTCTTTGACGTGTTACCTACTCAGCTGTAGATTGGTAAAGAAAGAGCATTTTATATATGTTTGTGCATTGTAACACACGGCGACACCAAGATGGCACTGTGAAGTTCCGTTTTTGCCAACGCGGTTTTCTCATATAAAGTTTACGACGACTTTTCCCTGAAATGCTTCTTTGCTGGGTCTAGAGATCCAGCCATGGTTTCCAATGCTGTGCCAACACAACAAACCTGTGAGGTAGGCTGGGCAGAGCGTGGCTGACTCAAGCCCCCTCTGCCCATTTTATAAAGCAACCCTGTGGGGATAGGTAGGAAGAGAGTGACTGGCTGAAGGGCCCCCTCAATTTTATTCTCTGAAAAACTGTGTAAAGTAGACTAAGCAGAGATCAGCTGCCCTCCTTGCACGTCATAGAATTGCAGAGATCGGAAGGGACCACCAGCAACTGAGCTATCCCAGGCGTACCCACATTATCCTCACAGCAAACCTCATTCCCTTTGGGTAAGCGCCTGGAACCCCCAGAAATTTGCACTGCTTGGAGGTTTGCAACAATATTCACAGATAGACCACCTTCTGAAATACACAAAGGGTTGAAGCAGGCTATTTTCAATTACAGGTAGGTCTTGGAGAGATCGAGATCCCTGCCTCAAACTTTGGGGAACCACTGCCTGCCCGTGTAAACAGTACTGTGCCAGATGGGCAAATGGCCTAACTCACTAGATTATTCTGCATGATCATGTTATAATACTGATTGACGGGATCGTTGTACTAATCACAAAAAGTAGCCCAATTAAAAAGTGACAGAAAATTGCACTGGGAGATGATATATAATGAACTAAAAAAGGTATTTAACTATACCTTCTTGAAGAAACCAGAGGCCTTTCTCCTGGGCATAGTCGGCCAATCGGTGTTAAAAAAGGACAGAACTTTCTTTATGTATGCTACAACAGCAGCAAGAATACTCATTGCAAAGCATTGGAAGACACAAGATCTACCCACACTGGAGGAATGGCAGATGAAAATGATGGACTACATGGAATTGGCGGAAATGACTGGCAGAATCCGAGACCAGGGAGAAGAGTCGGTGGAAGAAGATTGGAAGAAATTTAAAGACTGCTTACAGAAATATTGTAAAATTAATGAATGTTAGAATGATGTTGGATTGAAGTTAAGCGGTTTCTAGCTGTATAGGTACAAAAGAATATGGAAAAATTGGTTTTTAATATGTAAAAATCTAACGTTACAATATATCAGGACTAAGGATTAGGATTAAAAAGGAGGGAAAGGAATTGTTGGATTAACAAATTTAATTGGAATACAAAAGAGGGAGGTATGAGGAGGTCCGGGAAACAAGTAAACGTAAAAGAAGTGAGGAAAAGATGGAATTGTTTTTAACTGTTTTTTCTTTTTTTTCTACTTTGTATTTTTCCTTTTTATTGTTATTTTTTTTTATTAATGTGATTTTTTCCCCTTTGAAACTTTAATAAATATTATTTTAAAAAAAAGAAAAAGAAAATTGCACTGGAAAGCGCAGGATAGCAACCACTAGCTGGCAAAATTGTACAGCCTTGAACATATCAGATATTGGACATAGTCTCCTGTGCATATCAGATAACTGCTGGTCTGGAAGCAGGCACTCTCAGCCTAACCTACCTCACAGGACTGTTGTGAGGGTCAAACAGGGTGGAAGTATCACATATATTGCCTTGAGCTCCTTGGTAGCGAGGGATATATGTGTAATGAAATGCACTACAGTAGTTGCAACCTCCTAAAAATGGAGGATCAAAATCAATGAGGAATAGAGTCCAGGTGTTACATTTGTGGCAGAGATTTAACTTGATTACCAACCCCCTCAAAATCATTCATTTTCTCTAATGTTCACACAACAATCTTATGTAGGAGCAGCCTGAGGCAGAAGAATTAAAGCGACGTGGCTAAGGTATGATTTGAACCCATGACTTAAGTTCTAACTACCCCCCCCCACCACTTTTTCTTAGACCGCCTTCCCGCTTAGCAACGGCTGTTCCATCCCAATTGGCCCCGCTGGGAACATTTCTTTGATTGGAGGAGACTCCAGACTTTGGACCAATCACCGGGAGCCACGGGACTCTCTTTCGCCTGTCCGGTGCTGGAGGACAACACCGAGCGGATCTGTTTGGATTGTACCATGTGAAGACTGGAAGGGGGTGGAGACTACGAGGAATTAAAGGACTACCCTCTTCGATATGAATCTCTTTCGAAATACAAGTTTTAATCACTCGACGAGAGTGAATCTACGACTCTCCGGTCGGGAGGCTGTGAAACAGAGCGGGGTCGGGGAGAAAGTAGAAGGCTGAGGAAAGCGTTTGGTAGGTCCCTAGCGGAAGTGAGGTATCAGCTGAGCGTCGGGGCTTCCGGTTAGGCAGAGAAGAGAGGAGTTGGTGCTGGTTGAGGTGGGCGCAGAGGCTTCCGGGGCTGCCGGGATTAGGTGAGTCGTTAGGGTAGCGGGAGAAGGTCGCGGGTGGCTGTCAATAGAGAATGGAGGGAGGTGGGCCTAGGCCCAGGCAGGGCTGGGAGGCAGCTGTCATGGTGCTCGGACGCAGGCGAGGCCTTCCCCCTCCCCTCCAGCCCTGGCACCAGCCTCCAGGTGAAGCTACGTGGAAGGGCTGCAGTTCAACAGCCTAAACCAGGAACGGGGAGATCTGACCCTGCTGACGTGGCTGGACTCCTGCAGCTGCCACCATCTCTGGCCACTGGTCCTGCTAGCTGGGGCTGTTGGGGGTTGCAGCCCAGCAGGGTCTGAAAGGCCACAGCCCCCTCTTCCCCAGTCCCTGCTGCTAAGCGTATTCCCAGCCAGTGTTAGAAACTGAGATATGAAAGCTAGGAGCTGAATGGCACCTTAAACCTAGGTTATGGGCGCAACAACGGAATGTCTAGGTGCACTCTTTTTATCGCAAGAATACATAGCTGGAAATGAGTGAACTGCAGCTAAAATATTATGTTCATTTTTCACGTGCTCTGGTCCTTCCCCTGCCCACCCACCCCTAATATTCTTAAGAGAGTCTCTTCTCCAGTCTTCAGAGAATAGCACAAAGTGGGAGGCAGAAAAAGTTCCTCCTTTCCTTCCACTCTGCAGGTTTAATCTGAAATCATGGGCGCAGTACTGCACCCAGAGCTCGGAAATTGCTTGCGCTAATGAAATTCCCTGTCACAAAATGCACCTAGAACAATGTGAGTTTCAAACACTGTTCCCAGCATGTGGAAGGCCCCATGATTCACTCCTCTGCCTGAAACCTTGGAAAGCTGCTGCAAAATCCAGACATTACTGAGCTAGATAGACAGAAGGGCCTGATAAACAGGTAGCTTCCTGGATGCTTCAAGGAGGTGGGCAAGTTAAGGAACACACATAGTAGACAGTTTAAACTTATTGTGGATGTGGCTTGTTAACTACATAGTCAAGTATGTATTGTACACGTGTACTGCCACATGTGTTGGGGAGAAGTAAGACGTGGTGGATTGAATTTGCCTGCTACTGTTTCTTACAGGTTTCCATTGTAAAACAACAAAGTTCTGTGGTTTATCCTTTCTTCTACCCTCCCCACTGGGTGTGCCCTCTTCCAAGATACTGCCTCCTACCCAAACAGACATTTAGCTGTTTTGGTTTCTTTCCAATGAAGTTTTTTGTTTTGCTGAAATACAGAATGAAATCTTGGAGTTCTTCTGAGCATGCTGAAAACTTCCCTTTGGTTTCTGCAAAAACTGTAATCTGGCTCACACCAGCTTAGTTTGCTTCAGAAGTAATTGATGTTACTTTACCTTGCTGTCATTTGCTTATGTAATGTCTAAAACCTTGTGTGTATATAAATGCAGGTATAAACCGAAAATAGTGTTTTGATTTAAACTTTTTTTTATACACTCAAGGTGACATACAGCATGTGGTAATACTTAATATTTATATAGGATTTTCTAGCTGTAAGCTTTACACCAACTTTATAAAGTAATCCAATATTAATATGGGTACACATTGTGGCTGAGATAAAGTGTTTTTGCAAGAACCAATGAGGAGCTCATGGCAGATGTGAAATTTGAACTGAGGACATTTTGATTTGTAGCTTGGTCTCTCAGCTGATAAAGTATAGTTGTACCTTGATTGTTGAATGCCTTGCGACTTGAATGTTTTGGCAAACACTGCAAACCCGGAAGCGAGTGTTCCAGTTTGCTAACGTTCTTTGGAACTCGAATGTCCGGTGTGGCTTCCACAGCTTCCGACTGAGTGCAGGAAACTCCTGCAGCCAATTGGAAGCTAAGCCTTGGTTTTCAAATGTTTTCTGAAGTCGAACGGACTTCTGGAACGGATTCTGTTTGAGAACCAAGGTATGACTGTACATCTGTTTTCAGTTGATGTACTTTAATAATATAATCATAGAAACAGTAACAGCAAAAAGGAGAGAGGAACTGAGGCAGGACAAGCAGGAGTGGAATCTGCAGTTGTTTCTGTTTCTTGTATTTCAGTTTAGTTACAGTAGAGTATGGTGACAAAGGAGTCTCCAAAGGTTTCATCAAAAAGGTGGGCTTTGAAGTGATGTTTGAAGGAAGTAAGAGAGGTGGCCATGCATGGAGGTGTTTTGGGATGCAGGGAAAGAGAGAGAGAAAGGGAGAAAGAGACAAGTCATTTGAGGGAGCAAGACACCTTCCGATGGCTGAGGTTGGTGGATCCAGTGGAAGGACAGTTACAGTTGGGATATAAGAGCAGGCAGATTAGGTGGGTAAGGTCTTGGAGGACTTCGAAATTAAGGATGAGAAGCTTGTGCAGAATCTGCGAGTGGACAAGAAGCAAGTGGACTGTGCTTACCTATTTAAACATTTTTGCTGCATCTATCTATTCTAAAGGTTCAAAACAGCTGATAACCATCCTAAAACAATTAAATGAGATGGACCAGTGCAGTCCAGCTAGAAAAAGAAAACTATCTAACATGCACAAACGATAAATGAACACTGACCCCAAAGGCCTTCTTAAATAGCACAGTTCCTGCTCTCAGGCTTGCACTAAAAAAAGGCAATACAAAAAAGGAATAGAGAAAAAAGAGGCAAGGAAGCAAGCTCAAATTCTTAATGTTGTACAGTTCTTAATAATAACCATAATGTTGGAATGTAAACAGACTGTTTATAAGCTTTGGTGGGCCTCTGAGAAATAGTATGGCAACTAGACTTTTTTGGAAGTGGCTGCAATGTAAGTGGAATGGCCTTGCAAGGTGGGGCCATGGCCTTCTGGGGCTTAGCTGGGATTTGCCAGCTTCTTATCATTCCCATCATGGTAAGTAGGTAAAGGGAGACCTGTTGATACTGTCAACCCCAGAGCAAGCAGCCCTTACAGTTCAGTAAGTTCTGAAAGCATCCGGGTGGGTGGGGAGCAGCGCAGTCTGATGAAAACAGCAAGTGGAGGTGGCAGTTCCTCGCTGCAGCTTATCTCCCTCACAGCACAGTTGGAAAAGGAAAATTGATCAAAGGAGGATTTCAATGTTAGGATTCCAAAATAGAATAGCTTCCTGTATGGCAGTGATCTGAGTGCTGGTCTGATTCAGCAGGATGAGTACATATTGGGGTGATCATTATATAGTGTTTAAGGGTGCTCAAAACATTTCATGTATATCTTTCTGTACTCCTTACAACAACTCTGTACGGTAATTCAGTTTTTTTAAATAAAAACACACACAACCCGCACTCTAAGGAACAGGGTGATCAGCTGAGACAGTAATCTTGGTCTAGGTGTTCTGTGACAGGAGTGAGATTTATGCTAAGGTCTTCCTAATTCATGCGTTTGGCTGCAATCCTATGCCCATGTATTTGAGAATAAGCCCCACTAAACTTGATGGAGTTTATTTCTGAGTAGACAAAAAATCATGAAAGGTGTGGAGAAAATGGGTAGACATTTTTGTCCCTCTCATCATGTTAGAATTTGTTGAGGATTATACAGCGAAGTGGATTGACAAAAGATCCAGACCAGGTGGAAAGTCAAGACCTCATACTCTGCACATATAATCAGTTTGTGGTACTTGTTGCCACAATAGGCAGTGTTGACTTTTTAAAGTGATTAGGCAAATTCTTGAAAGGGAGCAGGCAGTGTCTGTCCGTGACTTTGATGACTTGATGTTACCTGAGTGAATGAGGATACCTTTGAGTTCTGTATGCTGGGGACAGACATGGGAGGCCTGTTGCCTTCATGCCCTGCTTGTTGGCTGGAGGCATCTGGCAAAACCACCTTGAAACCAGGGTATTGCACCAGGTGAACCCATGACTGGATGCAATAGGGCCCCTCTTATGTTCTTGATACATGCCTGTGTACTCCTATCCAACATCCTATTCTCTCAGCAAAGATCACTGTCTGAGCTCATTGTTTGTTTGTGTCTACTGCATACATTGAACTTTCTGTGACAGTTCCCTTTGAAAAGCCACAACTTCACAGAAGGAGTCACCAATCAGTTACTGATATCTGTTAAATTGGGTGTGAGTCTAGCACCTGGAGGGCCACAGGTTCCTCCAGCCCTGCTTTAAATATATAACTAATCTGAAGTGGGTGGGGGTTGATATGTATGGGTTGAGTTTCCTTCTTCCAAGAACCATCTTGCATAGATTATTAATTCTGCTTCCAGGCTTGGTCTTCATTTCAAATTGCAGCACAGTATCCTCTTTTGCCTCTGCATCTGAAGGTGCCAACCTTTAAGCTTCCCCTTGCTTCTGTGATGTAAACACAGGTTACCGTAGCTCAGCTACCTTTGCCTCTTGCAATGACCCATACCCCATTGCTACTCCCCAGTCTGTTGGAGGGTGACAAAACTTTGTCTTCAACACAGTTACCAGGTGTGTGAAATGAGAGGGAGGTATTGGTATCTCCTAAGATAATGACAGACTATCCTAATAAGACTCTATATACTGATAGCTCTTGCCTTCCCTCTCTTCAGCCGAATGTTTTCCAACTGGTCAGGCCAGATGACAGGGGAAAGAATGAAGAACACAACAGGTTTTCATTAGTTTGTGAAAGGGTGTGAGGGGGAGTTCTCTAGATTTATGGCAGAAGATAGCCAGAGTGGTGTAATAGCTGGAGCAGGGAGACGGGGGGTTCAAATTCTCACACAGCCATGCAGCTCACTCAGCTCACTGAGTCAGCAACCACATCTTAGCTTGACCTTTGGGGTTGTTGTGAGATTGGGGAGTGGGGTGTGCGTGTGCTGAAAATCTAAGAAAGCAGTACATTCTGATACGGAAAAAGTGTTGTTTCCAAAAGGCTCATGTTCTAGAATGCGCTAAACCAATCTGCTCCTTTAGGGTTATTCTTTCCCATATTTCTGATCGTAACTCCAGCAGCTTTTGGTGCTTGGAGCTATCAGGACAGCCACAGTTAGAGATGTGTAACTGCCAGACAACCTTTATAGTGAGCATTCAACCTGATTTGTTTACAGAGAAATTAGATGACAAGTGTTAATCCTACACTTTCCAGTGCATCCTCTTATCACTTTCCTTAATTTAAATAGTCTGATCTTTTGAGGGAAGGGAGTTTGTTTCACAGGAGCACTGTGCAATTCAAATGAACTGCTGGACTCTTGTGCAGTGAGTAGGTAAAGTCCTGGCGGGTTGTGCTCTGCATTTTCAGCTTTGAGCACAAAACCACGTTGGATCAAATCTCTGCTTTTCCTTCAGTGGGCAGCCTGGTTTATACACATTAAAAATAACTTGCAGGCTTCCAAAGTGAAATTCCATGGTGTCTGCCTTCGTGGCTTGCTGTAAATATTTCTGGATCAAGTTTGGTTGCCCGGTTATATTCCAGGCTCTACTGCTGGAAGTATCAGTTGGACTCTTTGGCAAGTAACCGTTTAATCAGCAAATAATCTTCTCTGCAGGTACACCAAAGCTGCTACATTACAGTGTATGCCATGTCAGTTTTGATCCTGCAAAATTTGTTTCAGCCCCACTTCACAACTGCCACATTTCCTGGTTAGCATAACTCAATGCAGGCCTCACACAAGTGGAGACTATAATGGGACACAGAATTCAGCATGTAAAGCAGGGATTCTCCTGCTTGTAGTCCTCCAGGTGGTGTTGGACTGCAGCTCCCACTGCCTCTGACCATTGGCCCATACTTGTTGGGTTTCCTCATCCCTGATCTATTGCTATTTTTCTGTAGCAAAACCAGGTTTCCAACCCTCATGGCTTCCAAGATAGGAAGCATCTGGGTAGTGTTTGCTAAAGTCATAGAAGTTGGAGGAGACAGTGGGTTGCAGGACTTGGTTTTGGGGAGAGGAGATAGATGTTCCTGTGCTCTGCGTATCAGTGGGTTTGAATCAGTAATAGAAGCAAAATCCACAACTTGCGTCCCTTTGCTTAACCCTGCTACCTTCAGGGCGGGGTTTTCCTTCTGTCAAAGTTAAGAGTTTAATTTCAGCCTTGCACATTCATCCACATGTGTTCCAAGTATGGAAAGCATTTTATAAGCCAGCTAGCCAACCCCATGTCCATGTTGCTAATTGGTGACTCTTTCATATACGGTGGACGCTCGGGTTGCGAACGTGATCTGTGCGGGATGCACGTATTGCAACCTGCAGCGTTTGCAACCTGCAGCGTTTGCAACCCGCCTCTGTGCATGCACAGGTTGTGATTCGGCGTACCGCAACCGCCAAAACCTGGAAGTAGCCCGTTCCGGTACTTCTGAGTTTTGGCAGTCCACAACCCGAAAAAATGCAACCTGAAGCGGCTGTAACCCGAGGTATGGCTGTACAAAAAAGTGTTTCTGTCCAGTTGTCATGAGGCAGCTCTTGCAAGCCCTAGGTGATTGGCTACTTGCAATGCCATAGTGTAGGACGTGTCAGCAGAGGGTTTGGGCACAGTAACAACATTTCTCATAAGGCTTCTGAGAATAGCAACATGGATGCGCAAGGCCGTTACTATGCAAATTGGGTGGCTTGTCCTGTTTTGCCTTATTCACAAGCCGAGGCAAGCAACGGCCCAGTCTTTTGTCTTCAACCACTTTTTTCCTCCTCTTACACAGGCTGCTGGGCGCTGGGCTGGGGAGATGTTCCGAACAGCCATCATGATGGCTGCCAGCCTGGCCTTGACCTCTGCAGTGGTGGCGCACGCCTATTATCTTAAGCACCAGTTCTACCCGACGGTGGTGTACCTGACGAAGTCCAGTCCCAGCATGGCGGTGAGTCTGCCTACCCCAATTGCTGCAGGGAGGTGGGCATAATATCAGGTTTGATCGCATGGCTGTGGCTTTAAAGGGTCTCCATTTAAAAAAGGAAAGGTCCTTTGAGGAAAAGTGGAATGAACTGGAGAAAAGGCGGAGAGGACATAAAAGCACACTCCAGATACCATTGCTGAGTTTAATCTTTGAAGTTTGTACAGTGGGAGGAATAATCAGTGCATTCAAGGATGCTTAGCCAGCATCTCTTCAAACCCTGGGCCTCTGGCATATGATCATCGTGGCTTTCTGAAACCAAACTTTGGTTCATATAATATGTGAACTTGCTCCCTCTGTGCAGTGCACCAGAACCCAGAAAATAATTTCAAAAAGACCTAAATAATATGAATCATAGTTCAAGTCTAGCTATCAATCCTGGATCTTTAAGGAGCCACAAGCAACAGTCCTGAGTTTGCGTGGCACGGGAAGCCAAGCTTAGGAGTGGCCTCTGTTTGTTTTTCTTTCTTTGTGCCAGCAGTTGAGGCAGTGCACAACAGCCCAAGGTTATTGCGCCATGTGAATGCTGCCTTGTTGTCTGCTGCTCAGTAAATGCAGGACTAGCTCAAAGGGGCTTAAGCTATAAAGGGGTAGATTACGGTTGAACATTAGGAGAAACTTTGTGGTGAGGAGAGCAGTTTGATATACAGTTTGTCCCTTTTCCATTGTGTGCAGTTTTTATTTTTATTTAGATTGTAAGCTTGTGGGTAGGGACTGTCTTGATTTGATTGTATGCAAGCAGCTCTTGGAATCTTTTCGGCAGAAGAGCAAGAAGCAGATTCTCTGAATAAATAAGTTACGTCAAGGGGTTCTCCTTTGCTGGACATATTCAAGCAGAGGCTAGATGGCACTTAGGACAATTGAGGATGTAGTAGGTTTTTGAACTTCTGGCGTCAAGCAAAGTGTTGATCCAGATGACCTCACAAGAGTTCCTTCCTCAACTTCAGGGCTCTGTAGCCTGCTGCCTGAGACTCTGGAACTCCTGCTGTCCAGGACTGTCTACCTTAGCTGCTTAGGTCAGGTGCAGGGAACCCATTTGGTTCAGTAGACCAGATCTTTCTTACCCTCTGCCCTGCCCCCTGTGACCCAGCTTTGTCCCACCCACCTGTCAGTCATTTGATGTCATAATATAGTCAGGTGGTTGCTCCCACCCACCTGTCAAAAGTTTGCTCACAGGTGTGTTTGAGGGGTTGGGATTGGAGACATACTGAGCAGGATTGAACTGCTTGCTCATAAGCTGACAAGTTGGGGGTTTGTTCCTGCTTTCCGATGTCACATATGACACTGGGTATGGAGCAGATGAGTGTGGTTTGGGCGAATGGCCCAGGGAACCAAATGGAGAGGCCTGGCAGGGAAAACATGACCCCGGGCTAGAGGTTCTGCCCCCCTGGCCAAGACTGACTCAGGTTATATGACCCAGGCTAAAGCAACACCCAGTACAGGAACTGGGAATGAGAAGGAAAGGCTGCTTTCTCTTTCTGTGGTGGTATTCTGTGGTGACTGAGTTCACAACAAAGTTTTCTAAATGCAATTACTGCACTGTTGGCCCCATCCCAGCCCTCAGTGGAGTTTGGCAGAGTAAAATCTGCAGACTAAGCTTGTGGCAATGGAACTGTGGTGTGAAAGTAACAATGGCAGTTCAAACCCTTTTACTGTTAAGTTTGCACCAAAGTAACATGTTGATTCCAGGTGTCCTTCTTCTCCTGCCAGGGTCCCCTCAAAAAATGGTCTCATCAAAGCTGCCATCTGCATTTCAAGGGAAGCCTTCAGTGTAAAGCCTTATTTAGACCTACATGTGTAAGGAATAGAAGAACCCAAACAATCTGCATATAATAGAGGTTTTCTGAGATCCAGGCGTAGGGCATCTGAAATATAGAGCTCACAAAATATTTCTGCATCACATAGTAAAATTAAGCAGTTTTGAATCCTGGGCTTGTGCCTCAGATCAAATTCATGTCTCCTTTGCCAACCAGGAGCCTGGAATGCTTCCATCTGCAGTTGTAGGTTTCTTCATTGGGGTTTCCTGTTACATACATGCATAAAAGAATAATTTGGTTTGGGAGATTAGGAGGAGATGCTGAGGAACCAGAAAGAGATCAAAATATATTCCCCCACCACGGAGCTCAGCAACACAGTCTATCCTGTTAGCTTCTGAGGGGAGGATTGTGGGCAGCAATGAATGACACCTTTAAGTTTTGTCTGGCCTGCACAGGGATGTTTGCTAAAAATGATTTCCCACTCTGCCATTTATTCTCTCCTCCTTGCTATGTCAGGTGCTGTACATTCAAGCTTTCGTCCTGGTGTTCCTATTAGGCAAATTCATGGGCAAAGTCTTTTTCGGACAGCTCCGAGCAGCGGAAATGGAGGTGAGCCCTGTTGGGTGCATGGTTGTTGTGGGCCTTGTGGGCGGGCACACATGAAATGCTTAAACTAAGAGCCAGAAACTCCGCAGTCCCCTTTGCTCAATCAGCATCATCCTGTGATCACAGAGGAGAAAATAGGTTTGGCTCACAATGGGGGATCTGTATCAATCATCTCTAAAGGGTGCTGTGAGCTTGCGGGGAAGGATTTTGGCATCATTTCCTAGAGTTAAGCTGTAAATAACTTGCATTTCTTTACCAGCTAATGTGTCCTGAGTTCCTTTAAGTTTTGGCTGTAGTGGCACAGCAGAGAGGATTTTTGAGTACAATGAGGAGAGAGACGAGATGTTCAGTTACATTGCCATCAAACGTTCTGAATGATAGATCTTTAATTCCTGAGCCTTTGTACATTTTGGTAGCCGTAAGGTCTAGAAGCACCATTGTGTTCACATGGAACTGGAGAATTTCAGATCTTTTCCCAAGCTCCTGGCTTCCCTGCCAGCTGTTAAGATTTCTACAATCTCAGTTCCACAGTTGCAGCGGTGATGGGATTTCTAACTCACCACCCCCCAAAACGGCAGCAGTGCTGGCTAGGCATCCAGGCAAGCTAGATACGTTATCACAATTCAAGAGCAATTTTCAGTGAGGCAAAAACACTTGAGGAGGGCATAGAGCATGCTGCTGAAGGGTGTGACCTGGGGACAGTTGGAAGAGAGGCCCCAGAGGGATGTTTCTTGGCCTGAGGGTTCCCACCCTTACTTTGGAAGCATAGCAAGGAGGGTGCTTCTTCTGGAGACGACTGCATTTGTGGGGGACAGATGGGCCCAGGATTAGAGAGAGCTCCTTAAATCAATCTCTCTCACACAGCATCTGCTTGAGCGGTCATGGTATGCAGTGACCGAGACCTGCCTTGCCTTCACAGTCTTCAGGGATGACTTCAGCCCCCGTTTTGTGGCCCTCTTCACTCTCCTCCTATTCCTCAAGTGCTTCCACTGGCTGGCTGAGGACCGTGTGGACTTTGTGAGTATGGTGGCCCCAGGGTGCACCACCTGGAGGAAGGGCTAGGGTGGGCTGAAACGGTTCTTGCCGCTCAGACGCACGGTGGCGGTGGGAGAAATAAAACGGTTTCCTGAACAGTTCAAGCAGCAGCCCAGTTTGGCAGTTCTTGTATCGTGGCTCAAAAGCAAGGCTGATGTGCATTTCTAGGAACACCTGGGGCTTTGATAGTTTTAGGTATATTACACTGGTACATCTCAAAGCAAAAATACAATCATATCATTGGAGTTGCTCAAAATGCCTGGGAGGGGGATCACATATTTGCCTGGTGCCAAAACAGTGACAAAATTGGGCACCAGGTGGGCCTCCTTGGGGAGAGCATTCCTTTAAAAATGGGGCTACTGCAAAGAAGGCCCCAGTCTTTTGTCCCCACCCTCTGGACTAGGATTTCTGAGAAGCTTATCGGCTTACCTACCATTAGTTGTCTTCCAATGGCACCAGAGGGTTGGTGAACCATTTCTCAGTTCATGCAAGGCAACGGTGGAGGCCAAAAGGCTTGCATTATCTCTGCATCCGAGAAGGAGAGGGGAAGAGAGGAGCACGTCAACTCAAGGCTTGCTGTACCTTGTTCCTGCTGGTGCATGCCACACGCTAAGTCAGCCTAGCTCCACCTGGTGCTTTCCAGGTGATTTGGACGTATGCCAGCTGTGTTGATGGGAGTTGTAGTCCAAAACTTCTGGAGGTCATCAGGTTGGCAAAGCTTGTGAATCATGGCTTAGCATGGCATGTGACGCAGTAAGGGTGAAAGGAAGAGCAGCTGTTGCAAATGTGTGACGCCTATCAAAGTAACTCTGCACGGAGGTTTCTGAAGTTGGGCAAAATGGTGGCTTTTTCCTTCCCATCAGCCTCACACACCAACCCAGGCCAAGCTATGTTAGTAGCAGGGTTATTCAAATGCATTGGATTCTTGGCACTAGAATCTCTTGCTAACAACCAGTCTTGAGCAGGGATTGGGGAGGATTTGTAAGATTCCAACACTAGTTTTAAGTCAGGAATGGGGAACCTTTGGCCCTCCAGATGCTGTTTGTCTCAACATCCCTGACTGTTGGCTATGTGAGGTGCAGTTGATGATAGGTGCAGTCCCAACAAGATCTGGAGGGCCACAAGTTCCCCATTTCTACTTTAAGTGCATCCACCTTCAGACATTTCTTTTCTACAGGGATCCTTGTGAACTCTGGACATTTGCCCAGAATGCACAACAGCCATGCTCAGGTTGGAGTGCCAAGATGTGTCGGCAAAGCACATGTTCAATATGGAGGCATACATGAGTTTGGCCAGTCAATAAATGTTGCTGCTTATCTTGGGTGATAAGACCACTTAATCTTGCTCCTTTCTCCCCTGTCTCTCTAGATGGAGAGGAGCCCAAACATTTCCTGGCTCTTCCATTTTCGCATTGTCTGTAAGTACCTGCCTTCCTTTCAAGGCTTTCCTCTTCCATTGCCCCACAGCTTCCAGTCCTTTCTCAATGAAAGAGGGACATACCTGCAGTTGCCCCAAATCTAGACCATTTTCTTGCTTATGGCAAGGGTTGTTGCCCACCCACCTGTGCTGAGTGCAAATGTAGGATTGGTTAACGATCCAGCTTCCTCAGGAAGAGAGAGAAGAATGAATATGCAATTACTTCAGAGGAAGAATATGGCAATTATTTCCATTGCGTGTGATTTGGCTTAGTTCCAATTTGTTTTTTTTGGGGGGCGCGTTCCAAAAGCACCCTGGGAAAAGAAGTGATTTTCTTCCATTAAAGAGGGGAGCATATTGCCCTGAGGCAATTTGGGAGGCCATGCCAGGCAGAAGGGGCAACAAGAGAGGGCAGGATTGTTTCAGGGAGCAACAGGCCTTTGGAGGGGGAAGTTGGTGGCGATATATTGGAATAGAAGAGGAGGGAAATAACTGGCGGGGAGCGAGGCCATAGCAAGCTCTGCGAGAGAAGGGTAGAAAGTTTGTGCTGGATCTGGGAATTGGTGGGAAGCAGGCATAGGGGTTTAAGGCTGACCAGCTGCGGATATAATTTGTACAAACCAGACAGCGTAGTTCAGGGCTTGCATTCAGAAATGGGAAGTCATCCCTGGTGTTTTATTCATCTATTTGGTTTTATTTTTAGATGCTTTTATAATGTTAAATAAACAGGGCAGTTTGCACTAAGAACACCCAAAACAGTTAACATGCAAATTAGACAGGTCCAGGCAGTCAAATAGGTACGTTTAAAAAGAAAGAATCTAAATTCTTAAGGCAAAGTACCTTAAGGCGACAGCAGGATGTGGAGGTTTGATAGCTAATTTGCTGAGCTGAAACAGGAGTTCTTGCCTAAGAAAACTCCTGTGGTCATTCATGTGCTCTGCCAAGAGTTTGGCGGGATGAGCATTTCCCAACTGTTAGACCCTTGGGCCTGATGAGAATAGGGTTCCTCAGCTGAGCCTCAGCTAAAACTTAGCCCTGGTGAAGGCTTTGCTAAAAATGCTTCACACCACTTCTGCTGGCAGAGCAGCAGTCGGTCTGCTTGTAAGGTTTTTGTGGCTTTGTGCAAGGGTGGAATAATTAGTAGGGAGGATGGCGGAAGGGGAGCCTGAGTAAAAGGAGCTTCCCCATCAGACGCTTTGTGGTGTGGAGGGTGAGGGCGGGTTGGCATTTGGCACAGCTTTAAGCACTTCCTTCTGGGGGCTCTGCAAAGGAGGCAGTTGGTTAAGGAGGACAACTCCAGATGACATTTGCATGCAGGGACTGCAGGAAATGTTATTTCATACTGGCATTTGCATATAGCTCACTTGGGTGCTCTGACACAAAGCCCTACGTGGCCACTGTCTGTGGGACTTCCCACTGTCTCAACCTGCTCAAGCAGAAATGCAAATGATTAAGCGGTATATATAAATGCCCTAAGCAAATAGGTAAAGAACAAGGGAGCCAACAAAGAACGCTTGAGCTGCTGGAGAAGGGCTTGGGGAACCTGAAGCCTTCCAGATGTTGAGGGACTGCCATCTCCCTTCAGCCACAGCCAGCATGGTCAGGGGCCAGGGATGATGGAAATTGTAGTCCAACACTGTCTGGAAGGTCACAGGTGTCCCCATGCCTGTGCTGGAACCGTTGGTGCACAGCTGGTTATTGCTGTGATGGGATTCCTGGAGTTCAGGGCTGACTTCTGCTGTAACTGCTCTTCTGTTGGGAATGCTTTGGGGCATTCTCTTAAGATGCTGTGAAGTGTAATCCCCCTTTGGCAGGCTTTTGTAAATGTTGGAGATAAATGGCAGCAAAATGCAAGAAGTACAGTCTGTGATGCTTCAATTGAAGCTGAGGTGCCTGCCAAAAAATAAAACAAAATAAAAGACAGTGACCATTTGCAAGCACAGTAATTGGTGCTGAAACGAGCAGGGGCTTAGCACTGCTAATTCAACACCCACAGTGGGTCAGCAAACCATTTCTCTATTTAGCATCTGATGAACTGAACTTTTTGGTAAACTACATTTCAGCTGCTTGACACCAGAGTTTCAAAGTTTGTTTTCAAGGGTGGGCCACCATGAGGTCAATATCAGCGTGTCCTAGCAGGTTGAATGTTCTCCTACTGGCTTCTGAATATCACCATTTCAGAAAGCTTATGCCGTAGTACATTTGCTAGTCCTTTCCTTTAGGTGTCACAAGACCGTGGGGGTTTTTGATGCAACAGGCTAATCTGGCTAGCCTTCTAGAAATGGCAAATCTCTCTTTCTCTCTCTTTTTAGCTCTGATGCTGCTCCTGGGCATTCTGGATTTCCTGTTTGTCAGCCATGCCTACCACAGCATCCTCACACGGGGAGCCTCCGTCCAGCTGGTCTTTGGCTTTGAGGTGAATGGAGTACGCGTTGCGCTTTGTATGGAAGTCATTGCTCACAGTAGCTAGCAGAGGTTTCTGACAGCCTTTGATGACACAGACCACAGATTGCAAAGAGGAGAGCAGACCAGCAGCTGTGAATGGCCCTGGGAAGCAGAGCACTGGGTGGGGTGGGGAGATGTAGCCATAGGTTTCAGCAATTCAGAAACTCCTTTTCTCCATGCAAGTCAATAGAGCAGCTCTTGTTCAATAGCCTGGTGTGAAGAACTAAGCTGGGATAACTCAGTTAGTAGAGCATGAGACTTTCAATCTCAGGGTTGTGGGTTTGAGCCCCACCTCACGCAAAAGATTATTGCATTGCAGGGCGTTGGACTAGATGACCCTCGTGGTCCCTTCCAACTCTACAATTCTGTGAGTCTAAGAAGACGAAAGAATCTACAGTCATGGAGATGTGTATGTTCATGGGTGGGACACACTTGCCGTACACCAGCTGCCACCTTATACATTCTGAGCGAAGGAGTGTTTTTAGAGTTGGACAGACTTAATTTAGATTAAAAACAAGAAAACAGACAGTGATTTAGATTGCTTTTAAGGAGGTAATTTCTAAACCAGTAGGGATTTAAAATTCAAAGCAAGAAGCTTTGCTGGATTCCAGATAGAACTGTGTCAGAGTTTGAGGGGGATCTGTGGAGGCTGGTCCATTAGTTCCCATAGGGCAGTGTCCCATGAACCTAAGCCACCTCCCACCTGCTTGCTTTCCTGCTTACAGCCAGTCCAGGGAGTGGCCCTGCCTGTTGGATTCCTCCTCCTTAGTCCCAGGGTTGCCCTTGCAGAACTCAGGTGGGGGATGAGGAGGATTGGGAGAAAGGTGGAATGAGTTTCCCCAACCTGTCATCAGCTCTGACTCCAGCTCCTCTTGGGCTCCCTGCCAGTCCCAAGGGACATCAGCCACTACTGGAGGGGATGCGTTGTAGATCCTCTTCATGCTGATACTTTGGCTGTTGCCTGCTGTGTTGAGCGTCTTTTATTATGGTGAAAGCATAGGAAGGTATTTGCCACCCCTGACACTGCCCATCCTTTCAGAGAGAATCATACAATCATAGAACTGTAGAGTTGGAAGGGACCCCGAGGCCATCTAGTCCAACCCCCTGCAATGCAGGAATCTCAACACGTGGTCCCCCATCCAATTTGAAACCACACTGGACCCTGCTTAGGTTTGCAAATGTGCTAGCATTTTTATTGCTTCACCGAAGTCTCATGGAAGGCTGTTGCTTCATGAATGCATCCTAGTTAATCCCTGTAGCCAGAAACAAAGAACTGCAGGAAGGGTGAGGTATGTGTCGTAGGTTGGAATTGTTGCTTGTTGGTTTAACTTAATGGCTTGATGTGAGTTCCTTGGCACTGCCAGCTTTGGATATGGTGTGCCTGGCTTGACATGGCTGCCCCCATATTGCCCTCAGGGCGGATTGAACCTTGAAGCATTGATGTCTGGTGGGAGCAGGAAAGAGGACTCCTGATCCGTGAGCTGCTTTGGTTTTCTCTGGGAAGCGACGGCAGGATTAAGGAGATGTTTGCCAACCGATGCCTCATTCTGTCAGTTGACTTGGTCCTCTCTCTCTGGCTGCTCCTTTCCCACAGTATGCTATCCTCATGACGATGGTGCTCACCATCTTCATCAAATACATCCTGCACTCCATCGACCTCCAGAGCGAGAACCCTTGGGACAACAAGGCCGTCTACATGCTCTATACAGAGCTCTTCACAGGTGATGGGGGAAGGCCTGTGGGTCAGTGGCAGAACACCAGCTTTTCATGCAGGAGGCCCCAGACAGGGATGGGAACGGCCCCTGCCTGAGACCTTGACGAGCCTCTGCCAGTTGTTGTAATACTGAGCTAGATGACCCCAGGGTCTGATTATGTAAATCTTGTCATGTTGTAAGCCGCCTTGAGCACTGTTTTAACTATGGAAAGGCGGCATACAAATAAAATGATAAATGAATGAATGATCAAATATAAAGAGGCTTCCTAGGTAACAGGGGCCTCCTGGCCGAAGAAAGCAGACAATGGGTTCCTGCCTTGGAGTTATTTTTCTGGCCCGTGGCAGTTCTTGGTGGGGCTTGGCCAGGTGGGCACAAAGCAGCCTCCCTGCACATGCCAGCCATAAAAGTAGTAGTGATAATTTTATTATTTGTATGCTGTAGCCACTCCGGTTGGCTTCCAGTAAAATATAAAAAATCAATAAAATTAAATATCAAACAATAAAATATCAAACATTAAAAACTGCTTTCAGGGCTGCCTTCCGATGTCTACAGAAGGTCGTATAATTGGTTATCTGTTTGACATCTCATGGGAGGATGTTCCACAGGGTGGGCGCCACTACCAAGAAGGCCCTCTTCTTGTTCCCTGTAGCTTCACTTCTCGCAGTGAAGGAACTTCTAGAACTGGACCTCAGTGTCCTGGCTGAGCAATGCTGGGTGGAGACGCTCTTTTAGGGCCGAGGGCATGTAGGGCTTTAAAGGTCTGCCTTCTCCTGGGCCTAGTGGCAACTCCTCATGGAGAAATCAAGCCAATTTTTTTTTGGGGGGGGGGTTTGATTTGTGACAGCTGAGCCAATTCCCTGGTGAGAAAAGGACACGGAGCATCTGTGGTTTGGTTGCTGGGAAAGATTTTGCCTCTTGGCAACATGAAGGTTTACGTGCTGGCTTGACCCCCGCTTTCTTCCTCCGCCTCTTCTTCTGCAGGATTCATCAAGGTCCTCTTGTACATGGCCTTCATGACCATCATGATCAAAGTGCACACCTTCCCGCTGTTTGCCATCCGACCCATGTACCTGGCTATGAGGTGAGATGTGGTTGGCATCGTCGTATGCGCGGGCTTGCAAATGCATGTGTCAGTCTGCTTGTAGGGATCCACATGTGTAGGAAATAAGTCCTCTGGCTTGAAAATAGCCAGAGTCTTGGGAGAGGAGAGGCACTTTGGGCCAATGCCGTTTGAAGAGAGATAACGTTCATGCTTACTCTCTGTCGCATCTGTGGAAGCAAAGAGGATGGTGCCCTTAGATCACTTGCTAGTGCTTTTTGCCTCTTTCATATCCCACCTTTTCTCCAAAGAGCTCAAGGTAACAGACATCAATCCCCCCCACTCCCCATGTCACATGGGTTAGACCTCGGAGGCAACAACTGGCCCAAGGTCACTCAGTGAGCTTCATAACCAAGAAGATGGTTTGAACCCTGATCTCCCAGATCCTAGTCCCACACTCTAACTACACCACACTGGCTTATGAAAGCACCATTTTACAATTTTTAAAAATAATATTTAGAGAATAAACCAACATCAAGAAACTGGCCTTTCTCATCAGCCGGGGAAGATGCTTGTTTCTCTTGAGTACAGCATCATATGCACCTGGAACAGCTAAAGCAAGCTGAATTTTATTAAAACAAAAGCACTTGTTTGCTGGTGTGTTCCCAAACCACCTGTAGCTTGTTACTGCTAGGTTATGATTTTTATAGCGCAGTCTATGTACGTGGCATTTTATACTGAGCAGGTTTGACAGACCTGTGCCCCATGTGGCTGAAACTGATACAGGGAAACAATTAAGAGGAAGGGGGTGGAGATGGAGGCAGGTAGGGAAAGAACACGCAGTGATTTCAGTCTGCATGTGTTTTGGATGTATTCAATTACATTAAATAATAGGGACTAGGAGGATGAGGGAGCAGCATCAGCAAATGAAGCAGGAGAAGGGAAGCCCAGGGGAAAGGATTTAGAGTCATAACATTCAGAGCCGCTATCTTGGACAGAAGCAGGAGTCAGACACACAGGTTTTCAGTAACTAGGCAAGATGTTAACCCAAGGGTGTCCTGCCCAGTATTCTCGTAAGATGTTTTGGTAAGACTTTTCAAATCAGCGGTAGACTTGATTCTCGTGTATGTCCATCCAGGCAGTTCAAGAAAGCTGTGACAGATGCAATCATGTCCCGCCGAGCTATTCGCAACATGAACACCCTGTGAGTATTCACTGGGAAGGGGGTGAGGGCTGTAGAAAGCGGTTCTCCGTTCCAAGTTTGCTGAGGTGAGGGGGGAGGGCAGAGCTTTCATGTTTTGCTGGAGCCTTAAATAAAACACCATAAACTGGACCTTGCGAAAGGCAGGGAAGAAGGTCCATGACCTTCTGCAATCCTTTTCCTCCTCCCCAGGTACCCGGACGCCACTCCAGAAGAACTGCAGGCCATGGACAACGTGTGCATTATCTGCCGGGAGGAGATGGTAATGGGTGCAAAACGCCTGCCTTGCAACCACATATTCCACACCAGGTAGGAGCCTGGCTGATACTGTACTTAAAAGCTTGAATGTATGAGATGGGTTTTGTGCAGCACTGAGACAGTTCAGCCGGTACTGTTAAGCCTAGGACTGGTGGTCACTGTCCAGGGTCCCGAGCACAGAAGGTAGACAAGCGAGGAGGGCCTGACCTTGTTGGCGCTGAGCCTTGAGGGCACAGGATAGCAGCAGTGGGGGAACCCTTGCTGTTCTGCTGGAGGAGGATGGGGGAAAGCTTGCCAGTGGTATTCTGGGGAGTGCATTTGCAAACCCTGAATAAGTCAGTAGCTGATGTCTGCCTGCTCCATTCATTGTGTGCTGTATCTTAGGGTAATGGAGCAACCAGGCCTGGTGAATGAACCCTCCACCCCTGATCAGGGGCACAGAAAGCAGCTTATGGTCCTTGTAGCTGGGACCTCTATTTAAAAATTGCACTGTTGGACTTTTTGTGTTATTTGATGCTTTCCCCCTCCCACGCTTCCTCTTGATTGGAGGGTGCAGCTTGGGCCTGCCCAAAGGAGAGCTTTCAGCAGGCAGAGTGCCAATCCGGTAGTTGCGACCCAGCCGCTCGCTCCAACCAGCTTGCCTCTCCCTTTCCACAGCTGCCTGCGGTCCTGGTTCCAGCGCCAGCAGACCTGTCCCACGTGCCGGATGGACGTCCTCCGAGCCTCCCTCCCCACTCAGTCGCAGACGCCCCCTGAGCAACAGGAGGGAGGGCAGCAGCCGCCGCAGCAGCATCAGACTCCACTGATCCCTCAGCCGCCAAACTGTAAGTCTGAGCTGCAGGGCGAGTCATCTCAAGCTGGTTCCCAGGAATTCACCCCAGTACACTCCTGGCACCAAGTGACCCCTGAGGAACACCAGAGAACAGGTGGTACTCTGGGGTTCCCACAGGCGCTGCTGTAATGTGGGGAGCTCAGCACTGTAGCTCTCACAACCGGGGTTGTGAAAGACCCTTGGTGTTCCTTTTGCATGGTGACTCCTAATCTTTCTGAGTTTATCTCTCTCTTATTATTATTTCCTGCAGTTCCCCAAGGCATCCTGCCCCCATTCCCTCCAGGGATGTTCCCTCTGTGGCCGCCCATGGGCCCCTTCCCTCCAGTGCCTGGCGTCCAGCCCCCCAACAATGCAGACAACGCTTCAGCAGCCACTCCCTCCACCTCAGGAACACAGACGTCAGGTGAGGCATCCCCTGAAGGACCACAAGTTCCTTGTCCCTGCTATAGGGAGCATCCTTTGAACTGTGCTCCTTGGGCTCCGTGAGTCAAGTATGTTGGCTCCCACTGAGTGCAGCCCAGGAAGAGGAATAGACTTGTGTGAACTTGCTTTAAGCTTGTGGGGCAACCATGAGGTTTACGTTGCCGTCTTCCCCAGCAGGCGCCTCGAGGCCCAGCGGCGATTCAGCATCCGGCTCGGACACCGCGGCCCCTGCAGGGACGGTGCCTGGTTTCGCCTTCCCTCCGCCTTGGATGGGGATGCCGTTCCCACCTCTCTTTGGTGAGTCTCAGAAACCCAAACACAGACCCTCCTTGTGTGTGTGCATCTCTGTGGATGGCAGCCTGGCTGGACAGAGGAGGCAGGCCGTACCAGTGGCTGCTTCTGTGTGCCACAACATTAGCCTCGCTTTTTGCTTATATCAGTGGGATTTTGGGTAATTGTTAAATTTAAATTTAATTTAAAGCGCTTGTTAAGTGCTATACAGAAATGCAGAATAAAAACCAGTAGAAAAGCATGAGGACAGAAAATCTAGTAATAACAGGATCTGAGCAGTAACTGTAATCGTAAAAATTTTGGTATAAACACGTTGGCACAATTTTGTTACTATATTAAGAAACATTTGTCTGTTTGTAGTTTTGTTTTTATTTATATATATTTATGTAATTGTTGCATGTCGTATGCTCTAATGGAAACAAAGATACACTGTATCTTAGTACCACCATGTTAAACAGTTTAAAGATGAAAATGAATAAAAACCTACGTGATATCTATTTATCTTCTATCTGTCTGTCTATCTATCTATCTATCTATCTTTTGGGTCAGGGAAAGCCTGGGCAAAAATAAATGTCTCCACAAGGTGTCTGAAGTGCTTGATGGGGGCAGCTGCTTCATGTATGGCAGAGGGAAGGGTTTTTCACAGGAAGAAATACCTCGTTTGGTCTGTCCTGATTCTGATTCCATTGTGGCAGAGGGAAGTGCATTCCGTGGTGCTGGGCCAATGGCAAAAAATGTCTGTTTTCTGGTCATTAATCTGTGATCCTGTGTAGGGTGTGGTGCCATGAATAAGGTTTGAGTCCTATGCTATTTTTCTAGAAAAAGAGGTGCCGGAACGCACCACGAACACCTCCCTTGTGCTCTTACAATGGGAATAGTGCCGGAATTGAGTTCCGGCTGGAAAAAAAGAGAAAAGCCCTGGTTGTATCCAACATTAGTCCCACTCAGAGAAGACCTATTGAAATGAATGGGCATAACATTGGACACTGACCCTCATTTTCACAGCTGATCTGAATGGTATTAGTTGTCTGTGTGCTCTAGGGACTAGCTCCTAGTCCTGTTGATCTCTCTCTCTTTCCCTCTGTGTCTTGTCTCATATACACAGTGTTCTTTCTTCTCCTAAAGGTTTCCCTCCGATGCCGGTACCACCATCTGGGTTTGCTGGGCTGACAGAGGAAGAGCTGCGGGCCATGGAAGGCCATGAGCGGCAGCATTTGGAAGCCCGTCTCCAGTGCCTGCAGAACATCCACACACTCCTTGACGCTGCCATGCTGCAGATCAACCAGTATCTCACTGTGCTGGCAACAATCGGGTAATCTCCCTGGTTCTCTCCCTGCTCCCCAACAAGGTTTTGCTGCAGCAGGTCTTGATTCTGCAACTGAACTGCCTTGAGACTAGCCTTCGTTTCCTTAAAGTTGGCGGGCATTGCTTGGGATTGGAGCAGTTACTGTATTTAGAGGTCAACAGGCTGGTTGTGTGTCCTGGTGTGTGGGTGGCTTTTGGTGGTCACAAGCTAGAACAAGCCTAGTTTGGCTCTGCAGATGTTGCTGAACTACAATTCTCATCATCCCAACAAGCATGGGCATATGGACTGGGGTGATGGGGATTGTAGTTCAGCAACATCTCAAAGGCCAGAGGTTCCGCTCATCTGCCCCTGAACTACCCTAACTTCATTTCCTACTTGAATGTTCTCAATAATAATAATAATAAATTTATTTATTTATACCCCGCCCATGCAGCTGGGTTTCCCCAGCCACTCTGGGCGGCTGCCAACAGATTAAAAACAGAATAAAACATCAAATATAAATAGCTTCCCTAAACAGGACCGCCTTCAGATGTCTTCTAAAGTCTCCCCGCAAGGGTGAGACTGCTTGAATTCCAAGGAAAGGGAAAGTCTTAAGAGTGTTGGATTAGCTTCAAGAGTTCAGCTTCCTACAAAGCCAGAAGGCTGACTAAATGAGAGCCAAGGATTGGGGATGTTGCCCCTTTTCCGTGAGTAGCAATAGTGCAACATAAGTAGAAGTGGAACCACCACTGACTTCGTCTATGATCTGAAGAATTTGTGCTTGAGCTTGCTTTTCCCTCCTCCCTTCGTTCCTTTTTCCTATTGCAGCATGTCTTTTAGATGGTGAGCCTGAAGGCAGGGGCGATTTCTGTTTTCCGATCTGAGAGCCTTTTTGACTAGGAGGGCAGGGTATAAACATTGCTAGTAATAGAAGTATAATGTGTATTCCGGTATTATTATGAAGAACCAGATTATTTATACAGGCCTCAACTTTTGACTTCTCTTGTTGCATACACTTGCATTTTTTAGCTCTCCCCACAGGTTATGGTAGTATGTAAACTGTTAGTTTCCTATTAGTCTTTTCTTCAGCCACTGATGTGCAGACTCTGTTGTGTGCATCTGATGGCAATCTGTTGTTCTCAGTTGATTTTTTTTTAAGGGTACACCATTTGGTTTTCTACATCTATAAAATGAGAATTGAAATGGGAAAGCGGTATCATGTCCAAGCCCAGCTAGTAAGTCACAGATTGCCTGTGTGTGTGTGTGTGTGTGTGTGTGTGTGTGTGTGTGATCTTGACGCAGTTCTTGCATTTTGCCTGCTGGATCTCTTACCTCTCTGTCTCTCGCAGGACGCCCCGAACTGCGCAGCCACCAAGTGCCCCAGCCGCTTCAGCACCCCCTTCGGAGACCCCCAGTCCTGTACCTGGCACAAGTGAACCCGCCACCACCACTTTCCAGTCTGCAGACAGCACCTCTTCACCTGCAGAAGAGACAGACGCGGCAGATCAAGCAGGTAGCCGGAGTCAATTGGTGCTGAGATGTTGCTTTTGAAAGGGGGATACAGTTGCGGGCAGCATGCCACGATCCCCATCTTTATTAGCTTAAAGTCAGCAGAACATGAGACTCTTAATCATGTGTTGGACTAGATGACCCTAAGGTCCCTAGGGGGTTGGACTAGATGACCCTAAGGTCCCTTCCAACTCTACAATCTGTGATTCTATGATTCTAACACATTTTACATCTTTGAAGCTGCTGGGTTTTGGATTCCTGGCTGTTGGTTCTCCTTAGCATGCTGCTGATGCTAATGAAATGTTTAGTGGGGGTATCACAGAAGTTTTTGCTTTCTGCATTTTGACAGTCAGGACTTGGTCAGCCTTGGGGAATGTGGTGGTTACTGAGTTCAAGTTCAGCAAGGGTGACTTAGAAAAGATTTGGCCAGGGGGTTAAGGATGGAAAGAATTGTCCTGATCAGAGGACAGGGGAGCCTGTTTCAGATGCAAGTATGGGTGTAGAATGAATGGTTTTTATTTTAAAATGGAATAATATTTGCTTGTTTAAAACATTTGTATCCTGCTATTCCTCCAACAGAGTCCAGGGAACATAACAAATAATAAATGTTACAGCCCTGCCATAAATAAGAATAAGACTATAAAATAAGACAACAAAAACAGCAATAAAGTTAGGAGGAGAATGGAAATAGACAACCCCTAAATTTTACTAAAACAATTCCCAGCTGAGTTGAAACAACAAGTATTTGATTTACTTAATTTTTTGTGTAAACCGCTTTGAAGGTTTGTTTTTTGCATTCAAGCAGTATATAAATTTTATAAGACACACACACAACACACTTTGAACTAAAAAGACTAGAAACTTGATGCTGAGGAACGCTACCTCCTTGTGTGTTTGTGCTAGTTTTGGCACAGACCCCCAAAATTGTGGTGTTTCTCCCTCCCCAGATCTGTCCCCAGCAACAGCCGGTGCCAAGGGCTACACAGAGCCATCTGGCCAGGAGCAGGATGGAGCTCAATCTTCCCCAGAGGAACCAGACACTGCAGAGCTGCGCAGGCGCCGACTTCAAAAACTGGAATTTCCTTCTTCCTCCTCCCATTGATGTCCCTGCTGCCCCCTCCCAGCCTGTGCTATTTCTGTCCCTTTTCCAAAAAAAGAAAAAAGACGAAGAAAAGCAACATGCGGTGAGAGAAAGGAGACCTGGATGCCTTTTACTTGCGCTACTGAGTGCTGATGCGATACACAGCCGCCTCTGGGGAGGGGGTCCACACTTTTCTGCAGGACCAGAGAGGGTGGGAGGGGAAAGCGCCTCCAAAACTTGACTCTGCCTTGATTTCTAACTCTTAAAAGAAAGCAACTGTCCATCCTGCAACATAGAATAGTCTTATTCTGACCCCCTCACAGAAGGACAGCAATGCCTCTAGTTCCCAAGTCTGTCTCGTCTCAGCCAGACGGACTCTTACACCACGGGAGCAGCCTGAGGAAGGCCCTCCTTCCCTTTTGCACACCTGGCTGAAAGGGTTTCCCCATCAACAGTTTTGGAGGATGGCTTCTCCTGCGGGCAGTTTGTTTTTGTTTAGTTCTCCATTTCTGACTCTGCGGCGGGATTTTTAGGTGGGTTCTTCGTTGGATATTTCTGAGCAAAGCAGCCTTTTCAGTTTTGGGGTGGGGATGTGGAGGCCAACTGAATGGAACATAGGCTTGACATTTTTGTAGATGCTTTTTCACAGTAGCTGTTTTAAGGCCACAGCTTCCCACCACGAGGTCTTTTTTACCCTCCCAAACAAACAAACAAACAAACAAACACCCTGGGGAAACGGCAGGTCACCTCAATGATTAATTTTGCTGGCTCTCTTTGAGCTCAGGTTAAGAGGAGACATATTCTTGACAGCAGAGGGTGTGAGTCTGTAGCGATTGCTCTCCCCTCTCTCTGTGGGCATAGGGCTTGCGATTTAAAACTATTTTGTACTCCCTTACCTGATTTTTAAACAAGGATTCCTCCAAGCAGCAGTAGATGGAGAGGAGGTCCTGGGGTCCTGCTGTGAAATGGTTACAGGGGGAGTTGAGATGTGCCCTCCGAGGTGGCCATCTGTCTGCCTTGCCCCTCTGCTGCTTCAAGGGCTGGAGCCAGGTGTTAGATGACTTTCGGCTGCAGCCTGTGTGGGCCTTGCAATGCCTAATCCAGAGTCCCGAGTTCTGAGCACGCACAATATGTGGCAGGCTGTGGGTGTAATCCTGAGAAAGTTAGAACAAATGTAAGTGCCACAGGACTTCTGAGAGCATCTGAAAGCACGTTGGTTAAGTAGAACGTCAGCCACCGAGTCCTCCTAGTGGTGGTTTGTGTTTCCAGTTCTGGCACCCTCTTCCTCTGCTTCCATTAATTCCAGGTTTGCCTGCTCTTCTTTGCAGCCCCTGTTCACTCCCTCTCTTCCAAATGCTCAGACCCAGAAAATGCTTATTTGAGAGTCGCCACAGGCAACAGGCCCTCCTCTTCCTCAGCTCCTGAAGCTGCCAGCATTGGGGAACAGGCCTTTTGAGATGCTCCTGCCTGTGTCTGTCTGACTTCATTTCTGGGAATAACAACGCCTCCTTTCTGGCGTCTTCACAATAATGTCCATCAGCTTGTAGATCCCAGCTATGCCTGATCAAGCTGTCTGAAAGGCAGCAGGGAGAGGAGCGGAGCCTGTGATGGGGCTTCCCTTCCCAAAGGCAGGGCCCCCATGTTACCTGAGCAGCTATTCTGAGAGGGGGGTTAGGGGGCTGGAAGCGTTTGCCTGCTTTTGCATCTCAGTGCACTCATCTCCAGCTTTGCAGTGGGGTTGGTGGGGACAAGTCTCTTGAGTGTGATGCTTTCTCCCTTGCTTTAAAAGAACAGGCAGTTTTCAGAAACTAATTGGGACACATTCCCCAGCCGGTGGATCCAGCAGTGTGTGCTTTTCCCCTGCACTTGGGACCCCCATGCTGTAAACAATCTGAAGCTGTCAGGCTCCCTCTGGGGTCCCTGCTCCCCTGCAGGGTGGAAAACACTGTCCTGTCCCTGAGATGGTGCCAAGGGTCTTTGCCCCTTCTCACTGAAACATCCCATGCTCCCAGCAAAATGCTGCATTGTTCAGCTCATGGAATATGAAGTCCCGTCCCACCCCCTGGCAAGATGCCTGCTTAATTCTGTTTTCATTCCTGGGACACCACCTGTAGGACCATCTATATTTGATGCTAGACTGCCTCAGATTTCTTTTTTTCAGAGAAACTGGGCCACCTTCCTGTAACTTCCAAGTTGTTTGGGGGTCTGAGTTGTCCCACTTCAAGACAGGTTAGGGCATTGTGACATGCAGTATTCACGTTTCTTACTCGGCAGAAGAGGAAGAAAGCAATCAGTTTAGATTTGAGGTGGTGGTTGTGGGAAGAGGCACATGGGAAGGGTGGCTTAAAGTATTGATTTCAATAAAAGACTTTGATCACGGCTCCTGTTAGCTTCATTTTCCAAATTTTGGAAAAGCCTTCTGAGGGTGGTTCTCCCTTTGTCCTCTCTGCTCAGTAAAACTAAGGTGGATTTACAGAATTGGCATATAGGAGAAAGTTAGCACGTGCCATGCTTTGTAATAAGGTGTCCTAAATCTGACACAGTGGGCACATCTCTGCAAACCACCTGTCCCTTTGAGGAAGGCAAGAAGCAATGACTGACAAGTGACTTTCTCCTGTCCACACCTCCCCTGCGAATCCAATTTTGTAACATTAGGAAGAGAACATGGCTCCCGTCTTGTTTTGGAATGTGCATTGGCAGTATGTGGCTAATGTTAGGAAAGTTGCATACATCCCCCAGGAGGTAGAATGTCACGCTCTAATTATAGCATTGAAAGACTGTCTTGTAGTAGATCAGTTTTGCACATGGACCCTCGAACAGCCTTTCTGTTTCGGGAAGCTCTACATGTGCAAAAAAAATTGAGAAATCCTGAATTAAGTACATATCACCATCTTGGAAAATGTCCAGTGACCTTGTCTTAATGCCTGGCGAGAGTTTTTTTGGGTGGGAGATCTTGCTGTGGGTAGCACAAGGCAGCCGGGTTGAAATCTCACCCTTCAAATTCCTTCCTGCCCTTTCTATGCTGTGTCCCACTAACCCAGGGCTCTGTTGTTCATACTCCCCCCCCCCCCCCAATTTCCCACATTGCGCTGTGGCCTTTCTGCCAGTACCCTTCCTGATACTTTTACTTTTCAAGGAACCCATATTACAATGCTTTGGAGGTGTGTTACATGTAAGCCAGAGATGGGGAACCTGCCAACTTTCCATGTCTCGTTGGACTTCCAACTCCCATCAGCGACAGTCAGCGGTCAAGGATGATGTAAGTTGTTATCCAGCAACTTTTGGAGGATTGCAGGTTCCTCACTGGGGTATAAATACTAGAGCCTCTTCTCTTAAGGGGGCAGGCAGGATTGATGGTCTGACCCCATCAGTTTGGATTCTGCCAGGGGGTGCAGTTGGTGGCTCTCCCTTCCATTTACTATGCAGGTTTTGCCTAGGCCTAGGAATGAACCTGAGATCAAATATGCCATTGTATAGCACTTTGAAGCAAGCTCGGCCACCTCCTTTTTCAGTGAGTGAATGCCATCGCTCACGTGTGCAATGGATATGTTTCCTTCTGCAGCAGGGAAGGGAAAATTTGGAGGAGCAAAAAACCAACACACACACGAGTGACAGCACCTGTAATTCAGGCATGGGGAACCTTTCGCTCTCAAGATCAGTGTTTCCCAAACTTGGGTCTCCAGCTGTTTTTGGACTGCAACGCCCATCATCCCTAGCTAGCAAAGACCAGTGGCCGGGGATGATGGGAACTGTAGTTCAAAAACAGCTGGAGAACCCAAGTTTGGAAAATGCCGATCTAGATGTTGCTGATGTCCCACCAGTCCCTGCAAGCAGGTGGTGACAGAGAGGATGGAAACTCAGCAACATCTGGAAGGCCAAAATTCTCCAACACCTGCTGTAAACAGAAGAAAAGTTGGCAGAAAGGGTAGAAGTAGGGGAGAGAGGTGTGCTTGCGATTACTTTGTCTTGCCAGTGGATTTTCCTTGCTCCTGGCACTGCACACAGCCCGTCATGGAGGCTGTGATTTGAAATTGAGGATTTGTTTCCACACAAGTGACCCCCTGAAGACCAACAGGCATGCAGAACCTGTGAAGTCACTGGACTCCAACTCCCCATCTCTCTGATCAATGGGAGGTGGAGCCCAGCAACACCCAGAGGACCGCAGGCTCCCCTATCCCTGACGTACAAGGAGGCTTTGAGTTTTTGTGGCCTGTTTGCAGCTGCTCAGCATATTATTACCCATATGATTCCCTCCCCTCCCTTTTTAAAAAAGAGCTTTTGATTTTGTGTACACTTTCTCTCTCGAGAGCCGAGTGGCCTTTTTTTCCACACCTCCAAAAACACATTTGAAAGTGGCCAGATTGTGTTACCTTCCTCACAGCCTCTCCTGCAACATTTCATGGGTTTTGGAACAGATAATTACATGCATTTTGACAAAGCAGCCTCCCAGGTTTTACTTCTGCATTCCGGGTCTTAACCAAATGAGGTGGCTAGTCAAAGTGATAGCGGAAATCCTACAGCTGCTGGATTCCCCCTTTACATAAATAGTGGGAGGGGGAGCGGGAAATGGTATTTTGTAAAAGCGATTGCCATTTTGTTGTTGTTTACATGTCAAATTCATTGGGTTTTATCCAATGCCCATCATGGCTTTGAATGGATCAGCCCGAGTATGACCTGGATTAAACCTGTAATACGTCATTTAAGAAGAAGAAAAATCTGTTTTCAAATTGTGTCACCTGGGAGAAGGGAATTGCTTTGGGAAGAATCTATACCTCTGTTCTCATTTCTTATTCTTAACATCAGTGGTGTTCAGTTGGCTCAGGGTCCTTTTGAATGCCGCAAATAATAATTACTATTTTTGTCAAACTTGGCTCCTTTAGGAGTTGATATGAACGCTGTGTGTTAACATGGAGGTGAAGGAGGTTTGGATAATTATTTAATTTTTTTGTAAATATTGTATAATTTTTAATAGCTTGAACCGTGTATATACGTCAAATAAAAACTTGCATTAAAAATGGTGTGCTATCTGTAATTCTGTTGTGCAGAGAACGTAGCTGAGAAAGGGTTTTCCTCTACCTCCCGATACCAAGAGCTGAAGGTTGGAAGACTTGGGATAGACAAAAGGATGTCAACCCATGGCTTGTATGGTTCTGAAACAGCATTCGGCAAATTCATGAAGGATAAGATTCCCTGTGGCTGCTAGCCAAAATGGCTGTGTTCTACCTCCATGGACAGGCTTCTTTTTCCTTGGTGATCACTCGTAGCTGAGTAAGATTGTCTTCCATGAACACGGTTTTAACAGTGAGCCTGTGACTGGAAGCTAATTCTGAATTCACACGTCCTTCCACAGTGGGGACAGAGGTTTCTGGACGTGAGTTGATCATGGTGAGGGTTTGCCAAGCGTGTCTTCCTCTTAGCACCTTTCTCGCTTTCGTCCTGAGTTCCAGCGTCTTGAAAGCCCATGACACCTTTGGTAAAGGCTGTTCTCCAATTGGAGCACTCGCAGGCCAGTATTTACCAATTATCGGTGTTTATACTGCATTTTTTAAGATTTGCCTTGAGAGAGTCTTTGAACCTCTCTTGTTGACCCACCAGCATTACACTTTCCATTTTTAAGTTTGGAATAGAGTAGTTGCTTTGGAAGACAATCAGCCATCCACACATCACCAGTCCAACAAAGTTGATGTTGAAGAATCATTTCTTCAAAACTGGTGATCTTTCTTCCAGTACACTGGCATTAGTTCACCTGTCTTCCCAAGGGATGTGTAAATTTTTTCGGAGATGCCGTTGATGGAATCTTTTGAGGTGTTGGAGATGGCGTTTATAAGTGGTCAACGTTTCACAAGCATACAGTAAGGTTGGTAGTACAATAGCTTTGTAAGCAAGTATTTTGATTTTCCTGCGAATGTCAAACACACTGCACGTCAATTGGGAGAAAGCTGCACTTGCAGAGCTTAGGCGATGCTGGATTTCGGCATCAATGTCGGCCCTTGTGTAAAGATAACTGCCCAGGTAGGAGGAGACCTCCCTGCAGTCTGACGGTGAGAACCAACTGCAAGTTGTTGGATTCCACAGGGCTTTTGCCTGATCCAGGTGGTTTATTTTTATTTATTTATTTATTTGATTTCTACACCGCCCTTCATCAAAAGATCTTGGGGCGGTTCACAAGATAAAAAATACAAAATAAAAAGCACAAATAGTTAAAACAACAAAACAACAACCTCATAAGAAGTTGCAATCAAAGCACCTCTGGCAGCATTTTTAAAAAACAAACCATGATTATTTTTTATGTTACTTCTACTTCAGTCAGTTATTTAAATGGGCAGTTGCCCAAAACACCTGTGGGTGCTGAACCATGATTTTAAGTCTGAGGGCCACATTCCCATTTGGGCAAACACCCAAGGGCCACATATAATGGGTGGGCCAAAAGTAGATTTGTTTATTCTTGTACAGGAAGCTTGCTTCTAAAGGCTCTCCCACCCTACCTGAGAACCCCCTGCTATTCTATCATATGCAACAAATAACTTTTAGGAGACATGACCGTAGTTTATTGTATTTGCAGTGCCTGATGTTTTTATGGTTATTGCTGCTGCTCATTTTGTTCCCTTTGTGAATGATGCCATGGCCTTTGGCTAGTGCAATAAAGTTTATGATGATGATGAAGTGCATATTGCAGTGGGTTCAGTGAGAGGGTGCGCCCTGGGGAACTTTGCAAGGGCAAGATAAAGAGGCTTTGGAGGGGGGGCGGGTCTCATGCCCCCAGGGCCTGAGGAATCCTCCCCACTGACTTACCGCATGACGCTTACTTGGAAGCAATTATTCACTTTTGCACAGGTTTGCAGCCCTTAAATCCCCCCCTCTGAAATCTATGACTGCTATTTGCAGCCTGAAATAAGAGGAAACGTGCAGCCAGGAACTACTCGACAGCTGGCTGTGTTTGCTGTCTGAAAGCCACCTCCCAGCGATCTACTGAAAGTGAAAGCAGAACGAGAAGTTTCTCGCGTGAAATGGCGCCTGTTTTTTCCTGCCAGCAATGAAGACGGAGCAGCAGCAGCGACCCAGGCCGCGGTGATCTGAGCACGCACAGATCCCCTCTTGCCTCGGCTCTCTCTGGCCCTCCATCAAAGTCAGCTTCCAGAAGACCAGCAGGGCTGATCGGGCAGGTAATCGGGCAGGTGAGTGCTTTCCGCCCGGTGAGCTGAAGTTCATGGTCCCAGCTGAGGACTCTGGGGGACTTCCTGACATTTGGAATCTGGCCAGCAAGTAAAAGATGAGGCTCACCGAGCATACACAGAGTGCATTCTCCCTCCAACACAGAGCGTTCATTGTCCAGGGTTGTCGTCGTCGTCCTTAGTCCCTCCTTCAATCTTCTCTCCCGTCCCACAAAAATGTACAGTATCAGCAGCCTGGGACCAGATGCTTTGAGAGACAGCCTGTCCGCAAGGGCGTAGCCAGGATTTTGATTGTGGGGGGTGGGAGGACTTGGTTTGGGGGGGCAGGACTTTTGTTAGAGGGGGCAGAACCCACGTGATTGGTCCATTAGTTAAGTATTTCTATTGTTTTGCTTGATTTTTTGGGGGGGGACTGCCCCCCCCGCTACGCCCTTGCCTGTTCCCGCATAGTGTTACTGAACTGCAATTCACAGCAATTCTGACAGCTGGCTGTGCTTGCTGGGGCTGATGGGAGTTGTAGTTCCGCAGTACCTGTCAGGCCAAAGGTGACCCATACCTGACTTAGATCACCTGGGGGTATATTTTGCTCATGGCACTGGACCCTACAGAATATCACAGCGCTGGGTCCTGAAAACAGGCCTTTTCTGCTGTTGTCCCTGCTCTGTGGAACATGCCACATGTAAAAAACGCAACCTCCACCTGTTGCTTCAGAAGTCATGTTTTTGAACCGGCTTGCCCATTTCTCTGTTTTTCTCTCTTTTTATAAAGCGTTTTTTACTGTTATCATGACACTGTTTTCTTGCTTTCATTACTGCTTTAGAGCAGTGTTTTTTTTCTTTTTAAATATTTTTATTCATTTTTATCTTTAACAATTAACATCACAAATAAATCATAATCATATTCTCTGAATCCCCAGGCTTCCCTCCACCCCTCCATGGTTTCCATTGTTATTCTTTTCCAACTGCATCTTGTAATGTTCTCCATATTTTCTTAATACTTGGTTCTCACCATAGTTCTCGCTACATTGCAAGTGTTTCTTAGAATCCTGCCAAAGTTTTTAATTGTTTACAGTGTTCTTTTAAGTTACTTACAGATTTCCCCCATTCTTTATTAAATTTATTAAGTTCTTGATCTCTATCTTCCCGGTCACTTTCGCCATTTCAGCATTTCAAACAGTGGGGTGCTACTCACTTCCAGGTGAGTCTGAGCGCCACAGGCTGCACCCCGGTCTTTCTTGCATGCCTGCCTTGCCCCCTTGCTGTGCCATAGCCTTTTGGTTGGTCCAGTACAGTTCCAGACACGGGTGTAGCCAGGATTTATTTTGGGGTGGGGCAGAACTGAGCTATCTGTGATTGGTCAGTTAGTTAAGTATTTTTATTCATTTCCTTGATGTGGGGGGCAGCTGCCCCATGGCTCCAGAAGCTCCTCACATCCTCCCCACAGTGGCAGGGACACAGAAAGATTTCGGGGGAGGAAGCTGTCCCTCCTTTGAGGGGGAAGGGCCTGGGGAGGTATTAAGGAAACGGTGAGGTAAAAGATTAATATTTATTGCTATAATAATTACTCACCATGAAGTTGCTACAGCAAGTGCCACACTTTTTAACAACAAAAAGAGGCGCCGGTACTATGTGCCCTTGAGTAACCCCTGAAGAAAAAACAACAACACTGGGGATGAGTATAAATACTTTGAGAGGCACATGGGGGGGGGGAGTGGAAAATATAAAAGAAATAATGCACGCATTTAGAGCCTCTAAGATCAGCGACTTGAGGAAGTTATATTTCCCACAGTAAATGTATGTAAGTAGCTGAAGGAAAGCTGAGTTGTTAAACTCCTTGCTGCAAAGAAGGTGATGTGGGAAAGAATGAAATGTTTTCCCCATTGTCCTCAATTCCCTCCGCACTTGCCGTTCTCTCTTGCCACACCAGTGTGCCGTTCCACACCCTGTGAGAATCACTAGTACAGCGCCTTGGCAGCAGTCATGCCAACGTGAATAAAATATGGGGGGGGGGGCCCAGATAAGGCCAGTGCACAGTCCCACCATTTGAATGGCAATGCCCATTCACTTTGGACAGCCCAGACCCCTCAAATATTTTATGGGGGTGGTGGAGGCAAAGGGACCTGGGAATTGGCTCCTGTGTTGTGCAGTGAGATGCTTAGCCAGTCATTCTTGGTTTTAAAAACCGGGAGTGTTAACAAACAAGACCCCCATTTTCACCTGTGAAAAGTTGAGTGCCATGTGCTTGCAACGTGAAAAGGAAGAAGGAGCCCCATTAGTGCTATTCCAGCATTGATTTCCCCCCCCTTTTTCATTGTCTCCCTTTCAGCAAGTGGCATCATAGCAGGTGGAATCCAAAATGGCTGCAAACTGCAGAGGTGTTGTAATAACCAAAGGTAAGCTTGTGTCTGTGAGTGAGTGACAGGTGGACTGCTGTCATCAGCAGCAGACTGGCAATTGGGATTAAGGAATCACACCGAGTCAGACCATAGCACTGTAGAGCTGGAAGGGACCACGAGGGTCATCTAGCTCAGCCCCCTGCAACGCAGCGATCCTGCCCACAGCCGGTCCATGTAGCTCAGTACACTGGCTGGCAGATAGGGGACAGTCCTAGCCCTAACCTGGAGATTGCCAGAGAGACCTGAGACCTTTTGCATGCAAAGCAGATGCTGTACCGTTGAGCTGTGGCTTTCCCCCCGATATTATATACATGGTTCAGCAACCTAACGTATGAGTTGCAAAAGGCATTATTTTAATTATGTAGAAATCTAGTACCAGTTCCACTATTTGAGACTAGATAGTTCTGATTAATCTGTTCAAGAAAGGGCACTTGAGGGAAAAAGCCCTTGAAAAGTTGCAGAAAAGTTTGCTTGTTGTTCACTGCCCTGATATTTTAGGATATGGTGGAGGAAAAACCGTGTGTGTGTGTTTGTGTGTGTGTATGTACACAGTGGTACCTCCTTTTTTTGAGCATCTCGGAACGTTTTGGTTTTCGAACGCCAAAAATCTAGAAGTAATTGCTTCTGTTTTCGAACGCTCCTCAGAAGTCAAACGGCTTCTACTGTGTGTTTTTCAGTTTTTCCAGTTGAACCTGCAGGCCTGCCCTTTGCGCCTCGGTTTTCAAACGTTTCGGAAGTCGAACGGTCTTCTGGAACAGATTATGTTCGAGAACCAAGGTACCACTGTATATAAAATGTACTGGTGTCTATGTGGCTAAACCACCGCATTTCTAGGCTTCCAGGAGTGCTTCTCTGCGGATTCCAACCCCACGAAAGCAACTTCTGAGTCCTGGCTGCGTTCATGGCTGCTGTGTTGTCTCTTTTCAGGGGACCTGCAACGCTTCGTCAAACACTTAGAGGCTTTCGCAGAAGGCCAGCTAAGGAGAGTCACAGAGTATTTCCACCCGGACTTGATCTACGTCATCGAAAATGACATCGCCCTGGTGGTTCAGGAACTGAGGAGCAGCAAGGTCATTACACCTGAGCAAGCCCAGGTAACAATGCTTTGCAGGTCCTTAAAAAAATGTATGGTATGGCGGGGGCTGCAGTTCTAAGGGAACGGTGGACCCTCAAGAATGCAATCCCAAATGCAAGGAGTGTTTGGGGGGGTGATTTTGGCCAATGCAACCCCCATCCTGTTCTGGCCTAAGGAGGGAACTGTGGGGCAAAATAACCACACTTACCTGGAAGCCTCTAAATGGCAGTCGGCCATAGAAGACCGTCGTATTGAGAAAGACACATTCTGCAAACAGCTAGGGAGTCTGGAGTCTGGGGTTAGTGTTGCATTTTGTTTTTTTCTTTTAAAGTTCAGACAAATTCATGGAGATGGAGAACTGTCGGCAGCCATTGAACATGGAAGCTTAGTAGAACTTCCATTTCAATGACAGTATACCTGAATATCGGCTGATAGGAACAAACAGCAGAGGAGGAGGGCTGCCAGCTTCATACACTGCCTGCAAGCTTCCCTGAAGCATTTGGCTTGGCTCTACGGTGAACAAGATGCCGGTGTAGCTGGGCCCTTGATCTGAGTGAGAAGATTGCTGTATTTTTCCCCCTGCTAGCTGGCTAGCTAAACTCTGTCTTCTGTGTTTTGTTTAGATCTATGAAAAAATAGAGAAGCACCAGGATTCAACCGCAGCAGCAGAGAAGCTAGTTGCTGACCTTGCCAGTAACAAGGCTTTGGCAATAGGGCTTTGGAAGAGTCTCTGCGCTCTGAGGCGCCACTGGTCTCATCCCAACCTTGAGGTGATGGTGGGGGAAATCACCCGCAAAGGTAATATATTGTCCCCTGCTCCCTGTGTAGTGAGAATTCTCTTTTTGTTTTGTTTTTAAGGTGTTATTAAGGTGTTACTGTAATGGGACACGGGTGGTGCTGTGGGTTAAACCACAGAGCCTAGGACTTGCTGATCAGAAGGTCGGCGGTTCGAATCCCCGTGATGGGGTGAATTCCTGTTGCTCGGTCCCTGCTCCTGCCAACCTAGCAGTTTGAAAGCACGTCAAAGTGCAAGTAGATAAATAGGTTCCGCTCCGGCAGGAAGGTAAAGGGCGTTTCCATGCGCTGCTCTGGTTTGCCAGAAGCAGCTTAGTCATGCTGGCCACATGACTTGGAAGCTGTACGCCAGCTCCCTTGGCCAATAAAGCGAGATGAGCGCCGCAACCCCAGAGTCGGCCACGACTGGACCTAATGGTCAGGGGTCCCTTTACCTTTACTATTGATATATAAAGTGTTTAACAACTCGGGGCCAGTTTGCCTGAGCTCGCCTTTCCCCACGTACGCTCACTCAACTGCTTCAGTCAGTGGAATTGGCAGTGTTAACAGCTGCTGTTTACAGTCAAACCTCTTCTCACATCTGCCTCCACAGTGACCCATTTCGACCTCCGGACGGACCTCCGGAACGGAATATGGTCACAGTAGAGGTTCCACTGTAGTGCCTGTTCTGCCTTTGTAAAAGTGTGGCAGCGCCTGCACTTGGGAACTCCCTGCCTATTGAGATCAAGGAGATCCTTCACCGTATTCTTTTCAGCATCTGCTGAAAACATGAATGTCGAGACAAGCCTACCTAGTTGCTTAGAAAGTTGAGGTAATTTTAATCTGTTTTAGTATTTTAACTTTGGCATTTTTAAAGTAGCGTTGTCTTTCCCACCCCCTTGCATTTCACTGTTGTTTTTTGTAAACAACTTTGAGATGTTGTTGTTTTTTACAATCAAGCAGCGTCTAAATTTTAATAATATAAAAATAAGTAATTGCAAACAGTTTATTACTATTATCAATATAAAAGCGGATTTGTTGTGCCAGAGTTTTTGAATGCACTTTAATGGGGCTAAACAAATGCTTACTAGTGAGGTTCTGGAGGACAGAGCTGTGCTTGCGCCCTGAGGCCTGACCGGTGCCCCCAAAGTCAGCTTGCTGTCCCATCACCAGTGTCAATTATTATTCAGCTGTCAGTCCAGTCAGCGTTGTATATGCCAGGTGGCTTAGACGATGCCAAATTCCATTTCCAACTGTTTTGCTTTTTCTCTTTTTTTGAAGATCAAGCACTACTCAAGGAGATTCTCCTAAATGAAACCGGACACAACCTTGCCCCGGAAATGAAAGGTACCTGATAGCAAATAAAAATAGTTCACCAACACTTACTGTTTTCCATTGAACCAATGCAAGGGAATCAGATTTTGGTCAGGCATGGGGCACTCAGTGAGCAGCTCCCCCTGCAACCTGAAAGAAGTAGGACATGCCAACTCAGTGTTTTCTTAAGCTGCATCTGATCTTGGATGTTCTGGGCAGAGCGGTGGGCCTTGCTTACCTTGGAGCCAGCACCGCAAAGCACCATGGAGATCTGAGGGTGGAGCAATTATTCCTTTCTGCATTGTGGTCCTACTTTATACAGACAGGTTTTCAGACAGAATGCGTTCCGGAAGTCCGTTCGACTTCCGAAATGTTTGGAAACCAAGGCACGGCTTCCGATTGGCTGCAGGAGTGTCCTGCAGCCAATCGGAATCCATGCCAGACATTCAGCTTCCGAGGCAAAGTTTGCAAACCGGAACACCTACTTCCGGGTCTGTGACGTTCAAGTTCCGAGTTGTTCGTGAAGTAAGCTGTTCAAAAACTAAGGTACGACTGTATAAGGGAACATTGTAATGGGATGTGCAACTCTTGGCTTTTTTCTTTCTCTGTGTGAGATGGTAACTGGCAGTTAAACCTGTCCACACATAGAAGGGGAGGTTATTTACCTCTTAATAGTCATTTAATTGATCTGTATTCATATGGAAGGAAGCTACATGGATAAGTAGGGATTTGAACCTGGCTCTCCCTGGTCTAAATGCAAGGTTCTGTTGGTTCTGCTTTACTGGGCCAATTTGGACATAATGATGAACAATGGCTTATTGTGACAGGAGTGACCTACCGAAAGCCATGCGCTTACATGCCTCTTTCCCCCTTCCCCTCTTTCCAAGGATCTCAGTTTTGCTTATGTTTTTGATTAACATTTTGTCTGTACCCTGAGCTGTGTTTAATCGTTACTAGTGTTTGTGGCAAATAGCCCAGTTCCATAACAACCCATGCTTTTCAAGTTGCCCTGTTTCAAACCATAGTTAAGATTAACCACAGTTTCTTGGATGTGGTGAAAGAGCAAGCTGAGGGAGCAAAACAAAGGTTTATGGCGATTTTCAAACCAGCTCACTGGCTCTCAGTGTTTCTTGTAAGGATCATCTACCAATAGCCGGAGATGCTACAATCCAGGAAGTCTTTGCCTATTTGATCTCCTGTTCTGCTAGGCTGGGCCTAATTCAGTGAACCCTGCAATCTTTTTCTTCTGTCCAGCTTGTCAGGATGAACACAGACGTATTCTGTTGGAACAGACCAAGTTGCTGAAAGAAACCGGCCAAAGAACACAGTCCAAGGGGCAAAGTTTCCCCATCCTCAACCGCTATGTGGATATAAAAATAGTCGCGGATGTCTACTTCAGGAGACAAACGTTTCAAGAACATGAGGCACTGGCTGCTGCTGGAGAGCTGAACGAATATCGCCTCCGCCACAAGATGCAGGGGGAGCTGGAGCGAATCACCCCAGGCCGGCTTTTCCGTTGGTGCTATCGATCAGGCCGCACGCCCCACTTTGTGATGGTTAGCGGTGTAGCTGGCGTTGGCAAGAGTACCCTAGCGCAGAAGTTTGTCTTTGACTGGGCCACTGGAAAACACTACCAGAAATTCACTTTTGTTTTCTTCTTCAAATTCCGAGACCTCAACACGGTGGGGGAAAAGACCAGCCTAGAAAGCCTGATCCAACGGGAGTACCCCAATTTACACTCTAAGCTTGACACAATTCTACAAGAACCCCCAAAATTGCTGTTCATATTTGACGGTTTGGACGAGAGCAACAGTAACCTTGACTTGGGCAGGAACGCAGAATTTTGTGCCCAACCAGGAGATGTGAAACCGGTGGGGGTGATTGTGGCCAGCCTGCTGAAAGAGAAGATTCTGAAGGGCTGTTCCGTCCTCCTGACCAGCCGCCCAAGCAATCTTGCCCGTTTGGAGAGAGGGGTCCTCCACAGAGTGGCCAGTATTGTGGGCTTCCTCTCCCAGGAAAGAGAAAAGTACTTCCACAACTTCTTTGGAGAAGCTGCGGTGGCCAAGGAGGCTTTGGCCCATGTCAGGGAGAGCCAGGTTCTGTACACCCTCTGTTACAATCCCTCTTACTGCTGGATTACTTGCACAGCCTTGCAGCCTTGCTTCACCTCTGAGGCCGGACAGCCACATCCCCTTCCCAAAACGGTAACTCAGCTCTTCGTGAGCTACATCAGGCATGTGATGGTCAATCACACAAAGGAGCTCCCTGAGCGTGAAAGGGCACGGAAGATGATGATACAACTTGGCTGGCTGGCTGAGTATGGCCTCCAGCATCGCACTCTTCTGTTTGATCAGGCGCAACTGGAAGCGTTTAATGTGGATTCATCTCCCCTCGTCAAAACTTTCCTGGTGGAAAACATACAAAGTGCCACTTCACCTCCTGTCGTCACCTATTCTTTTGTCCACCTCACTGTCCAAGAGTTTTTTGCTGCCCTCGTCCATTATTTAGACTTCAAGGAGGACAATTTTAGATACATAATGGCAGCAGTCCAAGAAGCCCAAGGTGGGGAGTACGAAATTTTTCTTCGCTTCCTCTCTGGCTTGTCTCAGTTTGAAACCAGGGCACCGTTGGAGTCTCTTCTGGGGAAGTTCTCACCAGTGACCGCTAGGCAAGTCATTGACTGGATCCTGAAGACGGACTGCAGTGATTTCCTCCAAATGGAAAGGCATCTTGATGGGAAAAAGAGGACCTTGAATTTCTTCAATTTGCTTTTCGAGGCACACAACAAGCTCCTTGTGTCTCAGGCGTTGGGGGGTGATGGTGATGCCTCCATGGACTTTTCGGAACTGTATCTGATGCCTGTGGACTGTGTCATCCTTGCTTATGTTCTGAGTTGCTGCGGGAAGATTGACCTCCTGAATCTTGATACGTGCTTCATTCAGAACGAGGGACTGCAGAGGCTCAGCCTTGAGCTGCACAGAATCAGAGAACTGAGGTAAGCAGCTGAAATGCAATTCACAGCTGATGTCAAATTACAAGTACAGTTGTGCCTCAGATCCCAAACACCTTGGGAGACGAACTTTCAGCTCCTAAACAATCAAAAACTGGAAGTGAGTGTTTCAGTTTTTGAACATTCTTTTGGAAGCCGAACATCCGACGGGGCTTCTGCGGCTTCTGATTGGCTGCAGGAGCTTCCTGCAACCAATGAGAAGCTGCATTTTGGAAGTCAAACATTTCGGAAGTCAAACGGACTTCCGGAACGGATTTTGTTCGAATTCCGAGGTATGACTGTACTTTCAAGGTTTGATCAAACATTCCAAACAATTGATGGAGCAGCGTTCACATTGAATTTATTCTTTGGACCTTTCTAAATCTGCCCAGCCCAACACCCCCCCCCCCACGAACTGAAACAGCCCCTGCAGAAGGATTGGGGCCCATGGTTCCAACTACTTTAAATGGGTATGTTGCAGACTTCACGACGAGTGTTATTTAGTATTCAGGCATCTGCCACAGAGCCAGGCTAGGCCTTGGGCATCTGAATGTACTTGAGACCTGACAAAGAGTCTTCCTATCCAAAGGTCCCTGCGGTCAGTGACTAGAGCCGAGGGCTGGCACAGGAGCGGGAGACTGAAGCCAGTACAGTGGATGCTCGGGTTGCGAATGTGATCCGTGCGGAATGCATGTTCGCAACCTGCAGCATTCGCAACCCGCGCCTGCGCATGCACGGGTTGCAATTTGGCGCTTCTGCTCATGCTCAAAGCGCGATATAGCGCTTCTGCGCATGAGCAACTGCCAAAACCTGGAAGTAACCCATGCCGGTACTTCCAGGTTTTGGCAGTCCGCAACCCGAAAAAACACAACCTGAAGCGGCTGTAACCCAAGGTATGACTGTGTTGGGATCAAAATCGGCAAAAGTTTCTGCCTTTTCTACGAGGCAGCAGATGCAGAGACAGGCAGGCTCCAAGCGTTCATATTAGACCTTGCCAGTTCAGAAACTTCATACAGTCTGCTAGTTGTGAATGTGGTTAGGGGAAGCTATGACTCTTAAAGTGGACTAATAGTTATGTCAATGTATTGTGTGGATGTGGCCCTTGCCTACCTCCCTCTCTGTCCTTTCCCCATCGAGGCAGATGATGTCTGTTAGCTTGGGGGCAGGGGAAGGAGCGGGGGTGGAAACCATCCAACTACAGCAGGTCCCAATTTTGATGAAAAAGCCTCCCAAAGCAGCTTCCAAATTATCAGTGAGAGGACAGTCCCTTCCTTCAGTCCCACAATATAAAGGATGTGACACAAGGAGGGGGGCAAGGTCTAGAGTGACTACTAAATGCTTTCTGCATTCCTATAAATTCTTTCTCCTTTCACAGGCTTTGCAATAACGATCTGAGCAATCCATCCACAAAGGAGCTTGTTTCTATCTTGAAACATAAAGAGTGTCGACTGGAAATCCTGAGGTATGTTTGTTGCAGCTAATGGGCTATTCCTTACCAAATCCTCACTGGGTCTGCACTGGAAGAGCCAGAAGGTATTTGGGGAAAGGCATCCTTTAGCAACGCGGGTGGCGCTATGGGTTAAACCACAGAGCCTAGGACTTGCCGATCAGAAGGTTGGAGGTTCGAATCCCCATGACGGGGTGAGCTCCCGTTTCTCGGTCCCTGCTCCTGCCAACCTAGCAGCTCAAAAGCACGTCAAAGTGCAAGTAGATAAATAGGTACCCCTCCAGCGGGAAGGTAAACAGCATTTCCGTGCGCTGCTCTGGTTCGCCAGAAGCGGCTTAGTCCTGCTGGCCACATGACCCGGAAGCTGTACGCCGGCTCCCTCGGCCAATAAAGCGAAATGAGTGCCGCAACCCCAGAGTCCGCCACGACTGGACCTAATGGTCAAGGGTCCCTTTACCTTTATCCTTTAGCAAATGTTCCTGACTCAAAACTAAATTGGAAACATTTTGCTCTCGTGCCCTTTGAATTCTGATTCCTTTCACAATCTGTTCTGTTGTGAGTTGTGGGCGGTTTTGTTAGATAACAGAGGTGGGTGAATGTGTAAGCTTCGGTTTCTCTTAGTTTCTCACAGGGTGGATTTTATTTAAATCAAATTGATTTAAATCACGATTTAAATCACTAGTCGGTAAGACTTGATTTTATAGAAAGTTCTTTATAGCAAGTTATGCCAACTGGATCGATGTCACGATCTACAAGAATAAACCATAGAAAAAGTTCTGATTGGCAGTCGTCATTACAACGATCTTTGTCAAAGCCCAGCAGTATTCCACATTTATTTATTTGTTATCAAGACTTGCCACTTGCCACTCAACGCTTCACTACTTATTTAATAATACATTTTCATGAAACAGAAAAGTATAGGCAATCAGGTACTTCTGGAGGCATGAAAGAGAGAAAGAAGCAACAGCAACGTTGGGCAGGCACTGAACTGTTTTCCACAAGCCACAACCTCCTGCCCCATACCTGATAACATAAGGGGCAGGTATAGATACAGCTGTATAGGGGGGGAGAATAGGTCACTTCTACCTAGCTGTCAGAACTGCCCACCAGGGTGGGGTGGGGTGGGGGAGTTCAGGATCCAGCCTTGCAGAATCCAGAGGTATTTGGTCCCTAGTAAATGAGTTTAGGAGTCCAGCCTTTAAAACAGAAGAAGAATTGAGCAGTTCAGAGACACAAACTCCATGTGTGTACATATTTTCCATCTTCTCTTCTTCATTTCCTCCCTTTGCTCTTCCCAGCTTGGCAAAGAATGCGCTTACTGGACAGTGCTGTAAAGACCTGAGTTTGGCGCTCTTGGAGAATCGGACCCTTTTAAATCTTGACCTGTCCAAGAACAAGCTGCAGGATCAGGGCCTCTCTGACTTACTGAAGGTGTTCAGAAGTCCGCAGAGCAGGATACAGAAACTATTGTAAGTGTCAAAGCAACCACCTCACGGTATGCAGAGTATTTTAAAAGATTTGCAGGTCACGTGTACATTTCCAGAGGCTTTGGTTCAACCTTTCTAAGATGTTTATTAAGAAAATATATGAGCAGCCTTTCTGTCAGGTACTGAAGGTGATATTCCTAACCCCTAAGCCAAACAATAAAAAGCCCCACTGAATTACCAAGGTGGAATCTGCACACATATAAAAAAAACACTGTGGAAATGTTTTAAATTAAAAAAAAAAAAATACATTGAATTTTGCACAGCTCACTTTCGCCATCTAGTGTCACAATTGTACATTGCACTTTACTACACATTTAAAACGTTTTATTTGCAGCTGTATAGCTGAGTCTCAAGTTGATTTTTAAAATGAAAATACATTTTAAAATAGAGAATACTGTACAGGATTTAAAAAAACAGTCAATCAGAGTAGCTAGCAACTGGAAAATACAAAACAAAATACAAATCCAAGTTGATAATATGTTGATGAGTGTGTAAGAGTCAGCTGAGAGAAATAGTTTTGTCATTGTCATAGTGCTATAGCTTGGCATTAACCCAAGAAACTGGTGGTAGGTGTGATGGGATGATGAGCTGCTTGTGCGTAAAATCGTATCCCCTCAGAGTTTGTTCAAGTCCACAATGTTACCATAAAGCACCAATGCTGCAGCAAGCAAAGGCTCTAGCAGCTCAGCCAGCTGCTTGTGGCTGGAAAGCCAGACAGGATGTTTGTGACTGTTGCCATGGGAACAAAGGGGCAGTCCATTCTGTACTGAGCACCGGATGTTAGCTCAGTGTGTGTGTGTCATATGACCCGTACTGGATGTACTTGGGAGGAGTTTCTTCTTGCTGTTGTTGAGTGCAGACATGATTCTCTGTACTGATGTAAGAGGCAGAAATAAATGATGTAAATAGTTTTCTGTCTGCTTCTTCCCCTCCCTGGGGACACCAAAGGGGAGAGAGGAAGAACGGTGTGTTCCTCTCATACATCTGAGAAGAATCGCTGGACCTCGCCTGCTTATCAGCAGAGTGGAGACGCGGGGAGGTCGACAGGAATATCTGCCGGTGCCTACGCTGTGGCACATTCCTCTGACCCAGGCAGAATTCCAACAGTGGCAGCCTTCGGATGGTTGCGATTCATCGGACATCTGCATGAGAGGCTGGTGGATTGTCCTCCTCTGCTCCAAGGAGGAAGAGAAAGCGTCTGAAAGAAGCCAGAGGCTCCACAGACAGCTGGTGGAAAGAAGAGGTGTTTTCCCAGAGCAACGGAGTTCAAGGTATGCTGCATTTCGGCTAAAAGTGTGAACGCAGGAAGATTAATTCCTGGTTCACGGAGCTGCGTTTCAAAGAAAACAAGAGCTCCGGGAGAAGAGGCCTGCAGCTTGAAGGCTGAAGCCTGCATTCCACAAATTTTTGTGGTAGATAAGGAGTCCCATTGAAATGCATTGTTGCTAGGCAACGGTCCTGGAAAGTTACTGGCAAGGGGCTGGACTCTGAGTGTAAGCCTGGGAAAGCGAAACAAAACCAGAGAATGTTTTGGCTACAAGGTTTACGAGCTCTTGGAAGGGACTTTTCAATAGCAGCCTGCGTTTAGCTGCCAGGTGCAAAGAGCGTAAACAATTTGCAGTTTGCTGCGTGAGAAAAGAAAAAAACAACTGTTGGATTTTACAGTTTGTTTGACATTGTGAGCTGGAGGCTTGGCTTCAAGATGGATGCCAAGAAAGGGGAGGTTTGCCTTGCCCACCTCCCTTAACCAATGACAATTATTCATCTTGGTCTGTAAAGATGAAGGCCCTGCTGCAGAATCAGAGGCTTTTTGATGTAATTGAAAACCCCATCCCTGCAGCACCAACCAGAGGTTGGGAGTCACAGAATGTAAGGGCCAGGACTGCTATAATTCTGTGTGTCTCAGATGATCAGTTGGTGCATGTTCAGCATTTAGAAAATGCGAAAGAGGTATGGGACACGCTGCGTACAACGCATCAGAGAGATGCTGGTTCTTCAGCGTTGCTGTATTTTGAGAAATTGACCAATCTGAGACTTGCGCCTGATGGAGATGTTCAAGCGCACCTGACAGAAATGAAGTTTCTGCGTCAACAGATGGTGGAACGCAATTTCCGTCTTCAGGAGGAAGTGTTTTGCTTCATGATGATAAACAGCCTTAGCCGCACCTACAAGGTTGTTGCCAGTCAGCTTGGTTCCCTACCGGCCGCGCAGCTGACCGCGGAGAGAGTTTGTGCTGTGGTCCTGAATGAACACGACAGACTTGCTGCACTGGAAGAAAAAGACAGGGGGAGGGAAGAACAGAGTTCTAATTCCCCAACTGCTGATGCTACTGGAGAGCATGGTGTAGCATTGAGTGCTGTCCGATGCTACAATTGTGGACAGACTGGGCATCTACAGCGAAACTGTAAGAAGCCGCGCCAGTCAAGAGGAGCAAAGAGCAGCTCTACGAAGCCTCAGGCGTCAGGCAAAAGCCGTTCCAAGTGCCAGGTGAAACCTGCAAAGGCTATGATGGCGAAAGGAACCACGCCAGATGTTGGCAACTCGTTCATAATTGACACGGGCGCAACGGTTCACATGTGCCCGCACAGAGGACTGTTTTCGACGTTGAAGAAGCAAAGCTTCACTGTGAAACAGGCCAACGGTCAGGAGTTGGAAGCAACTGGAATTGGGACTGTGTATCTTGAGAGTCTGAACTTGACTATAAGTGATGTTTACCTGGTTCCAGAACTGAGATTTAATCTGCTGAGCGTGTCGCAGATTGCAAAGAAAGGACTGAAACTGTCCTATGATGCTAAAAGCTGCAAGATCTACAAAGATGGAGAACTGTTTCTTACTGCCAAAGAGAAAGATGGACTGTATTTGTTGACTTTTGATCAAAGTGATTACATGAAATGTAATTCTGCTGTTTCTAACGAAATCTCTCTTGCAGGAGTGACCAGTGTGAGCACCAGGAAGGTGACTAAGACCAAGAAGGTCGACAGAGCATTTCAGCGGGTGTATGCTGATGTGATTGGTCCTCTAGAACCATCTAGAGGCGGTGCAAAATATTACCTTTTGTGTGTGGATTGTTTCACTAATTATTCTTGGGTTTATATGATGGAGAAACCGCAAGAAACTTTAGAAAAGTTTCAGGAGTTTTGTGACAAGGTTAAAAGTATGCATGATGCTAACATTGATTGTCTTTTCACAGATGAGAAGCAAATTTTTCTGTTGCAGAAGTTTCAGAAGTTCCTGGATGGAAAAGGGATAGACCACAAAGTGGCAGTTTCGCAAGAAGCGTGGAACAGGGGGGTCTGTGTAAAAGTGAACAAAGAATTGCAAAAGGGGATGAATGCGCAATTGCTGAGTTCACATTTGCCACATGAATATTGGGCTGAGTCGCTAGCGTCCTATCTTCATGTGTGGTTGAGAAAGGTCTCAACAGAGTTGGGATGTTCTCCTTTTGAGAAGCTGTTCAATAGAAAACCTTCTGTTGCCTATTTTAAGGTTTTCGGGTCTCATGTGAGAACAGAAGCTCCAGGTGGAGTAAAGAATGCCAGAGGCATTTTCGTGGGTTATGAAAAGGGTCTCTACAGAGTAATTTTGTCTGAATCTGGTCAGGTGATTCTCACAAAGTTCCTAGAGAGTGCTCCAAAGCAAGAGCGGATAGTACAGACATTTCCCACAGGAAACGATTCTGATGATGATGATGATGATGAGTTTGATCTTATTGAGTTCAGTAGTACTGATGATGACAGTGAGAGCTCAGAGAGTTCAGTTGTAACAGTCATTGAGAGGAAATCTCACACAATGGATAGACCTTCACAGGTGAAGGAAGAACCACTGATTGCTACTGGTTCTCAACAGAGTCCAAAGGTTGAACCAGTGAGCACAGAAGATCAGAACCTCATACGCAGGTCTGAGAGAGTTACAAAGGGTGTACCACCAAAGAGGTACTCAAAAGAGTTTGCTAACTTAGCTGTTGCATGTGTTGCTATTGTTAACAACTCAAAGCAGGTTGAAGCAGTGTCTACGTCAGAGACAAAGACACAACAGAGGGTAGCTAGCCAAGGTAATGCAGAAGCACTCATTCCTTGGAAGCCAGACAACCAGAGAGGTACATTGGTTAAACCAGTGGCGGGTAGTTCCAAGGGTGGAACTGAAACAACAGGGGAATGTTATAAATATAACAACTGTTTGTTTTCTTCTCTGGATGACGCTTTGCTCGCGGCACACATTGATACTTTAGGGGAGTATGTTACCATAAAGCACCAATGCTGCAGCAAGCAAAGGCTCTAGCAGCTCAGCCAGCTGCTTGTGGCTGGAAAGCCAGACAGGATGTTTGTGACTGTTGCCATGGGAACAAAGGGGCAGTCCATTCTGTACTGAGCACCGGATGTTAGCTCAGTGTGTGTGTGTCATATGACCCGTACTGGATGTACTTGGGAGGAGTTTCTTCTTGCTGTTGTTGAGTGCAGACATGATTCTCTGTACTGATGTAAGAGGCAGAAATAAATGATGTAAATAGTTTTCTGTCTGCTTCTTTCCCCTCCCTGGGGACACCAAAGGGGAGAGAGGAAGAACGGTGTGTTCCTCTCATACATCTGAGAAGAACTACCGGACCTCGCCTGCTTATCAGCAGAGTGGAGACGCGGGGAGGTCGACAGGAATATCTGCCGGTGCCTACGCTGTGGCACATTCCTCTGACCCAGGCAGAATTCCAACACACAAACCTCTGTCTGTGACGGAGCCCCTCAGACATGGCTCCTCTAGTCACTAGCAGATTCCGACAGTGGTTGCTTTCGGAATCGCTTCCAACATAAAAGCTCCTTAACGGAAACACGTCTTCTGGACTCTCTGCGTGACAGTTTCCGGCGAGGAGTGGGTGTTCCTACAGGAGGTCCTGAAACCTCCCCACTGTTTTCGCTGGAAGTGTCTCTGAGCCATCCCTCCAGCTCACTTTCCCTCAGCTCAGCTCCTCTCCCCCTACTGGTTCCCTCTTCAGCTGCTGAGTCTCTCCCAACCTGTGTGAGCCCTTTCACCTCCCTTCCTTCCGATGGCAGTTCCCTGACATCCACCTCCCCTCCAGGGCCCCTTTCACCCCCTCTCGCCCCCTCTACGGGCGGTGAGGAGGCAAAACCCCGGAATGAACTTCCTTCATCTTCCGATGTCTCGAACACTTCTCTCCACCTGTTGCGGTTCCTGGTCTCAAGTACTCCTCCTCCTCAGAGTCCATCTCCCCTCCCCTTCCGAGTCCGGGAATCCTTCCAACTCCTCCTCCTCATCAGTGGTCCCAAAGTATTCCCTCCGGAACCTCTCCACAGGCTGAGGTTTCCTTGGGAACCTTTGATGGAACGTTTCTATCAATACCTCGTCATTGATATCTTCGGCCATTACCCAAGTGTTTTCTGACTCCGGTTCTCCTTCCCACGCTACCAAATACTCCACCTGATCCCCCTTCCACCTGGCGTCGAGGATTTCTGCCACATGGCTGCTGCATTCTCTTTCTTCTATGACCGGTCCCCGAGTGGCCATCCCTTCTCGTCCCCTTCGTACGGTGACAGTAACGACCTGTGAAATACTGGGTGCAGTTTCATGTGGTTGGGTAACCGGAGCCTGAAAGCCACTGGGTTGACCTGTTGAATGACCTCAAAGGGACCCAACCTCCTGGGTCTTAATTTCTTACAACCTCCTTTGAACGGCAACCCTTGGGTTGACAGCCACACCCTATCTCCCACCCTTATGGTTTCACCTTCCCTTCGGTTCTTGTCTGCCTGCCTCTTGTATTCTTCCTTCGCCCTTTCTAAGTTGAGTTGGAGCTGACGATGGATTGCTTCCATTTCTTCCACAAAATGCTCGGCTGCCGGGACGCTCCATCTCTCCCCATCTCCCCTGGGAAAGCCCTGGGATGACACCCATAATTAGCCAAGAAGGGGCTCATCCCTGTGGACACATTCTCGGCATTGTTGTAGGCAAATTCCGCCAGCGCCAACTTTTCTACCCAGTCATTCTCTCTGTCATTGACATAACACCTCAGGTATTGCTGGAGGACACCGTTTGCTCTTTCCGCCTGCCCGTTGGTTTCAGGGTGCCGGGCAGTCGAAAATTGACCTCCACCTGCAGTAAGCTCATGAGCTTCCTCCAGAACCTGGAAGTAAATTGTTTTCCTCGGTCTGAGACCACCTCAATGGCACCCCGTGCAACCTAAAAATGTGTTCTACAAATAACTTCGCTGTCTCTTCCGCCGTGACTGCATGCGAGCAAGCTACAAAGTGGCACATCTTTGTTAGTAGGTCTACCACCACCATGATGGCTGTTTTCCCTTTGGACTTCGGCAGATCAGTCATAAAATCTATCGACACTGCCTCCCAAGGTCGTTCTGGGGTTGGTAAGGGTTCTAATAGCCCCGCCGGCGCCCGCCTTTCCCTTTGGCTCGCTGGCATTGCTCGCACCCTCTTACATACTCACGTACATCTTCCCTCACCTTAGGCCACCAAAAGTCCCTGGTGACCAACCACATGGTTTTGTGTTGTCCAAAATGCCCCGCCGTAGGGCTGTCGTGCAACTGCTTGAGTACCCTCCCCCTTAAGTCTCCTTCAGGGATATACAGTGCCCCTTTGTATTACAAAGCTCCATTTCTTTCCTCTAAAACCCCTGGTTCCTCTCCCTCACCCCTAAGACCTCTGAGCTTATTCTGGGCGTATTCATCATTCTCTGTTTCCTCTACCAGTTCTCTTTGTCCCACCAATGCCGCCCCACACACCCAGCGGTCCTCTGGAATGACATGTCTCTCTTCGGGTGCTCCCTCCCCTCCAAATATTCAGGTTTGCGTGAGAGAGCGTCCGCCCTAATGTTCTCTGGGCCTGGCACGTAACCAATCTCAAAGTTAAATTTGGAGAACTCCTGGGCCCATCTCACTTGCCGTTGGTTGAGCACTCGTGCCGTCCTCCAATACTCTAGGTTCTTGTGGTCAGTGCACACTTGCACCTTATGTTGTGCGCCAATTAGCAGGTGCCTCCATCTCCGGAACGCCTCATGAATGGCTAGTAGTTCTCGGTCATACACCGTGTAGTTCCTCTCGGATTTGTTCAGCTTTCGCGAAAAAAGCACACGGTCTCCACTCTGACTCCTCCTTCCCTGGCTGCAGAAGCACCGCCCCAATCGCTCTGTCTGATGCGTCAGTTTCCACTCTCATCGGTTTTTGTAAATCCACATGCAGGAGTTGTTGTTCCGAGGCGAAGGCCCTTTTAGTTCCTCAAATGCTCGCTCCGCCTCCTCAGTCCAAACGAACTTCTTCTTACTGCTGAGACAGTCCGTAATGGGCGCCGTCAGGTGGGCAAAGTTTCGGATGAACTTACGATAGAAGTTCCCAAATCCTAGGAACCTCTGCACATCCTTCCTTGTTTTGGGTGTTTTCCATTCCAGCACCGCCTGGACCTTGCCGGGATCCATGGCCAATCCCTTGTCTGACAGGCGATACCCCAGGAATTCCACCTCCTTGGTATGAAACTGACACTTCTCCAGTTTCACCCACAGCTGGTTGGCTTGCAGCCTGCTCAACACTTCTCTGACGTCTCTCACATGCTGCTCCTCATTCTCAGAATACACCAACACGTCGTCTAAGAAGGCCACACAATTCTTGTAAAGCAAAGGCCCCAGGACGTGGTTCATAAACGATTGAAAGCATGCGGAGCCTGCTTGTAGGCCGAAGGGCATAACCAAATATTCAAATGCCCCTAAAGGGGTGAACATGGTGGTTTTCCATTCATCCCCCTTCCTTATTCGTATCAGGTTGTACGCCCCCCTTAGGTCCAGCTTTGTGAAAATCTTCCCTTCCGCACCCTTGTCAAAATGTCGTCAATCCTGGGCATAGGGAAGGCCACTGGTTCTGACACTGCATTTAAGGCCCTGAAGTCACACACCAGCCTCGGCTTGTTCGTGTTTTTTTATCCACAAAAACACTGGGCTGCCCCCACCGCCCTGGACTCTCTGATGAACCCTCTCTTCAGGTTCTTGTCAATGAACTCTCTTAGCTCCTGCATCTCTCTGTCTGACATGGCGTACAGCTTGCCTACAGGGAGCTGTGCCCCAGGGAGTAAATTGATTTGACAGTCAAAGGGTCTATGCGGGGTAGTTGGTCAGCTTCCTTTCGCTGAAGACGTCGCGGAGATCTGCGTATTGTCGTGGTACCTTCACGTTCTCCGTTACTTCAGTCCCTGCTAGGGTGGCTTGGGCCCCTGCCAAACCCTTTCCTCTTTGCAGTGTTCTAAGCAATGTGCTGAACCAAAAGAAACCACTCTCTGATGCCAGCCCACCAGCGGATCATGTAACGCTAGCCAGCTCATCCCCAATATAATGGGAGCTCCTCCCAAGGTGGCCACATTAAACGCTATCAGTTCGGTGTGCCTTGCCACCTTCATTATCATTGGGACGGTCTGCAAGCTGACTTCTCCTCCCAACAGCTCCCTGCCATCGATCGTGGTCACCTGCAGGGGGTTGCTTAAAGGGATCGTCTGTATCTGGTGTTCAGCTGCAAACTCTTTGCTCATGAAATTGCAGGAGCTGCCTGAGTCCAACAGCGCCTTTATCTTTAGAGGGTGTCCGTTTGGCAGCTCTAGCGCCACTTCTATCACTAGGGCGGGTTTAGGAGGTTCTGGCGTGGGCACTCTCACTGCTCTTTGGCCTGGCTGCTGTGCCCCGACGGTGGCAGCCAGGCGTTGGCTTTTACTTGCTCCGGTATTTCTTCCTCTCTTCCCTCCACAGCTCCTACCATCCCTTGCCATTCCTTCCTCTGGGGGCAGACTCTGGCAAAGTGACCTGGCTGTTGGCAGAGATAGCATTTCCGGGCGCGTTTTCCCTCCTTCTTTCCCCTCACTGGGCTTTGAAACTGCACGCGCGCGCTGTTCCGATTTCCATCGGCTCTGCCGGCGGGAAAGTTGGCTCTGGAATGTCTGGAATGCGGAACTCCTTCCAACGTTCCCCTTCCCTTCCCGCCTCTCCAATGCTCTCGCCTCCTGGCGCGCTCCTATGGTCAGCGCTGATTTGGTCAGCTGGTCCATAGACTCCGCCCTGGGCGCCCGGGAAAGTTCGTCTTTCACAGCCGAAGAAAGCCCTTCTTCAAAGAGCATTTGAATGGGTTCCGCCGATAAGTCCCACCCCAATCTGTGAACCAGCATGGTGAACTCAGTCCAGTACTCACGGACAGATCGGCTCCCTGTTTGCAAGCCATTAACTGTCTGCGCACCACTCCCTGTTCAATATCGCTGGAAAACATCAGATCCATGGCGCGAAAGAACTTCATCGTGTCCTTTAGGACGTCACTATTCGCTGCCATCAGGGGTCTAACCCAGTCTCTCGCCCCTTTTCAAGATGCCCAATCACGAAAGCCACTCGTGATTCCTCGTCAGGGAATTCATCAAACTGCAGATTGAGGGCATATTGCATCTCTGTCCGAAAGCCATGATAGTCTTTGGGCTCCCCAAACTTCTGCACCAATCCTGGTACCTTTCTGGCGAGCTGGGTGGCTTTCCCTTTTGTCTGCATCCTGAGCCCTCCTCTCCTCAAGCCTCGCCGTCTGCAGCGCTAGCTGGACCTCCAACACCCGGTACCTTTCTTCCAGGCTTGGACCCGCTCCAGCTCCTGCTTCTCCGGTTCCGGCTGGGTTGCTCATGATGCCTTCTCCTGCACAAGCTGCTTTCAAAGACTGTCGGAATGCTGTGATGGGATGATGAGCTGCTTGTGCGTAAAATAGTATCCCCTCAGAGTTTGTTCAAGTCCACAAACCTCTGTCTGTGACGGAGCCCCTCAGACATGGCTCCTCTAGTCACTAGCAGATTCCGACAGTGGTTGCTTTCGGAATCGCTTCCAACATAAAAGCTCCTTAACGGAAACACGTCTTCTGGACTCTCTGCGTGACAGTTTCCGGCGAGGAGTGGGTGTTCCTACAGGAGGTCCTGAAACCTCCCCACTGTTTTCGCTGGAAGTGTCTCTGAGCCATCCCTCCAGCTCACTTTCCCTCAGCTCAGCTCCTCTCCCCCTACTGGTTCCCTCTTCAGCTGCTGAGTCTCTCCCAACCTGTGTGAGCCCTTTCACCTCCCTTCCTTCCGATGGCAGTTCCCTGACAGTAGGTGTTTCAGGAATGACAAAGGATCAGCACTTCTGCACGCAGCATTTCACTAACCTGTGGAACTTACTGCTACAGGATATGGTGACGGTCACTAATTCAAGTTACAGTTCCATACACACATCCCAATGCTAACCCTTTTCATCTCAAGCGTTGTATTGATGGTCAGTCTGGGGGCCGGAGTGGACATGGACAAATTATGGACACCTGCACACCTTACACGAAGACCAAATATACATGCATATTCACAGCACACACATTCACCAAACATAATAAATAACAAGATGAAAGATAAAAAAATCTTTTTTAATAATTCCAGTGGAGTAGCTCAGCTACTCGTGGCAACCCCCCCCAAAAAAAAGCTCAACAACTTTGGGTAATCCTCCCCTCAAAAAAGCTTAACACCTCTGGGTAATCTCCCCCCATTTTCTTTATTTTGAGTCCCCCAAAATAGGGGTCGTGTTATACATGAGTGCGAGGCTCTGAAGAGGTTGGAGCACCTTTTGACGTCTTTGCTTCCTCTGCTGCAGAATCCAGGAAAACGCCTTGTCGGATGTGTCCTTTGAGGCACTTTGCTCTGCTCTAGCCGACAACACTAGCCTCAGGTATCTGGACGTGAGTGGCAACCCTTTCACGGATATGTGTGCTGAAGATGTGCACACTCTCATTTTGACCTGTCCTGCTCTTACAGAAATCAGGTACCATCAGGCCTCACTCTTCCTAAGTGTATTCACTCCTAAGGGAATTTAAACCTCTACACCTTGGAAGTTTGGAGGGGTGGCCAGCCTGAGGGAGGGCCTTTCTGTGGTGGCCCCTTTCATTTGTGCATTGTTTGTTGTTTTCTGAAGATGCAGCTGTATAACCTGACCTCCAATGCTTGAGATACATATTTTGATAACCCGCCATATTCTTGTGGCTGTAATTTGTTTTAAATTGTTGTGACCTGCCCTGGGACCTTAGGCTGAAGGGAGGGTAACAAACAGTCAAATAATGATGGTGATAACATTAAAAACGACCACCTGCCTTCCCAAAAAGATGGGGCATTTTGCAATAGGGAAAATGATAGGAAAAATCACTGTGATGTGTGATTCGAGGCAACATCATGCAACCTCCCTGCAAAATGAATTGTGATGAATCCTCAAAAAGCAGATTGTCAGGAAAGTGCCCTTTCTCCTGCCTTTATTGAGCATATGTACTGATTTGTTTGGGGGTGGTTATATGACTATGACGTGGGTCGCGCTGTGGGTTAAACCACAGAGCCTAGGGCCTGCCGATCAGAAGGTTGGCGGTTCGAATCCCCGCGACGGGGTGAGCTCCCGTTGCTCGGTCCCTGCTTCTGCCAATCTAGCAGTTCAAAAGCATGTCAAAGTGCAAGTAGATAAATAGGTACCACTCTGGCGGGAAAGTAAACGGCGTTTCCGTGCGCTGCTCTGGTTTGCCAGAAGCGGCTTAGTCATGCTGGCCACATGACCCGGAAGCTGTACACCAGCTCCCTTGGCCAGTAAAGCGAGATGAGCGCCGCAACCCCAGAGTCAGCCACGACTGGACCTAATGGTCAGGGGTCCCTTTACCTTTTTTATATGACTATGAGGTTTCATCATATATTTACATGTCTTCCCTTTATTCATTCATGCGGCACTTTGATTGCATTTCCCCATCACTTTCCAACCTGCAGTCATTAAAAAGAGCATGTGTGTTTTTCTAGAGCAACAGAGTTCTTCAGTCCTCTTTAAATGTGCAAACCTAACGTTCCCCTTTGCCATGTTCTACTTACTTTTTTCCCTTCCTGAAAACCGCAATTATTGGCAGTCTACCTGAGTGATAACAGTCATAGCTACATTTGTTGTGTTTTTTCTAGGTTAAACTTAAGTGATATCAGTCCAGCGATGGAAAAAGATCTGAAAAAACTGGATGGTTGCAGAGAAGGCTTCAAGATCCACATTTAAAACTCCTTTTTCCCAATTATTCTTTATTAATTTTGTTATGTACTGAAGTTCTCACCCTGGGCCAGCAGGGGGAATACTGTAGATAGTTTTCACTCAGGTCCACATATGCAAATAAGGTATTGAAAGTGACGTTCAGTGATTGGATAGTTACAGAAAGTTGTTACAGTTGCATTGTAGTGGAGCTGTATATTAGCAGGCTGGCTGAACCCTTCAGTTCAGTTCTGTTCTGGCCTGTGAATAAACAAGAGCTGTTTGAAGAATCGCTGTGTCGTCTGATATGTTCACCCACAACAAATTTTCCAGATTATTACTCTTGCTCATTCTTCTTGCTCTGCGTTGCTCCATCAGACTCCTGGTCCGATCCAAAAATAATTATAAATAAAATCCATTCAACCTCAATCAAGTGGGGGAGGGCATAATAAAACCATGTTGAATTCCTTGCTGGGCATAAATCAAAAGCCTCCCCCCTCTTTTCTGCGGTAACAAACAAAATAACACAACAGTGGCTACACACGTCTCTTTCATTTTGCAGGGGAGGACAAAATAAGGCCATTTGAAAACCATATGAAAGCACAAAGCACCTTGTCCTCCCCTTCCTTTCCTGGCTGTTGTAAGGATTCTCCAGCTTAAAAACACACACGAAAAAACACCATTCAGATACCTTCAAAGAACCAAACTCAGTACTTTTGGCAGCTGATTGATCGCAGCCCATTGGGATGTCGATCCAGTAGCGTCTCTTGATTAGTGCCAATATTCCAGATTAAGAAGGAACTGACCACAAATCATGCAAGAGATGGAGGCTCGTCCATGGCAGGGACACACTCCCAGGTCGCACCTATTCTGCCTTTCAAGTTGGCAGGCATGGGCTTGAGCAGAACAGCAGAATGCATTGAACTCCCCAGACCCCACTGGGGAACATTGCCAGGATTTTTGCCTTATAAATCCTGGCTTTCCCCTGCCTGAAAACTCCCCGATGCCCATGGAGGGCAGCAAAGGGTGACCGCCATTGACTCATGACCCAAGCCAGAAGCCCCAAGATCCGCATTTAAAGCTCCTGCAATGGCTTGCGTTCTCTGAAAGTCCCCAGTCAAAGTGGCAGAGCGAGATGGACCAAGTGAAATTTCCCCAAGAAGGGTAGCAAAGACGGCGAAGGGCCTTTGTCAGACCCAGGTCCAACAAGGGAAAAGGTTGCAGGACGAGACTGAGAGGTGATGCGATACCTAGAATGAAATATTTGAAAAGCCACCACACAGATGATGCTGCAAATTTGTTTTCTGTTGCACCAGATGGTTTGAATTACGAGCAGTGCCAGATTTATATATAAGCTAAGCAAGCTATAGCTTAGGGTCCCACTCTCTTGCCCCCTCCCATATACGGTACTTCTTAATTGTATTTCAGTTCAACAATTACTTTGATAAAATACGTATTTTTTAATGTGCAAATGGCTTCAGATACCTATTAGGTCCATAAATTACCATATAGCATATATTCAACAACAAAAACAGTGACGATTTGTTGTTGACAAAGGACAGCTGGACATATAAAGGGCCCATTACCTTCAGTAGCTTAGGGCCTCATCAAACCAAAATCTGGCCCTGATTACTAGTATGGGGATTTCAGGTAACCCTGAGGGGATGAGCTGTCTGACAATGGAGCAAAGCCTTTAAACCCCCCCCCACACACACACATTGGGCTTTGAAAATAGTTTGTTTTATGGTGTTTTGGTTCTATTTTGTCATGTGCTGTTAGACTGTAATAATCTGTACAGTGGTACCTCTAGATACGCACACCTCTGGTTGCATATCTTTCAGGATGCGAACACGGCAAACCGGAAGTATTTTTCCGGGTTTTGCCGCATGCGCAGAAGCGCTCTACATGCCGTGTGCATGTGCAGGACTGGCACCTCTGGTTGCAAATTCCTTGGGATGCGGCTGGACCTCCGGAACGGATCTCGCTCACAGCTGGAGGTACCACTGTATTTGGATTTAGGAGGAGGAGGAATATTAAAGAGGGCTGGGGGAGTTGGAAATGTGGGGAAAAAGGGCCATTGAAAAGCACCAGTAGGAAAAGAGGGTGAAAGGTTTTAGGGCTGCCTTCCCCAGTCTTGCATTCAACAACCCAAAAGGCCCAACATTTGGAGAGCACCACATTGGGGAAGGCTGGTTTAGGAGATTCCTTGCTCCTGTCATATTCAGTACTACTTAAATTTCAGTACTGCCCATTGAGCTCTGGGAAGCTTGCAAAAAACCATAAAACACACATACAATTCTATAAAGCATAGGATCAGAGCGCTGGCTTTAGAAAAAAATTCAGAACCCCAGCAGAAAACAGAATTGTATAAAAGCACCTTAGAGGCTAGTGAAGGAGAACAAGGGCTCTGATCCAAAATGCACACAAAAAAAATTAACTAGAAGGAAAAGACCTAGCAGGAAATATTGCAAGGTGGCCTCCCTGGGATGCACATTTCTCAATCAGGGCACCACCTTCAAATAAGACCTCCCCCTAGTGGCTGCTTGCTTAAATTTCAGTTTGCTAAAAATTTGTTTTCCTTATTCCTCAAGCACTTGTTTAAACCTGGGTAACTGCTCACTGAAATTCATGCTTCTAAGGAATATAAGTATATTTTGCCATGATCTAAATGAAAAGTGAAAGATTTTACCTGATTATCTACAGTTTTAATGTACTCTTCTTCTCTCAGGTTACTTTCCGATTTTGTTTACTGTTTATAACCTTACATTTGGTCAGGATCCACCCACTCAAGAAAAGGAAAAGATACAATAGCCCTACTCTACTTGATACGCTGCCCTTAGTAAGCTTTTGGAGAAAGCTAGTACTTGGATGTCTTCATGTTCTGTCTTGAAAACATGCCTAATTATTCCTTTGCCATCATCTGCTCCAGCTCCTGTATTGGTTTCTACAGCCACAGCAATATTCCTTAGCGGAAAGAAATCGTTTTCATTTAAGCTGATCTTCATTGTTGCCCCCAAAAAATGACACTGGGTAACATTTTTAATAACAGAGCTTGTTAACAATAGCAATAAGTAGCAGGCTTTTCAAGGCCTGCTTTGTGACTCAGTCATGTCTAAAGAAAAGTCAGAAAGCAGCTACTATTTGAATGCCAAGCCTTCCACACTCACGCAATTTCCTGATTTAAACCTTTCCACCGCAGGACACTTCCAGACTCTCAAATTCTGTCTTTCAGCCTATGATATAGAAGATGCCGCCTCGTGCAGAGTTGTACATCATAGTAGTCACACCTCTGGAAATGTATACTTTACAGTCATCCTTCCTGTGAATATGGCTTAACTGCCGATGTCACCCCAGCCATAAATCCAGGAGAGACGGCAAGGGCAGTAGTGGGGAAGTTCCTTCAGCTCAAGGGCAACATTTCCTTCTGGACAGCTTTTGGGACTGGGGGGCTGGGGGGGGGGTCACATGGCAGTGCAGAGGCAAAAGTGGACTAAACAATGTAAAAATTTGCCTTTGTACACGAGGCTTGTTTTTACACACTCACGCCCAACACAAACTCCTTGCAAACAGGCAAGGGGCATTATCAGAGTTCAAGACCACATTGCAAGCAGCGGGAAACCCTCAAGGAAGGTGCAAAGCAGGACAAGTGAGAGAGGTGTCTCCTGGGGAAGGGGCCAGAAGGCCAGATAGGGAGGCCAGGGCAGCAGCATGGCTGTAAAATCAATGAGTATTAGGAAAAATGTTGGAATGAAACTATTTGGCTTTAGTAGAAATGATATAAGGAGCTATGTACATTACGTTTTAAGGGTTTTTTTTTTATGGCAAGATAAGGTTAAATAAGGTAAATTGAATGACAGAATATAGTGAAAGATGGAAAGGATTTGTTGAGTTAATTAAAAGGTTAGATTGTTAAGATAAATTATATAACAAAAATTGAGAAAGATGGAAAGAATTTGCTGAAACAATTAATTAAATTAGAATACAAAAAGGGAGGTGTGAGGAGGTCGATGAAACAAGTAAATGAAAGATAAAGATATGGAACATTGGATGTGTGTTTTAATGTTATTGTGTGTTTTTTTGCTGTATTGTTTTTTATGCTTTTCTCTTTATGTATTGTAATGTATGCTTTGTTAAACTTTTTGTTGTTTTCTTTTTCTCTTTTTTCTGTAATTCTTAAACTCTTAATAAACATCATTTTTTTTTTAAAAAAGGACAGCAACATGGCTTCAGGGGATCATATAATAAATTTCAGAATGGTCTTCAGCTAGAGAGAGCTGGGTAGTAAACTGAAGGGGATGAGATTGAGGAGGAGGAATGGTGGAGATCAGGGGTGGAGGAAGGGGTATGTGATGGATGCAGGCCGCCCCGGGTGTCACCCCCCTCCCTTCTCCTGAAGCTTCCCAAGAAGAGGAAGGCAATATTGAATTACAGCAGTGGTTTGAGGAAGGTCACAGCTCAGAGACAGGTGAACAGAAGAGTTGGAAGCATAGCTGTCAGCCTTTCCTTTTTTTGAGGGAAATTCCCTTATTCCAGCGCCGTTTCCCGCTGCTTCCCACTGCTATTCCGGATTGTTAGATATCCCGTAGACTGTCCCCGGGACAGGTGAGGCTGCTGATCCCTTATTTCCAAATCTGAAAGTTGACAGCTATGGTTGGGAGGTGTTGGGAGAAGAGAAGGGGGAGACAGACAGAGCAGCCAGCTGACACATCACTGGAGAGCATTTCTGACCCTCCCTTCTCCCAGAACCCAGCATGCATTGAAAGTGAGAGAGCAAAGGACTCAGAGACAATTAGCTCCTGGCAGCCGCCATAAGGGGAAGTGCTGTGGCTAGGAAGGGAGGGAGATGGAGCTCAGTTGGAGCAATGCCATTACAGTGGTACCTCAGTTTACGAACTTAATCTGTTCCGGAAGTCCGTTATTAAACCGAAACCGTTCCTAAACCGAGGTGCTTTCCCTAATGAGGCCTCCCACCGCCGGTAACCTTCCACCGTTCGGGTTCCGTTCTTAGACTGAGGTAAAGTTCGCAAACTGGGACACAACTTCTGATTTTGCGGAGATCGTAAAATGAATCGTTTGTAAACAGGACTGCTCTTAAACCGAGGTACCATTGTATTGAGAGTGTGCAACACTCAATACAGACTGCAGACTGCATTCATTTGTCTCTTGCTGTGGTGATGGAATAAACTCATTAGTAAGAATCTTCATTGTTTTCTCTGCTTCTTGCTGACACCGGGGAAGGGATAGCATTCCTCAAAGCCTGACAGGTAGATGGGCAAAAGATGTTTTCATTGTCATTTTATTTACAAACTGCATTTTTCACAGATAAATATGCTCAAAAAGTTCACAAAAAATCAAGTCCTAAATACAATAATACAATACCAGTACATAATTAGCCATGTATTATTGTTGCAGAATAATACCAAAAAAAAAAAAAAAGCCGACAATTAGCAATCCATTTGATGTATATAAACATTTCACTAAACACACAGCTTGCTAATAGATCCAAGTCAAAATATCCAATTAAGAGACTGCTGTTCTGGCAAGCAGCTCACTTCTGGAGGCTCCCAAGGCAGTAAGGGGCATGGCAGATAGAAAAAAGCCCCCCTTGTAGGGTTGCCACCTTTGTTCTGGCAAAATACAGGACAGGGCAGAGTGGGTGGTTTGGAGGACAATTTTGTTTTGTTTTTCATCTGGTGCTGAAGTGACTTCAAAGCAATCCGTTGCAATCTATTGCAGCCTAATAAAATGGCCCTAACTCGGGAGAGAGGGAGAGAGAGAGGACTTGAAATACAGGACAAAACTGTATCAACACAGGACGTAGCATTTTACATTGAAATATGGGACAATAATGTATTAATACAGGACAGGTGGCAACCCTACACCCCTGGGTGTCCAACACAGAGTCTCTCACCCCTTGCATTCAACAAAACCAGAGGGATAAAAAGGAAAAGTGAGTTTGACTCCATATGGTCTCGATTTGTGCCATTTATTAACAATAGTACAATAATTCCCTTCCATCTCAGCTGCAGCAGCCACCATGGAGAAAATATCTTAACACTTCAGATTGATACGCAACCCGTGGATGTGAGCTGAATTCGTAATGTAAAATATTTTCCAAGTTTGTTTTGATGCCGTGCAGTTGACTGCATGCAAGACTCAACATCTGTATATGCATTTGTCTAGGAAGAGGACACTTTAGTAACTGTATTTTTAAAAAATTCAGTAAGTTCGTAAAGAGAAAAAAATATATATCAGTGCTGCTACAGAGTTGGCATTCTTTGATCAAAGTTTGCTTTGTTTTTAGCTGTCGTTGCTTACTGACAAATTTAACCATCCTGTTTTGAAAAACTACAGTTCTCAGAGTTCCCCAGGAGCTTTCATTTTCAGTGACAAAACGGTGACAAAGGAACTTCAATGACAAAACGAACCTGTTTTATGTCTGTAGCATTGTACCCAGGAACTATCATCCACATGCAAAGAAAGGAAATGGCTAGATTTGGAGCAGCACGTGGAACGTTCCACCCTTTTCCCTCACGTTCCAACCCAAATCACACTCTGAGGGAGTTGCCTTATACGGATGAGTAACAGCCAGGTATACCGCTGACTCTTGTATTCACTTCCTGCCTTTTTCTTGAGACTAGAGAGTCACATCCTCTCTGGCAGGCAAAAGGTAAGGACATCTGGAAAGCCCAACTAGGGGAGGCCAGAGGCCCATCTAGTCCATCCTGTTCAAACAGTGGACAACCACAATGACCTCTGAAAGCCCACAAACAGGGCCTGGGTGCAAAAGCAGATCTCCCCACTTGTGACTCCCAGCAAGCATACCTGAAGTAGCATCTCCACCCGCATCGCTCATCCCAGACACTGAGGTCCAGCTCCAAGGGCCTTCTGGTGGTTCCCTCACTGCGAGAAGTGAGATTACAGGGAACCAGGCAGAGGGCCTTCTCGGTAGTGGCACCTGCCCTGTGGAATTCCCTCCCACCAGATGTCAACATCTACCTGACTTTTAGAAGACATCTGAAGGCAGCCCTGTTTAGGGAAGCTTTTAATCTTTGATATTTTATTGTTTTTAATATTCTGTTGTGAGCTGCCCAGAGTGGCTGGGGAAACCCAGCCCGATGGGCGGGGTATAAATAAATAAATAAATAAATTATTATTATTATTATTATTATTATTATCATCAGAGGCTTATTGCTGCTGATAGAGAAAACATTGTCATTGTGGCTTGCAGCAGTGGGCAGCCTTGCTCTCTATTAATTTATCTTCAGACAACCAGATGCCTTTGGGAAGCTTGTAAATAGAAGCGGACTGCCACAGCGCTCCCCACCCTTTACAGCAACTGCTATTCAGAGCCAGTGACCCACATAGCCAAACATCTTCCTCTCATGGTGGCCAACCAGACACTTCTACACACTCTCTGCTCTGTGTTCTATGTAGACAAGCAAGAAGCATTCAAGGGCATATTCCAGCCAGGCACAAACACTCCAGGAGAGTACAAGAGCAGGCCTGGGGGGAGTTTCCAGGGCCTGATGGCAAGGACTGGAGGGCCACATTCACCCCCAGGTCTAGGCTTCCCCATCCCCAATGTAAACATCAGAGTCGAACTAGATGACCCATGACTTGCTTGATTAGGAAAGTGACAGGGAAACGCACTGGAAAGCGTGGGGTGAATGAATGATGAGTGAGAAGTCGGATAAACACCCCAGAAGCAAATCAGGATGAATAGTTATGGTTGTAGAGCCACTCTGCAGACGAATTAGTGACTCACCCCTAATCAACCCTCATGGGCCCTACAATCAGCAAAGAAGACCCCCTTTGGTGCTGTTGCTTCTGGCTGTGGTCCAGTTGGTGTTGACCCAGGAGGAGACTTCTTGGTGGTGGCTCCCCATTTGTGGAAAGTGCTCCCTGATGGGCTGTGCCTGTCTCCCCCATTATTGACTTTCAGCAGAAACATAAATGCATTCCTTCTTTACCCAGGCATTTGATGGTGACAGGATGAGCTCCCATTGCTCTGTCCCAGCTCCTCCCAACCTAGGAGTTCGAGAGCACACCAGTGCAAGTAGATAAATAGGCACCGCTGTGGTGGGAAGGTAAACGGCGTTTCCATGCGCCCTGCTTTCCGTCATGGTGTTCTGCTGTGCCAGAAGCGGTTTAGTCATGCTAGCCACATGACCCAGAAAGTTGTCTGAGGACAAACACCGGCCCCCTCGGCCTGAAAGCGGGATAAGCGCTGTAACCCCATAGTCACCTTTGACTGGACTTAACTGTCCAGGGGTCCTTTACTTTTTACTGGCCCTGGCAACTTTGAAATTAGTAACTGTGAAGGCGTGTGATTGCTTTTATATGTTTCTAGATGTTCCAAATGTTTTGAAAATGCTGTTTTAAATACTTTTTTATTTCATTTAAAACACTGTTGTTTTAAGATTCTGATGTTTTTCTCCTTGGGCTCTTCTGGGAGGAAGGGCAGCAAGGTGCAAATGAAACAAAATATAATAAATTGGAACAAATGTGGCATGAAGTCCAGCCATTGTATAGCCATTATGTAAACTTTGTGCAAGGAAATCTGGATGCCTGCTCAAAAAATGGGTCTTCTGGAGGTCTTCCCCCAAAATCCCTTATCTGGACGTCACCATCCATTGCTGTCCTTCCAAATGCCCAGCCAAATAGCCCCTGAGACATGATTTCACTGGTATGAATAAGGCTCTGCTGGCACTTCAGGCGAAAGGATGCACAGTTGTCATTTAACGACTGAGTAAGAACATCTCTGGAAGGGAAACCGGGTGGGGAGAGGCAGCACTCATCTTTTGGGAGTTGCACATTGTGCCTTCAATTCACCCCAAAGGCATTTGCACCTGGAGGGGAGGGGCCAGGCCATGGAGATCAAAAACCCTCAGCTCCCCAAGATTTCTACTCAAAGCTCACCTTGCCTGAGACCTACCCAGCTCTCGAGAAACATTTGCTGCTCCGGAATACTTTGCAGAATCATGGCTGGGACATGGGGCCTGCGGATCTTCCTTTTGTGTCTAATGCCAGGTAAGAGCCTTTGGGTAGCGCCAGAGGATAATGATGGAGGCTTCTTCTTCTTCTTCTTTTTAAAGAGTGCTATGTGTGGTTTGACAGCATGGATGCTAGCATTCAAGCACACACAGCTTGCTTCCAGGCAACCCGTTTATTTGCGAGATCAGACGACATTTGAGCATTTGTTGAGCATTCCTTCTAATTTGTTTGCAGAGAGGTTAGACTTGCCTCCAAGCAATTGTTATCCAGCACTTTCCAGTGCATCTCTCCCTTGCTTTCCATATTGGAAAAAGTCTGCTTTTTTGTGGGGGAAGCTGGTTTTTCGTTGCCTGAGGGCACCAAAGCAACTTTCATTGAACAGCCTGAATTTGCTGCTATGGGATTGAATCTCTCCTGCAAGAAAGTGACAGTCCTCATAGTTTTATTTTCTGAGGCTGGCTGGAGTAATGGTGTAAACTGTCCCGGTTCTGCCACAAAACATAGCTTTAAAAAACACACACCAAGTTTCTAGTCCTTATTGTTGCAAACGTGTGTGTGTGAGTGACAGGCGTGCGTAGTGAAATATAAGAAGCAATTAGTACAATGGGATTAGTACTGAGCTAAAAAGAAAATAGGGAGAGGATCGTTTTGTGAAAACCTGTTCCATACAGCCCCTCCACCCCCATTCCCAGTTTCAGTTATCTTCCCGGGGGGACATGGACAGAAGTGGAAATGCAGTAAAACTGAAGTGAGACTGCGGGAGGCAGGTGGAGTGTCAAGAGTTTTGAAGCTTGTTCATAGGGATGGGAACCCCAGAATTTAGGATTGTAGCATGTCAGGGAGAAAGTTAGACCGGGATACTTCTCCCTTATATCTACAGGTTTTCGTTGTGCAAAGAATTATTTTAAAACAAGCAAACGAAAAATATAGAGCAGGAGACTCTTGATCTCAAGCCCCATGTTGCATAAAAGATTCCTGCATTGCAGGCGGTTAGACTAGATGACTCTTTCCAGCTCTACAATTCTATGATTCTAATATAAAATGTAGAGCTTCAGCTGTCACCTTCCTTCAAAATCTCCCTGTATGTGCTTTGAATTTGTCTGGATTATATACAGTCCTTAAATCCTCTATCAGTGCTTGGTGGTTTTTACAGTATGTTGTTGTTGTTGTTGTTAACACCATCAGTGACCCTGAACCTTACAATTAGCAGGTGATGCCTTGTTGGTGGTGCCCAGTTCCATTCACCCATGACAGGGCCTTTTCAGTGGCAGCTCCCTATTTATGGAATGTCCTTCCTGGTCAGGCGTGTCTTTAAGAGCATTCCTGTTCACTTAGGCATTTGATGGCTGAAAGACACTGTTCCTGGCAACCCTCAGATCACTGGTAGAAAGAATTCTTTCAACTGCTTTTAGAATCCTTTTTTTAAAAAAAAGTTTTATTATTTATGTATTTGCCACTTTGGACTCCTTCAGGAGAAAGCGCAGGATAGAAACCAAATAAAAACATATTTAGTAGCAGTAATTATGACTATTCGTAATCATTCCTGCATTGCAGGGTGTTGGACTAGATGACCCCAGGGATCCCTTCCAATTCTACAATTCCATGATTCTAAGTGTGTGCATATTTATGACTTTTCCATGGAATGTGTGGACCACCAATGGGTCATCTGTATGTCAGAACTTCTCCATTGGGCTACAGGGATTAAAGAGCTGAGCCACAGGCTTTGCCTGAATCGTTCTCCACACTTGGGTGCCATATATAAAGGCTTCCTTTGTGGGGTGAGCTTAGCCAGTTCCGGACACTCAGGCTGCTGTATATACCTCTTTTCTTTTGCCCACCAGCTCTTTTACCTGCCGTGAAGATCAATGCCAAGGGCCGGGAGGTGGTCTACCTGGCAGAAGGCGAGTCGGCCAAGCTCGGCTGCCCCTACGAGTTGGAACCGCAAGATCATGGCTCAAACGACTTGGACATCGAATGGACACAGATGAACTCTGACCCCACAAACCTGGACAACGTGGTGAGTACGTGGGTCAAGCTCAGCTGTTGGTTTCAAAACATCTGGCCTCTTGTGTGCTCCGGAAGTGAACTGAACCAGGATGAACCCAACTATAGCCTGTTCAGGACAGGAATCTGTCGCAACCATAGTGGACCCCAACCTCTTTGTTCCCTATCAAACAGGAAACTCAAGCAACCACTAGAACAGGGTCTGGGGAACACATTTCAGCTTGAGGGGCTGCTTTGCATCCTGGGTAAACTTCTGAGGGCCATGGGGCCAGAGTCCAAGGTGGATGGGGCAACAAATGCACATTTTTCTTTTGCACAATAGACTAATTTGATCGGAGGTCAAGGACACATTCAAGCCAGTAAAAAACACTTGAAGAGGGTGGGGAGCAGTACCAGGGAATGGGTGTGTGTGTGTGTGTGTGTGTGTGTGTGTGTAGAAGAATGAGGGCCAAACAGGGGCCTTGAAGGTCATGTTAGGCTCCTAGATCTGAGCTTCCTGTATCAGTTTATTTAAAATAGTATGGGTGCCATCAGGATAGGACTGTGGGAAAGATGTCCTGGGCTCCACTCAGCACACCAAAAAGAACAGCAGGGCTGGCAGCTTACCATATTTTGAAGAAAGAGAAGCGAAACCAAAAGCTATCTAAATAAGTTACCTCATGACATCATTTGAATAGATGGCAATGTTTATTACTCCATTAGAGGGGCAGTCTCCATAAGACCCCACCCAGTGTCTAGAATCTAAAATTACCTAACCACAGCACCAGGGAAGGGAGAGAAATTTGATTCAGTTCACGTTTAAAGGTGACACTTTCTGGAGCCATACGTGAACCGAAGCACAGCCTTCCTTTGAAATTCACACTTCCCTGAATTTTGCAGTGCTGTTCTCCAGCCCAGACACATGTGTACAAATATGCACGTATACTCAGGTGAAGCGTGCCTGAAAATGTATACAATGATGGGAATAACATGCAAAAAAATGCATTATATTAATAGAAATTGTAAAGAAAACCACCCTGTGTAAATATTGAGAAATCTTCATGAAAGAGCTAACGAATTTCCATGAAGACTTTTTTAAAAAAATGCAAATCAATACAGAAACATGGAGAACTGAATTTAAGATTGGAATTTCTGATCATCTTATTGTTTTTTCCTCTTTGTAAACTGTTTTTGCAATCAAGAGGTGTATAAATTTTATGAAATAAACAACAGTTCAAAATGAGAAATGGAGAGAAAATGAAATTGATAGGTTTGCCCATCTATAACCCCCTGAGTTTAAGTCTATACAATTGGCAAAACTGTTACAGCCTGACACGAGAGGAGCCATCACTGTCCCACCTCCTCCGGCAAAATAATCTGTGGAATGCCAGGGGGGAAGCAAATATAGTTTTGTGAAGGAGGAGGAGGGTGTTGTTTTGCCTGCGAATGATCTGGTGCAAGATCTGTGACCACATAAGCAATTTGGAAATCTTATTCTGTTGATTTAGTGGTGTTGTTCTCTGGTTCCTGCCCACCAGATCCTGAGCTACAACAATCACCAGGTAATCCACCCCGGCTACCATTTCCTGCAGTCGAGAGGGGGTTCCGCAGCCCACGACTCACGACATTTTGGCAACTCTGGCCTGCAGCAGAACATGGTGATGGGGGGCTCTGGCCACGACTGCTGCTCTGGCCTGCAGCAGCGAGTGACCTTTGCAATCCAAGACCCCAGCCAGTACGATGCCTCCATCAACCTGCAGAATGTTCAGATTTCCGACTCGGCAACTTATGAATGCAAGGTGAAGAAAACCACAGTGGCCACCCGCAAGGTGACCGTCATGGTGCTAGGTGAGTCCTACTGATGCAGAAAAAGGGACTGTGGCCCCATGGCAAAGCAGGAGGTCCAGGACTGCTCTGGTTTTGAGGGACTTGCCTTGCTTTGTAGAGTCATATGGCTGGGGCTGCAGGATGCTGGAATGGATGCCTCGCCTCTTTGTATGTTTTGTGGAAATGTTGTGGATAGTAGGAGAGGATATATTGATTAAATATTATCCTTCCTCACTCACGCTGGTGAGTCAGTAGCAGATACATTGCCCAGTATATAGCAGGAAGCTAGTTGGAAGATTCGTTTGAATCTCTTTACTTAAGCAATCCAATCTGGCTTGCTTAAGTGGTAACTCCTCTTAAAAAGAATAAAGACACAACAGTCTTCTTTAAAAGTAATGATAAGAAGTTTACTTACATTCCGTTCACAGCAGGTTCCCTGAAGGCAGGCTTTAGCTTGGAGTTACAGAAGAGAGTTTGAGTGGGGATTGAGCTCATGTGCAGCTGGCTGAGAGCCAGCAGACAGCAAAATACACCAAGAGATCAAGACATCAAAGAGTCAAAAGAGAAAGATGGCTGTGCGACTGGCCCTTTTACAGGGTCTCCCAGGGTCACGTCCATCTACCTGGTCACACGCAGGGGGAGGATGCTCCAGACCAGGTGTGACAGGAAGTCCTCCTGGCTGGATTAACATCCCCCTGTATGTCCACTCTGGGCAAACAGGAAGTGTTGTACTTGACTGCTTGTGCTACATCCCACATGTTGGTGGGCCTTGGCTCCTATGGCTCACGTACTGGCAGTGCCAGAGTCTCTCGGAGCCATCCCACATTCTTCATTCCTTCCCCCCACCTCCTTTTCTTCAGACTTACTAACTGAGAACATTTTCTCTCCCTTCCATCAGCGAGACCATCCAACCCACAATGCTCAGTTGTAGGCAAGGTAGCCTTGGGCCAGAAAGTCACCCTGAGCTGCTCCTCAAACTCTGGCACTTCCCCACTCATGTACCAGTGGGCCAAAGTCACAGATCGCCCTTTTGCGAACTGGCTCTCCGCTACCACCACTAAAGGTAAGAACCAGGAATTAATGGAGAGAGATGCTGGGATGCCCAACATTTTGCTTGCTGCTGTGGGGCGGCAGGTCAACATTGTGAATGAGGAACCTCAAGCCCTGGGTACTGACTGCGGCCCTCCAGGCCAGTCTACCTGGCCCTTGGGCTTCTTGTCTTTCGCTTGTGTGGATGGAAGAAAGAGACGTGTATGTAGAAACTAGCCTAGGTGAATTTGCATCCATTGCTCCACCCACTTTTGCTTCTGGCTCCTCCCACCCACCCATCTCTGGAAGTAATGCAGCCTTCCAGGTGAAAATGGCCCCCCACCTCTGGAGTAGAGGAAAGATGCTTGTACAGGAAATGAAGCAGAGGAGAAATTGCAAGGTGAAAAATGAATTTACAAAATCCTTGGGTTAAGGGAAGCAATGAAAGCAAATTAGGGATAAAGACTGCATACTAAAACTGCTGAACTTGTCACACATTTGGGCCTGAACAAATGCAACAGCTACATATTTCATTACAGGGGTGAGTTGGTCACAGGCTTAACTTTTTGGCCAATCCTATTTCCATATGTCTCCTACATCTTTCTCCCCTCCCCCAATTTAGCTAGATAGATACATGTGTACACACACTTCAGATTACATTTCATGCATCTGGTACAATGGACTCCACTCCACAAACACATGTGCCGTAATCAACAAAAGGTAAAGTCATACAGCCGTAGGTTGGAAGTTGAACGGAATCCATTCCAGAAGTCCATTCAACTTCCAAAACGTTTGGAAACTGTTAAGTTGTGGGTGAACATATCAGACGACACAGCGATTCTTCAAACAGCTCTTGTTTATTCAGAGGCCAGAACAGAGCTGAACTGAAGGGCTCAGTCAGCATGCTTATATAGAGCTCCAGTACCACGTTACTGTAACAACTTTCTAAAACTATCCAATCACTGAATGTCACTTTCGATCCTTCATTTGCATAACTATCTACAGTATCCCCCTGCTGGCCCAGGGTGAGAACTTCAGTACATAACAAAAACCAAATTGCGGCTTCTGATTGACTGAAGGAAGCTCCTGCAGCCAATCGGAAGCTGCGGAAGCCCTGTCGGATGTTCGGCTTCCAAAAATAGTTCACAAACTGGAACAGTCACTTCCGGTTTGCCGCGTTCAGGAGCCAAAACGTTTGGGAACTAAGCTGTTCGAAAACCAAGGTACCACTGTATTTGGTCTTGTGCAAAGCTTGCCTGGCTCATCTTGAGGTCATCGTGGAGGAGTGTAACCCAGATCAATGTGAGCTTATAGTAACTGGGTTTTTCCTGGATTTTCTCTCTCTCAAGGCCCAAATCCCGGTGACCTGATCATTCAGAACCTATCCAATGACCACGCTGGTGTTTACCAGTGCAGTGTGGCCAACAAAGTCGGATCGGCCAGGTGTGTTGTGGAGATCTCCTTCTCAAAGGGTAAGAGATTAGCATTTTTCATTTTGTCCAAATACCAAATCTCATGCTTGTCTGGCAGAGTCCGAAAAGCAAGTTTTATGCACGGAAAGCCCGCAAGCAGGACCAGTAATTCTCCTCCCCTGCAGTTTCCAGAAACTGGTCTTCAGAAATAATCACCTTCAGAAGTTTCAAGGTCTTGCAGAGAACTCCAGGGGAATCCTCCATCTTGGCTTCTGGACTCATTCTCCATATGCTCCTGCCTTTATTTTAAATTTTTGAAATCGCAGACAAATTTGGGAAATGTAATCAGGGTAGATGACACCTAGTAGCTGCCAGTCAATCAAAAGCCATCAAGCTTAGCATCTCCTAGCCATTCCATCTCAGCTCAGTGTTCTCCATGGTCTTCTCCTCCCTTGCAGAGTCCAACCGAGTGAGCATCGTCGTGGGAGTAGTCCTTGGCTCTCTGCTCTTCCTGACCCTCCTGGTGTGTCTCATCGTGGGGCTGATCTGCTGCTGCAGGAAGAGGCGTTACAAGGAAGAGGCCAACCAGATCAGGTGACTAGAAGCAGGAGGAATATATGAGAGGAAGGGGTTTATGGGGGTGGAAGGTCTGCGTCGTAAGCCTCTCGTCATTAAGCCGCTTCCTGCTGCAGAACATTGAAGGGGGGGTCTTCATTCCATGGAGGAAACCTTAGGTCCAGGGGCCAAATGTGGCCCTCCAGGCCTCTCTTTCTGGCCCTCAATACTCTCCCAAGGCCAAGCTCCCTTACCCAGCCACATCCTCTTTCAACAGCCCTGCTTGGCATCCTCTTTGAGTGCTTTTGCCTAGTTGGAAGGTGTCCTTAAATTCTGATAATTCTTCTGTTTTGCCTAGATGAAGGAGAGAGTGGGGTGTGCACAAATCTAGCCACAAATCTCAACCTTTGGCTCTGGGACTTGAGTTTGGGGGTTCAATCTCAGATCTTTGGGGCTCTGGTGACTTCATCTAAGCATGCAGGACAGTTGCTCCAGACTCGTGATTCCGTATTAGCTAAGTGCTGCTGACTCCCAGTTTTTCAAAAGCCAAGCCAACAAGCCACCTTTGGAAAATTTTGATATCTCCATGGTAGTTTTTGTTATGTGAATGGTGCCACGGACCCCCCCGGGTGGGTTATGCAGACCCCCTGGGCTCCACGGACCACCGATTGGGAACCGCAACGCTAGACAGAAGCCTAATATTGTGCTCACTCATGCACATGCAGCCCCCACAGTTAAAAATAGGTAACTGTGCACTGTGCGCAGGACTAGTCGATTGCCCGGGCTGTACTGTGGTTAGCATGATGGGCCAGAGAAACACATGAGGGTAGGGAAAGTGCTTTAAACAGTATTTCACTCATCATTTTTTAGATTCCGCCCCCCGCTCTGTGAAATGGGGAGGGTTGGAAGGCAGATTTTCCAATTGAAAAGGGCACTCGGATACTGCAGGTGGCCCTTCCCATTAGAAGAGGCACCCAAAATTAGCCGGGGAAATCGACCATTAGAAAGTGCTATACAGTGGTGCCTCGCAAGACGAAATTAATCCGTTCCGCGAGTGTCTGCGTCTAGCGGTTTTTTCGTCTTGCGAAGCAACCCTATTAGCGGCTTAGCGGATTAGCACTATTAGCGGTTTAGCGGCTATTAAAGGCTTAGCGGCTTAGCGGCTTAGCTGCTAAAAGGCTATTAAAGGCTTAGCGGCTTAGATAAAGGGGGGGAAAGCGAAAAAAAAATCTCAAGACTCGCAAGACATTTTCGTCTTGCGAAGCAAGCCCATAGGGAAATTCGTCCTGCGAAGCAACTCAAAAACGGAAAACCCTTTCGTCTAGCGGGTTTTCCGTCTTGCGAGGCATTCGTCTTGCGGGGCACCACTGTAACTGCACTTTCCTGTAGTCCATCCATGCTGACTCTAATGCTTTAATGCTTGCATCACAGTTTATTGTACAGTCGTACCTTGGAAGTCAAACAGCATCCGTTCTGGAAGTCCATTCAACTTCCAAAACTTTCGGAAACCAAAATGCGGCTTCTGATTGGCTGCAGGATTGGCTGCTTCCAAAAATAGTTCACAAACCAGAACGGTCACTTCCAGGTTTGCGACGTTCGGGAGCCAAAACATTCGAGAACTAAGCTGTTCGAAAACAAAGGCACGACTGTATTATGTTTCTTCTTATTTAAAAAATCATTTGTTTCCTTTGTAAGCTGGCCTGAGCTGCAATTGTTGTTGTTAGAAATGATAACTATATAAAGAAATTAAATAGTGAAACAGAGAACTCTTTCCCCTCGCAGGGTTGACACGGTGCCCCCAAGAGCCAGAGGTGGAAGCCGAAACAGCAGCATACGATCCGTCCTGGACTTCGTGCCCCACAATATCAGCTTTATGCAGCGCCGGAAGTACGGCTCTCCCAAGGAGCAGGAAGGCACCGAGATGATCTCCCCGGCCCAAGAGGCGCAGCCTGTGGATTGCAGCGGCGTGAAAAGCGAGCCCCACCGTGGCGGCTGCTCGACCACCGTCACGACAAAGGCCAGGGTTCACTACGCTCCTTCTGTGCCTTCCTCGCCCCAGGCGACGTCTTCACCATCAGCTGCTGGCCCAGATAATGGAGGAAGCTGCTCCATCACGTCCGAGAAGGGAAGGCGAAGCCATCCTGGGCAATATGGAGGCGTTGCTGTGATGGTGCCAGCCAAGAGCAGAGATGGCCTTTTAGTATAGACTGCCGCACCCGATGGTCCAACAGAACATTCCTGAACTGTGTGCTGGACGCATTTGTGCGCCGTGAATGGATTTCAAGTGCAGCCACCAGAGGCAAATGACATAATGATTTCATTTATTTCACAAAATCCCTGAACCACTAGATTGTAATAAAACCTCTAAGTGGTTAGGTCTTTTCACGCTGGGATGGGGAGCTTTAGGCCTGGGGGCCTTGAGGCCTCTCTGGCCCTCCAAATCCTCCCCATTCTGACTCTGCTTAGCACTCTGAGTGTCTTTGCCTATTTGGAATGTCTCCTTGAACTCTTTCCAAGATGGAGGGTGGGTTGTTTGTGGTTGTGTGTAGAAACTAGCCTACTGTACCAAGGTGAAATTTACACTAGTTGCTCGGTCCACGTTTGCCTCTGGCCTCAGCCACCTCTGGCCTCAGCCACCACTGGCGTACGGGCATAGAAAGGTTGTCTACAAAAGGAAAGCAGATCTCGGGCTCAGAAGGGTTCCTCCCTCCTGCCCTTTTGGGAAGGAAGTTATAACTTCTGCCCTACTTCTGCCATTCCCCATTGCTGTCCTCAAAGACCTGGGCCAGACAAGCCCTCCAAGTGGTTCAATGCTCACAGAAGTTCATCAAGTTTAAACCCTCTCTGAATTTTTGAAAAATCACGAAAGACCTTTTCGTTCTACCATACACTTGTGACAGGCTGGTTGCAACCTTCGACATTGTTTCTGCTCCAGATTATTTGGACTGATTGTACATTATATGCTTTTATGTATTTAAATATGACTGAATGTAATTATTTGCTGCAGCCCACGTTTGTAAGAAACGAGGGCTTCCCTTAATTTAACAAATAAATGATTAAAATAAATGACCAAGGAGCTTCTTTTCAAATCGACAGGTGAGAACGGTGAAAAGCAGCGAGCAGCAAACCAATGCATTAATGCATCGACAGAATTGCTTAATGTTTCCATGTGTCAGGGACTGGCTGGATGAACTGGGGTAGTGGAAGGCAACAGCCAGGGAAACCCCAGAGGAGGAACGCTCAGAGCCAGGGCTTCATGGTGGGACACGGAGGAGAGGCCGGAGGAAGGATATAGGGAGGAGGGATGCTAAAGGGGCAACAGGGTTTAGTGAGCAGGAAGAGCCTGTGACAGGGAGCAGTTCAGACTCTGAGGCTGAAGCCGGGTCAAGAGGCTGCTGAAGAATCAAGCTCCTTTGTGGGTGTTAATGCTCTGAGCCCCTCCATCCTACGCTCTGGTTACATTTATGTGTAAATAAAACCATATCTCCTAAAGATGCCACAGTCTCCGTTAATCTTCATTCCAAGGAAACTGAGGCCTGTGTAAGCACTGGAAGCCTTGAAGTTTCTTGCCACTCAAAGATTGGTGTGGCCTGAAACAGCATTTATGCTGAACCAATGAGAGCCAGTGTGGTGTAGTGGTTAAGAGCGGTAGATTCGTAATCTGGGGCACCGGGTTCGCGTCTCCGCTCCTCCACATGCAGCTGCTGGGTGACCTTGGGCTAGTCACACACTCTCAGCCCCACTCACCTCACAGAGTGTTTGTTGTGGGGGAGGAAGGGAAAGGAGAATGTTAGCTGCTTTGAGACTCCTTCAGGTAGTGATAAAGCAGGATACCAAACCCAACTCTTCTTCTTCTTCTTCTACCAATGGTCTGCCTCATATCAAGGCAGACTCCTTCTATCAAAGGTGTGTGGATCTGTTTTAACGTTGAATGGTTTTACTGCCAATATATTCACCAAATCATAACCTCTCTCTTTTTTTTTTTTGGCAGCCTTGAGGAAGCAATTGGCAAATATAATAATAATAATAATAATAATAATAATAAATTTATACCCCGCCCATCTGGCTGAGTTTCACCAGCCACTCTGGGCGGCTCCCAATCAAATGTTAAAAACAGTACAGCATTAAATATTAAAAACTTCCCTGAACAGGGCTGCCTTCAGATGTCTTTTAAAGATAGGATAGCTGCTTATTTCCTTCACATCTGAAGGGAGGGTGTTCCACAGGGTGGGCGCCACTACTGAGAAGGCAAAGTCAGTCCCCCCCCCCAATATTTTGGTATATGTTGCCCATCTGACTGGGTTGCCCCAGCCGCTCTGGGCGGCTCCCAACAGAATATTAAAAACACAATAAATCATCAAACATTAAAAATATATATCATGTCTATTCTTAGGGCTGGCAGTGAGTCAGTTTATGCCTCTTAGTTTAACATCAAAACCTCTGTCAACGGTGAAACCCCGCCAAATCTTGGCAAGCAACCTTTGTTTATTATTTGCCTGATTCATATGTTGCTCCTTCCAAACCAGAGTGTTGCCACCCTCTGGGATTGGCCCATATATTATTACCAGCTTACTCTTTTGCAAAGCAAACAGTGGCTACTCTTCCTTTTCTGCAAGATCCTCATTTGTTTGCACATGTGGGTGGATGTTTGTGTAAGCCTAAACGCACAGACATCCTGACCCACTTACCACATGTGTATGTGGGGAGCTAGGCCAAGGGATGGCAACTACGGCCTGTGGGGACTCTCACTTCTGCTGCTCACCTATGCCATGTCTGAGGCAACAGCTGTGGTCACAGTTCTGCACACCCACCCACACCCACACCCACAGGGTTGGTTTTTACAGCCCAAGTCCCCATCAAGTCAGAGATACAAATGGAGTCTACCTTAGCAAGGCAAGCTGTTGATCTTTATTGGTCTGTTACAACAAAGTCTCCTTGCTCCTTTGCAATGAGGTGCCCAGAACAAAGGTGTGTGACATATTTTTAAACCTCAGAAATTATCCACCTGCCCCTTGACAGAAGGACCACCCCAAAAATGTCTCAGATACATCACAAAATGGGTTGTGCTTGTGCATGTGAATTAGATCATGCTCAGACTGTCATGTTTCTCCAACACATTTGCAAGTCCATCCATCAAGACGCCTGGCAATACCTGATATTAATTGCCCTTCCTGTCTGAGACTTCCTTTTGAAATGATGAATACCTTGACTCCAGAATCCATTGACACAGACCTGTCCCCATTCACGTACATAAGATACCATTTCGGCGTCTGCTTGGATATTTGTTGACACTTGTTAAACCAGTTCCACAGAGGGGAGGCTCAGGAAGAATTTCCTGTAATGTGACAAGAGGGGTTGCTGAGGTCAGCTAAGGGCTAAACGTGGCCTCGTTTTTTGCTCTGTATAGTTTTCTGGCTGTGAGAGTATTATGAGCTTGGTGTGGGGCGCATTTATCTTCTACATGCACTCCATATGGGCATGTGCGTATGTGTTTAAAACTGAATAACAGTCACAGGAGCCCCTTTAAATCTTGCTTGAGGATCGGTCTAAGATTAAGGTGAGATGCTTCCCTGTTGCTCAGGGATGCAATAGAAACATAGAAATTTTTTTTTAATTTTTATTCAAAATTATAACAAGACATATTATCCAAAAACATATCATCCTTGTTTCCCCCCCCCCCCCACCTCACCCCACCCCCCCGACTTCCCTCAGTTCCAGTCTTTGGTTTCTCTAAGAATGCTGTTTTCTGCATGTTACAAAGTTGTATAGATCCTCAAATTATTTAGCTGATTATTATGAATAAAAAGTTTGTGAATGTTTCCCTAACTGCACTGGTGTTGTGTACTATCTGTACATCATCTTCATGTAATTCTCCTTCAATAGGGAACAATCTGTAAATTTTAAGTCAGTTTTCCATAATTTAACCCAATCTTCCATCATAATGTTGTGACCTTCATCTGTGCCAATCATAACTGATTTTACCTATTCATCTTTCGTCTCCCATTCTAATAGTATGCTGTATGCGGCTTTCAGTAGTTTCACTTTCCCTTCAATCACTTCCGTTTGAAACCTAGATCTAGTATAACTAAATCCTTTCTTGGAAACATAGAATTTTAGAGCAGGAATGCTCCTGGAGGTCATTTATTCTGACTGCAGGAATGACAATGCAGGGCTATAATATTAGGGAAGGAGTGTAACTCAGTGGTAGAGCTCCTTCCTTGCATACAAGAAGTCCCAGGTTCAGTTTCCAGCATCTCTCGGTGGGGCTGGGAAAGATTCCTTGTCTGAAACCCTAGAGAAAAATGAGAAACTGAGAGAAACCCAAATAGTCCCATCCCTAGTTGTGACCTGATTCAGATCCACTGAGCTCCAGCAAGTGGATATCCTTTGCATATCCTTTGCATCTTCAGATCTGATAATCTATCAAGTGTCACCAGACTCTTGGGGCACTGCCAGACTGCCGCCACTGTGGGGTGCGGTTCAGTTCAATCGCATATTGACAAATTCAGGTGGCACAATCAATCTTGATTTGGAGGCCTTGCATTCTAAATCCACGCCCCCACAAACTGGACTTCCTTGCAATCTGCAAAATGATTAGGAGATACACTGGACTGTGTAGGATGCTCTCCAGGCCAACAAAACCAGAATGAATGAATGCTCGATAAAGAGCTGAGATCGCTGGGCCTCCTTGCAAACACTGTGCAAACAAATCAGGATTTGTGCCCCACAAACAGGTTAGCAGGATGTGACTTTACTTGCTTAAAACAAACTGTTAGTGTTGTTTTAATACTGTGTTTCAAACACTAAGGCAGTCATTTAAAAGGTCAGACTCAACGCATGCTTCATCTGACATTGTTTTTCTTTTTCTTTCAGAAATGACCTGGCAATTGCCACCTTAGGTTTTGAAGCATAGCGTTAGGTGTGTGAAGAAGAAAGCACCACCGATCCGCTTGTTGAGAGGGCAGTATTATTATTTGCCTGTTGCAGCACAGGTCACAGGTGAATGTGTGTTTTCAGTTTCACAATCAGTTTTGTCGGTCAGAAGCCCATTTCATCCTCTTCTTGTCTGTGGATCCGCCCCGCCCCCCACAAAGTGCATGCAAAAATTGCGTTTACATTGTACACACTTTTCCCTAACAGTGTTATAGGTTTGCATTGTATGTCTTGGTCTCGATTATATCTGTGGGTCCTTTCCAGGCCTCTGATTCTCTACCAAGGGGGCTTAGAATCTAGTAGAAGAGGCTACTGAACTGGCCAGGCCAGTTTTTTTATAAGAGAATGGCCGTAGCTTCCTAGCTAAGTATCACCATTTACATGTCCAAAAAGGCTGCTCTGTTGCCAAAGAGACAAATGAGATTAATCCTCCCCCTCCCCACCTAGCTGGAAGCAGCATCACTTTGTAGGGACAGAGAACAATAGGCAAAGGGGCTGTGCTGGAAGCTGGATACACAAAGGCTGGTCATGTTCTGGGCCGCACCCAAAGCTTTGGCTTAAGGATCTCCCTGGGAACCTAATGGGAAGGTAATATCTGTTGGCGTATTACCATAATTCTGTGAGACCCTCCATCCTTTGCTTAGGTAGTAAAAAGGTAAAGGGACCCCTGACCATTAGGTTCAGTCGTGGCTCTGGGGTTGCGGCGCTCATCTCGCTTTATTGGCCGAGGGAGCAGGCGTACAGCTTCCGGGTCATGTGGCCAGCATGACTAAGCCACTTCTGGTGAACCAGAGCAGTGCATGGAAACACTGTTTACCTTCCCGCCGGAGCGGTACCTATTTATCTACTTGCACTTTGAGGTGCTTTTGAACTGCTAGGTTGGCAGGAGCAGGGACCAAGCAACGGGAGCTCATCCCATCGCAGGGATTCGAACCACCAACCTTCTGATCGGCAAGCCCTAGGCTCTGTGGTTTAACCCACAGCGCCACCCACGTCCCTGCTTAGGTAGTATATTTGTGTAATTCCTGAAGGCGCCACAGCCATTGATCTTTATCCCAAGGAAACCAAACTCTAGAGAGGGGCAAACATCCCTGACAGCTCTCACTGCTCAGAGACTGGGTTGCAACGAACAATATGTACTTTGAGTTGTATCTACTTAAGCTCTACTCAGAGAAGACCTATCATATGCTAGTCATGTTCATTTAATGTCACTGGGGCTCCTCTGAGTAGCACTTAAATTGAATAGAACACTTTGTATAACCCCGCCCCACAACACACACATTGAAACTTGTTTTACTTTTCATATCTGATTATCCAAAGAATGGGGAAATGTGGATTAAATGGAGAGCGAATGCATAGGTTGGAGTTTTTCTTCATTGCAAGGGGTTGGACTAGATTACTTTTGGGGGTCCTTTCGAACTCTACAGTTCTGTGATTTTGATGAAGTGACACTTGCATGCTTAGGTAACAGCAAATCCACAGCAAACTTGTGTATGAATGAAACCTTGGTTTCGGCGCAACACAACAACATGGCTACTACTGAAGTGATAATTAAAGGCAGATGATTTATTGAACCACAAAAATATTCAAGAGCCTAGTGCATTTTTTAGGCTATACAGCCCTCCTTCAGGGAAATATCTCAGAAGCAATTAACAATCCTTATTACATTTAATTGAAGGGAACTAACCATATACACATTTTTAAAAACACGCACACACATACACACAGAAGGATAATGATGATACTCAAGTATACAGTTACAAAAATCCTGCATCTTGAACTGAAAAGGGCTTCTTAAAATAAAAAAGAACATTCATTCTCAAAAGCATTTTAAAATGGCGAAATGGTTTCCAAACATAACAATTTACTAACAGAAACATTTGTTCATGTGCTCTGTCTTGCGAAGGAGAGGGTGTGATCTCTTTGGAATCCTTGTATGGCAAGAGAGGACAACACTTTTTTGTCAAGAACCGCATTCCCTTGCGAGTAATTTGATGGGGCTGTTTTTTTCCTGTGGGTGCGGCCAAAGCCAACAGTGGGCAGGATCAACTACTCTCTCCCCTCTCCATTTTTTCTCTCCCTTTGACATCCCCTTCTCTCTCTCTCTCTCTCTCTCTCTCTCTCTCTCTCCTACCCCCTCCCCAGGCCATGAGGGGACGGGCACATTGTTCCTTACCAGAAGTCTCAAGCTATTCCTTGCATAGGACTTTTGAAATTAGACTGATGGTCACATAAAATTAGACTGAGGACTGCAAGTGGACCTATGGACCTATGGATGAAGGTCACCCGTTCCTGGTGAATGGAACTCCAAAGACAAAAAAAGACAGCTGCAGTAGTAAATTTAAGAGCAACATTTAACTGTGGAGCTATTTATTATTTTTCACCTGCCGCTGTAATTGACCCTCTCTATTTCTGCGTGCGAAACCACCTCCATTCTTTGGAAAAGAAGGGATGGGAAACCACAGACCCAGAGGTCAGATGTGACCCTCAAGGCCTCTCTGCCTAGCCCTCAAAACTCTCCCCAGGTCACACCATTCCTGAGTGATTTTGCCAGGGCGGAATGTGACTTTGAACCCTGATAATACCTCTTACTTGCATGGAGGGAGAAGTGAGTGAGCTTAGTGTGTGTGTGTGTTTAAAAAGTAGCCTACTGTTTTACATTTGTCCCTACCCCCTCCCAAACCCCCACAGTTGCCTCTGGCTCCACCCACCATGGTCACACGGCCCTCAGAAGGTTGTCTGGCAGGAAATGCGGCCCTTAGACTGAAAAATTGATTCCTTGCCCCTGATTTAGAATGGCATATGCACAGCTGGGATACTGTTCTATGAACATTTACCCAAAAGCGAGCTCCGCTGAATTGAGTGGGACTTGCTTTTGAGTAAATATGCAAAAGGATCAGGCTATTAGAAGAGTTTGTATTCCACTGCCGTAGAAAGTGTGCTTAGGAAAACAGGACTGTTACAAATGCCATTCTGTCGTTTAACTAATACTGTTATCGTTTCATATTGTGCTCTTGTTTTCTGAGAAGCATTCATTCATAAAAACAAAAACAAAAACAAAAAAAGCTGCTAAAATAACAAGCCTAACTCTAATAATACTCAGCATTTGTATGGCGCTTTTGCGGGATGAAAGCATTCCTCATACATCGTCTTGTCATAATACTTACAACTACAGTCATACCTCGGGTTACAGACGCTTCTGGTTGCGTTTTTTCGGGTTGTGGACCGCCAAAACTTGGAAGTACCGGAACGGGTTACTTCCGGGTTTAGGCGGTCGCGCATGCACAGAAGCGCTAAATCGCACTTTGCGCATGCGCAGAAGAGCCAAATCGCAACCCGCACGTGCACAGATGCACAGACATAGGTTACAAATGTTGTGGGTTGTGAACGTGCATCCCGTACGGATCACGTTCGCAACCCGAGCGTCCACTGTAATAATGTTTTGAGCACTTAAATTGGGGGTGCTTGCAAAAGCCAGCTCCCTCATTAGAAGACTCACTACTGGAACTCAGGCAAGCAGGCTTGCCTCCAACCTGCCCTTGCCCCAGAGGTCCAGAGACTTAGTTTGGGGTAAGGAGGAGACTAGTATCAGTACCAGAACAGGGAAAGAGTACCAGATGTGGCCCGCAGGCCAGATCCTCCCTTCCCCTCCCCTTGCGGGCCAACTTTGACAGTTAGGAAGGGCTGGCCACCTGCCAATCACCTGAAATAATGATGATGCCGACTGACAACTTGAAAAAGGCTCACCTTTGGAGTCCATTTGGGCTGGATAAAAACAGCTTGGAACTGGACTTCAGAAAGCGAGACCTTTCAGCGCTTATCAGCTGATGGGCACCAAGAGACATCGCTTTGAAATCCCTTCACAGGGGACTTCAATAAAAAATGCTTGCAGACAGATTTCAAAGTGATGGCAGTCTCATGCCATGTCGGGAGTGGGTACGTGGGTGTAGTTTGTGGGGGGAGGAAATGGCCTCGTGGGTCAGAGATTCCCCACCTCTGCCAGTCACATGCCCATCACCCCCAGCAAGAAAAGGGGGATATTTGCATCGTTTCCACAGGGAAAAGAGCCTCCAAGAGAAAATGCTCTGGTGGAGCTCTGGGGAACCCTCTGCCACGGCCTTCCCTGCTCCCAAATTTGGTTTGGGTTGGGTCTAAGGGAGGGGAAGGTGACAATGGTGGAGGCAAAACCCTTTTTGGGTTGAACTTCAGGATGCATACCTTCCTATGGAAAGGAGGCCAATATATTAGGATAATTCCAATGGTGCCAATAATGGGGCTGAGGCAGAGGGGCAAACTTTGAAGGCTTAAAAAAAAAAGTGCCTTGGCCTCCCTCTCACTCTAACAGTGAGAGAAGGTTTATTCTCATGGGGAGCCATTACTCCTTCCCATTCCTATTCAGCCAGAGTGGAAGTCCATACATTGTCAGGGCTGGGCTGCAGGCAAGTGTCTAAGGTGAGCCAGGAACCAAAAGTCATAGGACAAGCCAGTAATCAAGACCAAAGAAGGGGAAATGAGGAAACGGAGTCAAGGAGCAAGCCAAAGGTCAAGGCCAAAGGTCAAATCAGGAGACGGGGTCAAGGAGCAAGCCAAAGGTCAGGGCCAAAGGTCAAATCAGGGAATGGAGTAGGAAGCCAGAAGTCAAGACCAAAGAATAGCCAAGGATGCTCAGGAGGTCCTCATTGTTCAAGGCTCAGCTGGGACAGGAAGCATCTTTGCACTCCTTCCTGCCCTGAAGGATCCAACAGCTAGCCTGGGTGGGCAGAATCAGAGCAGTACCAGAAGGTTCTTGATGGCCTGCAGTTCTGTGATTCACCACACGGGACGGCGGCACACAGACAGATCCCAACAGCGGCCGGTACTTGTAGACATACATGAAGATGGGAGGCCGGCTGATGAGTTTGATCTCCAGCTCCGAATGAGAAGTCGGCAATATCTATCCCCAGCCCCAGTGGTGCGTCATCATTCCCTGTCCCACCCCCCTCCCCTCCGCCCGGCATCTGCCTCATATCAAAAGTCCTTCTTTGCTTGCAGACCGCATCATGACTACGGTGCCCTTGTAGGGCCTGGTGTTTCCATCCTGCCAGCGGATGCAGCCGGGATCCGAGGCGGGCGTGGAGAACTTCTGCGGCTCGGAGTAGATCTGATGCCTCGGACTGGAGCCTTTGTAGTTCTCCCCCTTGATGTATCCAGGAACAGAGTCGATTGCTGCGGGATAAGCATCCTTTCCTTTAGCGGGGTAGTAGTGCTCAGAAACATCTCCTTGCTCCGAGCTGGGGGGAGACGGGATTTCGGGGGCCAGGACGACGCTCACATCGCTGTCGGGGGGAGACGTCATCTTCACCTGAACGATGGGGGAGGCGTACTTGCGGCACTGCGTGTACTGGCCAGTCCGCGTCTGGTAGCCGCCAAGCAGGGAATGGAGGCTGCTTGCGCGACTGAACGCCTGGCTGCACGGTCTGCTTGGAGGAGCATCGGCATCCACACTGCAAGAAACAGGATTGGGGGGGGGAGGCAGGGGGGAACCACAAATCAGCTCAGGGTTAGGTGAAACGTGTGTCTCCTGCAACAAAATGTTGCAGCACAGGGGCTTTCATCCTGACAAGCGTTCCAATCGGCCAGCAATGTTCCATTTCATGAGAGTGGGCACAAAGGAGGCTGCTTTAAAGAATCTGGTTTTACCTCAGGGGTCAGCAAACTTTTTCAGCTGTGGGCTGGTCTACCATCCCTCAGACCATGTGGTGGGCCAGACTATATTTGGCGGGGGGGGGAGGGGAATTAACGAATTCCTATGCCCCACAAATAACCCAGAGATGCATTTTAAATAAAAGCACACATTCTACTCTTGTAAAAACACGCTGCTTCCCAGACCGTCTGCGGGCCGGATTGAGAAGGCGATTGGGCCGCATCCGGTACCCGGGCCTTAGGTTACCTACCCCTGTTTTAGCTTATTGTTTATCTCAGTTCTTCCTTCTGAATGTTTTAAACGCTTGCCTCACAGTAAAGCGATGGACTATGCTGAATCAGCAAATTTAACAGAAAATAAGAGAACTTAACGACAGCTGTCTTATGGAAGAATGGAAGCCTTTTTCGGATTACTTAAAGAAATACTGTAACATGATGAGTTCGCGAGCAGGATTTGAACCATGAGCAACAGAAAGAACTGGAGGTTATTGTAATTAAGGTTCTGGTATTCAAGAGCGACAACAGAGTGCAGCAAAGGGGTGGAATAAAAAACACCATGGAAAATGGAATGGCAACCCGATAAAACAAAAGGAAAAATTATTATGTATTGAAAGGTTTATGTGAAATTTGTAGAAATTTAATAAAATATATTTAAATGCCTGTTTCTTTGCAGTAATTTGAATATTTTGCTCTTTTTGTAATGTGCTTCTTACAATCAAACAGTATATACAATGTTGTGAAATCAATAGCAATAAATATATACTGAATGAGACCATTGGCCCATCTAGCACAATATTGCCTACACTGATTGGCAGCAGCTGTCTGGGGTTTCAGGCAGGGGACATTCCCAGCCTTACCTATAGATGCTGGGGATTGAGCAGGCACCTTCTGCATGCAGAGCAGATGCTCTACCATTGAGGCTCCGCTCCTTGCCTCTAACACACACTTCTGCAAACCACATCTTGTGGCAGGGAGTTCCATAAGTTAACTAGGTTATTGTTTTGCTACCCTGAATATGAGTCCTAGGGGCTGGTGTTGCTTTGAATACCAGCACTGCCTGTCCTGGGAAGGGACCTGCCTACCAGACCTGTATATTTGTGAATAATCTGTAATATCCGTGCATTATGAAGCCATTACAAGTGCCCATTTCTGTCTCCGCACAAGGAAATTGAGCCTCTTAATTGTTTCCTCTAACTGCTTGGAGAAGGGAGGAGCACAAAACCATTACAGTTGATTTAGGAACTCATAGCCTGCTCTTCCCATGCTCAGAGCAGTCCATTAACAATTACTCATAAAATTCATTTGTTTACTCCTGAATTCCCTGCTTGGGTTTTTGGGGGGGTGTTTCCTATTCATTCTTTTGCTCTGATTAACCTTGGAAGTCCCTCCCCCTTTTCTTCTACTCCCCTGGCTTGCTTTTAGAAATTATAGTGTGTAATTCTTCTCCGACGCCCCCACTTATTCCAACCCTTCCTTCTGAGATGTGAGAATGGAGACGAAATTTGATTCTGTTTGCTTTTAAAGAGTGAACTGGCCCACTTTGCACTTCCCAAAGCAATTCATGAACCAAATCACAGCCATCCTGTGATGTCTGCAATTCTCTGGAGTTTGCAGAGCCCTAACTACGGGAGCTGGTGGGGGGAGCTAGCCAGGTTTTTTGCCCCGGGAGAAGCCTCTGGGAGGCGCCCTTGAGCCTCTCAGCCTGTGTGTATGTATGCAAATATGCATGGGGGTGCTGCCAAATGGGGTCTTTGACCCGGGTGAAATAAAGCCTAGTCTCGCCCCTGCCTTGGGCTACAATACTCACCAGATCTCACTGGCTTTGGTCTCCTGGTATTCCTGCTTCGGCTCCTGAGTGCAGCCGGAACAGCAGCAGTCCCAGCAATAATCCTTCCCGCAGTAGCAACCCGGGCAACTGCTACACCAGTTTTTACCGCAGCAGCATGAACAGCACCAGATAATCCCCCCAATGATCAGGGCCAGGGCCAGGAGGGGGATGATGATGGATCCCGCGATGATCAAACCTCTTTGGTAACCTGCAACAAAAGGGCTCTTCAGTGACTCTTTCTCTCGCTCCCTAGTACAGTGGTACCTTGGTTCTCGAACGGCTTAGTTGCCGAACAGATCGGCTCCTGAACCCTGCAAACCCAGAAGCGAGCGCTCCAGTCTGCAAAAGTTTTTGGGAAGCCGAACATCCGACACGGCTTCTGCTTGAGTGCAGGAAGCCTCTGCGGCCAATCGGAAACCGCACCTTGGTTTTCGAACAGTTTCGGGAGTCGAACTGACTTCTGGAATGGATTAAGTTCGAGAACCAAGGTACCATTGTATTACAGTAGATGCGCTATTTAAGCCTGATTTACCTGCGAGATTACAGTTTTGTATGGTGGTGGGGAAATGAATGAATGAAGAGCAAAGGGGAGAGGAAACAGTCGGAAGGTGCTGTCTGAGATTTTGCGAAGACCCTACGAGATCTTGCATGACCTTCCCAGGTTTTGTTGCTGCGGAAAGAGACTGTAAGCCCTCCGCCTTGCTTACCCGGCTCTGAGAAAGTTGCGCAAAGAACTCTGTGGGGCTCCTACAAGATATTGTGGAGCCCTCTGAAATCTCAAAAGAGATCTTGTGAGATTTTGGACAGCCCCTATGGGAGGCTATCTCATTATCACCTAGCATTCCCATGAATCAATTTTCTACAAAAGTAAATAAAATATCTGCCGCCTCTCCTGGAACACCTTTCATGTTTATTATTTATTTAGCAGGATTTATATACTGCTAAACAAACAAACAAACAAACAAACAAACCAACACCCCTCGAAATGGTTTACATAAATGTTCATTAAAACAAACACCCCCAAAGCCCAACTTTAAAAACAAAACGTAATAAAATTTAATAAATTGCAATAAAAATGTAATAAAACAACATGGGCAGCTATGAAGCTGGTGGGATGTGGGATGGGGCACGTGCAGCCCTGTTTTTAAGTGGACACCCCCCCCAAAAAAAAAAAACAGGGAAAGTAGTGCTGAACAAAAATGCCCCCCATTCACTCTCCCACATACCTGTGCCAGTTTTGTCTGGATAAGTTGCCTTAGTGACAAACCTCGCCATCGCTTACCTCCGCCAAAGTAGATGTCCACGGAGCAATAGGCCACGCCAACGTTATTCCGCACACTGCACTGGTAGGTACCCACATGGTCTTCGCACAAATCCCTGATGTGGAGGTCTCCAGGGACAGAGCCTGCTTAGCAGAAACGAGAGTGTGAAGGGCTGGTTAAGTGGAATACTTCTGAGAAAGTCCAGAGAGCCGATCCTCTCCCAAGCCAGGTCCAAGGATGCCCCTATAGCAGTGGTGTCCAAACTTTTTTCAAAAAGGGCTAGATTTGATGAAGTGAAGGGTCGTGGGGGCCAACCAAAAGGCCGACCAAAGTTATTGACCTTTTTTTAGGATTGAAGTTTTTGAGCTTCTTTTAGGATTGAAGTTGTTGAGGTTTTTTTTTAAAGGATTTTACCCCAGGAAATAAACTGCCACAGGGGCCAGATTAAACCGACCGGCGGCCTGGATTAGGCCCCTGAAACGAACTTTGGACATGCCTGCCCTATAGTTTTCCTCCCCCTGGCCCCACTGTTGTCGTCACTCACCCATTGATCCTCCGGGGGGCATCCAATCCCTGAATTGATGTCCGTGCGTCATGGACCACTGGTAGGTGAGGGGCGGTGAGCCCGTGGAAGTGAAGCAGCGCAGTGTGACATCCGCCCCATAGGCTATCTCACCAATTATCGAGCATTGTGGGAGTAGGGGTCTTTCTAGATTGGCAGAGAGAAGACGTCAGTTTCCTACTACGGCAGGGAGCTACCAACCTTTCTAGATCAGCGAGCGTCATGTGCACACACATAGTAGACAAAACACACTCCACAGAAACCCATCTCTCACCCTTTAAAATATTAGGAAATATTCCTTGAGAAGAACCTCACATTTTGGCAAACAGAACAATCCCCAAAAGCCATTTTGACTCTCCCGAAATGACCTCAAATATTCCTCTGCAGTAGAAGGAAGGAAATGGGGGAAAGCTTTCCAATTGTCTTTTTGCTTGCAAATCCCGTCAACAAAACTGCCTGGAATCTAGGGGGTTTACCCACTTCCCGCAAATCCAAGTTTCTGTTAAACTGAGCAAACTGTCAATAGGTTGAAGTTTGTAAATAAGAGATTCAGGAACTAAAGTATTTACAATCTCAATGGAATGGTCAGGCTCCCCAGGAAATGCCATCAGTGACCATTATCAGGACCCTGGCAGACAGGATTTATGTTGTAGACCACCTCCTGTGATGTATGTATGATGCTTTTAGGGTGGTCTTTGGCTAAGGGGTTGGGCAATTTCAAAGGTCTTTAAAGGTTCCTGCACACTGGTCTCTCTTACCTCCTTACAAGGAGGTGAGGGAACTCTGTTGCAACAGAAAAATAAAGTTTTGCCTTGCTTTCACTGCATCCTGCCTCCATCCATTCATCTCTGACCGACTTGGGGAATCATTCCCTTGGAGAGTTGGGCAGCAAAATCAACCCCCCCAATTTTTCCGTAACAGTGGGCATATATGGATTTTTTGATGAGTGCTGTGGGTACTACCCTTTCTAGTCACCTCTCTCCCCCCATCCCTCCTGCATATAATTTGCACTCCACACCTGGTTGGATGCTACCTATTCATTCAAAGAAGGGGAACCTCAAGTCCAGGGGCCAACTGTGGCCTCTCAGGCTTTGCTAGCTCACTCTCAGCTTTCTCCCTCCCTGGCCCTACTTTGCACACCAAGGGCTTTTGCGGAGCAGGAATGTGTTCTTGAACTCTGATTTAGGGTTGCATCCCGTGCTAGTCCTACTCAGAGTAGACCCACTGAAATCAATAAACATGACCCATTTAGAATAATAGAATTGTAGAGTTGGAAGGGACCCAACACGAAGCTGTCTCGTACGGGGATCGAACCTGAAACCTTGACGTTATCAGCACCATGCTGCAACCAACTGAACTATGCAGGCATTCAACTTGGGTCCATTGATTTCAGTGGGTCTTTTTTGAGCAAGACTAGCATTGGATACAAGCCAATGCCTGCCTGGGCTGAGGAGAGAGAGGTGTGTGTTTGGAAGCTAGATAAAAATTGCATGCGTTGCTCCACCCACTATTGCCTCTGGCCCCCCACACCACTGGTAGTGGCCCTTGGAAGGCTGTCCTGGAAGGAATGTCACCCTCAGGCTTTTTCCCACCCCTGCATTAAAAGATGAGGATCTGCCCTCTGAAACATGCTTAAGGCTACAGTCTTAACCCCTCCTGTTAAGCAACACCACCATCACCCCAAGAATGGCACAAGAGATGAGGTCCACCTTGTACAGTGATGGTCACTTTGTGGCTGGCTTCTGTGGTCTTCTTCACCTTGCATTCGTATGTGGCTGAGTCAGTGATCTGCACGTCACGTAGTTGCATGGAGGCATCATACAGGCTGGGATCTGGAGAGATGAAACCCACCCGCTGCTGGAGATCAGGAGGTCCAGGGTAGATGACACGGTTATCATGGTAACTCAGGAGCTTGTGAGGAATCAGACAAGGAGAGGTTGATGGAAAACACATTGGACAGAGGAGAGTGGAGCTTTGTGCATTTTATGATGCTAGTCCTTATGACGGAAAAGTTATGTTTTGACATCAGCAGTGCCCACAGAAATCTCTGAAGCCAGAGGAGTGTGCTGAGTAATAGTTTTGGCACCTGACCTAGCCTAGCTCAACGAGAATCTTTTATTCAAACTAGTAAAAATGGCAAACTAAAGTAAGTCATGCAAATGTCCATCATTTGCATATTTTGTGCAGGTGGGAGAGAACAATTCCTTAGGGACATGGGATTTTGCTTAATTATTTAGTATTATTGTTATTTAACTGGGGGCAGAGGCTCTCTTCTACTCCCTGTGTGGTGACAGGATCGCAGAAAACAGCTCTTTGGAGACAACCAAACCAGTCTCAGGTTCTACTTGTGTGCACATTTCTTGGGTGCAGGACTCATGGAACTCTGTGGGGTTTACTTCTGACTTGCCATGTTGGCTTGGCCTGCAACACTCTCCTAGCAATGCAGGGATCTCAACGCTAAGGCGTTCCTCTCTTTCTCGAGCTGGGAGACTAAACCCAGCGACTTACAGATGCAACTAAATTACTAAACTGTAAACAGAAACACAATCCATCTCACACCAACGGGGAAGACTGTGACCAGGTGAATGGTTTGCCTGCTCAGTCTGCCGCCCAGATGCTCACTGTCAATAAGCATCTTCAGTGCCCCTGTTCTCCCTTTTTTATGTTTATACTGGGCTTGGACCAGGCAACTCTTCAAGAAGAGCAGGAGACTCCAACATGGCACCCATGAAAAGGCTGAATAAATATCCCCTCAAAAATCCACAGTGCTCTTCCTGCTCAGTCAGCCATTTTGTGACTGATGCCCACAACACTTCCTCAAAATAATAATTATAATAATAATTATTATTATACTCCACCCATCTGACCGAGTTGCCCCAGACACTCTGGATGGGGATTCTAAGTGTGCCGACAGGCCCCCCCCAAAACAAAATTGGTGACCCCTGAAGTAGCAGATGCCTTCCAATAAGAGGGCTGTCCTCCCTGAAGCAGAACCCACGATCACCCTACCAGCAGTCTCAGCAATCACTAGATGCCCATCTCTGCCAGGGAGACGGGGACACAGGGTTTGAAAACCACAAACTCACTGGGTAATCCTGGGGATGTGGACCTGGCTTCACTTGCTTCCATTCAATGTCCCAGCCATTGTCCGGAGTGTCGTCTTCTGGGTCTGATGCAAATGGGCACCCCAGCTTGACCGACTCCCCTTTGGGAAGGTAGATGATATCCTGCCCCTTTTCCTTGATCCTCACAGCAAAACAGGAAACTAAAAACAAAGAGCCACATAGCACATTAAACCAGGTCTTTTTTAAATTAAAAAAACAAACAAACAATTTTTATTGGTTTTTAAGCAAATACAATAACCATTAAACACTTATCCAGCAGTACAGTACAACTAATAGTGTTTGTTTTATCCATTGTTTCTAGACATAACACTTACACATTCAACATTCAAACATATTACTTAACATACGCTCTCCGCTGAGAATATTGAGCAGCTGGTGTAAGAAGATTTTAATTTTTGGTCATTAACATAGTCAAAGAAGGGGTCCCGTTTCTTGGAAGGTGTCTCTATTCATTAGGCTTTTAATTGCCCTCCTGTGTCTAGTGAGACCTTACTGTATCCCAGATAATATTCTCCCAGACTAAAACCAGGTTTTTTTCTACCAGAAAAGGTTTTGCAAAGTGTGGTGCCTTTCATAAGAATGCGGCAGAAGTCCACTACCACAGAATTCCTGACAGGCCATCCAGTCTGTGCTAGAGAACCTGTAATGAAGACCCACCAAGCTCTGAGCAAGACTCTGTTCCACTGCTGAAGGTATTGTCGGGAAGTTCTTCCCAACGTTTGTCAAAATCCACTTCCTTGCAATTTGAACCCACTGGTTTGTGACCTCTCTGAAGCAGCAGAATGCTATGAAGATGGCTATTAAGAACACAAGAGCCCTGCTGGATCAAGGCAAAGTGCATGCCAGTGAAACACTGCAGAAAGAGGCGCTGACGATGGCCACTAGCTTGAACAGCTTTACAAAAGGAGAATAATAATAATAATAATAATAATAATAATAATAATTTATTATTTGTACCCCACCATCTGGCTGGGTTTCCCCAGCCACTCTGGGCGGCTTCCAACAAAGATTAAAAATACATTAAAATGAAGAAAGATAAAAATAAAATCAGTTGAGGAAAAAGACAGGTTCTTGAAAGACCACAAGGAAGATCTACTGAAAGAAGTGGCATCTGAAGAAGAACCAAAAGGTATATTAGACATATCAAATCTATCTTTTGGATTGCACGGTCCAGAAAAGTGATACCCACAGACTAGCTGCCGCATTCTGGATTAGTTGTAGTTTCCGGGTCACCTTCAAAGGTAGCACCACGCAGAGCGCATTGCAGTAGTCCAAGCGGGAGATTACTAGAGCATGCACCACTGGCGAGACAGTCCGTGGGCAGGTAGGGTCTCAGCCTGCGTACCAGGTGGAGTTGGTAGACAGCTGCCCTGGATACAGAACTGACCTGCGCCTCCATGGACAGCTGTGAGTCCAAAATGACTCCCAGGCTGCGCACCTGGTCCTTCAAGGGCACAGTTACCCCATTCAGGACCAGGGAGTCCTCCACACCAGCCCGCCCCCTGTCCCCCAAAAACAGTACTTCTGTCTTGTCAGGATTCAGCCTCAATCCATTAGCCACCATCCATCCTCCAACCGCCTCCAGGCACTCACACAGGACCTTCACTGCCTTTACTGGTTCCGATTTAAAAGAGAGGTAGAGCTGGGTATCATCTGCATATTGATGGACACCCAGCCCAAACCCCCTGATGATCTCTCTCAGAAAGAAGCATCTACCAAGAAGAATGACACTGAAGACAGTATCAAGGATACTATCATATGGCTGCAATCATCCTGGAAATTGCAACGGTGCCCAAGAAAAAGCTGATACTACATTACAGAACAAGAACTGAGACTCAGCAGTTTGGCTAAAGTAACAGCATCTAATCATGGCATACGGGATATAAATAAAGAGATTCAAACCAGGAAATGGTGGGAGAGAGCTGGAGAGCCCCCATGGCTCACCAGGAGACCCTCCCTGCAGCCCAAAGAGGATGCCGTTGAGGGCGAAGGAAGCCCCAAAGAGACTGGAGGTGAAGTGGGGCTTTGTTTACACTGCTCAGCCTCCTTGCCTAGCAGCTGAGGTCCTTGGTAGCGCAGCCACTGCCACAGCCGCTTTTCTACGCATCATCCGGCCTCCAGCCAACCCCAGAGCTTCAGCTCTAGTTGAAGAGAGAGTTGTGTGGAGAGCAAGCAGGAAAAGGAGCTGGAGAGCAGGGGAAAACGGGCATTTAGAGGCTTTTTAGAGGGTGTGCTCCACTTACGCGATTTTCGCTTATGAGTGCGGGGGCCTGGAACTTAACCCCCGCCAAAGTGGGGGGGAATGGACGCCTATATACATCTGAGAACCAGTTGCTGGAAACCATAAGATGGGAGAGAGCTGTATTATTTTTTTTTTATTTATTAAGATTTTTTTAAAATATTACAAAAAAATAACAAAAATAACAAAAATACAAAATAAAAATAATTAAAAACACACAGATTTTCCATTACTTATTTTCCTTTAGCTTGTTTCCCGGACCTCCTCATACCTCCCTTTTTTGTATTCCACTTCAATCTGTTGGTTCAGCAAATCCTTACCCTCTTTAATTATCCTAATCTTTGATCTTAAAAATAATAGCATTAGATTTTTACCTATTTATAACCCTTTTTTCATATTCCCTTAAAGCATTACAGCTGGAAACCACTTAATTTCTATCCAACATCATTCTAACATTCATTAATTTTACAATATTTCTGTAGATAATCTTTGAATTTCTTCCAATCTTCTTCCACCGACTCTTCTCCCTGGTCTCGGATTCTGCCAGTCATTTCTGCCAGTTCCATATAGTCCATCAGCTTCATCTGCCATTCTTCCAAAGTGGGTAAATCTTGTGTCTTCCAATACTTTGCAATGAGTATTCTTGCTGCTGTTGTGGCATACATAAAAAAAGTTCTGTCCTTCTTTGGCACCAATTGGCCGACTATGCCTAGGAGAAAGGCCTCTGGTTTCTTCAAGAAGGTATATTTAAATACCTTTTTCAGTTCATTATATATCATTTCCCAGAAAGCCTTAATCCTTGGGCACGTCCACCAAAGGTGAAAGAATGTACCTTCAGTTTCTTTACATTTCCAGCATTTATTATCGGGCAAATGATAGATTTTTGCAAGCTTGACTGGGGTCATGTACCACCTGTATATCATTTTCATAATATTCTCTCTTAGGGCATTACATGCCGTAAACTTCATACCTGTGGTCCATAACTGTTCCCAGTCAGCAAACATAATATTATGTCCAACATCTTGTGCCCATTTAATCATAGCAGATTTCACCGTTTCATCCTGAGTATTCCATTTCAACAGCAAGTTATACATTCTTGACAAATTCTTAGTTTTGGGTTCTAACAGTTCTGTTTCTAGTTTTGATTTTTCCACCTGGAAGCCAATTTTCTTATCCAAATTGTATGCCTCCATTATCTGATAATAATGAAGCCAATCTCGCACTCTGTCTTTTAATTTCTCAAAACTCTGCAATTTCAATTTGTCTCCTTCTTGTTCCAAAATTTCCCAATATTTCGGCCATTTGGCCTCCATATTGAGCTTTTTCTGAGCCTTTGCTTCCATCGGTGACAACCACCTTGGGGTTTTGTTTTCCAATAAATCCTTATATCTTATCCAAACATTAAACAGTGCTTTCCTGACAATATGATTTTTAAATGCTTTATGTGCTTTGACCTTATCATACCATAAATATGCATGCCATCCAAATACGTTGTTAAAACCTTCTAAATCCAAAATGTCTGTATTTTCAAGAAGTAGCCATTCTTTCAACCAGCAAAAAGCTGCTGATTCATAATAAAGTTTAAAGTCTGGCAGGGCAAATCCACCCCTTTCCTTTGCATCAGTTAATATCTTAAATTTTATTCTGGGCTTCTTGCCCTGCCAGACAAATCTAGAAATATCTCTCTGCCACTTCTTGAAACAGTCCATCTTGTCCACAATTTGCAATGTTTGAAACAAAAACAACATTCTAGGCAATACATTCATTTTTATCACAGCAATACGACCCAACAGTGAAAGCTTCAAATTTGACCAGATTTCTAAGTCTTTTTTCACTTCCGTCCAACATTTTTCATAATTATCTTTAAATAAGTTCCCATTTTTGGCTGTCATATTAATCCCCAGGTATTTCACTTTCTTAACCACAGTCAAGCCTGTCTCATTCTGAAACCTCTCTCTTTCAATCGGTGTTAAATTTTTCTCTAAAACCTTAGTTTTTAACTTGTTCAGTTTAAATCCTGCCACTTGACCAAATTCTTGAATTAGTTCTAAAACCCTTTTAGTGCTAGATTCTGGCTCCTGTAACGTCAATACTAAGTCATCTGCAAATGCTCTCAGTTTGTACTGTTTGGCTCCGACCTGTATACCTTTAACCAACCGGTCCCTTCTAATCATATTCAGCAGAACCTCCAGGACCGATATAAAAAGCAGTGGGGAGATTGGGCACCCCTGTCGTGTCCCTTTTTCTATCTTAAATTCTTCCGTCACCACATTATTTACAATTAATTTAGCCTTTTGTTCAGAGTATATTGCACCTATACCATTTTCAAAACCTTGGCCTACCCCCATCCCCTGTAGATTCTTCTTCATAAAGCTCCAAGAGATGTTGTCAAAAGCTTTCTCCGCGTCCACAAATATCAGAACTGCTTTAGTGTTTATATTCACTTCTAGTTTTTCCAAAATATCAATTATATTCCTCAAATTATCAGACAAGTGTCTTCCCGGGAGAAAGCCCGCTTGGTCTTTATGAATCTCTTCCATCAATACTTTTTTCAATCTCTTGGCCAAAATGTCTGCAAAAATTTTGTAATCCACATTAAGTAACGATATAGGGCGGTAGTTCTTAAGCTGAGTCTTTTCAGTCTCTGTTTTCGGTATAAGTGTAATGTACGCCTCTTTCCACGACTCTGGTGCCCTTTTCCCTTCCAATATTTCATTGCAGACTTCCTTCAAAGGTTGTAATAGCCACTCTTTCAAAGATCTATAATATCTAGAAGTCAGCCCATCCGGTCCTGGAGATTTGCCCAATTGCATGTTTTGAATGGCACCTTCTACTTCCTGTTCAGATATTTTATAGTTCAACATTAATTTGTTTTCTTGGGAGACTTTTTGTAATCCGTTTGTCTTCAAAAATCGGTCTATATCCATTTCTTTCTGTGGCCCTTGTGTATATAATTGTTTAAAATACCTCTGGAAACAGTTTCTAATCTCAATTGGGTTATGTATATTCTTTCCTTCCACTTCTAAGTTTGTAATAATATTTAATTTTTGTCTTTTTTTCATTTGCCAGGCCAGCAATTTCCCACATTTGTTAGCTGATTCAAATGTTTTTTGTCTCATTTGTTTAATTTTCCATTCTATTTCCTGATTCATCATTTCCATATATTGTACTTGATATAATTTTATTTCTCTCAGGATCTCCTGCGACTTTGGTTTTGCTCTCAGTTTCTTCTCACTTTCTTTTATTTTCTCCAAAATTTTATCTTTCTTCTCATTTTGACTTCTCTTCTTTATTGCATTCTGTTGTATCAGAAACCCTCTCATAACAGCTTTGCTTGCGTCCCAGATTACTCTTTTTTTCTACATTGGTGTTCATATTTATTTCAAAATAGTCTCTCAAAGTTTTGTGGGCCTTTTTATAGACTTCTTCATCTCTAAATAAGGTGTCATTCATCCTCCATCTGAAGGAGCCAGTTGATATTTGTTTCATCTCCATCCTTACAGCGTTATGGTCGGAGCAGGTTTTTGGGCAGATTTCCACTTTCTTTATCTTTGGTGCCATTCCTCTAGTTACCCATATTTGGTCAATTCTAGTCCATGTCATCTTGGCTTCAGAAAAGAAGGTTCCCTCTCTTCCCAGGGGGTTCTTTACTCTCCAAATGTCCACTAAGTCCATATTGTCTGTCATCTCAAAAAATGTTTTCGGTAGTCTACCATCCTTGGTAACTACCTGTCTTTGTGCCTTGTCCATGTTTGTAGATACTACTCCATTCATGTCCCCCATCAAAATCAGATTGTAATCCAAATAGTCCAATAATGTCTCATGCAACTTTTTAAAGAATTCAGATTTCCCCTCATTCGGTGCATAAATTCCTACAATCAAAAATTTCTCTCCTTGCACTTGAATTTTGATTGGCAAAAATCTTCCTTGTTCATCTTTAAAGATTAATTTCGGTGATAATCTCTCCTTTGCATATATCACAACTCCTCTTTTTTTAACTTTGTCAGATGAGATAAACTCCTGTCCCAATCTCTTGTTAATCAGTAGTTTCCTGTGTAGCCTTATTACATGTGTTTCTTGTAGACAAATCAAATCCAATTGTTCCTTTTTTAATAAATGAAAAACACTTTTTCTCTTCCGGGGAGAATTAAGACCATTACAATTCCAGCTTAACAGTTGCAGGGCCATGATGGGGTTACTTCACTTTACCTCCAATTGCGCCGAGTGTCTGTTCTTGTTCTGTCGGTGATGTCTCTTTCTCTGGACCGTGCAATCCAAAAGATAAGTTTGCTATGTCTAGTATTCCTTTCTCCAGTGCTTTTGGCTCTTCTCCGGATTCCACTTCTTTCTGTAGATCTTCTTCGTGATCTTTCAGAAACCTATCTTTGTAGTTGACTGATCTTATTTTTATCTTTCTTCCTTTGTATTTAAAGGATAGGCCTTGAGGAAATTCCCACCTAAAGATAATTCTGTTTTTTCTCAGCAGGGCAACTAGGTCTCCGTAGTTAAGCCTTAAATCCAGAAGATGTTTTGGAATGTCCTTAAATATCTCCACGCTTGAGTCGTAAATTTCCAAAGTCTTTTGATAGTGCAGATTCAAAATTTTGTCTCTCTCCTCTTTTGTTCGAAGAGTGATCAAGCAGTCCCTCACCTTGTTCCTCCTTTGTCCTCTTCCAAGTCTAAATGCATTCACTATCTTAAATTCTTCCTTCCCCAAATCCTGTTGCCAAAAATCTGTAAATTCCTGTGTAAGAAAGTCAGCCAAATTGTCTTTCTCACGTTCTGGTACAGCCCTGATTCTTAAATTTCTTTGTTTCTCTTTCAATTCAATCACAGACAATGTCAAACCGTGGTCCTCCAATTGCTTATATACCGGTGGTATCTTCTCTTGAATAGCAGTTGCTATATCTTTTGCTTCTTCAGCTATCTTTCGGGTCAAAGCAGATTCCTGTAATAATTTTTCAAAAGACTCTGTATTGGTATTCACCTTCTGTCCCAAATTGTTAATGCTTGTAGTATTCAGGTCAATTTTAACTGATGCTTCAGCTACTTGTTTATTTGTCTCAGCTACCTGCTTAGCTAAATTTTCCAAAGATTCATTAATTTTTCCAAGTGCATGTGCCAAAACGTCTTCGGACGACATAACTTTTGGTTTGACCTGTGGAGGAGCAGCCCCTGATGTTCCAGATGCTCCAGATGTTGAAGCCCTTCGCTGCTGCGCAATATCTGTCTGGTAGGGTCTGCCAGACCTAGTAGTTTTTTCCTGTGCCAGCTCTAACTTTCCTCTCCCATCTGCCATAACACTCTCATGAGAATTCAAGGTCAATCCCACAGTTGAAAGTTTGTTTTGAAATGGAATTTTCCCAGTTGTTATTGTAGCAATGTCAAACCTCCTCTAGGGGGACACAGTAACAGCCAAAGCTTGCAACTTTTAAAAACGAAAATGGTCCTTATAAGTCCCCCAATTCACCTAAAAACAACAGTTTCAGTTGCACTTAAACAGTTACTTTAGAACCAGGAGAAGTCCAGAAACACTGTATCTCTTTTGCAGAGTTAGCTGTCAAAAGTCTACTGCTTACTGATAGGCTTTCCACTGAGTGGCATTCCTTATCTAGGGGTAGTCCGTCCCCAGGTTTTAGGCAGCGGATTTTAGCTTCCTTTCCCCCTCTTTTTTGCAGATAAATACAGTTCAAACCTTCCCTCCTCCTCTCCTGCAATCCGGAGGGGAGACCGCTTTCCAGATGTTAAGATTTAAGTCTTTTTCCAAACGTCTTTCCAAGTTTCCGCTTACAGTCTCTTTGCTTTGATCTATTTACAAGAAAGGAAGGCAGACTTCCTGTTTATACCTTCCCGCTTCGGTGTCGAATTAACTTGTTTTTTCTCCTTTTAAATCCAATTTAATCCTACTCACGGGTAGTTGCTTTCAAAGTCCAATTGTCCCAGGAAAAAGTCAGCGCTCTCCGATAACGGCTGTGCGGCTTCACTCCGCGGAAGAAGCAGTCGACTCTCAGCACCGCGCCGCTCACCCCGTCCCGCTCCGGAGCCCTTAAAAGGGTCCCTTCGCAACTTGGGGGGGCGCAAATGGTGCCCGCTGAGTCCCCACGTTCACAGGCTTCCCCCGCCTGTGATTTTTAAAGGGCCCCCGCTTTGCTGCAGCGGTAAGACCCGATCCCGCGGAGCTAGTCCCTCCGAGACTCAGAGGGAATCCGCCATTAATGATGGCGCTGACCCGGAAGCCGGAAGAGAGCTGTATTGCTCATGTCATGCTTGGGGTTTTTCCCCAGAAGCAACTGGCTGGCCACCGTGAGAACAGGATGCTGGACTTGGGTGGGTCTTTGGCCTGATCCAGCAGCGCTCTTCTAATAATAATAATAATAATGTCCCGTGACTGTAATTGGTTTTAACTTTCATCTGCCCCACCTGCAATAAAACATGTTTCTCCCGTATCAGTCCATAAAGGTGTAACTCACCAACGCTTTGACATTGCCCCCGAAGGAACAGCCTTCCATTGTCTCCAGAGATGGATGCCGACAAGTTTTCAACATATGGTTTTAAAGAGTTTTAACTTTCCTTGGGAATCTGCTGGTGAACGGTGGGTAATAAATTTAGGAACCACCCCCACCACAAGAGCAGCAAAGTTCCTTATGTTCTGAACTGCACCACCGACTCCCTCTTTGTTTCCTCAATCCAATTCAAAGTACTCCTTAGGATATTCCAAGCCATGCATGATTTAGCATCAGGATATCTGATGGACCTGCCTTCTGCTATATTCATTTATATTTGATCTATATTCTGCTTTTCAACTGAATGATCCTCAAGGCGACTTACAGTGGGCTGCAATTAATAATATATTAAATTAAATTATAAATAAAATTTAAAAATATGCTTGTGCCACCTTTAAAGTGGGGCAGCCGGGGCGGGGGGGAGAGAGAAACCTCACCAAAGCACCATACAATTAAAATACCACGAAGTACAAACAACAATTTGTGGGGCTACCCTTGGAACGTCAAAGACAACCCTCAGAAACCTCAGCTGGTCTAAAACACATTTACTGGGGTCAGGGATGATGAGCGCTTTAGTCCAACAACAAGTTTCCCACCCCCTGTTTTAGAGACTGGATTTTTATTACTTGCTTACCATAATTATTTTTTACTTTGCTTTTTCACACTGATTATTATGATGTTTTATTATGCTTCTCAATGCAGCTGCTTTTAAATTGTTTTACTGCTGGCTTTTACTGCTGTTTCTTCCTTTTAATGCATGGCTGCTTTTATTGTGTTTTTCGATTTCCCTAAGCCACCTTGCCCTAGTTCGCACGGCACAGTAAGCCCCTTTGCTCTTCTTGGGTCCTTTTCGACTGCTGCGCCATACGGAGAACGCTATCCAAACTGGGAGTCATAATCTTTCTCCTCACTCAGGTTTAAAAACGAGGTTGCATAGAATGGCGCACTGGGATTTTATTTATTAGCAAGCTTCCTTCAGTTGCTACCCTTTTTTTAGAGAGGCAGTCAACACTGCTGCTGCAGTAACAATATTCCTCCTCAGGAAAAAAAGTGTGGGTGCCCATTTATATATTGATCATCTGCTGCCCACTGTAGCACCCAGTAAGTGGCAGCCATTTTGAATTATCCAAAGTTCAACAAGCACCTCAGAAAAGGGTATTCTGAAGGGAAACAAAGCAGTGGCTGCTCTGATTCTCTTCCCCACATACAAAACAATAATTATAATCATAATCACCACTCAAAACATAGCTGAAACAAAACAGGCAATTTCAACGGCTGTGGAACAGTCCTTGTCAGTCCAGTATGGCCCTAACCTGATATTAGGATTATTTCCTACCCTTTCGTTGAAAACACAGCGAGTCTCTGGTGCTTGTTGTGCTTAGTCATACCTGCTGTGAAAACTGAGATCGTTGTCTAGGATTAAGATAATAAACGGGTATGATAATAGTTTAGAAACATTCAGAAACCTGTTCCCCAACTCTATCTAATTAAAATTATGGGATACCCTCCAACAGTCCTTGTTTACTTGGAACAACCCTGATTTTCTCGCCCTTGTCTCCAGGAAATCACGGTTCCCGTAGATTGAGGAACTGAGTAAAGAAAAGGGCGTAAGCTTGTGCGTTTCCCCAAATGGGAAACCAGTTTAGGAATCGGAGCTCCACATGAGGAGCTCCACTCAAAAGCATTGTAAACACCTAAAATGATCATTATAATGATAAACCATTGGTGGGAGGGAGGTTCAAGTACACAAGATCTGCCCTGCTAGATCAGGCCAAAAGGCCAATCTAATCTAGCATCCTGTTGGCCACAGTGGTCAATGAGATGCCTCTGAGAAGCCCACAAGTGGGGCATAAAAACTGTAACAACCCTCTCCCCACATGCAGCTCCCAACTACTAGTATTCAGAGGGTATATCGCCTCTGACAGTGAAGGCAGAATGCAGGCATTGTGGAGTCTGATAGCCTGATCTCCCATGAATTTGTCCAATCCTCTTTTAAACCTCTCCATGTTCGTGGCCCTCACATACAGCTGGTGGGAGCAAAATCCATGCAGAGAGCTAGCCTTGTGGGCTGGGCCAGCCCTCCCATTAGATGGGTTGAATCTCTTGCCTCAGACGGCACTTCAGAAAGAGCAGCAGACTGGTATTCCTCAACCAGACCACCTGCTCGGCCACTGTTTTGCTCAGTCACCCTCCGGCCGGTCCACCATCCCCACCCATCTCCCTGCGCTTGCACTGACATAGCTCTGTGGCAGAGCATCTACTTTGAATGCAGAAGGTGAATCCGTGGCAGGTTGGGCCGGGGAGAGAAATCCTGGACAGGCCCCTGCCCATCAGTGTGGAAAATACTGGAGTAGGTGGCCTAGCGTGGACTGACTCAGTAGGATGTAGCTTCCTCTGTTCCTATTGAAGTATGAGGAAGCAACAGCAAAGGTCACTGAGCTGGTGGCGTCAGTGGCTACAGCACATCCCGCCAGTGGGTAATATTGCAGCCATTTTGAAACTCCTTTGCTGGTAGAGATAAGTGAGATCTCTGCAAGGATGAGGGGGAAATGGCTCTGTGCTTTCTCTGCCCATTATGACTCATCAGACTCATAGCTGTCAACTTTCAGATTTGAAAATAAGGGATCAGCAGCCTCACCTGTCCCGGGGACAGTCTACAGGATATCTAACAATCTGGGATAGCAGCAGGAAGCAGCGGGAAATGGCGCTGGAATAAGGGAATTTCCCGCAAAAAAAGGGAAGGTTGACAGCTATGCTCAGACTCCATTCTGCACCAGGAGCCTTTGCTTCTAACTATTGTTAAGAGTTGGGGTTTTAAGATGGGTGCCAGACCCCCCCTAATCTAGCAAGTGTTAGAATTTAATACAGATTTCTAAGGCTTGGAATAGCCAGGCTAGCTTCCTGCTGAGGCTAGCCTGGGTGATGAGCCATTAAGGGGAATTCAGGGGTTCAGTGTGAGACGGCAAATGGGCAGAGGCCCCTCCCTCAACAGAAAAAGCCAGAGTTTGGAGCAGAGGGAGCAGTGATGTGATCTAGAGGTAAAGCAGCAAGCTGGAGAGAGAGTCAAAGCAACAATTGAGACTAGTGTTTGATTTGTGTTTGAATCCAAAGCTGTAGCTATGGGAGAAACAAGACCCCTTTTGGGGTATTAATGCTGTGAACCCCTCCACCGCAGGCTCAGGTTGCACATATGCATAAACCGTATATCCTAAAGACACCACAGTCTCCTCTGTGGAAAACATGAACCCTGGGTAAGTGCCTGGAACACCTGGAATCTCACACCACTCAGAGTTTGGGATGGTGTGCAACACTGTGGTGTCAGAAGTGGAGTTTCCAGAGTGTGGGTGGGCAGCTGAAGGGCTTGGGCAGCAAACAGATGCAGTCAGTAGCTGAAGGCAAGAGGGAAGATGGTGCCTCAGAGAAAGGTGAGCAGGCTAGAGCTGAGGAGCTGCTGCTGCTTGATTTCTCCATTCCTTGAGAGCATGCTGTGGGGAACGGGGCACAGGAGGAATTGGAGGTGTGTGTGAACGTGCAGGAGGAGCAGCCAGTACCTGAGGAAATGATGGTGTTTTCTTTGGTGGAGGAAAAGCTCGAGGCCTATGTGCATGCAGCTGGCTCCTGCTGAATTGGGAGAGTTAAACCCCTCAATGATTTTGGCCCTTGGGTGCCCCAATATGGCACTGTGGGGTGGGAACCAGTCCCTATATTGGGTGCAGCCCTTAAGTAGTCTGGGCAGCCAGAGTCATTCAGGGTCCCATGGGTTTTGGGGGCAAGAGTCACTGTGAGGGTTATTTTCCTTTGTTTGGGCCCATGAAGCATTTAAGAGATGCTGGAAGTAAGCAGAGGTGGTGGGATTCCTGGCTGCCATTTTGGGTGGACTGAGCCACCTGATCCTGAGCAAAAGGACTTGTGCCAGGACTTGGATTTGCAGTTTGGGGCAGGGGATGAAGTGGATGGGCCCAGGGGCAGCAAGAGGAAGTGTGCCTGTGAGGAAGCAGATGTTCTCCTAGAGTTGGGTCTTGCAGCCCTGCTTGCAGCTACAGAAACTGTTTTGGGACTCAAGTGTGAGTCTGGAGCCCCTGATCCACAACCTGAGGTGAGCCGAAGTGAAACTGAAGGGCTCCTAAAAGACTGGTGCTGTGATTTGAGCCTCGAAGTAGCTGTTGATCTACTGGGAATGAGACCTTTGTGAAATCCCAAGGAAAAGAGTAATGTAGACAACTGCATGGTGTGGAGGTGGGATTGCTATATGCTATATTGGGACTGCTTATTCGCTGCATGGATCCTTCCTGCAAGTTTTAGCATTTTTTAAAAAAATATTTTTAAAATGCTGTTATTTTTGCATGCAGGAAACTGTTTAATGGTTTTTAGGAATTGTAGTAGCACTAGGAAAAGGATGAGCAAGGGTAATGAAGCTCTAGTACTAAGACTTGCATCCTGGCTTAAACATGTTGGAAACCCATTATTTTGGGGCTGCCAAATGTGGGAAACTGGGTAAGCTGCTTTGGGATGCAGAACTGACTGGGAGTGTGCACCAAGGAGAAAGAGGGAGGTCTTAAGAGATCCTGATGGACTGGAACTTGCATGAAAGAAATCAGTTACTCTCTGTTACTCTCCTGGTGTTGGATTAAAAGTGTAATTGTGTTTCATTATTAGTTTTGGATGACATGTGTTCTAATGCCTTTGCTAACTTGCCTGTTATTTTTCCGCAGGGAAGCTGTACTTTGCTGTTTGTTTGTACATCTAGGAACAGATGTTCTTGGGGAGGGAGTAGTGTTATGAGTTAGGAGCGTTAAACTGGGTGCCAGACCCCTCTAATCCCTGGATCCAGAAAGTGATAGAACTTAATCAAAGCTTCTAAATCTTGGACTAGATAAGCTAGCCTTCTGGTGAAGAACCATTAAGAGGGATTAAGGGGCTCGGTGTGAGATAGCAAATGGGGGGGGGACCCCCTTGTTTGAATCCAAGGTTGCGGTTATGGGAGAAACAAGATCCTTCTGAGGTGTTAATGCTGTGAACCCCTCCATCGTAGACTCAGGTTGTATATATGTGTAAATAAACCATATATCATAAAGACACCACAGTCTCCGCTGTGCATCATTCTAAAAGGAAACATGAACATGCCTGGAAGCCCTGGAATCTCACACCACTTTGAGATTAGGGTGGCCTACAACACTATTATAATTAGCAGCAAGTCGTGAACATCCTTGTTTGCCCAAATTAAGGGGTGCAAAATTGGGGTCAATCTCAAGCAGGCAGCATCCTTGGCAATCTTCCCCAAACACCTCTTTCTCCTGCTTTCCTTCCTCAAGAAACTCACATTTTTTCCATGACTTAAACGACTTACTGCTCAGTACCCAGCTGCAAGAAACATTAGAGGATATACAATTCCATTTGCTTAGAAGAGGAGGCAAATTGGGGTGCGGGGCATTTTGCAGGGAAACTGAGGATGGCAAGAGCAAAGCCAATAATGGGCAGAGCCAGGGACAGATGTTCTTGTTCAACTAATCTGGAATGCCATGATGAAAAGTGAAGGAAGACAATCTCAGAAGGGGAGTTCCCAATCTTATGCAGAGCTGCTCAGCAGGAAGTCTCATTGGGTTTGCTTTCAAAGAGGGATATCATGGATACCACCTACCCACCAGGGCTCCTTTGTGGGGAAGGGTAGAATATAAAGTTAATAATAATAGTAGTAATAATAATAATAATAGTTTATTACAACACAGCTGCTGTTCTGGAAAACAAAGTCCCTTCTGACCATAGCACACACAAACAATATAGAAGTCTACCAGTTTGTTTTCAGACAGCTGGTTGGGATTTTTTCCCACCCACTAGCCATACAACCGGAGGAACATAACAACAACAATTAATAATAATAATAATAATAATAATAATAATAATAGTTGTTGTTGTTGTTGTTGTTGTTGTTAATAATAATAATAATAATAATGTAACATTGCTATTAGGTTGTCGCCAATGCTGGTCCTACTCAGAGTAAACCCACTGAAGTTAATGAGCACAACTAACAGGTTCATTACTTTCAACAGGTCTACTCTGAGTAGAACTTAGGTACAACTTTTCCTATGTTGTGAAGGCTGAAATTTCAATTAAGTGGAGCAGGGTCAAGATATTAACTGATATGCATGAAATTTCAGATATAGCTATATGATCCCTAGTGTAGTAAGATAAGACCTTTGGAGCAGGCATTTTCATTAAAAAAAAAATTATGAACCGCCCTACTTTTCAGTGGCGGCACCGCTGTCCCAGGATGTGGTTGCCAGGCTACTCTAGATGACCACATTACAGATGTCCTTTGACACTTTTTCTTCTCCAAGGCTTTTAATGATTAGTATTGCTGCTTTTCTCTGCATTTATTTATTTATTTATTTATTTAAATTTATTTAAATCTGCTTGCCTGCATTTTTATTATGATGATAAAACAGAATAAATTGAATACAATCCTTTCAATTAAAAATGATGGCATTGTAAAAAAATTAATGACGGCATGCGTGTATACTAAATTGTGCTTTTTAAAAAATATTCCCTCCCCTCTCAGCTTAAAGATTCTCCTGGTAGTGTACATTTATCCTCACAACAACCCTGTGAGGTAGATTAGGCTGGGCCACCAGAATGGGGATTTGGATCCTCTAGCCACTGACACCCCAGCCACTACACCACACTGCCTCTCATCAAAGGCAAGACTCTTTTTCTTCATCGTAAAACAATATAAAATATTGGGTTCTCTCATGGGCTATTGCCCTTTAGTTTGTGCTCACCTCTTCTTTGTCGCTTTTACAACACAGAAATTAAATGCATGCAGAAAGAAAGAAAGAAAGAAAGAAAGAAAGAAAGAAAGAAAGAAAGAAATGTAGCCTTACCTAGCATCACGCAGAAGACGAGGGATCGAAAATCCTTGTTCCCTGGCATTGCAAAAAAATGAAGCTGGACTTCTGTGAAGAGCGGGTGCTGAAGAGGCTTGTTGCAGGCTCCAAGGCAGGCAGAGTCTGTCAACTGATGATCTGGAGACGGGTGTCAAATCTTCTCCTGGGCTCACTTAGTCTGCGCTGTCAGGATTCCTTTGGGTTGACTTGCAGCAGGTGACTGAGGGCCTCTAAACTCTGTAAAAGGAGCCAGTGACCCATCCCAGTTTCCTTTGAAGTAATTGCAATGCACACTTAACAATTAGGTCACACTTTCATCTGAGAGGTTGCCAAACACACACACACACACACACACACAACCAAAGATGTGTGCAAGTCAGGTCCCTTGCTGGGATCTACACGCCTAAACTTTAGGGCAAGTCCGTTCAGTTTTCTCAGGTCTTTTATTTATTTATTTTTGAAATTATCCTAAAATAATACGTTGCAAAGAAAACCACAGAGCTATTTGCTGCTAGGCTTTGGATCCAGGATGTGGCATAGAGCACTTGAGGAAGGGAGCTTTTCCTTTATTTTGATGTATTGTGCAATTAATATACAATGAGCTTGCTGCCCTGTGATCCAAGCACGCTTGTAGAACATTTCCCCTCCATTCTGCAATTTGTTTGATTATTATTTTTTAAGCACGGAATTCCAAATTTTTCTTCACACATTTTTACCTAAGAGATGAGCACGTTTTTAATCTAAAAGACACATTTTAGTATGTTTTTGAGCTGCATAAACGGCAACATTCGGAGAAGAGGATTGTATTTTGACCTGTGAAGTAGTCCAGGAAGTGAAAATAAAGTCAATTTGCTTACAAAATGTCCATTCAAGCATCTCTGGTCCAAAATGACTCCCAGGCTGCGCACCTGGTCCTTCAGGGGCACAGTTCTCCCATTCAGGACCAGGGAGTCCTCCACACCCGCAGGTCTTCCATTAATTTGTCAAATCCTTTTGTAAAACCATCCAAGTAACACTTCCGTAATGCCCTGGTGTCACGGTGGGACATCTGCAGGGAAGGAGAGCAGGCCAGAACAGTGGCTGCTAGGTGGCAGCTACCCCAAACAGTTTTGCTGACACTTTCACCAAAGGGGCAGCGCACATTTAAACAACAACAATTAAACCTGCACCCCCCACAGGTCCAGCTTGACAGGTGGGTATCATAGAATTGTAGAGTTGGAAGGGACCACCAAGGCTCATCTAGTCGAACCCCCGGCAGTGCAGGAATAAGGCTTGTTATTTCATTGCATGGCATTGTGCTGGTCGTTGGGGCTGCCATGCACAGCTCTAATGCAAGCCTCAGGGATCCAGTTGGTGGTTGATGCTTACAAGAGCACTGGGCAGAGGACTCTGCAGTCCCCTGCCATGGTCCAGGCAAGTCTTTGCCTACCCCACACACAATGTCATATATGGCGTCCAGTGTAAGGCAGGTGGCGCCTGGCTTGAGTAAATTAAGCTAAGTGATTAATCACCCAAATATTAATCAACCCTAATTTTTAAACTGATGGGTTCATCAGCAATTTTTTAGTACTGGAGAAGTAAGAAGGCCCAGTCAGTGGGTCAGTCCACTGGCTGTTAACCAGAAGGTTGATGGTTTGAGCCCACCCAGGGACAGTTGTGGGTAGGATACCTGCATTGCAGGGGGTTGGACTAGATGACCCTCAGGGTCCCTTCCAACGATGATTCTATGAAATGGCTGGCCACCTTTTTAACGTTTTTGGTTCGTTGTGACAGCAACACACTGAAACCGATATAGATGCAAGAAGAAAACCGTCACGCCCTTAACACCTTGTATCATTGAATAAGATCAGGCCACAGAATAATTAAGCGAGGAAAGCTACAACCCAGTTGGGACAAACTTCTGAGGCGGCAAAGAGATAGGATCAGGCTGCCTTAAATCTAAACCACCCACCACTGTCTGTTATTAGAAAAACCAAAGTATCACCACCCGAAACTGTTTAGAGCTAGACATAGGAACTCACTGAGGTGGTACATTCATGAAATTCATCAGCGTTTTAGCTACTTGCAGAACTCTGCTAAGTGTGCACACAGCTCCACTGGATGTGTGTCGCAGTGTTGTCTGTGCAGGGGATGTACAGAAAGTTTGTGTGTTAATTTTATGAATGTATACTGTTACATGCAACCATTACCCAAATATATGCCTTTTTGAACACATTTTCTGCCTGGAGAACTGCATTGCAAAATTCAGAGAAGCGCAGATTTTGAAGGATGGCCGTATTTCGCCTGGCACATTTGCTTTGGAGATTGCAAATTAGGCAAGCTTGCCTTCAAATGTGAACTGAATCAAATTTCTCCTTAATCCCTACTCCCCAATAAATGGGGTACCCAAAATATTCCTTTGTTGGGGGAGGTTCCATTTGAACTACACATTTAAAGCAGTAGTATACCACTTTAAACAGTCATGGCTTTCCCCAAAGACTTCTGGGAATTACAGTTCATTCAGGGTGATGAGAGTCATTGGAAGACCTCTCCCCATTCTCCTCACAGAGCTACAATTTCTCAGAGTGGTTTAGCAACCAGTTGTAGTTCTATGAGGGGAATGGGGCTCTCTCAACAACTCCCAGCATCCTCAACAAACTACAACTCCCAGGATTCTTTGTGGGGAGCCATGGCTGTTGAATGTGGCATGATACTGCTTTAAATGTGTAGAACAGGATGGGGCCAAAATCCTTGCTTGTGGAGAGCTAACAAAAGGGCGAAGGCTGTGCAATAAAGTGTGTTACTGAAGGTACGGTGTCCAGTGAATTATTTGGTGGTGGAATGAAAGAGGAATCTGCAATCTGAAGCTGCAATACAGGTTGTCCCAGACTCTTAGTATCCATCTGCTTGCAGAAGGCTGGGGAGCCTGTCAGCCTCCAGGTCAGTGGTTTCCAAATGTTTTCGAACCTCTGCCCCCTTGATTCCACCCACAATGCCCACTACTCTGCCCTATAAAAGGCATTGTGCCGAACAGCTAAAGAAGATAACAACACAGTAAAATTCAGCACTCCCACGAATTAAGGTGCGAGGGTGAAGGAAATTGACAGCATGTAATCTTTATACATGAGTGGCTTCCCAAACATGCACAGCCCTTCACCTACCACAGACGTGCGGTAACTACTAAGAAAACCAATAGCTATTCCCGATAATTGTGATTAGTGACAACTCAGAGTTGTAAATACATACAAACGTGACCAAAGGAAATAGCTTTGAAAGCGTTAAGAGCAATAAAGCCTTAAATAAGAGGTGAGGAAGGTGTTTCTCTCTGGGCCAGGGTTTCCTAAACTTGGGTCTCCGGCTGGACTACAACTCCCATCATCCCTAGCTAGCAGGACCTGTGGTCAGGGATGATGGGAGCTGCAGTCCAACAACAGCTGGAGACCCAGGTTTGGGAAACACTGCTCTAGGCTCTAGCCTGGTCCATCGTAAACAAGGAATAAACATTCTGGGAGGGCCCCAACTCCAGCACCCCACTGCCGCCTCCTTGCTTCTTACTGCCCCTCTAGGTACTCTCAGTCCCCCTACAAGGGGTGGTAAAGGTAAAGGGACCCCTGACAGTTAAGTCCAGTCGCAAACGACTCTGGGGTTGTAGGTTCATCTCGCTTTACAGGCCGAGGGAGCCAGCGTTTGTCTGCTCCACAGACAGTTTGTCCAGGTTATGTGGCCAGCATGACTAAGCTGCTTCTGGCGCAACAGAACACTGACACCAGAGCAGCGCATGAAAACATTGTTTTCCTTCCCGCCGGAGTGGTACCTATTTATCTACTTGCACTTTGACGTGCTTTCGAACTGCTAGGTTGACTGGAGCTGGGACTGAGCAATGGGAGCTCACCCCGTCGCGGGGATTCAAACCACCGCCCTTCTGATTGACAAACCCAAAGGCTCAGTGGTTTAGACCACAGAGCCACCCGCATCCCAGAACAAGGAGCGGTACCAACCACTTTGAGAACCACAGCTGCAGATGTTGCTGACTCCCATCCTCCCTCACTATTGGGCAGTGCTGGTTGGGGCTGATGGGAGTCAGATTTCCAAGATACCTGGAAGGTCTCTAGCGCCCACATGCCAGCCCAGCCCAGGCCAGATCAGGCTCCCTCCCAAACGGTACCTTGCTCCACGCCTCTCCGACCGTGCATCCGGGCCCTGCCTCTCCGCTTTCTATCATCCTGCATCAGGAAGGGAAGGAAGGCAACCTGGGCACAGACAACGCCCTGCACCTTTCAATTAGAGTTTGACAGCCCGGAGCTAATTGGCGGTGACTCGTCCTCCAAACTAAACTCAGATGTAATTTATGAGAGCAAGCAAAGGAAACAAATGTTTGGATTCATCGCAGGGCAGGGTGCCTTGCTAAGGCACTAGGCATTTTGTGGGACATCCCTCATTTTCACCAAACGGCAAAACCAGATCTGGCGAGCGTGTGGCGAATGTGTCTATAAAGTTTACGAGGTTCAGGTGCCTCCCTTGGTTTCAAAAGTTTTCGTAGGGAAAGGACTCGTACTAATCACTATTCACGTGTATATTGCGCTTCGGCGTATGTCATCATAAGGTCTTTGGTCTCAGTGCTCCTCACAGCAGCTCAGAAAGATAGGCCAGAGCAGATTGCACGTGGAGTTTGCACAACCCCCCTGGGCTTTTTACAGTTAATTAATTAATTTACAACGTGTATATATTGTTGGGTGATAATGCCAAGGCCTGGTGTCTCCCCTCCAAAGCAGCGTCGCCCGGGATTCATCACTCCAATCTCCCAGCACGCTGATGTGGCCCGTATCAAGGGACGTGAGCACACAATTAGCAGAGTTCAAAACAGAAGCTCAGCCTTGAGGAGTAACATCTAAGCCTAATTGATTGCAAATTAAATCAAACGTAACAGAACAAAGAAAACATGGCTTCTCTCTCTGTCTTTCTTCCTCAGAGAGAGAGCAGCAAAAGCAAAAACGGAACAGCGTATCTCCATTTCCCCTCACTAGACTCCAACAATCAGGGCTGGAATGTAAATAGACATGTGACAAT